TTCAATACTGCAGGATGTCACCTGCAAGATCCCAAAAAGAACTTCGAACTGCGATTCCCGAGCAACTATCACTAGGAGAAGACGGAAATAATACGTGAACAAAACAGCTATCTTAAGTGCTGATGATTTATTCTAGTACTATTACCATTAGAGATATGTCGTTGTGTTTGTATGATTGATTCCAAAAATATCGCATTTCAAGGCTATTTCAGTATTGAAAAGGAGCTATGCAACCTTGTCATCGTCGTTGGCTGCAAACAAAACACACGCGCGGAGTGTTATAACACCTCTTGTACTTACGGTATTGTTCATGGCACAGTGGCAATGCAGAAGTTCTAGCATAGATAAACATCCGCCTTTACAAGCACGATGTGTGATGGAGAGTTCTTAGGAAGACATCAAATCTTCTTTCCCGTTGCGGAGAAGGGTGGAATCATGATGTTTGTCCCTGATCACATAGCCAGATGGAGTGACGATAGGCTGTCAACATTTCAACTGTTAAAGGGCCTAGATCTCACGACGTAGCTGGCATATCGAACAGAAGTAACTGAGCCTTGCTCGAAAGTAATGCTTGTATGTGTATTATCGCATTATGATTTTATGACTTTCAACGATGCGAGAGCTATAAATCAGAAGTAAGGTGAACCAGAACTGCCTCATCGTGAAAAGAAATCTATAAGTAAGATCTTTGACTAGGGTTTACGTTGCTCGTGGAGCATATTTCAGGGTGTTAATACGTAGTCTTGGAAAGGCTATCTCCACTGTCTTATGGTTGCAAAGGCTGGTCTTTACGTAGTCAAAACTTTAGGAAAAAAGGCCACCAGAAGAAGAGTTGTGAATGTACTCTTCTCTTCTGTCAATGTCGACATCTTTTTTCACAGATGCGCACCACTTCCTGTCAAGTTAGTTTGGACATCACTCCAGACTTTCCTGTGTCAGTGCCTGTAAGAGAAAAGAATTTTATAGAAGTATGTATCGATACTCATAATACTTATTCGTAGTTACAAGACCCATTCCGGACCCGTGTCTGATAGGTAATAAAGGGTTGTCAAACTTCCCTGGGATGAAGACGACAGCCCACAAGCTTCACGGTCCAGAAAGTACTCGTGCCTGATCATTAGGACAATCCAGTAGGTAGGGTATTGTTGTAGCATTACAAGACCTGACGCAACTTGAGTGGTAAAATTTGCTAGAGTGGTAGTCGGCAGAATATCTTAGTTGTCGTAAAAAAGATCTTTGAGACTTCCTTCCCCAAAAAATTCTATGACAAGAGCCAGGAACGCAACCTCGAATTTGACAGTCGAAACAAGCATCGCTCAAGATGAAGAATATGTTTGAGTAATCTTTCGTTAGTTTGTGGCGTGGGGCTCGAGACTCTAGACAAATGTATGAAAGAAAATTTTAAAATCTACCTGTGCTTACTTCCCCGAACTCCGCATATCTTTGAAAGCAACTATACCAACCACATGCTTACTTGTGCGCTCCGCCAGTGTGAATCCATCTTGTCTAACTTGACACTCATCTATGCTGTGTACAACAATCATATTAGCAAACTTAATCTTCCTTAGCGTATATTCTTGTAAGTCGGCTGTGGCTGTAGCTAGTAGATTGAGTGTAGGTAGGTAGATAATCCTGGTATTTATAGTGTCAACGCTCACGGTAGTAATGGTCTAGACAGATATTTGTGACGTAAAGTTCATGTGAGCGACAATTGCTTATAGTTTACAAGAATTTCAAGACTCCCGAAAACCAACACGACAGGCTGTTCAGCGATCAAACAGAATTTGTATGTGTTTGATAGTTAATGTTACAGGGCTGAGTTGGGTTAAGGCTGTTGTATCACCTTGGCCTCTCGAAGCATTTGCTACACTCACTGGCAAACCACATGGCGAGGACACCATTTCATATTATTGTGGTGAAAACGTGAAGGCCGATTTGATATACTAGACTAAAACGTTGTAACCTTATACAAATAAGAGCTTGTCGGGTTATTACATGATTTGTCGGAGGTTAGAGAATTTCCTTGTCTGCCAAATTTGGAAGTAAATAAAAGCACTAGATTAACTTTGTACTTCGGGAGGCTTCTAGCTTTGGTAATAAAATAATAGACATGACTGATGTACGATTGGCCTTATATGATGATACGTTTTGATAGAGATTATCGCATAGATTCTGCTTCAAAGACGCAAAAGATTGATTGAATTGTCAACAGTGTTGACCATGAAGTACTCCGCGACATCATTAGGCCACGAACATACCCAAAAGACGAAAAGGATAGGGCTGTTGTACTTGGCATGCAGCTCATGAACAGTTGTGAATATATCGCAATTGAGCAGGCATGTACAAATCGACAGCTGAATTTTCAGCCTCCATCACTCGGTCCGAGCTCTCGCAATACTTGACAGGACAAGCTAGCTCTCACGTGAAGCGCCTATCGAAGATCGCCCAGATCGTATGACGGTTGGGGCCATCGCATTGGCGCCCTTTTGGAGTGTCAAGCTTTGACTCGAGGGTACGGATCGCTTAGATTCACCGGATGTGGTGATAGCGTATGGATCAGTTGTCGGCCACTAGCTACTCAGTGCGTGATGCCTGCGGAAGCCACGACGATATACTCTATGTTGCGTACGTATGCGCCAATCCGTGGCAGCAGGCAGTGAAATCTTGATGAATGTTGCTTTTGGCGGATATTCGGCAGGTGGGATTAAGCCGGTTATCCTGGCTGATGAGCTTTTGCTCAGACGGTCATGGATATATTACACAACCTTTCCTCGAGCAAATGGTTGATGTGCTTGGAGCTCTTATGCCATCTTTATATCATTCTGAGGCTACCGAGAGCCTGGTCGCCAAAGTAGTTTGCTTTTGCGACATACATACGCCACCTAAGACGTGCAGCCTCCTCGGATCTATATTCTCGCGAGAATTTGTGCGGATAGCAGCTTGCGCAAGTGATCATTAGTGCTCACTAGATGTGCACTATTTTGTAGCCCTTAGCGTTTTGCGACATGGCGCGTCTAACACCAACGTCTGAGATGCTTGGAACTCGTTCGATCATGTCTTCGTTGACTATCGCGTTCCTTTTTGCGTCGTCATGCCAGTGCGTAACTGCCGCACTGGCGTCTGAACAACCTCACGAAATTTTGAGTTGCCTCGGCCTATTTTTGATCCTGGGGTTATGTGAGCATCATAACGCAGGAGATATTCCTAGGATTGCTGAAACGGATTGCGGATGATCAGCAGCTGCCGCAGATCGGCCGCATCAGCTCGCAAGAAGCTGGAAATTCTCCTCGCAGAGACGTCAGAAATTCGATGGCACTCTGCGGGTTCAAATGAAACTTACCCGGAAGCGTAACTGTTATGGAGCTAAAGTTGGCATATGCAGCTGTCAGGCTGGTACCAACCAGCTCCACGCAAAACCTGGTTGGATGCCACTTAGATCAAGACGCACACATCGGTAAGTGTGAAGCTCTGAAGATGTCACTTCTATTTCCAGCTCATCTTGGCCCAGCCACCAGCGCGTGATTAATTGCTTTGTTCATTGGACTATTTCTAAGACACCGAAGCCGCGAGTCTGTGGCATGGATGGAGCAGGAGTTGATGGCCAGGATATGGATCGGGCGTGCATATTTGAGCTTGTGCTATTACCCCCCCTGGATGAGGCTCGATCGGTCGAATGCCAAGATATCGGATGCTGCGCAGAATGAACATGTTCATCTAGAAAGGTTATTTGCGGTTGACCGAAATGATGCCTTCTTCGATAGATGTTGGTGATCGTGATCCTCAGCGGTACAAAGATGCATGTTGAAGGCCAGCTACCATATCTTCGAGTCAGTCGCTCCACTCGTCATCATCGGCCATGATCATGGCACGCAGAAAGTGTCGCAAGCTAAAAAACCGTGCCCTGGCCTCCACGGCACAGTCACTACTGATCAAGGTTCACAAGGCCAACAGACCTAGTTGCGCGCGTCTATAATTGAGGTTGCCTTTCGATATTAGCTAACCAGGAGCAATTGTTGGAATTGTTGAAATTAGAACTCTACGACGAGGTTGGCGCGAGACAGCCCAGGGCTAGCCGCCACAATATCATTGATGCTCGATCATCGGTCATGGACTGGTGGCCCATCACCTTCTGTCCCTCCTACCAGCGGACGGTTATGATCCTTGGGTCGCTCACAGGCCTGCAGCCGGTATCCTCGACTCCGTTCCTGGGGTGCGGCGCGCTCCCCAGTCCTAGCTCAGCCTTCGACGCACCCCGGTCCAATGACAGGCACTTGGGTCGAACATCGCACTAGGTGTTGCTGCCGAATAGAAACATGTTTTCCTGCGCTCCACTCCTTCACCTCTGCCGCGTGCGTCTCCACTGCGTTTCCATCAAAGGCTTGCTCCCTATCTGACCCAAGCCCGTGTTCCGTCCGCGTCTCTGTGGGTTCAATCTTTACGCAGGATCGTCCATACCTTGTCTGGTGTTTGGCGTCGCATGCGGGCCTATTTGGGCGTGCCATCATTTCACGTACAGCCATTTCCGTTCAATCTGCCAATGAACTGCTTGACGCATGCTCCTTTCTAAGTTTATCAGGCGTTGACACATGGTGCGTGCACTTGTTTCCGGTATAACTAACGCAGAAGCCCATTCTCCGCATGGTTCCCGTGGTTTTAGACGACTGACTCCACGCTCTTGCCTCTACACCAGCATCCGACAGCATACATTATTTGGAAACGACATTGTCACTATTCTTCTGTTGCCTGGGTAGTGGTCGATCATCAAACTCGACAGGCTGACGGTGCTCCGGAAGTCACAGGCGGACCACCATCTCTCCAGCTCCGATTTCTCTTGGCACTACAGTTCCCATACTAGTGCCACCTTGCTTCACACGCTGATCAAATCCAACTCTTCAGTCTGGTGGGAATAAGGTCATTTGAACCTTGTCTGTCTACCAGCAGACTTCCTGGACATCACTAGGAAGACTGTCACACGACTTTGTTCTGTCTCGTCCTTGGAGATGACAAACGCTCAGTCAGGCTCACCCAAGGGCGGTGCGGGGGACCTCTCACCAACTGGCAATAGCTCTGGACTCACGACAAACCCCAAGATGAGGAAGAGGACTAAGACTGGGTGTTTGACATGTCGGAAGCGCCGTATCAAGTGTGGTGAGGAACGACCTACTTGCGGCAACTGCATCAAGTCGAAGCGCCAGTGCGAGGGTTACAATCAGCGGGTCATCTTCAAGACTCCCCTCGCGGACTGGCCAAATCACCCAGGTGTAGTCAGCACTATGCAGTATCACTCATCGATGCTCCCTGGTACCCGTAATCAAACATTTCGGCCGCCTCAACCGGTCACTCAGGGCCAGGATAACACACTCACTTCTATCCAACCCAGGCCGACAAGCGACTTCGACTTCTCGAGCTTAGACCAGAGCTTTCAAAGACCTTTACCACCACCACATCACCAACCGTTTCCTTCGCCTCATCATCAGGCGCATCTCCCTACAATGACCACGTCATACATTCCTCAACCATCAACTGTACACACTGCCTTCCCGGTGTCAGTGTACCACGATACGAGTCTCGGATATGAACAACCTCAACCCTACCCACGTAGTCAGGCTACATTTCAACAGAGCCCCGTAACATACGATGGCCATGGCGATTCGATACATGGTGTTTCTCAGGCCTTGCCTCAACCACCACTCTATCAGCAACGATATGATTCATCAGATCATTCTGAAGATCAGAACTCCTACATCTCACATTCGAGCGTGTCGCCACAGAGCGACCATCATCCTCAGATTCCAGATCAACGATCTAGATTACAGCGATACGGCAGCCAAACACAAAATGCTGTCCAGCAACATGTCGGCTCTGTAGAGATGGACCAAACGGGACCATACCATCCTGCTGCACCTGCTAACGCTGATTTCATTCACTCCAGCTTTCATTCTTTCCAGATGCCCAAATATAATATGACGTCGGATGTGAAATATTTGCCACCACCTGTCCTCGGTATGTCTCGTGTCTAGTTATGTACTCCGTATACCCCAATGACTATTATTATCTTCTTTCTGTGCTCGTTGTAAAGCCAACCTCCCATCACCCATTGTTTTGTGAGCCATCTGTTGAGCAATCTCCGCGTGGCGTGTTGATCCCTAAATCCGTCATGAACTGGGCCTGCTACGGGTTGCCCATACCCCACGATACATGAACATTAGACAGCTAACGACTCAATGCACTTTCAGAACAATCAAATCCAATACACGAATCACAACCCACCCAACCGCAGTTACTGCTTCAAGGGTTCGGAGGCGTCGACCATGTCAGTCCCACGCAAGTTCTCGACGAAGCCGCAGTCGAGTACGAAGATGACGACTATTGGGATGTGCAATCAGACGATGACATGCCCGATAGAGAAGACGATGCCGACGAAGAGACGATGCTCACGAGCAAGGACTTTAACATCATCCGACGCATACACATGGAGAACTCGAACGAGCTTGGGATCAGACGATACGATGCCTTCCTCTACGATGGGTTGCTGTCGCATTACAAACCAGAGTACGCCGCGAGCCCTCTGAGAAACCCTAAGACGGCTAGAGTTTTTGCGCACTTTATTCATGTGGTACGTTGGGAATACTGACGATGGATATGTCATGACAAATTTCTCTTCTCCGAGATCATTGCTTCACGGATTGTCAGTGACGGAGTTTCTGTTATCGAATCGCTATCTTTCATAGTTCTTCTGATTCTGTGCATTATACTAACTTCTGTTCAATCCTTAGACAGGACCAAGCCTATCTATCTACGAACGTAATCCAAGAAACTCCACCCTCATATTCGAAGGATCGACTCCGGCGGCTCAACAAGGGCTATGGACATATATTCTTCCTTTGAAGGCGCTCGGACATCAAGGACTCTTGCACGCTATGTTAGCATTAGCAAGTCTACACATCGCTCGGCTACAGGGAGCGTCCATCACGCCCTCATACAAGCATTACGCCTATTCACTCAAGCGTCTCGGTCGATCACTTGGGAGTCCACAAAAGCGTCTCACAATACCGACTCTGGCTACATCCCTACTTCTGGCCTTCTATGAAGTCTGGACGGCAGAGCACACCAAGTGGTCCACTCATCTCATCGGTGCAGCACAACTTGTCGCTGAACTCGATTTTCGCTCGCTCACTCGAGAGGCAAGACGCTTGAAAGCCGCTCAGGCGGCGCAAGAAAGGCAGTTTCCCTACCAAAACCCTGAGATGCTCATCGACCAGAAGCAACTCAACCGAAGACTGCAAGAGAGCACCATGATGCCGGATGAGAGATTGGTGAGCGTAATCATCGGCAACAAAGTCAGCTACGATGACTTCGGTATGGTCTTTGAAGAGAACGGTATGCGGCAGGAGAAGAAGACGAGTTTGCCGGGAAAGCTGGACCTGAAAAGTTTCGAAACCCTCCAAGATCTGTATTGGTGGTATGCAAGGCATGACGCATGGCAGAGTATGATAAGCGGCAACCCTCTCATGTAAGACATTCACCTCGCAAGCCAACAGAATCTGCAACTTACTCTTCTAGAACCGCCTACCGCAAATGGTCCGACTGCCCCCCACGAGCACCCCTCGGTCGCGCCGACGCGCTCTACGGCACTCACGACCACATCATTCTCCTAATTGGTAGAATTAACGACTTCACGACACGAGACCGAGAGCGGAAACTGAGACAAGTACGGGCTGACGGCGCATGGAGACCAAGACCTGGTATGCCTGGATATGGGAACATGGGACCGCCGCCCATGAGGCCTGGTCAGCCACCAACACCTATTACATCGATGGGGCCTCACCCTCACATGCAAGGCCCTCCACCCGGATGGACAGGGCCACCTCCTCCCGGCTTCGGTCCACCAGGCCCACCTACACCTGGATCTGGGCCTCCAAGCCAGGGCCAAAGTCCCCCCGGAGGTCCACCGCCATCTGCAATGCCAAATTTCTACGGCATGGCACCCTCTCGACCCCACGCACCTCTAACGGGTGTCTACGTGAACCCAGCCTACCAGCGCTCTCCCCAAACATCCAACGAGCAAAACCCACAACACGCCAACCTCCCCGCAGCCTACGACGAAGCACTCGAAGAATGGAACAGCATCGCCGCAGCCCACGCAGCCATCTCCAACATCCTAGGCAGCACCGCATCCTTCACGCCCCTCCCCCCAGACCTATGTCCCCTCCCACCAGGCAGAACCAGCACCACCACGCCCTTCGGCCCCGCCATCGTCCACCGCAGCTACGACATCAGCATCCTCTGGACGCTAATCCACCTCGGCAACATAATCCTGCTCCGCTGCCACCCTGCCATGCCGCCCGCCGCCCAAATGGCAGCCGGCATCTGCGCCCCCGCCACCGCCCACTCCGCACAACTCATCGGCCGCATCGCAGCCGGCATGCACATCCCCATCAGCGACGACCTATCTCCGTTCCTCGGCGCAGTGCTGACAGAGTCGACGCTCTCGCTGTTTTTCGCGGGCGTGCAGTACCAGGACGCTGCGCAGCGCGAGTGGCTTGTCACGCGGCTGCTGGAGATTGATCGCCGGACGGGGTGGGCTACGGCGGGGATTATCGCTAGGGGGTGCGAGACGGCGTGGGAGAAGGCTGCGGGGATGGGGAGGGGGCCGTTGTATGAGAGGCGTACGACGAGGGCGGGGGAGGAGGGGCCGCTGCGGCGGGAGGTGGGGGGCGGGACGGATTGGAGGGCTAGGGAGGGGAATGCGGGGGAGCAGGGGGTGCGGGTTGTGAGTAAGCGGCCGGAAGGGTATGTGCGGGGGGGTGGTGGGGATTCAAGACTGGAGGATAGGGGGCAGGAGGGGAGTGGGGATAGGCGGTATGTGGTTAGGAGTCAGTTGGCGCCTTGGGCGATGAATTTGCTGGGCACGGAAGAGGATTTGAGGGCGGGGATAGAGAGGATTGGGCTTTGAGGTGGGAAGAGGTGTGCTAGATGGTAGGAAGAAGGAGGAAGACGAATAGGAAAAGAATAAGAAAGAGAAGAGAAGGGAAGGGAAGACACGACGGATCGATAACCCCCATCGATCCAATCCAGGAATCGCATAAGCAAAAGAGAGAGGGACGAGGATTATTCCACACGCATCTCGATCATCGTACCGAACTCTTGCCGATATATTTTCTAGGCACGAACCTAAACGTTCACTGTCCGCACACCCCATGCCATCCCGAAATCAACACATCAGAATAGATAGATAGAAAGACAGATAGATAGATACCCCGCAGCACTCCAGCGTCTCTTCCTCCTCCACAGTCATAGTATTGCATTAGATTGCATACAAAACAGAAAGGGACCATACCACAACCCAAATAGATAGAATAGCATCTGCACATCTATTCCAAAAACACAGTTAACATCTCTATATACTTCTACAAGTAGCATATTATGCAGGTAACGTGAAACAAAGCCCCATCCCAAAACACGCGTTCTCGCTCAACTAAAAAAACGCACACCTCTACCACCCGCACAAAAGTCGTGTGAACCGTACCGCCAACGCCCCCCCGTCCCTGAAGAAAGCACCTCGAAAAAGCTATGCATACCAGACGCAAAACCCTGCTAACGCCAAAAACAAAAAAAGAACTCTGATACGCCATCCTCCTATCCAAGTCAACTCGCCGTCTATGATCCCGCTGTAGAACTGCTTTCCGTCCCGTAATCCCTCAGAAGAAGAAATACATCGCGCCACCTCCAGCAGTCAGGAAGAGGCCGGCCCACCACATCATGCCCGCGCGCTCCATGCCGGGCGTCCTCTTGTACACGACCTCATGGTTCATGGGCAGGTCTCCACGCTTGACTTTGCCCGCGGCTGCGGTGGCGGTGGCGGTTGGGTTGAGGGTGGTGGTGGGCAGCATTTTGGGGGGCGAGTAGGCGAGGTAGAGGGGGATGAGGGGGGAGCCGTCGTGCTTGAAGAGGGTTAGACGGGGGATGTGGTGGTAGCCGTCTGTGACGACTTCGTAGCGCTGGGCGGGGGGGTTAGTACTACGTTCATCTTGCAGGGGCAAGAGGGTAAACGTACTTTGAATTGCTCCGTTGCGTTGTACCGTGTGTACACTGAGTGCTTGTATGAGCATGGGTCGGAGTACATTTGACGACCGTCGATTTTTATGGGTTTCAATGTGAGGGAGCCGTCGGCGTCCTTGGAGAAGGAGCCGTGCTGCCATTGGATTATGCCTTGAGGGCATTTGGGGTTTGTTGCTGTGTTCTGTTAGTTGGACCGTCATATCTATCCCCATCCGCCATCTCGTGAGGCTGTGCGGGGTGATCGGAACATGTGGACGTACGGTTCGCAACTGCACGATAGTATGACTCCTCGAAGAATCCGTCTGCTGTGAACGAATACGCGATCCCCGGGTGTGCTGGCTCGGTGAAGGCCTCATTGATGGGGTCGTAGAAGCCCTGTTTCGTCGCTATCAGCCTTGCTCATCCAACCGTTATGCGCCGGAAGATGCGTACATCGCCCGTCATAGTCGAGTTTGACTTGCTGCTCCATGTGCCAACCAGATCCGTCACTGTCGCGGTTTGCGCCTGCACCTGTGAAACTGCGACTCCTGCGAGCAGCAGGGCTGCTGTCATGGACACCATCCTGTCTCTTTCTGTCCGAATCGGTATAATGAGCGTTGGCGATGGGTCGTTGGGGGGTGAATGAGTGTGGGTGCGGTGTTGAGGAGAGGCTGGTGGTGTTGGGAGTCGCAGAACCTCTGGATGTCAAGGGAGGCGACGACGGTTCGGGGCTGACAGGGATGTTAGTCGCCGGGTTCCTTGCAGATCACGGCGCCAACCGACATCATCGCGCTCGAGCGTTCTCACTGCTCGTATTTGCGCTTATCGATAGCTGCTGCTCATCGAAGCTGGACACGGGGAATTGACTAAAAAGGTCTTGTCAAGCTCGATTGAGGTGCGGCAAGACACTGCGTTGGTCTGCTGCGTTGCACTCTCAGAACGTCGTCATCACCAACAACCATCATCATGGCAGGGTCGCTGGCAGCTGTCAAGAAGGAGTTGAGGAAGAAAATCAAGAATGTACTAAAGGAGCTTCCCGAGGCTGCTGCTGTTACCCAGAGTGAGTCTGCGGACCATGAATGTAGAACATCTCAGGTTGACAGTTGCTAGCTTCGAAGGCCACAAAGACCTTGCTTGCCATGCCTGAATACCAGGCGGCGCGGCGAATAAGTGTCTACCTGTCCATGCCATCAGGCGAGATATCTACGTCCAGCATTGTGCGCGATGCACTGGCCCAGGGCAAACAGGTCTTCATCCCCTATACTTTCAAGTTGAGCAACCCAGAGGAGGGTCAGCCCGAGTCCATCATGGACATGGTCGAACTACGGTCAATGCACGACTTCGAGTCCCTGCAACCAGACAAATGGGGCATTCCGACACCCGACAAGGACGGTATATCATCACGTGCAAACTGCTTTGGCAGCACAGGTATCACGCAAGGCGAGACACCAACCAGCTCGAGAAAAGAAAGCCTCGACTTGATCGTCATGCCTGGTATGGCATTCGATTCAAAGTTTGGTCGACTTGGACATGGCAAGGGCTTCTACGACTACTTTCTGACGCGCTGTCACCAGTCGTCGCGCATGCCTTTTCGCGGTAAGAACTACTGTTTCGGTATTCGATATATGGAGGGCTAACTAACCACGTCCAAGTTGGTCTCTCGTTGACCGAGCAGTTCCTCCCGCAGAGTGAGTCGGTTCCCATGGACTCGTCCGATTTTCGCCTCGACGCCCTGATAACTGGAGATGGTGAAATTCGCCGCGCATGAACTGAAACGGCCCGTTGTATCCACGACATAAATGTTCCCCAAATTACATAGCACCTTGAAACAATGTCACTTTCAGGCCTTCCTGCAGTGTCGTGGACGCGAATCGAGGGACTTGAAGTCAAAGCGTAGTATGGCTGCGCTTATTGGAGCTGCTGGATGAGAGAAATGTTGTCGCCCTTGAGAAGGACTTGGCCTGGAGTGTGTTAGCAAATGGCGAGTAGAGGTGAATGAGATGACACTGACCAATCTTGCGTCTTTCCTCTGGCGCGTCCTTTTTTGGGATCGTCACCTCGACGGCATCGTCAATGACGAGGTTCATGAACTCATCGAAGCCCTACGCGCTGTCAGTGCTGTTGCAGTACATTGTGTGTGGTGGTCGTACCCTGAGCTTTCCCTCGATGCGCAGGCCCAGGTTTTCGTAGAGCCACACTGATATCGTCGCCCGGGACTGGAGAAGCTTGAAGATAAAGTTGATGGGTGGGAGGAGGACTGGCGTGTCGTTAGTGTCGTATGCCTGCAGCGCATGCGCGTGGGAGCTTGGGTACCTTTTCCTCCACCGCGGCCTAGAGACTGTCAGCAGTTGTAGCATTCACGTGGGAGAGTGCAGCCTTACCTCCACGTCCAGTCATGTTTTCAAATTCGCACGTGTGTCGGGGGTCCTGGGAGAGGTTGCGAGGTTGGGGACGAAGCAGCGGTGGGGACGTCGTCGGGGGTGCAGCTGTTCCGCGACGAACATTTCGGCGACAGCTGGCTTGGCGCGCGGGACGGTCTCTGCCTATGAACCCTGTCTTTGCCTATGCGACCTCGCCCTCATCATCACGGACAAACGTCACAGTCGCGCCTGCCGTTGCTTGCACGTCCACTGCTTGCTCCTGCCTGCGTCCCCTCACTCACCAGTACATGCACGCCGCATAATTAATCCCCCGCCGCCGGCCCACTCGCAGCAGCAACCGCTTCGTGCTCTCCCCCACCATCACCCTCGGAATATCCCCAGCAGACGCCAGCCATGGCCGCCAACGGCGCCCAGAACGTCTTCGAGCCCGTCTTGGCCGCGCACCGGACCATGGCGTCGGCGGCGAACCGCGTCCAGAAAGAACAGGCCCACCAGTTTCTCGAGCAGTTCCAGAAGTCGGTATGTTGGAGGCATGGGGCGCGCGTGGGCAGACTGGGCTGACGGAACGGGCCGTAGCAAGAGGCATGGACGACGACGCTGGCCATGCTCGAGGCGAGCTCCGTCGACGCGGCAGCCAAGCTGTTCGCGGCCACGACGCTGAAGGGCAAGGTGCGTAACCGCCCGTCCTCCCCGTCTCTCTCTTTCTAACAGCGCCAGATCGTCTACGACCTCCACCAAGTGCCGCGCGCACAGTTTCCAGAGCTGCGGGCGTCCATCATGCGGAACCTGGCGACCTTCCACGCGGGGCCCAAGCCCATCCGAACCATGCTGTGTGTCTGTCTGGCGAACCTGGCCATCCAGATGACAGAGTGGAAGGACGTGCTCCCTGACGTCGTCAACGCGCTTGGAACAGACCCCGCCACGCTGCCCTGCGTCTTGGACTTTCTCCACGTCCTCCCCGAAGAAGTCATGCATGGACGAAAGATCGCTCTCACAGTACGTCCGATCGAGCCGCAATCCAACATCCACTCACGGCACCTCCCCGCGGTACCGACACATGATATCAGAGTCAGAGTCTAATGCTTGGTGGTCAGGAACACGAGTTGACTATGAGGACGGCCGAGTTGATTGAGGAGAATGCCCAGCAGACCCTTGACCTCCTCATACGATACGCGACATCGTCACGTACGTGAACACATGATCTGCGTCTCAGTGGTAGCTAACACGTTCCAGCGACCGCCGCACAGAACCCACAGCTGCTCAACTGCATCACATCGTGGATTCGCGAAATCCCCCTAGACGCCATCATAAATTCTGCCTTGCTCAAGGTCATCATCGACGATCTCTCAGCTGAAGAGCCGTTTGAAGCCGCCGTCGAATGCTTGAGCGCCCTCATTGCCGAGACCAGAGACGTAGACGAAACGATGCCGGCCATCCTGGCTCTCTACCCTCAGGTCATTGCCCTGCGACCAATACTTATCCAAGCTGCGCAAGAAGAAGACTCGGAGAAGTTCAAGGGCATCGCCAGGGTATTTGCTGAGGCTGGAGAGTCGTGGGTCCTCTTGATTGCGCGACTGCCCACAGAATTCCGGGCTCTTGTGGAAGCAGTTCTTGAATCAGCTGCGCTTGACAAGGAGAGGGATGCCATATCCCACAGTTTCAAATTCTGGTACGACCTCAAGCAGTATCTCACCATCGAGAAATACGCACAAGCTCGGATCCAGTCAGTGGACGTCTACTCGAAGCTGGTAGACATCATGATCGGCCACCTCGAGTTCCCGAAGCCTGACAGCGGCGATGAGAAGGATCTTTTCGAGGGTGATCGCGAACAGGAAGAGAAGTTCCGAGAGTTCCGTCACCAAATGGGCGACGTTCTGAAAGATTGCTGCGAAGTTATGGGTGTTGTGGAGTGTCTTCAGAAGCCGTACAACCTCATCCAACAATGGGTGCAGACGTATGGATCGCAAGCTGGACCGAACAATGTGCCGGAGTGGCAGAAGCTTGAGGCGCCGTTGTTCGCTGTCAGGGCTATGGGGCGAATGGTACCTCCAGACGAGAACGTCATGCTGCCTCGCCTCATCCCACTCATAGCAGCCATTCCGGATCATAACAAACTCCGATTCCAGGCAGTGATGGCTCTAGGGAGATACACCGAGTGGACTGCACAACACCCAGACACATTGCAACCTCAGTTGGATTTTATCATGGCAGCCTTCGACCATTCGACAAAGGACGTCATCCGAGCCGCTGCGCTGTCGTTCAAGTTTTTCTGTAACGACTGTGCCAGTTTGCTTGTCAATTTCATCGTCCCTCTCCAGCAATTCTATGCCAAGCACCTCAACAACCTACCCGTCAGCAGCCAAGAAGAGATCACAGAAGGTGTGGCGTCGGTGGTGGCCAAGGTGCCTATCGATCAGACATACGCGACGCTCAAGTTGTATCTTGATCCTGTCATGCAGAATCTGGTTTCTATCGCAAACCAGGCCAAAGACGAGCCGGAGCAAAAGCTCCTTGCAGGTGAGCATACTCATATTTACATCAAAACATCGACTGACCAGATAACAGACAGGATCAATCTCATCACCATTTTCATCGAGATTGTGAGACCAGAGGTCCCGCCGGGTCAAGATAATCCAGCGGTGAAGTACTGCCAAGAGATATTCCCTGTGTTTGGGAACCTCATCACACATTTCAACAAGAGCATACCAATCCTGGAACGCGTGTGCCGATGCTGGCGGTACATGGTGCTTTCGTATCGGACTGCCATGCGCCCACTTCTGCCAGAACTCGCAACCAAGCTTACACAAGGATTCGACACTTCCAGACAAGGGTGTTTTCTGTGGGCAACAGCTTCGATTGTACGCGAATTCTCTCAAGGGATGGAGGAAGTCGACCCTAGCCTGGCAAACGATGTCTTCCAATTTTATGAGCAGCAGGCCAAGACTTTCTTGAGAATTCTCAGCGATCTACCACCGGAAGAGCTTCCTGACCGTAAGTACGATTCTTATCATGTTCTATGGACACTCACTAACTCGTTACTCATAGTCATTGAGGACTACTTCCGCCTTGCTGCCGACATGGCATTGTACTTCCCTACCGAGTCGATCATGTCGCCCCTTATGGACACCATCCTCCTTGCCGCTTGCAGCTCCCTCACTCTTCTCAAGGAAGATCCTATCGTCGCAACACTACACTTCCTCCGCGATCTCCTCGGCTATGGCCGCAACTCTTCTCCGTCATCCAGCTTCGACCACACACGCCACGACGTCCCAGAGCAACTGCGCAACCGCGTCAAGCAGCTAGTCATGGCTGTAGGCACCCAACTCGTCCAACGCATCATGACAGGCATGATGTACAGCTTCCCCGAGGGCTGCTTCGCAGATTCTTCAGGTGTGCTGCTCGACCTCTTCGAGCTCATGCCCGAACAAGTTGCAGCTTGGGTGGCCAGTACCGTCAGCATGTTACCACAAGGCAGCATCACACCTCAAGAAAGCGACCGCTTCCTCAACAACATCCGCCAACGCATCCAGACTGGCGACGTGCGCATGATTCGAACCATTCTCCAGGACTTCACGACCAGCTACCGACGCAGGAACGTTGCGCCAAGAGAAGGGCTTGGTAGACTGGAGGCTTCTAGGTTTAGGTTCTCTGGTTAGAGGCTGGATTTACGATTGCTGAAGCTAGGGCGGTCAGTGCTGCGATGGAGAATAAAATGCGTGGAAATGGTGGCGGCTTTGTGTGCGAGGAAGTGTGCGATAATTCAAATTGCATTCGGCAATCTTGTCCTCGAAAGGGTTTTGTGGGTCGACTGGGCATTTGCATGGAGTGGGTAGGTGACTGCAAGGGAAGGAATAGGTTAGGATAGAATACCACGAGTGGCTATGAGGCGGGGGGTGGAGGTGATGGATGCTTCACTCTTCTTTCTGATTTGTATGTATTGCTTGCGACAATTCTTTTTTTTCTACATTGAGAGACAGACGCTTTGCATCTAGATGAATTGTTTTGTGTGACCTCTCACAAGGAGGAAGTATGCTAAAAGTCCCCTCTTTTTAACTACATAAATCTAGGCTGGTTTCACGATTATGAGAATTATATACCTTACAGACGTGGAGTAGTACCACCTTCTCGATTACGCTAGTGCAAGCCCGATGCAATGTGTCAACGGCTCCAATCCACCCTATGAGGTTTTCGCCGAATTGGCGATGTGGGACCGGGGGGCGTCATCCGCAAGTCCCGTCACTCTTGGTAAACCTCATCTATCCCCACACGTTTCATCACACTACATTACATGCCTGTAGTTGCTGTGGGCCACTTGCCTCGTAGTTTCCCCTTTTCTTCGAGTGATAAGGGAAAGGGATGGGAAACTGCACTTCTCCACTCGCCCTCGCCCGTCCAATGGAGAGTCCTGTTACTTGATTTGATTTCGGCCTGGCACATGCGCGTACACTTATTCATCGCTGCTGGCACTCTTCACCTCCTTTGAACATCATTTTTTTCTCACGAGGCACGGGTTTACGTCGTATCGTCTTGGCTTCTCCACCGTTGACGGCGTTTTTGTATTGGCATAGACGATTCTAACGTAGCACCCTGCATCCGTTCGTACATGTATTGTCGAATGGCAGGCTCAGCGTCCTCCCTCCCAGCTCACAATGCGTAGGATCAAACCGCTGCGGCGCGCAACCCACCACCAGCAACCGCCCATGTCGCGCCAACACCAGAGAACCGTCATGTATCTGCTCTGCGGGGCCCTCGCGTTCGGCGCCGCGTACCTGTGGTATCTGCCGCCTATCGACCGGCTCGCGGTGCCGTTCCCTGTGCACGAGGCGTACATGAACGAGGATGTGGGGAAGGCGCGGCTCGTGGCCAAGATGAGCTACGACTGGAGGACTGCGCCGTTTCTGAATACCGTGGAGGAGTATATGCAGCTGCCGAGCGGCGAGCCGAGGGCGCTGCCGAAAGTCCAGTTTGACTTCCCGCCTGAGACGGGGGCGCAGAGGCGGAGGAGGGAGAGGCGGCGGGTGGCTGTGCGGGACGAGTTTCAGCGCAGTTGGCAGAGCTACAGAAGATTTGCCTGGGGGGAGGATGAGCTCAAGCCTATTTCGGGGGCGGGCGATGAGACGTTTGGGGGTTGGGGCGCGACGCTGGTCGACTCGCTGGATACGCTGTGGATTATGGGGCTCAAGGAAGAATTCTATGAGGCGCTGGAGGCTGTGGCGGCGATTGACTTTGGCAAGTCGAATATGAAGACTATCAGCGTCTTCGAGACGACCATCAGATACCTCGGCGGGATGCTCAGCGCCTACGACCTCAGCCTCGAGCCCATGCTGCTGGACAAAGCGGTGCAGCTGGGCGAGATGCTGTACCGGGCGTTTGACACGCCAAACAACACACCCCTGAACTGGCTGGATATAGAGAAAGCCAAATCCGCCGACCGCGAACCGTTCAAAGCGGAAACCAGCCTCTGTCTCGCCTGTCTCGGCTCGCTGACCATGGAATTCACCCGCCTGGCCCAGATCACAGCGGAGCCAAAATACTACGACGCAGTGGCCAGAATCACCGACCTGTTGCGCCGCAAGCAGAACGACACGCGCTTACCGGGCCTCTGGCCCATCACCCTGAACGCAGCGAAACACGAATTCAACCAAAGCCGCACCTTCACCATCGGCGCCCAGGCCGACTCAACATACGAGTACTTCCCCAAAATGGCCGCGCTGCTCGGCGGCCGCGAGCCCGTGTACGAGCAGCTATACGCCGACGCCGCGGCCATGATCGACAAACACATGCTGTTCCGCCCCATGGTCCCGTTCGCCACCCCAGGCGAATCCCTCCTGTTCTGCGGAAACATCCACGTCAACGACCCGCTGCACGTCGTGCTCGACCCGGAAATGCAGCACCTGACGTGCTTCGCGGGGGGCATGTTTGCCCTCGCGGGCCGCCTGTTCGCCGACCCGCACCACGTCGAGCTCGGCGCGAAGCTGACGCGCGGGTGCGTGTACGCGTATGCCGCGACGCCCTCGGGCATCATGCCCGAGACGTTCGACGTGCTGCCGTGCGCGGACCGGGCGACATGCGCGTGGAACCAGACACTCTGGGAAGACCGCGTCATGCGGCACTACGGCACGAAGTACATCGGCGACGCGCAGGCCGCGGCGCTCAAACACCGCCTTCCCCTCGGCTTCCCCGCTATCCGCGACCGCCGCTACCTACTACGCCCCGAGGCCATCGAGTCCGTCTTCATCCTGCACCGTATCACGGGCGAGGACGCGTATATGGAGTATGCGTGGGATATGTTCTGCGCGGTTGTCGCGGCGAGTCGCACGCCGTTTGCGAATGGGCAGGTGCGCGATGTTACTGCGCCTGGGGGCGGGGGGGTGCCGGGCGTGAGGGGGAGTGCGGTCGCGCAGGAGGATAAGATGGAGAGCTTTTGGACGGCGGAGACGTTGAAGTATTTTTATTTGGTGTTTAGTGGGGTGGATGTGCTGGCGTTGGATGAGTGGGTGTTTAATACTGAGGCGCATCCGTTGAGGAGACCGGGGAGGTGAAGGAGTTGGGGGGGTTGGATGGGGGATGGGTGGGTTATTACTAGACCAAAGTATTCTTAACTACGTACGGTATGATCGCATGTGTTCATGCAAAGCAAGCATAAGTGTGAAACATACTATCTACACGTCAGATTTGGATATTACAAAGCACACATACACAGCCCTGATAAGACTTGAGGGTTGGAGCAACACCGTTCCACAGCTACAACTGAGACAGGAGAAAAAATAAGTGAATGACATGTATAGGTAATTTGTGAAGTGTCTTTATATAAACTGGAGATCATTTTCTTACATACATTAGTTGAAATCATTAGGTCACGCGAAGAGATTTTTATGTGCTATAATAGTTTTAGCTCATCTCGACCAAAAGATCACTGGCCGATCGAAGTCCTGCTCGGTGAGCTCATCAATAGGTCTGCTGTCTGTCGATCTTGCTTCTCTGTAAAGCTGAAGTGCTTTCTCGGAGTATTCCTTTGCTTTCTCAGGCTCATTGTTCTGCGTGAGAAGCTTCGCTTGCCAGAACAAGACACGTCCACGCTCAGCGCAATAGCAAGCCTGGCTGTTATACGTATTTGTGGCCGATTCAAGGTGCTTGCTGCAGACATATGTCAATGAGCACTTCTACCTGAGATTTGTAAACTTACAGTGCTTCTTCTTTCCGATCAAGCCTCACAAGATGCTGGGCTACTTTGAAATACATGTCTGCTGTGCGGTGATGGTACGGTCCAGCTGTTTTCTTCATGTGTTCTAGGGCTTTGACTTGGTAGTCGTGGCTCTCTTCCAGTTTGCCTTGCGCTTGTTTGAGCCATCCTAGTCCGTGGTATACGCGTCCGGTACTAAAGATTGTCAGATCATAACACTGAAACACTCCATGCGACTCACATCATTGAAACCGTGTGGTTGACACCATATATCTCTTCTCTCTCTCTCAAAGTGTTGACCAGCAATGGTTCAGCCTCATCCACACGACCAGTCAAGAGGTACAAACACGCCAGATTGACCTGTGGTAACGAGCGTGTCATCTTGGCCTTGACAGAGTCTGTCAGACCATCAGCTACCTTCAACGCCACAATGTTACATTCTTCCGCTTCAGACCATTCCTCTAACATGATGTGAGCCGTCGCTAATTCAAAGTAGGAAATCGCGAGACGTGAATCGTCGTTTGGTTCCTTTCCGTGATACTCCTCCAGCATCAATTTGTTATACTCTTTGAAATGGAATCTGGCATCAACTGGTCGAATTCGCTCTGCGGCAGAACAACCAAGATTGCGGTGTGTTTCTGCTAGCAGAAACTTTGTTTGTAGTATGACATCTTTCGGCAGCCGTGGAGATGTTAAGCTGGAGGACGAATCGACCTCTAGAATGGATGTCAAGTTTGCCTGAGCCAACTGAAAACACTCTGTTGCTTCTTCGTTTCTGGCTCGTTCTTGACAATACCTACAAAGATAACGGGGTTAGTGTATGAATTCCAAGGCTTGGCGCAACAGATTTACCATCCAAACTCGTTCAGCAAGTCAGCAAGCTGTATGTTAGAACGTAGTAAGCCTTGTATCAGCGGCGAAGCTCGCAAAAACCTGTTTCTCAAGCGTAGGATATGGGCGAGGAGTACCTCGCACTCGTTCCACCGTGCTGTTTTCTGTCTCTCCGCATAACCCGCTCTCGGCCAGGCATGAAGAAGTATAGCCAGGGCAGAGTTGAAGCTTGCCACCGCTTGCGATGGGGCCTTTCTGAGGTCGGCAAGGCTTGCCCACACGGCGTCTTGTGTCAAACGATGGACCATCAGCTTTGTTCCTGACGCATCTTTCGAGATCAGAGAGGAGTTCAGTAACTCTGCACGTGCCTTCTGATACTTTGTCTTTGTGCTCAGGTATTCGTATGTGGTGTTTAGACCGATAGCAGATGTCAACAAATTATCTTGGATTCCGTCGGGGTCGAAGAATGACATTGTATGAAGTAGGCCTGCACCAAAATCCAACGTGTCGAGTAGCCAGACGGACGAGATAGTATGAACTGATGTCTGCTGCTTCTGCTTCGAGACATATGTCTGCTCAAATAGTTCTGCATGTTCAGCTTCCTCTTCATAACGTTGGATAAAGTCTTTGTACGTCAACTGTTCACGGACCATGACGGACGCCATTTGAACTATTGCAAGCGGGTGATATCCTAGAAGTTTGACAACAGTGTGAGCCAGGAGCTTTGACCCGTCGTCGTTTTCTCTCCAGGTATTCTTCAGGAGAAATGCGGATGCCTCATCTTCGTTGAATTCCCGGAGGTCGATGCCTTCGTCGACTTTGTACCAATTTGATTTCGCCAAAGGATCCCGACTGGTCAGAAGGATAGATCCAGAACTGCCTGCTTCTGGCCAGTAGTCTAGTAGTGCTTCAGTATTAGCTACGTTGTCGAACACGATTAGCCATGACGCCTCTTCTACAGAAGTCCTGCCATGACTATTGTACGACTTCAAAGGTTTCGCAAGCCATCCTTTGACTAGTCCTCTTGCTATTTCCAGATTATTGGCTTCTTGCGATGCTTCCGGAACTAGGTTGAGTTGAACAGCAATGTGCGCAAACTCGCCTTCAAGCATCGCAGGCTCTTCTGCATGCAGCCAAAAGATCGCATCGAAGTCGTCTTTGTACTTGTGTACAAACTGCGTGGCAGTCTGCGTTTTGCCTACGCCGCCAGATCCACAGATGGCGAAAGTCCTCAGATCTCGAGGTTCGGAAACTACAGTGGCTGGCAGATTTGCAGATGATTGGTTTTCAGGTGGGCACAGGGCTTCTTCTAACTTGTCCAGCACATCAGTCCGTCCAAAAAATTCAAGGTTCCGAGCGACTGGTACGGAGAAGCAAGGGAGTTGGGGATCCCGTTTTGCGAGCGAAGGTTCTGGAGTAGGTTCTGCGACCTGCGAAAGCCTTTCTTGTCGAGGTTGACTAGTCCCCAAGGTTGTTTGGTTCCCTGTGGAGGTATCTCCGCCTGTATAAGCAAGAATAAGCCACTTTAACGAACTATACGTTCGAGGGCCTCGACTCACCTTGGTGTAGCATGTTGGACATATTTGTACTCAAGCTAGACATTACAGTTGACTCGTCGAGCGTGGGGGGAGTCAAATCTGAGTCTTGTTAGTGTTTTAAGATTAATCAGTGTTCTATGTCACTCACATTGCGCAGCGTTTGTCTCGATGGTTGTCTTCGCCTTGGTGATACTCCGTTGAACAAAAAGTTCGATTGGGGGGAATACAGTGCTTCGAATATCGACGTTACACAATTCGTTATGGCGTGCCTTCATGGCAAGAAACTCCTCATTAACAGCACCACTTTCAACATCATCTTTTCCAATGAGCTAGACTATGTCAGTAGATCTACACGTTTTGTACTTTGCTTCATCTTCCTACCATGAACCTCGTGCTGCTAAATTTTCTCTTTACGGATGTCTCCTCAGTTTCATAGATAGAGAGCACTGGGAGATCTGTTGCCATCATCTCAAACTGTGTCGATAGTCCCGCTAACTTTTGTGCAGCCGATGGATCTATGTCCTTCCCCTTCTTGCGAGGAGTCAGTAGGTATTGTGCGTCGCGCCATTTGACCACGTCTTCGGAACGTGAATGAGGTGTTCCCAGAAGTATAACACTAGCAACAGAATCACAAAACGGTTGAAGCCGAGCGGTGTCAGAAAAAGCTGCGCACAAAGCCTACAACGATTACTACAAGTCCGCGTACAATTTCAAACCCGGATACCCACTTCTTTCAAAATCAACCCTCCGATACTGTGAGCAATGAAAACTACTGCACATGATCGCAACTGTTTACGTTAACGACGGTCGATGACAAGGTATTTACGTGAGATGTATTCGTCATCGTAAAAACGACTAACTTCAGCGTTGTTGTCTTTGAGCTGCATCACAGCTTCAAGTAGAATGCCTCCTTCATCAACCATGTTCTTCCATGTTCGTCGCTCTTCAGAGTCTACGTTGTGTGTGAACGAGTATATCGCAGGTGCTGGTAGAGACCGAGGTGAAAAATGTTTTAGCCAATTTGGACGAGGATGGCTCCATTTTTGTGGTAATGCAGTATCAACACCCGGAACTACTATGACCCTAATGAAAAAATTAGCAAAAGTGTAGTAAGCATCAGAATTGATACACACAAGCTTTGGGGTGTAGGACTTCGATGTATGAGTTCGAGCCTTGGCGATGAAAGCATTGCTTCTGTCATCTATCAGTCTCGTTTTACATCGAAGTGATGAGAAAGAATCAAGGATGTTATCAATACAGCCTTAGAAGGTTGAAATCTGATGGAGGGGGAGGGGTCGATGCTATGGGTTGGGTATCACCTCGCCTACTACAACGCCACCGGCGCCTATTTCACGGCCCCCGCACTCAATACTGCCGGTGCCCATGTGCATGTCCAATACAGTGGAAAAGCCGTCAGGTGCATGGCCGGGGTTTGAATTCAGATTCGATATTTAGACATCCGCGGAATCTTACAGTCGCTCAGATTGACCGTGTTGGCCTTGTTCTTAGACACAACGATAAACCTTGAATTTTTCGAGAGTCTTGCAAATCAATCAAAAATGGTGCAAAACATAAAAGATACCTCGATGTATCTCTTGGAGAGAAATCCCCTGTGGAAGTCAGTCAAGCCATATGATCTCAAGTTCAGCCCACCCGAGGGTTTTCCGAAGAGCAACGCTGTCCCACGCAAGCATGACGGGATCCAGGTAGAAGACATTCGTGGGAGGGAACACGAGTTTTCTCTTGCGAAAAATGGGTTCGCATTGATTCCCATGGACGTATCCATGTCCGTCCAGGATTTCGAGAATTTCAACGGTGATGAGCTGAGTTCTCGATTTTTCAAACCTGTTGCCGACTCGCTGAAGATATTCCTGGGAGCAGAGCGAGTCCAGGTTTTTGATTTCCAGGTAAACAGCCACCTTACTTACTTTTGTTCGCGGAACTTTGATTGAGAACTGCTATAGGTCCGGAAAAGTCATCCTGAATTTCCAATATCAACAGGAGGAACATACCAATTTCAGCAGCCATCTACCATCTTACACGTTGGTATGTGATACGTTGACCTCCATAGTTTAGATTTGGCTGAATTGCTTCAGACACAACACCTGCATTTACCAAAGAACTTGTCGAGAGGTACAATCCAGATACGCTTAAACTGAAAAGCAGACGATATCAGTATGTCAAGTAGGTTCACAAGCCATGTCTTATTGTTTGCAACCCGAATTAACGTATCAAAGTGTTTGGAAACCTCTCAGGGGGCCGGTCAAAAGCTGGCCGCTTGCAGTATGCGATAATACTACTGTCGACACGGCGAACGATCTACAAGCGCGCGACATAGTCTACCCAGAAGATGTCGTCGAATCATATCAGGTGCACTTCAATCCTAAGCATAAATTCTATTACGTATCTGGTCAGCAGACAAATGAGGCTTGGGTCATGCTGCAATCGGATTCTGGAGGCTGGACTGGTAAGACGAGAAAACTCTCAACATTAACTGCTTACTAACAGGTGTAGGTACACCGCACACAGCGTTTCCAAACCCATGGGCCATTCATGATGCTCAAGGACGGGAGAGTGTGGAAGTTCGTGCGTTGGTCTTCTATGATGAAGAGGATCACCTAGCGACAACCCCCGAGACTCTCACAAGCCTCACATAGGTAGGATTCGTATTCGCACAGGTTGTTTGAAGTTTAGCTAGGAGCCAAGACATAAACAGGATGGAAAAGAAGTCACGATCAATACAACGTAGAATGTTGTCAAGAGTGTCTCAGATAATCAATTGATGGTAACAAGCTACATAATCTCGAACGCACGAACAAAGATTGTTCACGTTCAGTTCACTGCCGTATCATACCACAAGGCCTTTGCTTTTGGGTTTCCGGATGGGGCATCGTCTTGACTCTTGCCTCCTGAGGGCTTGCGCCACTTGGACTGGCCACCAATAACAATCGCCTCGCCCTTCTTGAAATTATCCGTGTCTACCAGAGCTTTGAGCTCCTGGCTTTTGTTGCCGAGATCGGCTACGATGTGAATCCAAGGCTGATATTGTGTAGCTGTCTCCATGATCGGTTCTGATACTGACTGGAAAAGGTTAGCGCTGAAGATACGATCATGGGTAATATGAGACTCGAGCTTACAGGGTAAAGACGTATGAGTACTAACAACCAAATATGAGTGTATGTATCTGGGTTGGCGAAGTAAGGCTGAGATACACTTTGAGGTAGAAGGAGGATTTGGAGGAGAGGGGCACAGGACAACTTATGCTTGCTGGTGGTGGCAATCCGATCAGAGGGATGGAACGCAACAGTGGGAGGAGCACCCCGCAGTAGAGTGCATAAGTCGATTGTAACGCAAATCACCTGTATTTTACCTTTAAAACCTCTATATTAGAAAGCGTGGGAACGATCTCTTTTCATTTCAAGCAGGCAGCCAATTATATTAGCCAACTACCTGCCGCAATCCAAAAGAGGTTGAGCAGTATGCAGTCTCTAGACAAGCTGATACTGTTTGCCTTACGCCACGAAGAATCCCGGACGGAGGGGTTAGCCGATCTTGTTGTTAGTATCTGAGGTGGAGTCATGTAGTAGTCATCAGAGGCTGAGCAGTCATGAGAGGCTTAGTAGTGCTGCCTGCTTGATTGACGGATTATGGATTAATAGGTAGCCTAAATCTCGAACTGATGCTGAGCGTTCACCCAACACATCTATTCCATTTGCATCTCTTACACGGGCATGGCATCCATTAACATGACAACTTTACCTGTTGTTTTGGATACGGGAAGTACATTATCAAACGATTCAAGCAATTCCCAGAACCTCAATTGTGAGCATCTCTTGATTTGATTTTTTTCGTTGCAATGTGTCCATCCATCCTGACTGCTATGAAAAGCCGCATCTCAGGCATATCGTGATTCGATCCGTGCCTATACCACCACTCAGGACATCTGTAACTCTCTCTTCCCGGGAAACGATTTGAGCAGGTTCGAATTACTACTTCGCCAAGGTACCGAAAGAATACCTACACAACTGGCTGCTGATGATTTTGTAACGTTGTACCGGTTCTCTTCTCAAGGAGATAGAGAAGTCAAGCCGCTGAGAAGCGTCTCCGAATTGCATGACAATTTCAACGACGTCCAGTCGGCGCCATCTGCATCTCAGGGGACAAACGAATCAACGATGTTATTTCTGAGAGGTTTTCCAGCACCGGACTGGATAGCTGCTATCGGAGCAAAATTCCAAGTCGATCCATGTTTCTTCTCAGGGCACATGGCACTTCCGTCGGCCCTGAACGATCGGCATTTGACTTTTTCTCGGCCTCTGCTACCATCGACAGCTTCAAATTTTCTGCGACTTCGTTACGTCTCAATCGGCATGAGACCAACTGAGGATAAAGTAGGCCAGGAGGACATGAACAAGTCAAGGAGGGATGCAGAAAACAAGATGAAAAAATATCACGATAACCTTGGTATTCCAAAGCACAGGAAAGCCGGCGATGCAATCGTGAGGTTGTACCACTTACACAACGAGCAATATTTCTCGGTTGAACAAGATATCACCATATGTAAGCTGCATACAGCTTGGGGCTGGCTCAGTAAGTTGAGAAAGATAGCCACCTATTGTGATTCGGGGTTAACGCTGCCAGGTCTTGTATGCATCGACTCCGGAAACGACCTTTCTGAAGGACCTGAAGGACCTTGGCGTGAATCTAGAGATTATTCCAGGAGATCAGGATTCATTCCAACCATTCAGCATGTCCCCGGAATTGCTTTGAACTACCACTGGCGTAGTATGACAATCCCGAAAGAACGGCATTTGAAAGGCAACTTCAACCAGAGCGCGTCACTGTTGGTTCACAACTACGGGCAATCGCTTGACAAAGCTTTGGCATCCGTTGATCCGTTCTACGCTCTGAATGAGCTGTACTCATTTTCGGCCCACTCAATTTGTCAGTTCCTCAACCTCATCGACTCCATAATCATGGTCGAAACTGGGTACGGATTCGCCGATGACCGGAAATTCAGTCAACTGAACCTATCATATCATCAAGACATTTTGATTGAGCAGGCGAGGGTACTGCAGGACATCATCCGCGATATCGAATCTCAAGGTGGTTCAATGACGCATTCAGTCATGCGACAAGCGCAAACACCTCCTGTCGATATACCTCGCAGTAGATTGTTGACTGATTTCCAAGAACTTCTTGCGCGGACTGAGCGTTTGACTCAGCGTTGTGCTAGTGGGATGAACGTGGTCATGAACCGGGCAATGATTGCGGAGTCAAAGCGTGCCATTTCGCAGGCGAGGAAAATCGAACAACTGACGTGGTTAGCATCGTTTTACATCCCTCTGTCTTTCATGACGTCTTTCTTCGCAATGGATCTCGGCAACATTAGAAAACTACCTTTATGGTTGTGGTTTGCGACATCGATCCCTGTGTTACTGCTATCGTTTGTAGGTGTCCGATTGTTGCGACGGTACTTTTCCAAACCTCTTGACGAGGCGGGCTGAGTCAAACCCGAATTTTCTTATCAAGAATTGGTCACGTCTAAGGATAGGTGCCAAGAGATTACTTGCCTGGTTTTGATTCGCTTGATTTCAATAAAACTCGCGCTTTTCTTTTGTTTGACTCTCTTGGTTAGTTCACAATTCAGTATTCTATTTGGTGAACCCTGTCTATTACACCAAACGGCTAGTGGCATTCTATGTACCCCAGTACACCTGTGCCCCACTGAACATGGTTCAGGCAGCAAACAATCCGAACCCTGACTCTGTCTTAAGGTTGTCAGGTCGTTCCCACTACCGATTCGCAATTGTAGTTTTGACAATGGTGCGTGCACTTAACTTCTGCATGAGTTTTCTACTTCGATTTAACGTTCTATCATGCCACAAGGCATTTCCAGCCATGGAACGAAGATACTCACACCATCTCACGCTGTCTCCCAAGTCTTTTAGCATCGAAGACAGGAATTACATAGCCCGGCCCACCGAACATGTATTACTAACCTTTTTTTTCGATAAGCTCGGTGCTAACTACCATCATGAGGTTCTCTCGGGAAACGTTCTCAAATCCAACTCTTTCGCAACTGTGTTGGCCGTGCGACCCGGTGATACTGTCAACGCTGGAACGTTGCGAAAACAATTCGCGCACTTCACGAAAATTGACGACGTTTTCCACCCAAGATTTCTTGAAGGTATCATTTTTCAAGGTGCAGAACAATCCCAAGTCACAATCGATGTCACACCTTCTGAGATTTTGAAAGAGTGGGGCATCGAGTGGGCGGAATTTCAACCTACATTGACAGTTCTAGACCCGTCTGTGTTGCCGCCAGGACCGTACTTGATACAGAATGGACAGCTGTCCCAGGTGTGGAGAGTATATAGTGACGACAATCTTGCATTTCTTCAGTCAGTGTGGCCATCCATCAAATCTCCAAGGTATGTCCATTACGCTCAACGCTTCTGGACAATAACGAAGTTTGCAGCGAATTTGCGCAAGTTCCTTTTGCTGGAACTGGTCATCGAACTTTAGGCATCGCTGTCCCCTCCCGACTCCAGTCGTCAGTCACGGAACGCTGTCCTCTGGCTGGAGTTCGAGTTGGGATCAAGGACCTCTACCACTTGAAAGGCATCCGAACCTCGCTCTGTAATCGAGCATTCAATGACTTGTACCCGCCACAACTCATGACCTCTCCTACCATACTTCATTTGATATCAAAAGGTGTACATGTCGTCGGAAAGAATCATCTGAGTTCATTCGCTCTCCAAGAGCATCCCACTCAAAGTGTAGATTATGAGTCGCCATTCAATCCACGAGCGGATGGTTATCAGATACCTGGAGGGAGCAGTAGCGGAAGCGCTTCTGCGGTGGCATCATATGAATGGTTGGATTTTGCCATTGCTACAGATGGTATGTACAGGTCTATACCAGGGAGACGCTCAGATTCACACCTATAGCCACCGGAAGCGTCCGAATACCAGCTCTTCAGAACGGATGTTTTGGTCTGAGGCCGTCAACAAATACACTCTCTACTGAAGGAGTTGTCTCCGTCTATCCAGGGTTTGACACACCATCGCTACTAGGCCGTGACTTAAGCCGGTTTCACAATTTTGCATCTGTTTGGTATGGAGAGAAGCATATGCCCAAATCCATCAGATCACCCAAATTACTGGTCCCCACTGACTTTCTCGTAAACATCAACGCAAACCAACTGCAGCTTGTTGAGAGTTTCCTGAGAGATCTCGAAAGAGGTTTAGACACAATAGTCGAGCGATGCTCCATCGCAGAAGCCTGGACGGCATCGGCACCAGTAGACGAACGAAACCTCAACATCTATCTTCAAAACGTTTGTGCTGGCATTGTTTTTCTCTACACATCACTGAAAGAACTACAGGCGACGCTGCATAGCTATTACTACGAGGCTTTTCATGCCTTTAACGAGTTCCAACAATCGTATAAAGGGACATTTGGACGCAAACCCTTCATCACTGAGACGAATCGGTGGATATGGTGCGTGTTATTCAAACCTGGCGTCATTTTGTTCGCCACTCACATTGTACAGGAGCTGGGGAGCAAACGTCACTCAGGCCCAACATGACGATATGGATGAACGACTCCGAATTTTCAAAGATTGGTTTCTGGAAAAGTACATGAAGGTGAACGAGCAAGATTCAGTCTTGATATTTCCAATATCGGATGTGAGACCCAATTATAGAGACACTTATCCTGGACTTAGCAAGGAGCCAAGTACCGGACTGCGATCTACCTACCTGAGTCCATACCTCGGAGCACCTGAACTTGGCATTCCGAGTAAGTATCCTCTATTGAAAACATGACACAGACTGATCGTCCTATCATAGTCGGACACATCAACTATGAATCACGGATATCTGGTAACATCGAGTATCTACCAGTAGCCATCTCTTTGATGGGCCCTCCCGGTAGTGATTTGGCACTCATCGAGCTAACCATGAACGTCCTACAGGCCTCAAATCGGCCCACGTCGGTACGTCCTGGAACGGCTAGAATGTGGGAATACGATGTTCCAACAGTCTCTACACATTTGTGAAGATACACAGGACACGGCTCGGCTGCACTGAATTTATTACTCGCTAGAATCCACATCATCCTGCTAAAAGTGATCTACCATATGATGCGCGTATCGACATCCCAGCTATTAGAGAGTTTTCTATCGTACTCGGCTGAACTGGCAGCAGGCTGAAACTCCAGAAACAAGGCAAATATGCATTATCCCTACGGCCGTATCAGAACCAGGCTGTCCGCCACGTACATCAAATCAATAAAGTCTGCAGGCTGGCGTGTTTACGATGATCTTGCAGATAGGCAACTCTCCAATCTGATTCGAAGAAGCTACTGGTGTGCTGAAAAGAAGGCTCATGTATAGACAATCATGTGGGCGAGGTTGACTTTCTTATCCGTGATACCTTCTAATTCCGGTGTGAAATTGACGTTGCCCAGACGCATGCGCATGGAGGTATCACAAAGCCGCATTTGACCTAGCGCCACTTGATCTGATTGCATTTCAGGGTCAAACAAATGCCCATGGTTTGGATGATTTTTTCCGCGAAGGTCAGCTTCTAACTACAGCCTTGTCATTCAAAATTCGAAACTGAACTCATTCACGACTGGTATTCATATGCAGTTTTCGTGAATACGAGACTAGACATATGTTCGACAGGCTGGAACGAAGCTGCTGGGCCATTCGAGGACAGAAGAGTGCGATACAATGCTCAAAACAACTTTCATAAATACTATCTACAGAGAAGCCGATCCACCATTGTAGAAGAAGGGATGTTCTTGAATATGCTCGAAAGAAGTTCGTGATTCTGGAACATAAGACAGAATACCTCTGAGAAGGTCATACAAGTCCTGGAGCCCGGCAGACAAAGGCTTCTCGGGTTTTGATAGAGAACCATATTCCCTTTCATCCAACGACTTGCCAATGTTCCTGACACGCTGTTCAAGTGGATAGGGCTCAACCTTGAGACGTCTTCCCTCCGATTCTTTAGAAGTTCCATCCGGATGGAAATATTTCTCTCGTCCACCCCATTTCTCCCACATCGCGTCGGGTGGCTTCCCAAGCATCGCGACCTGATCCTTCAAGGTATCATTGAACCATCCGAAGATCATCTTGAAGAGAGTGTGATCAGCAGCCAGTTCATACAGTATGCAAGCGAATGCCCAATTATCAATAGCAGGAGTGATCTCGGTGCCGAAGACAATTTCTGGAGATGCAAAGGGCGCGGGCGTGGTAATCTCTTCCGGTCGTTCATGGTGGTAGAACGATTCTCCGAAGTCGATAAGGAGGATTTTGTTCAGAGTCAGACGACCTTCCAAAGCGCCAATATTGCCCGGCTTTACGGTGTACTTGGGTGCGTTGTTTGCTAGAGGCGCGCCGTCCAAGCGGCGCACCTCGTGTTCAATAGGCTGACCCAAGACTTCATAGACGTCGCTGTCAGCCCAGTCATCAAACTTCGCTAATTGCATGAGGATGTTGGATGTATAGCAATCTATAGATCGATTAGATGAGTTCTGCTCAAGTGGGACAGTATGTAGCTGCTCACCTCCGTGAGTGATTTCGATAGCGTGGAGGAAACCCAGGGCTTGTGCAAGCTGAAGACCAACAGTTCGTGACTGCTCCAGTAAGTCTGACCCTGAGCTAAGCCTTTTGGCTAAACGTTCGCCAGCTACTTCTGTAACAAGGCATCTGTGTTTGCCATTCGGTCCTTCAACGATAAACTCATCGAGTAGGTGAATGACATATTGACGTCCAGGATGGTTCAACGTCGATGAAGCAATATGTTGTAAGACACCGAGCTCTTTGGTATCCAATGGTGTATCAGCAGCAAGCACTTTCAGGGACACATATCTTTTCTCTTTGGTGTCCCTCGCTAGCCAGACAGTAGAGAAGCTCCCCATTCCAAGCTTGTGCACAATCCGATATCTTCCATCTTGGAGCTCGTCGCCGATAAGTATGGGGTGAAGCCCGTTCGGCTCGTATCGATCAGGATCCTCAGTGATTGAAGAAGGGGCGTGTGTTCTGCCAGCCATGGGAATGATTGCATGCACGAATGCAAGTCTGTAACTGATAAATCAAGAATTAAGTAGAGAATTTTCGTTCAAGCCGTAGAAGGCTGAGCTCCTGACTGCAGCCTTTTGTGCACGCATGAATGGTAAGGCAGCAACTCATATGCACGCGTGCGAGCTCCAAATAGCGCCTTGCGGGGTTCAACTATCCCGCTTTAGCGTCAGCCGTGCCACCCTGACTTGAGAGCATATTACACAGAGCTCTTAGTTCTGATACTTACAGCTCTTCTTCCAACCTCATTTTCATCATCATGGCGGAAAACATAAAGATTGAATTCATCGGTTGGGAAGATGACTTTCGCTATGCAGAAGAGAAACGTCGCGTCACGAAGCATATCGAGGAGATCGCCAAAAGCAAAGGTTTTTCTTTTGCTCAGGTCCAGTAAGTATAATGATATCAGCTGGAAGGCCGTGGTACTGACATGAACAACAGGGACATGCTCATCAAGAACAGATACAGAGCACAAGGACCTTGGGTGGACGTCCACTTCCAACACAAGCAGGAAGTGAACAGCGAAACTTCAGCATACGTTCCAGCAAGGCTGTGGTTTACCGAAGATGCAGATATGAAGTCAGAGCCGGAGTTCTTTGAAGAAGTGAAGGGAAGCACCCGAGCGGAGTGACTATCAACATTGCAGGCTAGATGCGAACTAGATGCGGATAGGCGGGTGCCCGCGGTTAGCTTCGAATTTAGCTTCACTTGTAGTTTGTTATCGTTTTGTCCCCAGTCGTAAGACAACTCGTTTTTAGTGACTCAACACCCCTCACCACAATTTCGGGTCGCTAAAAACGAGTTCTTCCGTACATGTGATGCCAAGAAAGGCTGGTTCAAAGGCTTGGCCGACCGCCTCCTCGCCGCAGGTAGGCTACTATCGTCTCATCACACCGTCGCGCATATCCACTACTCTTTCCCACGCCAGTCGACTGAGATTTGCTTAAATCCTTGAGCCTTAGACGTGTAAGATCATGCCGAGACGCCGCATCGATCAAGACACTGAACCTTTGTTGGTGCAGTACAGTAAGTCTGACAGCGAAGATGAACAAAGTGACAATGAAGCAAGCCTAGCCCTGGAATCGCATAGATCAACAGAACCAGATATCTTCAAGATTAGCTGGGTCACTTTGGCTAGTCTAGCAACCATCATACTTCTATATATATTCTCGAACTATTTACTGGTAATACCTACCCTTCGTCTATACGAAAACGCTATCTGTCGTAATTTCTATCACCAACGAGACGGAACAACGTCTCCTGATATCGACGAGGAGTTGTGCAAAATATCTGAGATACAATCAAGCCTCGCAACTCTCGTAGGCTGGAAGATAGCTTTCGATGCAATTCCAGGCCTATTGACGGCTGTCTGGTACGGCTCACTAGCAGACCGCCATGGACGGAAGCCAGTTCTTCTTGCCGCCATGGCCGGCGAATTCAGTTCTTGGTCATGGATACTCATAGTTTGTAAGTTCGATTTACGCTCTTGGACGTTGTGTATACTAAGATATCGCAAGGTTACTGCAATCGAGTGTTTCCCATACAGGCCATCTGGGCCTCGTCTGCTTTCCTCTTCATAGGTGGCGGCCCCCGAGTGACGGTCTCAATACTCTACGCAAGCATCATGGATAGTGTGCCTCCGGAGCGTCGGCAAGTCTCCAATCCATAACACGACATGTTCTCTGACATAACCGGCTAATGTGGAGCAGTACACTATTCCTCTATCTACGCGCGTCCATGTCGCACTTGGCCTCCTTATCCGCTCCGCTCCTCGCATCTTGGCTCATGCGACGCTCTCTACCGCTTCTATTTGGATTGGTCTTTCTTCTATGGATATTGACATTCATCTCAATGTCCCTGTTCAGGGAGACTCTGCGAATTAAGCATGACACTGGGACGTCAGCGCTGTCCACTCAGTCGCCCGGAACATCGGAACTTGAGGAGCGGACTTCATGCGATATATCACATGAACCAGCAGATTCTGAATATCTAGCGAGCATTCCCAAACCTGGCGAACGCACATCCGGCGAACCGTTCTTCAGATGGCGTATTTTCAGGACGATGAGTAGGTTCATACGGGAAACGTGTTCGGGCTTCATGACGCGGAATCTCACAGTCTGTTTCGCGATATTTGTCCTCAAGCGCCTGGCATTTACCAGTGAGAACTTCGTCTTCCAATATGCTTCCAAGATGTTACATTGGAAATTAGAGAAAACTGCTTGGATTCAGTTCACGCAATCCTTGGCAGCGATACTCATCACGGCTGTGTTCTTACCTGGAGTAAATGCATATCTTCATAGACAAAGGAAGATCAGACCCATAGTCATTGACATCTCCGTTGCCAGGGCTAGTATGCTCATTGCTGTGCTAGGCTGCTTATTGCTTTGGCGAGCACGCAACCCGGCTACCATGATTTCAGGTATTGCATGATCTTCCGAGAAATTGACGTCAAAGTCTAACATCGATACGTAGGCGTTTTTGTCCTTGGTCTTGCAGAGGGCCTAGAACCCACTGTGCAAGGGCTCGCAGTCGCTCTTGTAGATCCAAGCGTAACAGGCAGACTATTCACCTTCATAGCAGCGCTTGACATGGCAGCGACACTTTTCTCGGGACCTATAATGGGGAGTATCTTTTCCGCCTCACAAAACATAGGATCTTCGTGGCATGGATTGGTGTACCTCGTTGCTGCTGTAAGAATCCCTGCCGGTCCCTCCAAAATATACCTTTGCTAACGGTACAGATACTCTTCACCGTTATGTTTCTCAGTACACTCTTCCTCCGGCACATAGTAAGAACCTAGACACACAATCCCGTACTCAGAGCGATCTATTGAGGATGAGGTCCAAGTCAATTTCGTAAAGCTGAGTACCCATCTTCAGAATCGGGTGGATAGGCCAATTGGCGGAACTCGTACGACGAATCGTTTCTGCGGAGAAGCTACCGAGTCCACGCCTACCACTCCAGCTCCTGATGGCAGGATTGTGGGTCAGTTTAATCTTCATGTGAGGGAATTAGGTAGCAGGGTTTAACTATACATCATCAAATCTCTTAATGAACGTTGCTTTCCATTTTTGATCGTTTGGATCAATGTCTTTAAGCATGGACGTGCATTCGGGGCTTAGGTAGTAATCACTAGCGTGTGGCGAGTGGTGGTTGAAGCAGATCCTTACGTGGCCGCCTTCCTTCTCAAATGCCTCGAGGGTCGGCTTGAAGACACTGAAAACTACAGGCCAGAGGTTGAGTATAACTTTTTGCTGGCTGAGCACAACTGTCATCCTGAACCCTTTCTTCTTCCTGATGGTTAGCAGAGGCGCAAACTGCTTCATCCGTGACTCCACATCGATGGATCCGCCGTCTTCTAGCGCAAGCTGATTGATGTTCAATATGATTTTCAGCTTTCGTAGGAATTTGACCGGCTCGATATGGGTGCCGAACGGATCTGCAAACAGAAAGTCAATGTCGTTAGCCTTCCTCATAACCATTCTGGGGTGGTAGTGTGTCGGTACGCCTTCCATAGCCGTATACCATGCCTCCACTATCTCTCTTGTTGCTTTGAGCCCTACAAACTCACGCTTGACCACGTGTGGAAGGTATGGCCTGTCGTTGGAGAATACTTCGGACCAGTAGCAAGGCGTCTGGAAGTGTGTTTTCATACCACTATATGTATCATATAGGTAGTTACCGTCCCAGATCTGGGCGTAAATCATATCTCGCACTTCTCGCGGGAGGCGGGAGCACATCTCAGTGTGGAAGGCACGGTTCCAGGCTTTTGAATAGGCGAGGATGGCAGAGTCCAATTCGCTGTATTCGCAGTTAGCAGAGGTTGACGGAAAGGCGTCGCACGAATTATCCGTTAAGGAAATTCGCGTACGATGAAGCAATGTCGACCTGCAGTCTTGTGGTTTTGGAACCGGTCCCCATAGACCTTTACGATGAGCTTGGTATATCGCTTCCATGTCCCAGTCAATATCGCCTTACCAATCTGATTCTGCGCGTTGTTCTCGTTGGACACTGTTCGGATCAGCGTTTGTAGTACTCAGGTTGCAAACGTATGGGTGTGTCTACTCGTGGAGATGCTCTCGCGCCATTGTGAGCTCTCGTTCCATATTGGAGTCCATAAGTCTATCCAAAATCCTTGTTACCGATAGCCAAGATGAAGCTTTTATATACTTTACATGTTGCAGACCTTGGCAGATCGCGATGAGTCACGTCTTACATGTTCAATATCAGACAAGGCTGAAGTTCACGCGTATGCTGGCGGATCTCCAAACTTAGCGCGTCGCCAAATCACGTGGGCATGCACCGTCATCGCCACACAGACAATGACGTCGGCATCACAAGATTCGTTTTACGTTCTACCGGAGGCCAAGTTCCACCGTTTCTCTCGATATCACATGGTGTGGCGCAGTGTTTCTCAGACATCGTTATTCAAACAAAAGCGAGCACACGTCCACGTATACCTTTTTGGTGCGCATCAGGCAGCAACTTTGCTCACATAGATCGTGCTGCTAGTCTACACCACCACTTCCTTGTAGCAAACGGGCATCATCCTCAACTCGCGATCTTAATTTGAGCAGCTTCTTGGTTTTCACCTTGTGACCTACTCACCAACCGTCTTTCTCGCCACCCAAATACCGACATCATCAACATGGATATACCACGGGGCCACGCTAGACTTCCTCTTAACGAGTCCGATTTCTTAGACTTCATCTTCAACTACTTCAAAGCCGAATACAGCCCCATCCGCTCATTCTGGTCCACGGCAATCGCAGCTCCACGCCAACCAGGGCGATGGATCAACATGGGCCATGAGAGTCAGCCGCTTGCCATCCGCCCAGCCAACGCTCAAGCGCAAAAGGATCTCGAGTCTCTTGATTATTTTATCCGGAAGTGGAATCTCGACGCCGGATTCGTCAGGGGCCTTGTAATCAGATACGCAAAGTATGAGATTCATGAGCGACTCGAGAAGAAGTTGTACGAGTGTTCGAGGCTGGACTTGATGTTGAGGAAGGCGCTGAAAGAGAAGCATTTGGTTGATGCGTTGTGGCCGAGTCCCGCGCCAAGGGATTTCAATAAAGAGTTGCTGGCGCAAGGTGTGCAGGTAAGGAGGTGGTATGGCGACATGTTCTCCAAGTACTTCCAGGTCTTGCACTCTATCGATGACTTCAAACTCCGGCCCGAGGTCGATACGAAGATCAAAAGCAGTGGTACGCTGATGTTGGTGCCATTTGTGGATCATCTGGTGTTCGGGGGCGTGGACCCAATCTTACCGATTGTTGCACAGGGAGACGGGTACTCGAAACTCAAGACCCGCGAGAGAAGAGATGGGGGCAAGGCCGAATCTGGGTTTGGAGAACCAGACAGATTTGAGATCAGATTTGATGCCCCTGCTGAGGTTGTGGATACATATACGAAGAGCGTGGTACGACAGTGTCAGTGTATGAAGTGTGGGTCGAAAAGAGATGTACAGGTTGTGGTGTCTGTTGATCCGAATCCAAGCGCAGCTTCTGGATCCTCGAGTAAATCTCCAAAGACATCAGATCAAGGGCGAAATTCTTCGAAGACGACCCAAAAATACAGCCCAGGATACAACATGCCGGGTGAGGACGAGGCTGCCCCAGCACAGCCACCGCGTCCACAAACGCAGACAGAACAACCGTCGTCATCAGAGCAAAAGAAACAGTGTGAACGCTGCACGTTCTTGAACCATCCCGAACTTACACTTTGCGAGATGTGCCAGGCTGATTTACCAGACGCCACAATCCCAAAACCCTCCAGTCCGGTAGTTTCTAAGAAGGCCTCGCATTCTCATTCCGTATCACTGCCCCCTCCCACGACAGCCGCGCAGCAGGCGAACAAAAACGCAGATCTGAGACCCCCAGCTCCCAACCGACACAGTCTCAGCTCAACGCTATTCTCCATCTTCCCGTTCTCGCAACAACACCAGCAGGAACATCATGCCAAGCTGCCGCCTACCCAGCAGACCGACACTTCATCTGCAGCTGCAAGTCGATCAGAGACGCACACTGAAGCAAAGCACGACCAACAACGCCCATCTTCCTCGAAATCCAACCGTCACGTCAAGTTTGAAGCGACGCCGACTGAAGTAGAGTCTCCGTCCTCGGTCCACACGCCACCATCACCACCCGACAGGGAAGCAACGCCTCCCCTATCTCAGCGCCCGGAAATGGCAATGATGCCTCTCACTCCCCCGCCCTCGGCGTCTCAAACGCGCCGCCAGATACCGGTTGGTTTGCCGTCGAACCTCATGGATGACTTTGTCCCTACGACACCCGCGTTTCCGAGAGAGGAAGATGATGAGGGTGCGGGGTGGGGAGAAGTGAGCCGGGAGGAAACGAGGAGAGAAGAAAGTAGTGATGATGAAGAGGATGAGGAGGAGGGAAGCGGCGGTGTGGGGTTGGTGGATTTGGATGCAGTTGCGAGGGAGGAGATGGGCGTTTGGGGAGAGAGGGAGACGGATGATTGAGAAGCGTTGTTTTTTTATACTTTGGCATATACCTTATCTTCAATTTACTGCATCTTGAAATGAATTTCGAATTGACATTCTCCACTAAAGGAGAAATGCTCACGGCATGTTCATCGTGAGCGCATAATTCGTAAGATCCAACCCATCCCATCCCTTTTGACACCGTCGTCCTTGATTTCCCCACTTAATCGCTAGCACGGTACTTGGCCCGATACTCATCCAACCTCTTCAGATCCTCCTCCCCGCCCAAACTCCTCAAATACTCCACCACATCATCCATGGTAAGAATAGCCAGCACAGGAATGCCATACTGTTTCCTAACCTCCCCAATCGCACTAGGACCAGGCTTCCCATCATCATCACTAGCAGTAGGCATCTTCTCCCTGCGATCAAACGCCACGATAATCCCCACCAGCTCGCCCCCCTCCTGCTTGATAATCTCAATAGCCTCGCGAATCGCAGTGCCCGCTGTAATCACATCGTCGACGATAACAATCTTCCGCCCCTTGAGCGAAGCCCCGACGATGTTGCCCCCCTCCCCGTGCGTCTTGGCTTCCTTGCGGTTGAAGCTGTAGCTCTTCTGCCCGTACGCGGCCATGTCCAGCGATGCGAGCTTGTCCACTGTGGCGGCTGCTAGGGGGATCCCCTTGTAGGCTGGCCCGAAGAGGATGTCCCATTGGAAGCTGGCGTCTGAGGATCCGTGCGTGGCTAGTGTGTGCGCGTAGGCGGAGGATATGGAGCGCAGAAGGTCGGCGCGGTGGAAGAGCCCCGCGTTGAAGAAGTAGGGCGATACACGCTTGGATTTTAGAGTGAAGGTGCCGAATTTTAGAGCGCCTGCTGATACGCAGTCGCCTAGGAAGGCCTTTTTGTAGTCTGGGAGAGCCATTTTGGTCCTTTTACTCTGATTGTTTAGTAGGTTGATTGATGTTTTGGAGTGGTGATTTGATGTCTTGACTTTACCGATGATGTAGGGGAGCATTTTTGTGGGATAGAGGCGGGTCTGTGCGTCCTAGTGACGATTCCTCTCGTGCCGAACTTTTCGAATCGCGCAGAAGTTCCACGTTCAATTCGCCCTGTCCAAGCCGCTGTCGCCTGCGCCTCTCGAGTCTGTGGAGCCCGGGTATTTCTTTTGCACGCCAATCCTCTGCTGGCATTATCGGTGTTGAGGGACGACGACGACGACATCCATAAATTCTTGGTTGAAAGACTGCCAGGCGCATCTCTCTCCGTCTCACCGTCCGTGGCTACACAACCCACCACTACCACTACCACCACCGTCAATATGAGCATGTACGGCTGCCTCTGCCTCTCTCTCCGCCCACGTCACTCCCCTCTGGGACAGCACTAACACGCCCACCAGCTGGGACACGCTCACGGGCCGCAAGTCGACGCCCCCACCAGCCTCGCAGTCCCCGCAGGCGACCGAGTTCGCGCCGCAAGATAGCTTCACCGCGCAGCCCTTCGACCCCAGCACCGCCATCCAGACACCCGCCGAGTTCATCTACGACCCGCAACAACTGCACCCGCTCGCCGGCCTCAACCAAGACACGCTCGACTACCTGTCCCTCGAAGACGCCGGCCCGGGCCTACCAGGCGCCCAGTCCGCCCTCCCCTCCCGCGGCTGGTCAGACGACCTGTGCTACGGCACCGGCGTGTCGTACCTCTCCGCCCTGACCATCGGCGGCGCATGGGGCCTCGCAGAGGGCCTGCAGAAGAACCCGCCCACCATGGCCCCGCGGCTGCGCATCAACGGCGTCCTGAATGCCGTGACGCGGCGGGGCCCGTTTCTGGGCAACAGCGCGGGTGTCGTGGCTATGGTGTATAATGGCGTCAACAGCACGATTGGGTTCTACCGCGGGAAGCACGATATGACGAATAGCGTGCTGGCGGGCGCTATTGCGGGTGCTATCTTCAAGAGCACGAGGGGGACTCGCCAGATGGCTATTAGCTCGGGGGTGTGTGCGGGTGTTGCGGGAGGGTGGGCGGTATGTTTGTCCCTGCTTTTACCCATGTGAGATGTGTGTGTGTGCTAACTAACACGCCAACAGATTACACGGAAGGTCTTCTTCGAGCCTGATTCAGCGTTGTAATCCCATATCATATTACTTATGCGAAAAAACTCCACCAAACCTAACAACGACGACGATGACGACGACGACGACCCACGCGAGACATCTTGCATCGACGAAACGCGTTCCTTTCTCACCACTCTCCACCACGGATAGGGGGACTACCTACACCCCCCTATTCCATTGTACAATATTTGGCTTTCCCCCCAGGACAGAAGAAGGAGATGGAGGGGGAAGCCTACACACCATGACGAAAGAAAGAAAGCTTAGAGCGGGGGGCGTTATGGACCATGGACTCCAGTGAGCGTTTGGCGCTGGTTGCATGTGTATATGCGGATGTTTGAATGCATGTGTATATGTGTGTATTGTGTAGATAAAGTGTGTAACTGTAACTAACCAACCTACGTACGGATGTGGAAGCGATGGAGCGATAATGAAATCAATAACTTTCATGCATTAACCAAGTTAGTTTTTGAAAAAACAGTGTCATGACTGCTGCTTTGCTTTACTTTGAGTTATCAAACCTACAAATTTCATACGCCAAAACAGAACAAAAATCGCTACACCCCCCCAAAACGGCAAGAACTGGTATCATAAAAGAAGCAGAAGACAAAGCTCACCGCCCACACCCCCAACGAAACAAACCCCTCCCCTCACCCACCACCCCCCCTCAAGAAGGAAGTTCCTGCGGCACCCCCCCCTTCCCCGCATACTTCGTCGAAGCAGGCAACTCATTCCGCTCCCTCCCCTCGCTCATCTCCGACGCCGGCAGCGGCTGCGGCACCGGCAGCGGCGCATCGTAATACCCGCCTTGCTGCTGCAGCGGCGGGGCAGTAGACCCCGTAGGTGAATACGCAGGCGCAGCAGTGTACACCGGCCCTGTAGCGGGCGGGGGCGCGTCTTTCTGGACGTAGGGCGCTTTCTTCGCTTTGCGGCGGCGCCACCATAGGAGGGCGAAGGCGAGGAGGGCGAGGGCTGCTATGCCGCCGATTACCGGGCCGGCGATCCAGGCTTTTGAACCTGAGGAGGTGGAGGATGAAGGTGTGGAGGCTGCTGTTTCGCTGCTGAGGGCTGCGTAGGTGGCTTGGGACTGCGTGGTGACGATGTTAGATGTGCTCTGGAGAGCGCAGTTGTTGTAGCCGAACTGCAGGGATGAGTCGAAGACGATGCCGATGCAGGATTTGTCGCTGGCGGCGCAGGCGTCCATGCAGGAGGTTATGTTTTGGGAGTGGATGTTTGTGATATTCGAGCCGGCGTTGGATTGTCCGCAATTGATGTCGAAGATCTTCTTATTAGGCGCTGTGTAGGATGTTTTCGTCGGGCAGGTCGTGTCGATGCGGTCGATTGATGTGATGGTAGCGGTGTGCATGACGCCGTAGTCAGCGGGGGGCGTGATGAGCTTCGCGGACGAGAAGTCCGTCTTGAGCCAGCAGTTTGCGAAGCCGATTTCCAGCCCTGGGTTCCACGACACGGCTTTGCACAGCGGGTGCTGATCCACGCAGATGCGCACGCATGCGTCCAGCGTCTCGGTGTGGAAGTAGTTCTTGTACGGCGAGACCCAGCATTCGTTGTAGCCGGAGAAGCAGGCGTCCTGGCCGTCGATGACTTTTCCGCAGTTGACCGTGTATGCGAGGCCGGGGATGCCGTCGAGCGTGTGCGTGGAGCCGTCGTCTGCGGGACAGTCTGTAGACCCGGGGTCCATTTCCCCCGCGACTACGAGGGCGGAGTAGTTGTCCTCTAGGGGGATGAGGCCCGCGGTGCTGACGGTGCTGTTGCGGATCCAACACTCGCTGGACTGCGCGACCCATACGATGCCGAAGCAGCCCTCGCTTTTGCCCCAGAAGCGCGAGCAGTGCTCCATGCAGTCCTGCATTGAAGGCGACGTGAAGAAGGGCACCGCATCTACAACCTGTCAGTCCAACTTTGCCAGCAGAAGGGGGAAAGAGACGCGAGCATACCGTTTTGAGGATTGTTCTGCCCGCAGTACGACGTAAAGTTCATGCCATTCGACGACGTATAAGTGTCTGGGCACTTATCCGCCTGTCTGACCTCCAAGTCGCGAGAGAGAATGGGTTCAGCAACCACTACAACGCGTCAGCAAGTCCGCATTTTCCCCATCCCTCAACACCACCTACCAGGCGTAACCGCAAACGCAGACTTCACCAACCCAAGACCCATCAGGCCTTTCAAAAGCAACACCATGGTTGATCTCCGTGTTACCGCTGGAAAAGAGTGGATATGGTACTACAGTCCCTTCAGACTCTGGGCGACAGAACGAAAGAGCGACAACCCGCCGGCAGGAAATCAACATGTATAATCAGGCCCCCCGTCTCACATCAATGTCTGCCTTGACCCCCAGTCCCGTTCCAACCCCCCCAATGCCGCTCATGCTCTGACCTGCTCAGCCCTGCTCAAACTCATATCGGCCCCCAAATACAGTGGAGCCTCTCCCCTGCACACGATCCCAACGCAGCAATTGAGTGGCCAAGCCGTCCCTCGCCAACCGATGCGATGCCGGCAGCAGATTCGACGGGCTAGGTATCTTCAACGGGCCAGGAAAATGCCTGTTGCGTGCATGCCATGGCAGTAGATTTCTTGCGTGAGGTCGGCGATGTTGGTTCGGGGGGCCAGAACATGGGACGTTGGGTGGACGTTTGGGTGGACGTTGGACTGGCTCTCGGCTACGCTTACTCCCTCCCGCAAGGCACCGCCAACCGTGACCTGATCTGACCGCTTTGCCAATCTCCACCCCAAACCCCCAATTACGCACTCATCAGCAAATCTTCATCTCCCAAGTCCCGTCGTCGAAAGATTTTTGCCAACCATGGCTGAAACCTAGATACCTTTTTCACCATGGCGACATTCCGCACTGCCCCAGGGCCATTTACTTACCCGCCCCTGCTACCTATTTTTACCGCACCCGCATGAGTCGCGGCTTACACCTCGCCGACTCACTAAACGGCGACGACGACATCTTACATGGCGTTGCATTGTGATCCCAGAAAGCAGGGCATCAGCACCAATGATCCAGACCACTCCGCACGTCATGTCGTAAGCCGTTGTGTATCTCCCCCAGCCGCTGGGCTGGGTATCTCCCCGCAACCAAGACGTCGGTCACTTCAGGAAAGCTTGACTCGACGTTTCACACCGCAAATCACCCGGTTGAGCAGTTTGTGGAGGCAGCGCACGGATGATAAACTTGTTGCTCAAAAGAGAATAGATGTCGCATTGCCCACGCTGGCAACGTGATCAGTGAGTTGGTATCTAATGCACCTGCAGCCTGAACGCCGACCATGAATTTTTCGCCCTTGACCTCAGAAAACGGTCGCTACCACCAAGCTAAGCACAGCCCGTCTATCTGTGGCTGGTCTTTCCAATACCACGCTTACCAGCAGTCTGTGCAGCATTGTTAGCGTTGTGTATAGACGTGAAAGGTCGACGAGTAAGCTTACCAAGTGCTTGATCAGGGAACCAGTCTGGTGCCTGTCACCTTCACCCTGCCTGGCGTTCCTGTTCATCTTCTTCTGGGACAACTTCGCAATCTTCTCCGCCTTTGTAGCAGCAGCCTCGCTAGGGACACCATCTGTTCTGCGGTTGGTGCTCTGGCTTCGGCCACGGCTCAGTGCTCGAGCGAGCTTGGCCTTGTTTGTGTCGTTGTCAACGTCCATGGCATCGCCATCAGTAGCCTCTGATTTGGCGCGAGCCAATGTGCGTCCTCTGCTTTGGCTTCGCGCGCGAGAGGCAATGTTCGATGCGTCGTAGCCCAGACTCTCAAGAGCAGATTCCATCTCCGACACCCTCTTCGCCTTGGCAGTTCGGGGAATGACAGCCCTGTTCTTGAGACTCTTGCGCATCTTGGCCTCGTTCCGGATGAGTTGCCTCTTCTCTCGGATAAGCTCCGCCTTGTACCTGATGTCGGCCTCCTCTGCATCTTCGAGCTCTTCCTCAGACTCGTAGAAACCCTCGGCTTCCAACTTCTCTTCCTCCTCCTCGAGAGCCGCAAGCTTGGCCTCAATTTCGGGGTCGATGAAGTCGTACACGTTTTGTCCCTTGAAGACCTCAGGAATACGGTCGTTTTTCCACTCGTCGTTCTCAAGCATGTAGTTCTTGCGCATGTCAAGGTTGTACACACCCGCGCCACCGTCAGCTTCTTCCAGATCACGCTCAAGAAGAGGCCTATCCGGGTCGTCCTTGTCGTACTTCTTCCTGTTCAGTACCGCCTCTGGGATGAATGTCTCCCTAGTAACACCGCCAAGAGGTTGAGCCACGTGGATACGGCGTAGGAGGTCTCCCAGACGACCAGAAGGATCGCCAGAGCTGTTGGTGCCAGCCTTGAGCTTCTCGGCGTTGCGAGACGCAATCAAACGGTCGCACACGGAGTTTCGCACTGCCATAACACCCTCCATAGTATTGCAGGAGAGCTCGAGAATCTCAACCTCGCCAGACTTCAGCATGCCCTGGAGCTGCTCCTGGGTTTCAGCGTCTAGCTGGTCCGGTCGCATGAGATCAATCTTGTTGATGACGATAGAAATCAGCTTGTTCGCGAACAAAGGCTTGATGTTGTTGAAAAGGGCGATTTGGGAGGCGACCGAGTAACCACACTGTTCACTCAGGTCCATGAAGTAGAGAATGTGGGCGCGAAGATGGGCAATGGCGCAGATAGACTGATGCTCGATGGTGTCTAGTAGATGTTAGAATCATTTCGCACAGCCTGAGGCAGACAGAAACGTCAGTGTTCCACGTACTCATGTCTTCCAAAGCGTGGTCCAAAATTCCGGGGGTGTCGACTGCCTGGAACCTAAGCATCTTGTAGTCGCTATCGTGCATGTTAGAAGCTATCCTGTCTGTAGGTTCGCGATTGAGACTCACAAATGTCCTACGTAGAGACTCTTGGTTGTGAACGCATACGGCTGCACTTCCACGTCCGCCCTCGAAATTGACTTCAAGAAAGACGATTTGCCGACGTTGGGGAAACCGGCGATAACGAGCGTGCGCGTGTTCGGATCAATCGAGGGCAGACGGCCCAGATGCTGTCTGACCTGCTCGAGGTAGACAAGCGGATCCTTGAGCCTTTTGCAGATGGTGGCCATGCGACCCAGCGCCGCCCTCTTCAGCTGCTTGCACTGGAACAGCGACTGCCCATACTTCAAAAGACGGACATAGTCGCGGGCGACCGTCTCGATCAGCGATTTCGCAGTAGAGAGCTGGCCCAGGGCAATGCGAAAGTGGTCCGCATCGTACAGCGTGTTGAGCAGATCGCGGTGGAACGGGTGGATATCGACGAGGCGAGGAAAGGCCTCGATTGTGCCCGAGAGACGCTCGGTGAAGGTTTCGGCTGTGTACTTGACTTTGCGCGTGTAGAAGGCTCGGATTCGACTAATCTTGAAACCTGCGCGGATCTGGGTTGGTAAGCGTTTATTCGATCAATCTTCGAGACCTGTTCTGACCTGGGTTGGGAGCCGTCTTTGTGTGCGCGATAGGACGATGTCCAGGAACTCCTGGTTCGTAGGCACCACGGGGATGTCCTTCCATTGAGTCTTCATTTTGGCGGGTGCGTGTTGGTATAATTGTGGTGTTCTGCAAAAGTTGCGCTATCGATTAGAAAAATCTTTGGCTGCCAAGATTTCGTCTGGCCCGTGCATCTAGCGTTTCTCCAGACCCTTGCCCCTCTCGGGTAATTGTAGAAGCCGGAAGTGAGCTGTAGCTCAATCTTGCAACATCTTGTTGACCACAGGCAGTGTTGGTGTAGAATGTGTATGCCTATATTACCATACATATTTGTTCGGCTCGATTTACATGTAACTTTCACTCCCCGTCTGTACAATCAACCTAAGACCTCCCTCTCACAAGGCTATCTCATAAACACCAAAGATAATTTCAAAATGGCAAATAAATATATTACTTCTGAACACTGCATGTCCAAGGCTCAAGTCAAAGACTACCAAAGACTCATCCCAAGACCTGGAAATGTGCATCTACAGGCGTCCCACCATTAATCGTGAGCACATCCTGCGGACACGCACTCATAACAACGATCACATCCCTCATCGCCTCCAACACCACATAGTCTCCCTTGCTTGTCACCGGCGCCTCAAAGCTCACACCTCTCTTCGCTCCACTGCCCTCCGCAACGGGAATATTCATGAACAAATTGAACGGATCGGGAACTCTTCCTCCGAGCTGCTGCGCCAATGTGCTCAATCCGGATTCTGAGGCGGAGACGGAAGCCAAAGCGTCCCAGCAGTTATCCGTACAGCTCTCGTGATATCCCTCGACCCCCAGCTCGCTGTACCGCCACCGATCACATGCCGCAATCAGTGTGTCATGCACGCCCGGACTGGTGTCCTCGAGCAACTTCAGCATGGGCGCGCGCTTCTGGCTGACTAACACGTCGCCGACGGCTGGTGTGATCTTCAGCAAAGATGCGCGGCAGTGGCACATGGACATATATTCAGGCGCACTGGCGGGGGTGTTGGCGACTGCGGAGTACTGAGATGGGGAAGTCGATGTTGCACTCGGGTATAGTGGGGCTTCGACCTTGGAGGATACGGTTATGGAGGTTGATGGAAGTGCAAAAGCCCATGTGTCGACGACTTGGTTACCGTGCGTGTTTATGATCTTGATCTTTTGGCCGTGGCGGACGAGGGTTGCGGCGCCGCGACAGGCGGGGATGGTTTGGAGGTCTGACATGTCTTGTATGGATAGGGGGTAGGAAAGGGAACTGCAAATATCAAGAGGATGCGAGAATGATGAAAGAAGAAAGATGTGGAAAGCAAGATGGGGTACAGATATGCCCCTCGTGATGCTGTGTGTGAGACATATGAGGGGAAGATAGGGCTGATTGGACCCGGTGCTTTCTCAAGCAGGTAATCTATAGCTATGGGAATGATAAGAGATACGCGTGGGTTCCCCTATCGTTAGTAAGAGTGGTTATTGTATCCGTGGACAAGCCAATGTTGGTGACGTTGGTCGGGTCTCGCCCAATACAAAGCCATGAGGACGAGTTCCAAAGACCACAGCGACATCGAAAGACGTCAAGATTATCGAGAAATGGCTACTAGACGATAGCAAGAGAATAGCATTCCCCAACTCGAGAGCAGCATACCGGTGCTTTCTGATGGGTGGAGTGGGAGACAGGCGTGTCGGGGAGACCAAGTCGACGACGTTTGGATCTCCACGAGTCACGTGTCGCGACTTCCTAACGGCCAGCTGGGCATTCCCGACGCCGCCCAAAATATCCCCACGGCAGCTCGACTCCTATCCCACTCACCGACCCATTCCTACCGATCTCCACCATGTCTCTCGCGACCAAGACCCAGTCGCAGAACATCTTTACGAAACTAAAGGCAAAGCCCGCGAACAAAGTACGTTGCATCCACGGCGAGGGGCGGTCAATGATGGCTAACTAGGAGGTGTAGATATGTTTCGATTGCGGCGCAAAGAACCCAACATGGAGCTCCGTGCCTTTTGGTATCTACCTGTGTCTTGATTGCTCGTCGAACCACCGCAACATGGGCGTGCACATCTCATTCGTGCGATCAACGAACCTCGACCGTACGTTTACCCCCCGAGTCGCCGCCTTGGTGTAGACGAGGAAGGACTTGGAGCTGATGGAGGACAGTGTGGCAATGGGACCAACTGCGAATCATGAAGGTCGGCGGCAACGAGAGCGCAACCAAGTACTTCCAGTCACACGGCGGCTCTGCTGCGCTCGCGAGTAAAGACCACAAGGCCAAGTACACAAGCAATGCGGCTACCAAGTACAAGGAGGAGTTGACTAGGCGCTGCACCGCCGACGCCAGACTGTACGTGCCAAGGCCTCCACACACATAGCACACACTGACGTAGGGGTTGTCTAGCTACCCCGAGGAGGTCGTCATAACAGACGTGCCCGACGTGCCTGGAAGCGACACCAACACCCCCGCCGGCGAAGACGACGACTTCTTCTCCTCCTGGGACAAGCCCGCCGTCAAGCGACCCTCGAACCCGCCCTCACGCGCCGGCACACCACGCGTTGGCTCGCCGTTCCTCAAGCCAGGCGCCAACGGCAATGCCACAGACCGCCCAAAGTCACCGCTCGTCGGAGCCTCCGACGCCACCACGCCAGCCGCGATCCCCGCCGCGAAGCCCACAGTACGAAAGACAGCCGCAGGCGGTGCGCCGAAGAAGAATATTCTGGGTGCAAAGAAAAAGGGTCTTGGCGCAAAGAAAGTCGTTGCTGCTGACGGCGGCCTCGACTTCGAAGAAGCAGAACGCAAAGCCCGCGAGGAGGCAGAGCGAATTGAGAAGCTAGGATACGACGAAGCCGCCGAAGCCGCCGCGACCTCGAAAGCCAAAGCCCCTGAAGCATCCGCCGTAGTGGCACCCACACCCGTTGCGCCGCCTCGTGGAGGGTTTGGAACGACCGCCAAGCCCGAGCAGGATGTGGAGAGACTAGGCATGGGCGTACAGCGTCTTGGATTCGGCCAAGTGGGCGCTGCCGCAAAGAAGCCCGCTGCGCAACAGAAGAAGATGGGCGGCTTTGGGAGTGTTGGCAAGCCCGCCCAGGACGACGGCGAAAAGTACGCGCGCGACAAGTTTGGCACGCAGAAGGGTATCTCGAGCGATGAGTTCTTCGGGCGCAACGCATTTGATCCTTCGGCTACGGCGCAGGCAAAGGAGCGGTTATCAGGTGCGTTTCCACCATTCTGGAGCTGTAACTTTTTCTTTCTACGATAATCAACTAACACGCATCACAGGCTTCGAAGGCGCAACGTCCATCTCGTCGAACGCGTACTTTGGCCGCCCTGAAGAAGATAACCAGGAAGACGACTACGGCGACCTCGAAGGCGCTGCTAAAGATTTTGTCCGCAAGTTCGGCATCACGGCTGGAGACGATCTGGAGAATCTGTCGGCTATGCTGGGCGAGGGCGCGACGAGGCTACAAGGCGCTATACGGAACTACATGCAACAGTAGAATGGAACACGAGGTAGTGAGAAGCTGCGAGCCGTTTCGAAGTGAGCAAGACGTGACTTAATAGCAGACGGCGCGGTGTCTGGAGCGAGAAGATAGAAGTGTGGGTAGGGGGGACTTTGCCTTGTTTTCGTACTTATGGACTCATGAAGCATTTGGCATGATCTGGTCTGGCATGATTTGGTTGGACACCACGAGGGGGGGAGGGTTTTATCCGGATAGACAAAGCAACGACAACCTGAATGAACTGTTTTACAACCCGCAAAAAAACACCATGAACCGCAATACATCAAGCCAATCCAATTATATTGAAAAGCTCGAGTGGAAAAACTAACTAACTAACTAACCATCTTTCCATCTACAAAGACCAAAGTGGGAGTGTTTGGCCCGCGCCGTTGAGGGCACAAGCCGGGTATCTCAGAAAGTCATGCCATGCCATGCTATGCTATGCCATACCATGTAATGTAATCTCCCGTCGTGAATTACGAACGGGGGTCGGGTCGTCAGGTTGAATCGACGACGCCTTTTTTTCCAGAAAAAAACGCTATCTGAGACAGTTGTTGCCCAAGGTCTCATGCACATATGTATATGCGTGTATGAATAGGTAGCCCACCAACACCGAACTGAACTGAACAGAACAATACGAAGAACGATGAGGAAATCGAGTTGAGAAAAGAAAGGGTAATGCGCTTGTTGAAGTGCATAATAACGCCGAGGAGTGCGAGTGAGGAGAGGAGACGAGAAAAAAGAGAATCGTCAGGTCTTGTCATGTTGAAAGAGATAAGATCGTGAGTTGGCGTCTGGTAGGGGTAAGGGTCAGGTTAGGGCTAGGCGGATAGGGTGGTGTTCTTCACGCCGTTGATGGCTTCCCCGGTGCCGACTTTGGCGGCGTCAACAAGCTCTGGCTTGTTCTTCTCTTCACCGCTCGCCTCGGAGGTCACGCCGTTGGTGCCGTTCGTCTTGCCTGAGTCGCCGTTCGTTGCCTCGTGACCATTGGTAGGCACGTCGACGCTGGGATTGTACAACGCCTTCTCCATATTCGCGACCTTTAGGCCGTCGAAGAGGTGGAAAATTCCGCCGTTGACGTGGAAGTCGTTGTGTACTAGATCGCGTTAGCCAGAGATACATCTTCGAGACACAAACCACTCGCCGATATTAAGGAGGTACCAAGTATCCATCAACTCCTGAATAACGTATCGTGCTGGACTGACGCTGGCATGGCAGTTCGCCCACTGGTCACCTAGCCTGTAGAACTCGTCTTTCCATGCAAGGAAACTGACAGTCTCTACAATCGTCGGTTGAACGATCTCCTTGCCAGGGAAGACACCCCATGTCACGGCGTTTGGACCTTCGCCTGGAGCGTTCGTCTTCAAATCGCCCTCCTTGTTCACGGCGTAGTAGGTAAAGTCAGCGTCACGCTCGATACGGGTGATGACCTCAGCGATATATTCAGGTGAGACAAGAACCTCGAGATACGCCTTTTGGTACACGTAACCGTTGTTCGGACCCCAGCCAAAGACCGGATCAGATGACTTGGCGCCGTTGACGGCGGGCTGCGAGTTGATAGTGAGGAAACCGCGTTGATTAAGATCCATCAGGTCTTTCTGAATAGATCCAGCTTCGTTGGTGATAGCTTGCTCACTCCAAGGCAGAGATTCTACCTTTCCTTCCATGTAGCGCACGAAAAGGTTGGAAACGTCTTGGATGGATGTTGGCGTACCCCAGAGTTTGATGTTTTGCTCGTTAGTGCCCTTCAGGCCGACGCCGTATGAGTCCAGCTCGCCGAAGGCGGGAGAGCGAGAGTCTCCCCAACGACCGTTGGGAAACTCGTCCCAGTCTTGTGTGCGCGCAATGTAAGATCGGTTGCGGTTACGCCAGAATATAGGTCGGACGTTCTCGTCTCGGCGGTTGAGGCCCAGGGATGGGCGCCAGGGGAGAGGCTTCTCCAGAGGCGACGTGTTGCCGGGCAGAAGCTCTAATTCTTCGAGGATCATGCGTGTAGTTTGTGCGAGGTTCATGGTGTAGCTACAAGGGTTAGTGGAACGACAGTGGTAATATGGGGAGTGTGTCTTACAAGTGCAAATGCATGATACCCGCATCGATCAGCTTCCGGCACAATTCTGCTATCAGGTCTCTCCCCACCTCACGAACTGCCACGTCGTCGTTCTTGATGGGCTCCAGAGCCTCGGTCCAATGAGGCGGGATGTTGCATTTCGTCCAGGTCGCCCTCCTCATGAAAGCTGCATGGGTGTGGATAGGCATGATGCCAGGAATGATGGGAATGTCAATGCCCTTTGCACGAACCTTCTCCACCCATCTGAGGAAGATGTCAACGTCGTAAAACATCTGGGTCACAATGAATGTGGCACCCGCATCCACCTTCTCCTTCAGATGATCGATGAGTTCGTCGACATCAGTGTTGTCATCACATCCCTCCGAGTATGCCGCGACACCAATGTCAAAGTGGTTGCCGTATTTCTCCCTGATATATTCGACCAGATCCTTCGCGTAGCGGAAGCCACCGGCAGTAGCCTCCCACTTCTCTCGTTCCCGGGGAGGGTCTCCCCTCAGCGCGAGGATATTTGTGCAGCCAGCTTGGTAGGCGTCGCGGAGGGCTTCGTCGAGCTTTGATCTCTCCATGTCGGTGCATGTCAGATGCATGCACGTCTCGAGACCGTAGACCGACTGGGCGACCTTGACCATCTCGCATGTGAGCTTGGAGTGACGACCACCTGCACCCCAAGTGATGTCGATGAACTGGGGACCGAAGCCATGCATGCGGTCCATGCGATCGTAGAGGTTTTGCACGCCCTGGTGAGTGTCAATGCGGTGTTTGTACAGGACATCAAGGTGCAGCATACCTGCGCCGTCTTTGGAGGGAAAAACTCAAAGGAAAAGGTCGGCTTCCCCTCTGCCCTTGCCAGGGCAAGTTTCTGAGAGATGTGCATGGCGACGAATTGTGTGGTGAAAGATAAAGAAAGACAGGCCGTGTTTTAATTGACCTGCAACATGTTAGTCTAAAAGTGATTCGAGGTTGTGATACCCCACGAATAATTGACCGAACGACTTACAAGGGTCTCTGGTCTATGCGCACCCCGCGAAATATAAGTATGTTTTATGAACTCACTCCTTGAGTTATCCGAAGTAGCGTTTCCTTGCCCAGCGATCCGCGAGCTGACGATGCATGTACCACAGTCGTCGTTTTGTCTTTTTTCTGGGGCGAGAAGATGTGGAGGCTAGCTATGAGTGTATGATGGTGATCAGTTTTCTCTAGCGGCAAGCAAACGGGATTCGGGTTAGCGTGTGAATGTCGGAGGAACAATCGGAGGCCCTGCCAAGTGATCTATTGTGACCAGTAGACATCAATTGCACATGTGTTTACTACACGTGGGAATCTACTAGTGACAGCTGTCATTGCGTGTTGGAGGTCCTCTGTGAGTAAGGAGAGACATAATTGGGAGCGAGAGACATGGTATCTGCCCCGCAATATGTCATTCTCCCGCAATCCTCATGCAGCAACCCTGAAAACACCCAGCTTGAACATCAAGCATATCAAATTCTACTTGCACACTGACACCTAGACCTCCCATACATCACACACCATCCCGGCCGACATGCCTCCCCTCCCTCGACCCCGCCGCCTCGTAGGCGTCTCGCTGAAGATGTACTTCGACCTCCCCGGTACCCTCTCCTATATCCGCGGCGTCCTACAACTCGATGGCGAGGCCTGGAACGCCCGCATTGATCTCTTTGTCATCCCTGACTTCGTTTCCCTCACCGAATCTGCGCGCATCCTCGAGTCCTCGTCCGTCATGCTTGGCGCCCAAGACACCTTTTGGGAAGACAAGGGCGCGTATACAGGCGAAGTCAGCCCCCTAGTACTTCGACAAGCTGGTGCGAGGATCGTTGAGATTGGGCATGCAGAACGAAGAGCTACATTTGGCGAGACGGACGACTGGGTCGCCAAAAAAGCGGGTGCTGCAGCGAAGAATGGGCTGATTCCGCTGGTTTGTATTGGGGAGAGGACACATCACAATATTGCCTCGGCGGCGGTGGGTGCAGCAATCGAAGAGTGCAAACCGCAGGTTCTGTCGGTGCTGGCTGCTGTGCCTGACGATACCGAAGTCATACTGGCGTATGAGCCTGTGTGGGCGATTGGCGCAAAGGAGCCTGCAGACCCAGACCATGTTGTCAATGTCACGAAAGAGCTGAGGAAGCTGACTACTGGGAGGAAGGGCGTCACAAGAATTGTCTATGGAGGGAGCGCAGGACCTGGTACCTTTGCGAAGATTGCAGAGGGCGTGGATGGCTTGTTTCTGGGGCGGTTTGCGCATGATATTCACAACTTGCAGAAGGTCATCACAGAAGTTGGTGGCGCGAAGTAGGCTCGCTGTCTGGTTGCAAACCTACCTACACAGTTGATACCGCAAACTCTCTGCTCTCAGCTGTGTCATCTGGCTAAATGCTACTGGAAAGGCTAAGTGCGGTGTCAAAGATTGCAAGTCGAGGCTTAAAAGAGCTTGTAGATCTGTGTCAGACATGCTGCACCTGCTTCTGGTGTAGCAAAAAGATGACGGTATACACAGCATGCCAATCAAACCCATCGCGTTCGTTTGGCGCGCTTGTTGTGGGTTGTTCCTTCCTTCCTCTCCTGTCGTCATCACCTTTTCCAGTTCAGCCATATCAGATCTCGACATTTGTATCCACAACTCATCACGAGCACCTATGATTTCCTTCTATAATTTAACAGGTCAACTCTTACAACCGCGAGAAGTAGCCGTCTTTCCACGCCTTACTAATGCATCCGTATTATAACATGCGAAGTGGGAGGTCATAAAGTTTGACCGACGAGTCGGGTTACAGTATCGTATAGCTGCCCCAACGATCGCTCCTTCCGCGCAAACACCACTCATTCTCTTCGACAAGCCTCGTAGTCTGCCGGCTGTACACCTCAACCATCTCACTCGTGCCAACTACTGCCTGTCGTACACATCCAGTGACTCGAGAAGTAAGGCTCGGAGACGTCTGGAAAGGAGAGCTGGAACAGAACAATACGAGGCGACGAAAGGTCGTGGCTACAAGTCGAAAGCAGGAAGGTTCGCCATGTTGCTTTCGATGAGGCGCTGTCTTGTAAACTGTACCTCTGTGAGCAATATTCAGCGACCGAACAGAATGCTCTCGTGCCGGCATGAACATACAGATTTTCCTTTCCTCGTCGCTAAAAGTCCCTCGTATTTTCGGATTTCGACATTGATCTCCACTGCTTTTACCTAACTTCCATTCTCGAGCAGTCTTGATCAACTCTTCACCGGTCGTGGGACGCAGCTGAGCCGAGGAAGTCTATGGCGTCTGCAGCTTTCTCGAGAGACCAACGCGCGCTGCAGGTAGAGGTGTTTCTTTTTAAGCGGTGAATGACTCAACAAGGTCTTCGCTTGAAGAACAAGCTCGTGTCTTGTTGAAACCTTGCTCAGGTCACAGTCAAGGGCTCACAAAATTTGAGCTTCCTCATACGTGCGCGAATCACCGCATGGTTATACAATAAGATCGCTCAGATCTCTTTGATACGTAACGCATAGAAATGTTTGCATCGTCAGGCGTGTTTCTCGGCATTCACATCGGCTTCGAGTCGGCATTACTCACTGGTGTCAGCATTCGTATCCATGGTAGGTGTGCTTATACCCGAGGACATGGTTCATAGTTGAGTTGGAGCCCAAGGCAGCTCTACGCTGGATGTACCTTTGATTCCGTGTCGATAGCCTTGATGAAGCTATCTAAACTGGTGGTAAATCGACATATGGCAGCTCACATAGGCCATCGCTCCTCAATGCACCCGAGAGAAGATGAGTGTAACCAAAGGACGGTGGAGCTTCCTCTTACTCACGAGAAACCCCTACCAACAAACATTCGGCACGTTTCCCCTCACCTTATTCCCCCAGATGCAGGACACGAGCATCTCTATAACTTACCCGTTTGAGAAAGCGCCACAACCGCGGAAAGCTCCGCCATCCACCCCTCTTTCCGAGACCTCGTCGGACGAGCGCATGACAGCCGCGCTGCACTACAGCCTCTCAGTTACACCACGAATTCAACAGCGTATATTCCGTGCAGGAATCGCGGGGAAGAAGAGCTAGATTGAAAGGTTATGCACCATCTGCACCGTGACTGGTGGCGCGCACGCGCGTTTTGTCGATCTCTAGATGAACGTGACCTGTACTCGTTCGACTTCACCTTCGAGAGTCATTGAACGAAAGACTTCACAGCTTCTAAAAGACTACGGCGATTGGCATGTCACAGTACCCACACTATCGTATAGTACTGCGCACTTTCACCAAAACGCTCCTTCTGTGCATGGAAGGTAGAGATCAGGAATTGCGGTGTATCCAATATCTGGTTCTCGAGATGGATCCAGTATGCAAGCGTTTCGTCCGCGACTTTGTTCCAGGCCATCCATGACACGATGTCGGATACACCCTTGCGAATCCCGAGCTGTGGCGGATTTTAGCTCGTTTCCCCACAATGTTTACCCCAGTCGGTGACGGACCGATGATTGACTTCGTCCAAGGGTCCGTCTCTCCGCACGAATCCGCTTTGCCTCGTATAACCTCATCTCCACTTTCTCTCCGCAATACCGGTTTTAGTTCGATTAACGCTACGAACCAGATGGGATGGTAGGTTTGCTATGACCATCACAGCGTAATCAAATCGCCCACAATCCTTTGACCGCTAGGCTGAGACCTCTCGCTTCAGTAAGGGGTTTGGGCTTGCAGAACGACACCTTGCATTATTGTGGTGTATGCAGCACTCGCTTGACTCGATCTCTTCGGCCCAATACCAATACAGGGCTTGAATGAGCTTGGCTGATGCTGTGAATACATGAGTTCCCTAGCCGACCCGAGTTCTATCAAGCGGGAAAGCCATGTCCGTACCACCAGCCTAAGGCCGTAACATGTCACGGTCGAGTTCTAATCGAGGGATCTAAACAAACCTGCCTCTGCCAACGCTAGGCACGTACAGCATCTTGAGCGGAGCCGCAGCGATTGGTCCTCAAAATTTATCATAGCTGGGGTGTCTCTTTGCGCGTCCTTGATATTAGTCGCTAGCTTTCGTCCGGTGGCTATGCCTCTCTCAAGCCGAATCCATGCTGCAAGGTTCAGTGCACATTAAAACTACCCCTACATCCGGTAGCCCCCTGCGTTTCCAGCATATAACCTCTCCTGTCCTCTGGCACTTATTCCCACCATGTCCCATCATCACGAGACAACAACGACGACGACTACTACTACTGGCAGCGCTGGAACTGGAGTTTTCGACAATCACGGTGCTGGTTTACCTGCTGATTACCCAAGCCACAACGCATATCTCGCTGCCGCAACAACAGGCAAGGACGCTGATACTATCTCTACTGGATCAACTGCTAGGAACTTTTCAACCGCTAGAATGGCTGACGGCACCAATGTCCTGGAGAAGGATTTCAGCAGGCAGGAAAGTGAGTAAAGAGTGATGCTGTTTGTCTGCCGCTCATGGCTGATCGCTTCCAGGACTAAGCAATGGATACTCCAATCAACATCTCGAAGGTGCCATCGACTCGGACACTGCATTGCGTCAGATTCGAACAGCAGGCAGCGTCTCTATCTCTCCTGAACTCTTCGAGAAGCTTTACCTACAACCCCAGAATCAAGTCAAAGGAGAGTTACGAAAGACTTTCGGCAATCCCACTCCTATGTATGCTCACCGATTCACGCTATAGATTGAGTCTCTGACATGACTAGTGCTTTGATCGGTTTCCTGCTGTCGCTCATGCCATTGAGTATGCAACTTATGGGATGGCGAGGTGCTGTCGGTGGCGGAGCAGCCACCATCGGGTGGTATTACTTTGCTGGTGGAGTATTGATGCTAATGGGTGGCATTGGTGAAGTATGTCTACCCCATACTATGCGTCCCGTTCTACGTTCGGCATGGCTAACTGTCATCAGTGGATTCTCGGCAACACATTCCCCTTCGTTGTCTTCAGTTCCTTTGGCGCCTTCTGGCTTGGATTTGCTGCCACACTTCAGCCCATTTACAATGCTTATGGCGCGTTCGCCAACACAACAACTTCCCCTGCAAGCACAGGACTTCAGTCAGTCGGGTTCAACGTTGGCATCGGTAAATACCCCAACTCGAAATGAAACTTGGAACATGCATCACTAACTGTCATGCTAGGCTTCTTCCTCATCACTATGGGCGTTTTGTGCTTCATCTATCTCATCTGCTCTATCCGCACGAACCTCGTCTTCTTCATGATCTTCTTCTGCCTAGTCTGCAATTTCGGGATCCTCACAGGGGCGTATTTTGAAGGTGCCAAGGGGAATTTGAGACTTTCTGGAAAGTTGACAGAGGCTGCTGGCGCGTTCCAGTTTATCACCTGCCTGTTTGGCTGGTACATTTTCTTTGCCATCATGCTGGTTAGCGTGGACTTCCCGCTTAACATTCCTAGTAAGTCGTCACTCCAGATTCACGCTCTACATCTTGCTAATGGTTTACAGTCGTCGATTTGTCGACCATGGTCAAGGGCGCGAGCGAGAAGAAGAAGATCAACCACGTCGAGTAGGATACCACTGCTTCATCATAGGCAACTATATATATACCACAGGTATGGCGGACAGGCTGGCTACATTCTGCCTTCGAAGATGTACAAGAGCAGGATCTCCAGTTTAATTTGTCGCGTTGTCGCGTCCAAGTAGTCTTGGAAGTGTACATACACGTCTAATCAACTTATCACATTAATGCTTGACTTTGTACGTGTTCATTTTGAACTGAACTTTGACTTCACGTTTGATCAAAATGGAAGTCGATACCGTTCATGGTTGTCTTTGCGTTCAACGTTACGCAAGGAAAAAGAAGATGTTCTGGCATGAGTCAAATCTGAAATCGATGAAATGCACGGGTCCCACGAGTTCCTAGATAGAACAGCCGCGAAGATAAGATGCTTAGTTCCTGCGATTTCATGTTCGTAGCTTTTCTTCTTCATATAGATCTTGCTGGAGCCATACAATAAGACTCCAATGGATATACACGTATCCGCACACCCTCCCAAAAGACTCCTTGCTTACATCCGAATCATCCCTTGCGAGCTATGGATTGCCGTCTCAAAGGCAGAAGAAGCAAGTACGGCGATCATATGATGTGCAAGGTTCAAAACAGGGGACACCCTGATCCCTGCGCGCTGGTTCGGGCAAAAGCAAGCTGCATCCGCGGGGCCGAGGGCGTGGTGAACTCTAAAGGCTAGCTGGGCTTTGGGGCTGGCGATCGTTTTTCTCAGGTTGCCCGACTCATTCCCTTGCAAAGTCTTGCGGCACATGGTTGCTGGGAATGCAGATTTCAATCCGCTCTTCCCGTAGACACTGAGACATCACGTAGCCGATGGTCAACATCAATTCCGAATCGCCCTGCTCCGTTTTCATCACTCCACCCCATCCTGTATCTCGCGCCCTCAAACAACGCATTAAACTCCTTGTCTTTCATGTGTTGTGCCTCAGCTGGCAAATCTGCCATCATCTTTGATCCAGCCACCAGACTTGCTTGTGCAGCAATGCTGCATGGATTTTTTGGTAGGACTTGGGACATCTTCAGCGTGAAAAGCGAAATCAGCGCGCATACTGTCATGCCAATGAGTAATCCTTGGAGGATGCGCGTCGAAATGAGACTCTGCTTGAGGCGAAACGTCAAGGAATCTGTCGCTGTAGCGAGGATGGTGGCGTTCTCCGTTGTCAGATTGGTGTATCGGCCTTGGTTGGTAAGGACTTGGGCGACTGCTAAGCCATACGCATGTTGGATTCGCGCATACAGGTCATCCCAGTTCTCGCGGCGAAGAGGCTCAGAGTCCAATACACCAGTCGTTTTGTTGCGAAGGAAAATGTCAAAGGTTTGATCAATATTGCTGGACGCCGCCGTCTTGAAATTGAAAATGACGTTGCCAATGTCCAGCTGTGTGTCCATTGTATCAGATATGTTCCTCGTCGTACTCTCGTCAATGACCAGAGATTGGACTCTCCCCTCTGGTATTGACAATTGAACAGAAGCTTTCGACTCTTGTATCGAGCTCCAACACAAGAGGACGTTGAGATCGATGACCTTTTTCCCCAACCACTTACCGTACATGCCCCATGAACTAGGGCAGTATCGTGGAGATAGGAAACTAAAATTGGTCCATTCGGCAAAAGGGCCATCTTCGAGCCCGAGGATTTGTACTTCTCCCTGGGAATCTGAAACGAGATTCTCACATTCTGATGAATCTGGCATCGGCCAAAGAGCCCTGACTCCGCTCACCGTCCCATTTAGCGAATGCGTATAGTTGAGGGTAATATCCTTTGACGAAACGAGTTGGCACGTCAGAAAGCCGTTTTGCACTGGAATTTCCAAGTCGACAGCTGACGCAGCACTCAAATTTCGTGTCACAGTGGGGGATGGAGATAACTTAGGTACCACATGTTGCCCATACGTCCACATTGGACTGCTCGTCTTCTCGTAAATGGTCAGTCGTGCCGCAAGAGCAGTCGAGTAGCTAATACCGGATCTATTGGATAAAACTGATGTCATACTCGTCGGATCATAGAACTGATCTAGCCGGGTAAGATTAACAGGTGTATCGTGTGATATCGGTATCGTGGTGTATAGACCGGATGCAGCAACTGTAAGGAAGGAAGCCATCATCACACCCAACGCTGAGACACCCACGGCAGTACGCCCAGTCATCAGAGCGGTCCAGAAGGCGTCTGTTTTCCAGCTGTAAATAGTTTTGTTGAGAATACTTGGCTTTGCTTTCGCGAAACCTTTCTTGAGCTGCACATAGGGATCAGAGATCCGAAGGTTGAAGTCGAAGCCAGAAAACAGCAGCTTCGTAAGAACCATGACCAAAGCTGGGACATATGTAAATCCCATTTGAGTCTGTTTGTCTGGTGTGACGTTCAACAGACCATTACTGTGTTGGGACTGCTGGAACAGAATCTCGAGTGCAATGACAATGCTCACTGGTATTACCGGCAGAGCGAGTCGAGCATACCAAGACGTCATCATGGGCTGCCAGTACTTCTCTTTCTCTTCGATCAAATGTGAAGTGATAACCCCGTGGCCTTCGATAACAAAGCTCGGTGCCGGCTCATGATGATCTTCGGCAGCTGGTTCGAACCTCGCCGTATAATCTTGTTTGAGCAGATGCTTCAGATTTCGGACTCGCCAAGATCCCGTTGGCGACATGATATCAACAAACTCTTTGCTCTGAGAAATGATAGACGCTAGTCGAGCGATGGAGGCTGGATCCTGCGGTGTTTTGCCCTGAGGAGATTGCCAACCTAGATAGAAAGACACTAGAATCAAAGCACCGAGTACAGCCTCCATAAGCCGCAGTGGTGTTGTTCGTACGAACAGTCGTTGCTGGTCATAGTCCACTGTGCCGCTCATATCTGGCCGAGGGTCGGTGTCATTGGCAGCCAGGAAGTAGCGCTTAGCAAGCTGAGCAGCCGCGCCTCGAAAAACATCTTGTGCGCTCTTGATCATCAGGTCAGAATCCCACACATCCTTGATGTTTTCCGAACCTTGAGACTTCATCATGAGCATGAAGAAGTTACGAAACCTAACCTGTGTGTCCCATATCCCATATTTACTAGCCAGTTCAGGAAGCAAGATCCCGTAGTCAAACTGCTCAAGAGTGTTCCGTACGGCGTTGGAGATATCGGTAGCAGTAAGGCCTACCGGTGTCTGGAGAAGTGTACTATTGTCCACCGTTCGCAACGATCCCGACTCATCGAGGGTTACGGTGCTTTGTTGGAATTTGTACGATGGTTTACAAAATAACGTCGTGCTGTTCACAATCTTTGTTCCTTGGTTCTTGAAGAAACTGAAAACGACTAGCCGGTCACGATTGAGGTCTCCATTGTTTCCCTCACACGTTCCAGGTAAAGCATCTCCATACCAGACTCCATATTCCATGCCATTGTTGCTTATTAGAAAGGTTTGGTTGTCCTTCGGAAATGATGTGATCCGGCAGTTGTCATTCTTGGCGGCCATCGTAGCATATATATTGGTGCAGCTAGAATTAGAGGGACAATATACCTGAAGTTCGCTCTCCATCGTAGCCGGCTCACATGAGAGATCCGCCGTGAAAGATCTGGAACTCGAGGTAAGAGTATAGTTACCTACTACAAAAGGGTCAGATAGTCCACAACGAAACCATTGAACTTACCTTTGACGGTGTCCGAGGAATTGAAAGTTTCCACGGCGAAGATCGAATTTGTACCGGACGGGTAATCGACTTGTTTTAGTAAGGCACCAACAGATAACAAGCCCGCAATGTCGTCAACACTAGACGCATTGAGATTGGGGAACGAAAACTGTTCCTTCATCTTCATTGACAGAGTCATCGGTTCAGTAACAGTTTGGAGCAAGAACAAGCCGGTTGAGATAATGATCAGAACTTTGATGAGTACAGAGCCAGCAACTACGGCTAAGATAGACCAATGTCGATTCCTCACTGATGTTGTGAATACTGAAACTGGGTCTGGAGAAACGTAGTCGAGCAGGAGGTTTTTCGATGCTGGCCGTGGTTTTCCTGATAATTCTCTCCAGGGTTCCATTTGCCTTGTGCGATAGTCGACTTGAGTCCAGAATGCGGCAACAAGGGTGAATACTGCATGTAAAGAACTACCATTAGCCAGCATCGCGGGCGAGAAGAATCTTCGTACCTGCAGTAGGCCCATACGTCCAGAGATAATGAAGCTTGGTGTCGGTTGGACCAAATCCATGCTTGTCAGTAGACACTTTTGCAACAATTTCCATGCTCGCGATCAGAAGAAGGAACGTCAAGACGAAAGACGCCAGAACCCAGCGTCGGAGCATAAGAGGTGTCCATGTCTGGACTGGAATTTTGCTATGCTTCTCTTCGCCACCATCCGACTCGGAAGTCTTATTGGAAACCAATGGCTCCTTTACTGCCGATGGTGATAATCTGCCATGATATGCAGTATCGGTAGATGACAAGGTTTGAAAAACAGCAGCTTGGGGTCCTGATTCAGTCATGGTGTTGGCCATCAGGTCGGAATTATTCAGTCGACGAGAAATCTTTTTGAGAAGATAGCCATTGATAAGATGCAGTTGAATTCAAACTAAGAATAAGGCCAACCGTTTGTTGCGACATGATGTGAGTAGTTTCTGGGCCTTGCATGCCTTGAATGCTGTGCCGTCTGCTAAGCGCTGAGCCACGTCCCGACACAACGGATTTAGCGCCCAGACAATTTATGGCAGTAGAACCAGGGGTCTTATCTTGTCAGATTTCGATGTGCCACAAATAACAAGCCAGTAAGCGAGTAATGTTTGCTGCGTCCACTCTATGATGCATGATATGTAAGCGGATACAAGGCTTCAGCGTCTGTGTTGCCGCGAATTTTCCGGTAGCTCACATGTGACTTTCATTAAGCAGCATGCGTGCACATAATTGTTCGACACTCCGAGCAGTTTCGTTAACAAACCCGCCATCAGCTGCACCTGCTCTTGCAATCTGTACTCGAGTTGCCAGAAAAGGGCTGGCCGAGCATAACTGCGTCCAGGTATTCTCTCGTGGGATGTTTGGAACACGACAGCTCAGACTTTCTCTATGGTTGCTGCAAAGACACCCATGCTCAAAACAGGCTATGCTAGAACCAAAGCACAACCCTTGGTCATTGTACTCATGTTGAACAGTACTTGGTGTAGACTCACCCTCAAACCCTTACCCCACAATCACCCTTCCGGACCCGCCCAAATAGAAATGCTCCCCTGTTTCCAACACCTCAATACTATCGCCGACCTTCACCTCGCCAACCCCTAGCGGAGTAACCTGCATGCCCAAACATGCGTTCTTGCTCCCCTGATCAATAACTCTGTACTTCCGCATCGTAGTCCCTGGTTCATTTTTATCTGCGATTCCCGTTTTTGGATCCACGTTCGGGAGCTTGCAGCGCGTTGTGCGGCACGATATATGGCATTCTACTGAGCCAATCATCGCTTTCTTCCAGTCGTCTTCGTGGAAGGCGGGCGGGCCGGTGATGTAGATATTTGCGCGATAGCGCAGGGCGTTGAGCAAAGGTAATTTCAATAGCTCCTGAGGTAGCTTAGAGCTGATATCATGCACGGAGGCTAGATTCAGGATGTGAAGGGGATACTGAGCAGAATTAGTTTGCTAGGGTTGGGGGTCATTTGGGATGGGGATGGACTTACTGAATCTTGCATTCCAATGATTGTCTGAAACCCCACGTCCTCCGGCTTTGGTGCACATTTCTGCACTTCTCTGTACCTTTTTGTGTCGATTCTGAACAGAGCAATTGGGTTTGAAGTGCCGAGTGTGTACTTGAGCTTTGCGAGAACTTCTCGGTCAACCTCAGAGTTCATGTTCAGCGCTACAGGGGCATCTTTCCAGATGTTCATAACTTCATTTGTGTAACCTTTACTCATGATACGTTCTTGCGACGGATTGAAAGGTATCTTGAATTCGATCATGGGCTCTGACCTCCTTGCTAATCTGGCTGCCATGATCTTCGCGTAGTTTTTGAGTCCTCCCAAACTGAAATCGGAATCTGGAGAAAATGGGAAGCGGATTACGACACATCCCTCGCTCTTCACCCATTCTCTATCTTCCTTGTATCCAGGTGCTAATGGATCTGGAATCCAGACCTCTGCTTCGACCTTCGCGAGACGTGGAAATTTGCGCTGTGTTAAGAAATGCCATTCGCTTGTGACTTCTCCCTCTAAAGATGGCAGGCTCGTGACCTGCTGGGCGAGGGAAAATTGGCGATCGTACTTCAACCCTGTACGAACGATGTCACTTTTCTCCAGCTCGACAGGACCACAGGACTTCACAGGATAGATGAACAGCGCTTTTACGGTCCAAGGTTTCGCGGGTGTAGGATCGGCTCCTCGGGCATATTTCTTCGAGTACTGGTCCTCGAGATTGCTACGGCCCCGGAGTCCAAGTTTGCGACAGCCAGTGGGCGGAGGAAGAGGCTTGTCGCCCTGAGAAGAGACAATCCCGAAAAGGACAACGAGGGAAAGGAGGGGCACTAAGAGCGTGATGAGGATTGTGAGAGGCGTCAGATTGATTCCTGCGTCTGCCAATGTCTTCTGGGCAGAGGCGATGTAGTCGTCGAGGATATTAGAAGACATATCAGAGTCGGTACAACAAAGGTTCCAATGGTGCTCTAGCTCTTGTTCTTTATGTCTCCTCTGATGGACCCTCGATAGGACGGGCGACTAGGCTTTGTCGCCAATGTATGCCAAGAGAATGCAGAATTTCTCGATGTCGTTTATAAGAGTCGAATGGTGCACGAGATCGTCCAACACTGATGTCGGGCTGATATGAGTCGACTGATTGCAATGTGTTCAGTTGGAATAATTGCCATGGTCGAGGTAGGAGGGTGTGATTTACGAGTCATGGATCGGCGTTGCGTGCTCCCGTGACATGGCGCATCATAGCGACTTCGTGCTGAGCTATTTGCCAGCCTTTGACGCGTTTACAAACAGTGAAAAGGACGCGTCAAGTCGCGTCATGTCACATAACCAAGACGGCAGAACTCCGATTGCTTCCGCCTTATCCTATCTGACCGCATATTACTTGCACCATGGCTAGTGAAGATGTATCTGTACCATGCCCATCAGCGCGTATGCAGTTCACTTCCCCGCGCGTTCATTTCCAGTCCTGACGTCGTGCTAGATAGACTGCCCACGGTCTCTGCATCTCAAGCCCTTCAAACGCTACACACACGCGGCGCCCGCACCATATCGACAGGCATCTCGCAGCTCGATAAGCTCCTCGCCTCTCCCAGCTTGCCCGGCCATCCCGTCGCTGGTGGGTATACTCGAGGGAAAGTGACGGAGGTTTTTGGCCCATCAGGAGTCGGGAAGACGGCATTTGGGTAACTCGACCATGGCAATACTCCAGTGGGATTGAGGCTGAACAGAACGAAGAATACAGGCTGCAGTCAACGCGTTGCGAGAAGGACAACATGTTGTCTGGGTTGGTGGGTGCATTCCGTGAAGGGCTCGACTCAACGTACCGTGTATCATGAATATTCATGCTGACTGCTGGCAGATGCGGCCTGTCCACCGCTCGTCCCCTATCGATTTAGCCACGTGCTCTCTGCACTCAGCGACTCGCCATCTGAACTATCTCCAGATGAACTGCGCAACCACTTCCGCCATGTCGCCGCGACGACACTCGCACACCTTCTAGCCCTCTTCGTGCATCCGCCTGCTTCGTTTCCCCAACCGAAAACGAGTCTCATCGTTATCGACTCCCTCTCTACACTCATCGAAAATGCCTATCCCCGCAACATGGAGATCAAGAACAAGACCGACCAGTTGAAATGGGCAGCGGGTCGCAGGTTCGCAGTCATTAACGAGCTGATAAAGACATTTACCAAGTTTGCCGCGCTGCACGATATTGCGCTACTCATCACTTGCCCGACCATTTCTCGCATTCGAGGCGGGAACAGGTCGCTTTTAGTCCCTGCAATGTCCGGGATCGAGTGGGAGAATGGCATCTCCACCCGACTGGTTCTGTTCAGAGACTGGATACCACGACAAGGAAAGCCAAATAATACAAGAGATGCTGACAAACTAATCAATGTTCGGTTTGCAGGTCTCGTAAAGGCCAACGGTGTAGCTCTTACCGATGAGGGTGGCGTAGGCAGTGTAGTGCCGTTCACGATTGACAACGTAGGTCATCCAGAGTCTTTTGCGGTTCACAACACAACCGATAAATACGACTATCTTGTTTCATGACCAGCTGCTAAAATAAAACAGACTGGCCTCTGCGACATCAGCATAGCTGCAGATGACATCTCAGCTCCCCTCGCGCAGTCTAGACCCCCTAAGAGGTCTTTTGCAGAGATTGAAGAGAACGAAGACGAGACGCCCAAATCTGATGAGCTTTATGGTTGGGTGGAAGACGACGAAGTCGCCACTGAGGGACTTCTGATAGACGAAACACAAGATACCAACGACGTCGAAACTGTAGAGGCTCGACCGGAGCATACCACGGAAATCGCCTTGCGACAAAGTAGCAAAATGGCACGATTTACTACCATATAATCGCTCGAAGATCGGGGCAAGCTAAAATTCTCATTGCCTGAACGCGGGCGCGAACTTCCGTCGGAGAATCACTGCGCTGCAACGGTACGTTACTGAAGTCTGAGGTACATGGTCCTTCGTCACATAAGTCGCACATGTCGCAATCCCGGATAATATCAGCCTCAATCCCGCAGACTATTGCGCTGTTCACCGATGACAGACCTTGTCGCACCTCCCCGACAAAGAATCACGACCAGGTTCCCGTGCGGGGTGAATCAGATACCCTGGGATGATCAAATACACAGTACAGTCTCTACAGACTCCCAGCAAGTGGCCTGATATCAACAACCATGCTGGCACTCTGCAACTGTGTCTAATACATCTCTTATCGCAACTTCGCCTTCAGTGAATCGAATTTTACTGGCGGCAGACGCGGGATCAAGGCAAATATCTACTGTATGCCCTTTACCTTATCGCGTGCCGCATCTAGCGACCCCCTTCTCCTTACGTCTCGAGCGGAAAAGCAAGGGCCAAGGACAAATCTCCAACAAGCAACCCCACACGTGCACACGGCGCCCAGGAGTCTAGGATAAATTACTCCTCAGCTGTGGGGTGGGTTGCGGAGAACCGCTCCGCGTCCCAGATCCTCGGGTCAGCTGTCCGGTAATATCGACGTTGCTTTTTCCATATATGCCGGGGTAAGCGGGATTGGCTCTGCAGCCATCAAGTGTGGGGGCCATACGTAAGCCTTCAAATCGTGGCTGCATGTACTAGGTACATATGGACATCATAGGAGGAGATTCATCCACGAAAGTATCGATGGCTTCGCAAAAGAAACCACGGTAATATTAGTCTGTCCGCCACACCTGCCTTATGGACTTTAGCTCCTTTATTGCAGAGACGGGTTCGAAAAGAATAACACCAGCTGTTATCAAGGGACGGGACGGGATGGAGAATATGCGGATGTCACCTTCGCATTTACTAGCTTTGCTTGGATTATCACAATGCTTTGTGTCACCGAGTATGTACCCGCGTACCCCGTGTCACGAGATAGAAAAGTTCTCATTCGGAGACTCTCGGACCGAGATAGAAAGGAATAGGAGAATATGTAATGAGCCCAAAGGGGATGCATAACCACAACATCCAATATGAACAACTTTAACACGATAGTAACCGAATTCTTGCAATTGGATACAGTCAATCTTGGCGACGTGAAAAAGAATATCGCTCCCGCCCTTGTACAACGAGGTTGAGAAGTCGGGCAATAGAGTGAGCAAGAGAAAACACCTGAAAACAATAAAGATGATGCTCTCATGATATTTGATATAGGGGTGCATTTGCTGCAAAAATATCATGTCCATCAGGTTAGAACACTTCCAATCAGTTAACGTATTTTATGCTCTATGTCTGTCCGTGATCATAAGAGTTCGATCAGCGTAGAGCTTGCCTTGGGTTACCGTCTGGCTGAGTAGGTAAAAGATCAGCAACACGATACCACCTTCTAGATCTGCTCAACAATGTCCAATGCTTAATCGCCAAGAGAGAAATGATCGTTACAGCCAGGTATCATCTGTTGGTATTCTGCCCATGAGACTGTCAGACTCACAATCCTCTAACAAACTGCACAACCCGGGGCGAGTGCATCGGGGCATTTGAGCCTCATACGTGTGCCAGACCGTCGAACAGAACGTGGTGCGTTGTGAGTATCTTCCTTTGTGGTTCTTATACTCTCGTTTATGCTACCATCGTGAACATGCTAAAGGATTTTATCAAGTCGGTTTGCCATCTTCATCGTTCTTCGATGCCTCTTTTGCCATGTCGATGGTGGAGTGTTTGCCATCCAAACAATGAGCGACGTGGATTGTGAAAAAAAGAGCCTTATGGCAGGCCGTACCAGCAGAACGGAAGACACATGTGAATGCTTCTGCTGCAGGCTGAACACAATGTGAGAGATGCATGTGACGACATTATACACGATTTCTCTCGCTCTGCCCATTCGGGTCGCTGCTGTCGATTTCAGGCACGACGTTAGACGTCTGACGGCTGCGATAGAGCGAAGCGTACACAGACCATATCTTGACAGACAACACCATCAGAGCAAACGTGCATACATGCATACGTGTTGCCAACAATAATATAACATGGTTCCCAATCATATTTACATGATGGCATGATGGAGCATCATGCAAGACGTCAGCATCGACGTTAGATCACAGATCGTCCTCACCCTTACGCAGGGATTCGAACTGGCACATGCTGGGGTAAATATGTGGGGAAGACAGGGCTAGGAGTTTCAGAGCAAGATTTAGGGACGGTGGGATGGGTGTTGGGTTGGTGAGCTCTCCGTGGTTGGAATCCAGTTACGTACCTATGCATTGCTTCACATGCCCATTGGAACGCAGATACTCGGGAATACAGTGCAACAAGGGCAGATCTGTTGATTGGCTAGTAGCCGATTGCGGGTATAATCAGGGGGGCTTATCACCGTAATTCGACATCTCTGTGGGTCGCTCCCTTTGTAGGGACGCGAGACAGGCGCAAGACACGGGCGAAGATAAAAGTACAAACGCGGGAGGAGGGGGAGCATCGGCACAAAGTTGGATGCAAATGCATATCTACGTTGTAGATACCTATTGATGCACAATTCTCGCAGACCACCGATGCAAGTAATTTCCGAGATTGCCCGGCAGAGGGTACCTCGGAGTCGGAAGTCTCCAAGCCATGCGAAAATCGGACACCGATATCCCCCACCTTTTCTCTCCCGCGATAACGCCATAACGGACGAATCGCGAGTCTAGTTTCCCACACGTGCCCTTGCTACCCTCCAGCTCTCCACATTCGACTGCGCCACACATGGCGGCTCTGTCTCGGTGCAAATGCACGACCGTTGGCAGGTCTAGAACGTCGGTCAATTTCCCCAGGACGCATTACCTACTTTTGCCGTCAGTGGCGACTTGGCATATGTACATAACCCTTTGTACCGACATGTACCTCGGGGGATGCAGTGTCGTGACTGGGCGTGTGCCGGGCCAGACGAACCGGACCCTGAGCTGGGGATCTGCGTCTGGGGAAGACATGTGGGGGTTTTCACATGTTGTGCACAGGAGAATAAGAATGAGGACGAGAGCCTGCAGGTGGACTGATCAATGTACGAATACGAGAGCTAGGGGCATGATAGAAGATCTGTCTGCTGCTGCGCTAAGCGGGTACATATGTAGTCTCTGGCAATCGCGACGTTGTCTGGATGTGGAGGTGCGTCGAAGTTATCTGTAGCATGTGAGAATCTTATAGTTACACTGCTGGACACCCCTTCGTCGCAACGTGCGTATTACAGGCTGTTGATACGCTGAGCAGCCTGCAAGGAGATGATGTATAGCGATAAGGATGGATTGCACACATGCTGAGGATGTCGCTGGCGTTCGAGCGTGTGAGAAGCTAGTGTGCGCAGCGGGATGATAAGCCACAGACCTGCAGAGCTTGACTCGTGCCTCTGGATCTTGGTGGTGATTTACAATCCGCGGGCGGCTGCCGACCGAACGGTTGCTACAAGCAGATACTGCGAACATACTCAACACAGTTAATCGTGTGGTGGCATGATGGCGCATACTTACACATCGCAGTTTGAGTCAGCCCTCATCGTTCTGATGCAGGGACGACATACAACTCGAACCGTTGACCTGCGAGACACATGACACCAATCCTCCGTGATGTACCAGGAACCCGGTATGCGAGTGCGGCATGGCCTTGAATATTTTGAGACATCTGGTGATATCGTAACATGACGGACTGGTATCTGACCTTGCAAGACGCGTAACCCGTCCTGGATTTCGTCCTTCATTCATCAAACGTGGAACCCTGTCATCCTTCCTGGACGGAAAATTGGTACTGCCTCGCCCTTCCAGACCACCGAATACCTCTGCCATTCCATCCGCCATGTACAATCCACAGGCCATATCGACCATGTGACGCGGACCCCTCCATGGCGGAACGTTAGCCACATCCGGTACCCTATCCCATCCAATCCTGCACTCCAACTGGTGCGAAAAATCATCGGAATAACTTTCCACCCTAGATACGAGCCGCATCTCCACCCCCTCAGGCACAGATCCAGCCTCATCCGGGTGTGTTCATTTTTCCGGTCCTTAGTGTGGAGACAGGAGCTGTGGAGACCCCAGAATCGGATGTCAATGGAGCGGAAGGTTCACCAAAACGGAAAGATCTAGAAGCCCGCTAGCTCATGTATCGATGTCGAGTCAGCAGGGGGTATCTTGGTCACCATGTCTCTAATAGACTCGGACATTGAGATAAGCAGAGAAGCTGTTCTGTGGGATTATTTGAGAAAGGAGGTAGTTTTTGTGGATCGGAGACACGGGGTGGATGTTCCGAGGACGGGCTTTGTGGTGATAAAGTTTGCTTATCTTTTGCTTCAACGGGCTTAGGATTTGGCCGTAGGGAGGGAGAGAAGTGGAGATGGAGGAACGCGGTGCTCCCTCCTGTGAGCAGATTGGCGTTCGTTTGCGAGAATCCTGACTGTGACAATTTCCGTTTCAAAGAGCCCACCAATTTTGTGTACGAAGTCGGGCCATTGCTCACAAGAGCAAATAGCGACATGTGACGACGATGATGGTAATAATATCTCATGATAAGAGCATTCACGGAATGTTTCTCGGTCACTGTTAGGTGCGTTGAGCGACCACCGATTCTTTAAGCCGATGCGTTTTTCGCACTGGTGTCGATCGCCATGCGCCAGAGATAGAGATTGCGGAGAGCATACTGCGCTCCAATCTGGGGTGCATGCCCAGCTGTAACCGGAGTGCTAACCACCACCGGCACAGCACACTCACTAAATTCCAATTCTTTTTGTCGCGACATCCATGGCATCATCCTAGACCGAATGAAACGCCGTTCCAGTCCCCGGGGGTCGCCGAGCCCTCTCCATCCCCACATTCCCCTTCCTGTTCGAAATGCACACAGACGCAAACACAGATAAGCAAAAAACCCAATGAGATCACCACCAAGGATAACCACCAGGGATCGAATGCATACCTTCCACGTTTGGCAAGTTTTTGATTTTCCACAGCCGACGCTAGCGTATCATGACACCTTGTCTGGTTCCTATGACACCTTGTCTAGTCCCTGGGCAAGCTGGCGTGCTTGTGATGCGATATGAGCTTGCGGGGGGACACTCGGCTTATCGTATCAGCACTCGAGAAGGGTGCAACGCGACGAAAAAGTTTTGGATGTGTGGGGGAGAATGGGTCACACAAAGCCATCGCGACTAGACTGAGACATGGCATGGGTGGGAATCCTTCACCGCCATGCTTGCGACACTGCTCGGGCTGAGACAACCCGCACGCAAACCCGCGGGACGGAGGGCGGATAATTTGGTTGCTCTGAACGTTCTTGTGATGTGATGGGATGTGGTGATGCTCGCCTGGAAGTCTCGCCAATTCTATAGTGTACATGCGGGGGTATGAATTTATGCGGGGAAGTGAAGCAAAATCACTGGTAGAGTTTTGTGAAAGCTACCGTGTTCATAATAGTGCGGGACACTACTGTAAAATATGTACCCCTCCAAAGATGAATCGTGCTGCATCAACGGAATCTAAAATCACGTCACCGCAAAATAAAGTCAAAGGGTGGAGTGTGGAATGCTTGGGTTACAATTACGCGCTGGGCTGAGGAATTCTGTCTAAGTGAGGCCTGCCAATAAGCAGGCTTCCTCCAAGCGCCAGGCTTGATGCAAACAATGAATCGGAGTGGAGGTACAAGACTGCGAAATCGTCCAAGATTCGCGGGGTATTGAGCCGACAAAGAAAACTGTAAATGTCTATACAGGTGGGGTAGTGGACTAAGTCATCTAGAATGGAAAGGGCGAACAAAGTCGTCATGTGCCGTAGGCATCACCCGTCATGAATATTTCTATGACCCAAAGAAATGCAAACGCTCGCTAATCAAAATGCTTCTAAAACGCCGATCCATGCTGCGCCAAAGGAGTGCAGTTCACATGCGATGTACAAGATCATCGCCAGCTAACGAGGCGGTCGTGGAAGAATTTCCAGACGAGAAGCCACTTGTACTTGGGCCGTTGAGAAGATCTTGTACTGCAACCTTAGGGACTTGCGGAACTGGCAGTTTGCGCTGTGCTCCTTCAGACTTTGATATGATATCGCCAATTCTAAGGCCAGACGATTGACTCGGGACGTAGGGCTGTTCACGATCTGTCGAAGGCTCCATCGGAGTAAGCGCAGGCGCAAAGTTTTGATTTAAGCTCAGGTGTCGCAGATGTGGGAGTTGGAGATCGCTGAATCCATGTGGTCGTAGTCGAGGTGAGTGAGCGGGCGTTGCAAGAGGGGTGTGGTCCGGTGTAGGGCTTGCGGAGTCGTGAGAGAATGTGGGCGAAGGTGGGGCTGTCGACATTGGGGAACCGGGCCTTGACTTCTTTGTCATCCTGTGTGCATACGGATCGTCATCCTCGTGCGAGTGTGATCTTGACATTGGCTGCGACGAGTACGCGTACTGGGAGAGACCTGGCAGTCGGCTCTGGTAAGGGTGATATCCATGGCTTGTGAGATGGTGTCGGCTTGAATGTGAGTGGTGAATTGGGCGCTGTTCGATTCGGGAAGCAGCATCAGCGAGTAAGTCCATGTTTCGCGACAGACCGTTGGGACTATTGCTGTTGCTCAGACCGCCGTGATGATATGCTGAGAGATCGTTGCCGACATTGGGCGAGTAGGTTGAGAAGGAGTGGGGAGGGGAGACATTGGGCGAGCCAATGTTGGAGTTGGGCGCACTTCGAGAAATAGTCTTAGGTGGAGGCATCATGTGGTTAAGGCTAGAGGTAGGCTCGATGAGACCAGCTTGCACCGCCGCAACCGCCGCCTGGTGAGCAGCTGTATGTTGGCCTTTACCTCTCCTTGAGTTTGGGTTGTTGTGTATTCTCGAGTGCCTGGGGTAGTGATTAGCAGTGTAGGCAAGGTGGTGATACAAATAAGGCTTACCTGGTAAGTTCGTCCGAGCGAGAAAACCTCTTTGTGCATCCGGGGAAACTGCAGGCGTGGGGCTTTTCTCCAGTATGGGTGCGGATGTGACGAGTCTGGTGTTCAAGACGGTGGAAAGCCTTGTCACAAAGAGGGCACTTGTAGGGACGCGGAAGATCTTGGCGAGAGTCTTCCTGGCCCATCTGCTGCTGGCCGTTCTGGAGAAGTGGAGCCATAAGGCTCACAGTCGCGGTGGCCATGGAAGTCTGTATTGGTAAAGTTGAAGAGTGTTGTTGATGTGAAGAAGTGTCTGGGTTGAGGATGTTTCCGAGCATTGCATGTGATAGTGACCGGAGCGTGGGAAAGTTCGGGGAAAGCAGACGGGGCGTTGACAGATATAAAGGCGGGCTAGGCGAATGTGGGGGTCAAATTATGGCGCTGGAGGCTGCTGACGAGGTTACGAAGATCAGCCGGAACTCACAATCCTGGTCAGGTGCCTAGCGTACTTGGCAGGCCGGCGTCGAATCGTGCAGGGTGTCTCAGGCTAGTCGCAGATGATGAAAGAAGCTGTGGAGAAAGCGGACAAGGGGCTGTTGTGGGCGATGTGGCGTGCGCGGTGCGTCCGGAGTCGATTTTGCTGGCCGAGAACGTGATCGCTGGTACCTGGATAAAGGGTGGGCGGCACCTGTCTCCTTCGGTCGCTCGGTATTGTAGTGGAGCCCGCAAATTGTTGGAGAGCAGGACCAATTCTCAGATTGCAAAATTTGCAACTGAAAATCTCTGACTCCTGGTGGTAGCGTAGACAGCGGTGAACGTCGGCAAAGTGGCTGTTGGTGAGGCTGTGTGTGGAGTAGAAGTGTAGCAGAAGACAAGGGGGCCCGTTGCTTTTGTAGCCAGCGCAACGTGCGTGAGCAAATGAGGCAGACAGATGTGTGTGTATATGTGTGCGTGTCTGTGATTTGTGCGGTGGTGTGAGGTGGCAGTGCCTATTAAAAGTTGGGGAATGGGGAGAGATAAGAGTTTCGCTCTATGGAGACGTCATCCGGGGTAGTTTTGTTCGGACATCACGATCAAGGCGCCTGCTGTCACTGCTGAGCCGCTTCTTCTTCATGGTCGCTTTTGCGCCTGCCACTTTGGCGCGCTCAGCGTGCACAGTAAGACGGGGCAACTGTGTGTGACGGTGACTACACGGTAGTGATTCGTGGATACTCAATCACAACCATCTCATCTGCCCATAGGGCACTCTGGGGGTTTCGAGGCACAATTGGATAACAGTCGCCAGCCTCCACGCGACTGCCTCTGACGCTTGCCGCGCCAGCCATATGCTTTATGCAGCGTAGGTGTACCAAATGGCCATGATGGCGATGCACTGCAGCCACCAAACTCTCGCCCTAGAATGTTGTATAAGCTGTGGGGGTCGATCCTGGGGTAGGCATGCGTCGGAAAAAGCAACGTCGAGATATGCTCTTCACTTGCACCACAACATCAAAAGCAAGGCCATGGTGTCGCATCTCCTGCCTGGACACGGACTGCTTGTGCTGATGGTGAAGCAAGGTGCTACCGATACCCGCACCACGGCCCGCCTTTGACGCAAGTTCCCGCAAGAAATTGGAGTGAGGCTCGAGTCGGTATGATCGGAGTGGGAGAGCAAGTCTGGCGATGCTGCCCATGATTGCCCATCGCCTGTGCGGGCGCTTGCATGCAACAAGATGACTGGCCTGGACCACACCACCGTCTTCACTACTCAGATTGGCTCGCAGTGTGAAGCATACCTATCTCCAGCCTGCCCTTGCGGAACCCCAGGCGATGTTTGGCGAGGACACCCCTGTGGCTTGGCCATCACCTTCGATCGTGGGGGAGACACCGTGTCTAGTCATGGACGCCTGGACATGCTGGCCGCATGCCCCGAGGTATGACGTGCTCGCCTCCAGGACTCTTACCTACTTGCCTGCGGAGTAGACGTGTGCGAAAAACCACACCGTCGTACATCAGTTTCAGAAAGTATCGCGATATCTGGCATAACCTGGCCCGCTATTCTTATCACTTCTTCGAGAAATTTTCTGACAGCGCCGCTAGCCCCTCATCAGCCGGCCCCGCTGTTTAATCTGCCCGCTTTCTCCGAGCAATCGCCAGCGTTACAACGAGACGTCTCGGGTTTGCCGCTCGTGGTTGGCTCCGCTGCAGAAATACTACGTTAGTGGCGTTTGGACCTCTTGCAGTGTTCCAAATGCTTAGCCTGCAAGGTACGGTCTGCATCCATCTCTCCACCACGGACCCTCGTATCATGCCGATGTTCGCCCCGACCGCTTTGAGCCGGCCTCAGCTATGGCCATGAATTCGACTGACTCTCGTCTTTCATCAGGAGACAAACACGTTTGTCGCAATTACTCAACAATTGGAATCTAGGACCTACTCACTCCCCAGGCCATCTTTGCCGACACTTGTCCAATTTTCGACAGTCGCTGTGTCCACCGTGAGAAGGGTTCATAAGCTCGTTGCCCAACCTTTCTGACACAACAATTTCCTTGACGGCGTCAGCACTCCATAAGTTTGATCACGAAACACCAGTCGGACGAGGACGGGACCCATGTCTATTTGCAGTGCGGGGAAAGTTACGCGTTTGAGGACGATCTCGGTGTCTGGCGCAACGAATTACGATTGTCGCCCGCCAGCGTTTCTGGGGCCCCGCACCACAACCATCAGAAGGCCTTGACGGTCCGATTCGAGGCAAAGACGAACTGGGAACGTCTGGCGGCATGACATCAGAAACGAAGATAAGAAAGAATCCTCCACGCTGTTTTGACGAGACTTTCCTATTGATGTCATGTTGTTGAGGTTCATGGTCACGTCATGAAGGAATCAGAGTTGTGCTTGTTCAACAATTTGATGAAGAGGCGTCACCCCTATGCGTCTGTGTGATCTATAGCGCATAGTTAAGCGGAGACTCTGCACAAACAAGCCCACGCTCGCCGACCTCTCAAGGTGATTCCTACACAGATAGGTTCAATCCAAAAGGAGCTTGTGGCATTCATCATCTTTGGACAAAAGGAAGGTAGTATTCTCTTTATCCGAGTTCTACCCAATCACTCCCTTGTCATCCTATTCCTCTCCGTGCACCCGAGATGGTATGCTCTTGCGGATCGCAATCTGAAACTCTATTTTATGATCATCGCATTTTGCCTTTACCCGCTAACCGGCCCCATACCCCACACTTTTAGACTTCTAGAATTCGTCAGAGGCACTTTGCACAGAGGATGGATCAGCCACAACCGCAGTTCTGATCTGAGTTGCAGCGGAACCGATCCGGTGGCAAACGAAGAATGTAAGAATTGCGTGCCATATACGAATGATGTTTTGTTCCATGATACCGTTCGAGCTGAAAGCTAGTTCTATGGGGACGAATAGTCGTGGTTTCCAATAGTCCAGAGTCCAGAGTAATATTGGTGAGAAGATCTTCTCTTGACCCATGAGTAATGTCTCGAGCCAGATCTGCATCACTGTCTTATCCACGTTCCTTGGCAGTTCATTGTATTCTTCTTATCCTCGAATGAGTTCTTCTCTCTCGTAATCCTCCCGTCTATATCCAATCATCACCTTGTGCGAGCTTTCCCCGGACTGCATCTTGCCTGTTTGGAGAACTTGCTCGCCCTGCGCCGGCAAGATTCCTGGACTATCTTACAGAGGACGTTTGGTGAGTCACTCCACACATAGTGGGGTGGATACTATCTACTCATGAGCACCTGCCATGAAAAAAATCTTGAATCGGATACTGCATCAGTTTGAGTCCACACTGGTACCCATACCCCACAATCAACTGCACGCGATTGCATCTCACGATCTGTTCTTGTAGTTGCGGTCAGCACAGCGGGACACGTATACGCGCATGCAAATATGTTTGTCTGCATCAGTAAATGGAAATGCAAGTTCGTGCATCCGTACCAAGTTAAAAGTAGCAAAGGATTAATTCATGTGGGGTATCAAGTTCCGTCTTCTTCTCTATTCTCTCCAGTTCGCTCCCTGGTACCCTTGTCTTCCCTTCTTAGTATCTGAGCACACTCTGTTGGAATCGCTATAGCGTTTCTGCATCTACTCGCAGGCAGGTTCCAGGAGATCCAACGTAGCTACAAATTGCACGTCAGCACTTTGATCGAGATGTGTCGAGCATGTGGAACGACATACCAAGGTTCTCATCAGTATTGCATGTCTGGCTTGTGCATGTAGTTACCGCGTCGAAGAACGGTCCGCACAAGCAGTTGTCGTCTATGTTTGGGTCACACTTTGCTCGGACGGCGGCTTCGTTCCAGCAATCTTGCTACAAGGTTGTCAGTACGCAAATCGACTGGGACTGTCTGTCGAGATACGTACGCCACATTCCCCCATCCTGGTCCCCCTTGTCGTCAGTTCGCCATCGTTGTTGGAACTCTTTAGCGTGGTGACTGGGGATGCGAAAGCCGTGCTGAGTGCCACGACGATGAGCGATATAGACAGGCGCATTCTTTCGTATCTCTTCGCAAGTAGATAACGACTCAGTGAAAGGGGTTGTGATGGACTTCAAGGCGGTATGCAGTGACCTATCTACGACTCCCACGACTCCCACAAACTTCTTATACCGCCATGTGTGTGGGGTGGTGATGCTGTTAACAGTCTGACAGGTATTGGCGATCATGCTTGGAGTGTTTCGAGAGCGCGCCGCACCAGGTGGGATGAAACAAGAGAGCAACATGGTGGCGAAAGATAGAAGCACCTCGTTTGGAAGCATTTATCAAGGTTTTGATGCAAGTGATGGTTCATACAGTCAGATGGGTGATCTGGGTTGTGGCATGTTGAACGAGGGCTTCGGGACACGCCTGCTCTACGACACCTAGTGTCTTTCGTTATTATCTTCTTTTCTTTCATGTAGCACAGCCCTTCAGATTCATGGTGCCGACATCCGAAGACCTGTTTCAGCCAGCAGCTCCAAGAGTTCCATGATGGGCTTGGTCAAAAGTGAGTGCATGCCCGGGAGCGGCAAGACCTGAGCGTTGAAGCGTCTGATCGTCGACTTTGGGACATTGTGTGACTTCCAAATACCGCCACTGTGCGGAGTGTGTGCGTCGTCCCATTAGCTCTACGCATGAAGCAAAAGGTGAAGGTGTGGGCAAAAAGCTGGTTGAGATAGTACCATTCGACAAAAGGCAAAACAAAAAGTGTTCTGAAACGGGGAGTTACCGCAGCCCCCCTACTCGCGGACGGATGCTGAGCGAGAAGGTCGTCCCAGAACGGGAACCCCTATTGATCGCAAACATGAAATGGCGAGATTCTGCAAAAAGAGTGTTTACAATCCGACAAAAAGGCAAAATAAAAGCCAATCCAGCAAAAGGGCAAAACAAAAAGTGTTCCGAAACGGGGAATTGAACCCCGGTCTCCCCGGCACTATCGTTTCTGATGATCTGATGAGAGCGGGGTATACTAGCCACTATACTATTTCGGATTTTTCAGCTGTTGTACTGATTGATGGAAGTTGGACAAGTGCAAAAATTTACATTGGGACAAAATTTGCCGAGAAGACACTGACACAGCGTTGACTTACTTGTTCAACTCTCAATGGTGACAGTATTGCTATGTTGATATGGATAGCATCGTTCTAGCTTTCGATGTTGGGAGCTTACGACGAAGCTATCATACAAAGCGGGGTCGTTGACTTCTACGCATGCTCCTTATCTTCAGTTTCTATTTCCTGACTGGCTTTCTTCCTGAAGCTATTCAATCACATCATCTTTCCACCGTACTCGGAGAAATCATGCTCAACTTCTATTCCCACCACATGATTTGCCCCACTGAGTGAGATTTAAGTACAACGGCGCTGTTGACGCTCGGATATATCCAGCCTTGCTCCATAGTAAGCTTACGGTCGCCTGGCATGATGGTCGTTCGACTAGCCGGTTTGCTTTGTTCAACGACTCTGTGCTATACGTGGGGTATTGAAGATAAGTGGCCTCGGCCTTCCTCATGGAGAAAGCGCTGTACATGTGTAAGGGTATAAGTATCAGCAGTCTGACTGTTACTGTAGACGCGCAATCACGCTAAGGACTAAAAGTGCCAAGTCTGTACTTACTTGAGTGCTCTTTTAGTTGCATGATATTTAGCACTACTACAACTACTCGGATAAATTCCAAACCATCCACGTGTACAACATCTTGTATACACCAATTATACAACCATCCTGATGGCCTCGCCACCTCCCACCTCCGCCCAATACACAGTCCTCCGCCTCCCGACAACATCTCCCCATGTCCCCGCCCTCATCAAAAAGATGCGTGACAAAAAACTTGCAGCCCTCGAAGCCGACCCCACAAGCTTCATACTCCAGCACGCCGTAGAAGCCGCTCACCCTGATTCCGTCTGGCATTCCCGTTTCGTCAACTCGACAACCCTGGTCTGTATCCGGACCCCGGATTCCACGTTATCAGCCGAAGAAGCCTTGATGATAGGAGAATGGGCGGGCTTCGCAGCAATCCGTGGACCTCTGGCGTACTCGGCGTACTATTTCCCGGAAATGGGACACAAGATTCCAGATGACTGGGCGGTGGAGGCGCGATGGCATCTGTTTGACTTGTATACTTTTCCTTCCCATCGTGGGCAGGGGGTTGCGAGCAAGCTCGTCGCGGCGTGTGTGGCTACTGCTGCGGAGTTGACGGCTGGCGAGGTTGCGAAAGTAGAGGACGGCGGGAGGAAAGAAAGGGCGCGCGTACAGCTGTACTGTAAGCCAAATGATTGGTTGGTGGGTCTCTACAAACGGTTGGGGTTCAGAGAGTCGGGGAAAGTGACGTTGAAGGAAGGCTTCGTGACGAACGGGATGGAGCAGAGTATTCCAGAGGATACAGGGAGTACGGAGGAGTTGAAGGAGAAGTGGGAGACGAGATTTGGGGTGGCTATGGAGAGGGTTGTTGATATATTTTGACAGTCTGTGACTCGTCTCTCGTGGAAAAATATTTTGTCAGTCCGTACAGAATCTTGGAGCAGTTATGCACGTAGTAGAACTTGCAAGAGTGTGTTGACGTTTGTGTAGCAAACACGGCACGAGTTTTGAGTTATGACGTGAGTTTAGCATGTTTCACTTCTTGCACCTCTCCCTCACTGTCCTTGCCATTTCCTCGCCGACATCGGATTGCAATGCTTCTAATCCCTCCGCGACACCTGCCTGGTCCCCAACCCCCATTTCTTGGCTCATCTTCCATTTGCCGCCAATATCGGTAATCTCGATCTGAACGCCAATGATAGCCTTCTTCAGTATTCCAATATACGAGGCGGGCGCATCATCTACCAGCCAAGGCTTCTCTGTGTTGCCCATGATCTCAATCTCTGACTGGAGTGACAAATCCCTAATCTGTTTGTCGAGGAACGCGCCCGTGGTAGCAGCCTTGATGTCATAGAAGATTGTTGCACGGCCGTAGACTTGTACAGCGGAGTAGTTCCATGTGGGCACCACCTTCCCTGTTGCTGGTTTTGTTTCGCGGTAGAACTTTGGGGTTATGTAATGGTGTGCAGGGCCGTTGAAGAGGATCATGACATCGCGGGAAAGTGTCTGAGTGCCGCTTACTGGATTGGCTTCATTTCCAGACTGAGATTTGAGTTGTTCGATCAAGGTTTTGGCCTGGGGGTTGGCGCGCGCTATATGGCCGCGGAGAATACCGAGGTCGGTCTCATCGGGTTTGTCGTTGGTGTCTAAGACAAAGGGGATATGGCTAGATTGGATGAAGGGAAATGCTTGTGATTCGATGGCTGTGGTAAAGATACCCAAGGGGTTGGCACGGATGAATTGGTGCAATGTAGAGATGTTGTGTTCGGCGTGGACCGTACGGAGATACATCTTGGAATGTGCGGTATGTCAAAGTTCGATGGAGAAAGAAGAGAAGCAACTCTATGCTGAGTTGATATAAACTGTGACTACGGATATTGAACGGATATTGACGGCTTACGCCAACAAGTGGAAAATGTCAAAGAGAAAGGAGCCTACCGAGCTTGGCGAAGGGTATCCTCCTATGTATCCAAGTTGAATTGAATTCGGGCCAATTGGGGTTCATACTTGTCATTGTTGTGAGTCGAAGGGTGCCCAGAACACTGCAAATATAGGCTTACTGTGTCACTGCCCCCGTTAGCTAAGCCACAGTCATCATCCATGCCGTATCTTTGTATTTCTCATATTCTATGGATGTCTTTTCTAGCATCACGGTGGGAATCTAAATTGGCGTGATGGTGAGATGCAGCCAATACAGTATCTGATCAGAAGAACATGGCAGTTTTGCACAGATCTAAAGAGTTCAAGAGCACCTACAGTCCTTTCCAGGCTTACTGCTTGTGTAGACTTCAGAGACGTAGTGCTGAATGTTGCTCGTTTAGACCCGAACTTACCCCCGACGTTCATATGGATGATAGAGTGCGGGGTCTCCTATTTGTAAAATCTCCCCATTTTGGATAGACACTAGCAACGCAAGCATAAGGTCAAGGTACTAACACTACGGTCAATGAGCCCCCGGTTGCAGGGGGATAGTTATCCCCCGGTACGGACGCTGTTTCCGTTCTTGATCAGGGGGATAGAAAGCTCATTCCACAATACCCCGCTATGCCTGCCTACCTGCCTGCTGTGCCTACCTACCGTGCCCACCTACCGTGCCCACTGTGCCTATCCATCCATCACAACCTTCATCAGAATCTATCACCCACGAAGGAATTCTATCACCAGATTCAGTTGTTAGGGTAAAATCCCTACTTTAGCAGGTATTCTGGCATTTTTGGGGCATATTGTTGAGGTTTGGTAGGATGGATTTTGGCGAGGGGGGTATGGTTTTCAGCCCTCACGAGACTAAGTAAGTAGGAGTAAATTGATTGGCTACGAAGTGTGGCTGAAAGATCTGATAAGGGTACCCCCCCGTACTAGTAGATAGGCCCCCTAGTACTGGGGGTTATCCCCCTGTACGGGGGAGTGAATTACTAGTAGCGGGGGATAGCCCGCCCGGTACTGGGGGGCCCCCGCCCGGTACAGGGGGCTGGTTGACCGTAGTGAAGCCCGGAACCGTTCAACGACAACAATTTTCCCCGCAAGTGTCAAGCAATTTAGCCAGTCAGTGGGACTTTCTCATCTTCAGACTCATCTGCTCTTGTTAGCGTTGTTAAAAGTGGTTGAGGTTCTCTAGAATGACAATAGGGCGTGAGAACTTTGTTCGAGCCAGGATTTCACAGAACTGCTAACCGAATTTGGCTAGTTCTGCTTGGTATAGCAACGCCGTTTTGGAATAATTGGAATATTCTTGGTGCAAGACAACTACAAATGCTACAGTGCCTGGTTTGACATCCAAGAGCACATCTTTCATTCCAAGTTCTGGACTATCATTTTCACATTGTTCATCGTTTATTCGCCGCAATCACCATGTCGAAGACCGCGAATGCAGAAGCAATTCTGAAGGGTGCACACATAGCTGCAAATGTCTTCCAATTACGACCTGATTACCGCGCACTATTGATGGTCGTTGAAGGCATTCCACCTGGTCCTAGCGATAGTACAAGCGAGGCCCTCTTACAAGAGGCTGAGGCGTCCGCACGGGAGTCGTTATCACGACAAGCTGTCACCGAGATACCACACGTTGCCGCATGGCGAGACACATACAAAGCCTTTGGCGCCAAACCGAAGAAAGAGCGCAACAGTCTGGAATCTCTGATGCGTCGTGCAGAGGGAGGTCTTCCAAGAGTCAACCGATTGACTGATATTTACAACGCCATTTCGATCAAACATCAAATTCCGCTCGGTGGCGAGGACTTGGACAAATACAGTGGATTACCAAAGTTGATCCGTGCAACTGGTCAGGAGAAATTCGACACGTCCTCAGCCGGGGAAACCGTAACGGAGCTTCCACCTGCTGGAGAAGTCGTGTGGTGCGATGACGCAGGAGTTACCTGCCGTCGCTGGAACTGGCGTCAGTGTTCCAGGACTGCGCTATCCGATGCAACAACGCGTATTCTATTCATCTTGGATGCACTGGAGCCTCTTTCTGATAATGCCCTGGAAGATGCCGCTGATGAGTTAGGCCGATTGTTGAGCAATTTGTCTCCGGATGTACGCATATCGCGTCGGGTCATTCGAGCATCGTGAGCTTGATCCAGTAGTCTCGCTGGTGAAGAGACCTGTCTTTGAAGTACTTGTTTGATGTATCTTAACTATCAATATGCGATCATTTTTTCAGGCTATGTTGTAACGCCTTTACCATTTTTCAACGGAGATTTGTAGGAGAACTTCAAGAGTAACGACGGACGGGATTTACTAACTAATCTAAGCAACTGAAAGACATATATTCATGTAACTTCAGCAACCAGAGAATGACCTATGGCATGACAAAAGCAATTTGCCACTGTGGTCAGCACGTGTTGCCGTACCAAGAGTAATTCAAAACGGTGACATTGGATACATGATAATCAACTATGGTCTACGGAAAGAATCGACGCACTTTGTAGTGGTATATCCAACATTGAAGATCGGGATCATACGAGTGCGTATAGATTAGTCTCTTGTTAGTTGAATTACAGTCGTGATGTTCTTTCAAAAGTCATTTCTCTGATGTTCAGTAGTTTTGATATAGGATTCAGCTCAAGGACACCACGCTGGAAGTTGCCTCAATGAACAATGAGCATACAGAGATATACTCTCCATTCCCGTATACAGATGCTGTGTTCATATTGTGCTTCCCTTTGATCGCAACTGATGAGTATAATAGGGATTTCCATTGGATGGCGAAATGCAACCTACTCGTATCTCCTAGAATACTACTGGACATGACGTTCGGATCGACGTTAGCGCGCTGTGCTGTTATGCCGTTTGCTTTTTTCTCGGCTGCCTCTACGTGGAAGCCCTCAGAGCTTCATGCTGAATAGGTATCTCGATACGTGGACATTCTCAATTGCAAGATCCCAGCGTACTACTGTTCGAGAAGCCTGTTTCACGACATCCCTGTTTGTGTTCTACCGGTCCAAAATGGAAATTGCGGTGTTTCCGCCCAGTATCAGGCATGAGGTATATTAGTCCAGTCCACTGGAGCGACCGTGTTGGGCATATTGTTTGCTCATGCGCAAGATATTAATCTTCTCGGTTCTAGAGCTTCTGTAGCCTCACACGTGTACACATCAGATGTGGGGAGTGTCTTCGCGCGTCTGTTCTCGTGACAGTGTGAGCGGAGATCACGTAGGAGAGGGCATCCTTGGTTGTGGTTGAAGGATGACGACGAACTGCATGCTTAGGTAGTTTGGGAAAACCCCAACAAACGAGTCGGATTGGTCTGTAACAGCCACAGAAAACGTTTTAACCCGAGAATGAATCGTTGATCCAGTATACAGTCGTTGAAACGTACAGATGTGAATAACCTATCTTATCGGAAGCTCGGAGTAGAGGTACATTTCGACCCGAGGATGCTGACAGGTGGTCTCTCAGCCGAATCCACAGATGTATGGATGAGAGTTGAACGAAGAAACCCGGAGCCTGTTCACGTCCGAGCCGCTGAAGTCGTCCAGCAAAGTAGTCTAGAACTTGCGACGCCACAAAGAGTCCTCAACACACCTTGTAAGCCTAGGCAACCGTGGCATCCGATAGGTAGGGACTTGCAGTGAACAATGCACTACTTGGCATCCCTATAATGAGATTATCAGTACCAGGAGACTGATCTGAAAGTGGAGGGGTGTTGCGTTCAAATTGGCAAGTCTAATCGCGCATGAAATGCTTTCGTTCCGTTTCTATCAACAGTGCTATGATTAAGGACCATCTTCATGATATGTCGAAGGTGTGGTGGAAACTTTATTCTCAACATACGCCAGAAGCTTGGCGAGCTTATCACCGCAGCGACCGAAGACGTAAGCTGGGCATACGTAAGGCGCCTCTTCGGAAGCTTTTTTCACCCTAATTCCATTTGATCCGTGTAAAGATGTCCGCCCTGCCACAACCACCGCCAAACTTGAGGTTCCGTTTTCCGGTGGCAATGCAATCTGTGAGGGTGGGCTTAACAGTTCAACATATCACCATCCGACCCGTTCGCGAGCAAATTCGCAACATGTCGTCATTGGTATACAACGATTGTGGGAGGAATCCTTGGCAATGAGATCCAGCCCTTGAGATCGTCGGATCCTCCCGCATGTCTAGCATGACGATGTGCGTCCCCTTTTCGTCCGTACCCCGTGGAGGGCCAAGTAGCCGCCAGCATCCGGAGGCCGAAACGCTATGACAGCATAACGCGAAACAATAATGAAATTTCTCATTGATGATAAGAGTAGAGAATGCCGGTTAGAGGATAGACAGCTCTTTTCGTTCAGCAACAGTCTCGTCCATCATGGCTGCCCCATATTCAAACGGCGAGGGGCTCGCCCACACAACAGGTTCGACAACAGAATCGAATGGACGACCTATTATATCTCACCAACACACTCATGGAGCTGGAATCTACCGGACTGAGTCGGGCAGGGAGACTTATGCACCGGATGGCCATATATCCAACCTCCAGAGACATGCGCCTGAGTCCTCTTCAAGGCAAGCTGGATACACGGATGCCAGCCTTTTCTCTGCCCCCCAGCACGATGAGGTGCCATTGGAGCCGATCGAGAAAGTCACTACATCGAGCTCGAGCGACTCATCCGAAACTGAAGTCGGAGTGTATGGCCAACGTGATGACAAGAAGCGAAGTTCTTCGTCGGGCGAGTTCCCAACCGCACCACTTGAACGTCGAGTTACACAGGCGGAAATCGACGATCCCAGCAGGAGAGAACTCCAACGGATTATGACGAGCATGTCGATGAAGTCGCGAAACAGCACCATTGCCGAACCTGGTGATCCGGCTGTGGATCCTTCGAACGAGGCCTTTGATCTTTCGAAATTCTTGAAGATGTTCAGACGCTACATGGAGGACGAGGGAACCGAAATGAAGAAGGTCTCCGTCGTGTACAAGAATCTGAGCATCTTCGGTTCTGGTGCTGCGCTGCAGCTTCAACGCACAGTGGCTGATTTGTTCATGGCTCCAATTCGCATCGGCGAACATATCAGTCTCGGCAAATCGGGTCGCAAACAGATCCTCCACAGCTTCGATGGTATCATCAAAACTGGAGAGCTTTGTGTTGTACTGGGACGGCCAGGATCGGGGTGCAGTACCTTGTTGAAGGCACTTACTGGTGAACTACAAGGACTGGATGTTGACGATTCGGAAATCTACTACAACGGCATTCCACAAAGCAGAATGATCAAGGAGTTCAAAGGCGAGACCGTGTACAATCAGGAGGTTGACAAGCATTTCCCCCATCTTACAGTTGGTCAAACGCTTGAATACGCAGCAGAGATCAGAACTCCATCTCACCGACCGAATGGAGTGTCGCGTCGCGAATACGCCAAGAACATGGCGCAAGTCGTCATGGCTGTTCTTGGACTGAGTCACACCTACAACACCAAAGTTGGTGATGACTTTGTTCGTGGTGTATCGGGAGGAGAGAGGAAGCGAGTCAGTGTTGCTGAGATGCTCCTTGCGGGAGCACCGTTCGCCGCGTGGGACAACTCTACGCGTGGTCTCGACTCAGCGACTGCGTTGAAGTTCGTCAAGGTGAGTGAATTGTATAGGCTTTCTTGAGTCTTCTTGCTGATCATAACACAGTCTTTGAGAATCGGGTCCGACCTTATGGGTGGTGCCGCAGCCGTTGCGATCTACCAAGCCAGTCAGAGCGTTTACGATTGTTTCGACAAAGCAGCAGTACTTTACGAAGGCCGTCAGATCTACTTTGGGCCTGCCAACAAGGCACACAGCTTCTTCGATCGTCAGGGCTGGTACAGTCCTCCACGTCAAACTACAGGCGACTTTTTGACAGCCGTCACAAATCCCTCCGAGCGGAAAGCGAAGAAGGGCATGGAGAATAAGGTGCCTCGAACTCCCGAAGACTTCGAAAAGTACTGGCGCGATTCGCCCGAGTACAGGAATTTGATGAACGAGATCAAGGAACACGAGCAAGACAACGCACCTGGCGAACGGGGCACCCTTCAACAGCTCCGCGAACAGAAGAACTACGACCAAGCCAAACACGCCCGTCCCAAGTCTCCATACCTCATCAGCGTGCCCATGCAAATCAAGCTCAACACGAGGCGTGCATACCAACGTATCTGGGGTGACATAGCATCACCGGCTACACAAGCGGCTCTCCAGGTTGTCGTGTCTCTCATTGTGGGTTCCATCTACTTTGGACATTCACCGGGTACTTCCTCCTTTGCTGGCAGAGGAGCAATTCTGTTCTTGGCTATTCTATTCAACGCCCTCACCACGATTGGTGAGATCGGCGGTCTCTACGCCCAACGCCCGATTGTCGAGAAACACAACTCTTACGCATTCTATCATCCGGCAACAGAAGGCATCTCTGGTATTGTTGCTGACATTCCGGTCAAATTTGTACAATGTGGTGTTTTCAACATCATTATTTACTTCCTTGGACAGCTGCGCTATGAGCCAGGACAGTTCTTCCTGTTCTTCCGTAAGTCACCGTCTCTGTGTTCAAGAGCTATCTGACATTTATCAGTTGTGACGTACATTTCGATCTTCGTCATGACGGCAATCTTCCGGACTACCGCTGCACTGACCAAGACGGCCTCGCAGGCTATGGCTGGCGCTGGTGTCTTGGTTTTGATTCTCGTCATCTACACCGGATATGTCATTCGAGTTCCTGAGATGCCTGTCTACTTCGGATGGCTACGGTACTTACACAATTCTCACTTAGCTATTTGAATGACGGCTGACAACTTTCACAGATGGATTAACCCAATTCACTACGCTTTTGAAATCCTCCTCGCCAACGAGTTCCACGGCGTCGACTTCCCTTGTGACAGCTTCATCCCCTCCGGACCAGGCTACACCACCACTGGCGAGTCTTTCATCTGCAACAGTCAGGGCGCAGTCGCTGGCGAGACTTTCGTCAACGGAGATGCCTACCTTAGTGTTGGTTATACATATGCTTGGTCTCACGTGTGGAGAGTAAGTTGGGCTCGCATCTTACTACTTACAATCAAAGGCTAACATAACTAGAACTTCGGCATCCTGTGCGGTTTCCTCATCTTCTTCAATATCATCTACTTTGTCGCTCTCGAAATCAACTCCTCCACCAGCAGCACCGCCGAGCGCCTTGTGTTCCAGCGCGGCCATGTTCCCGCGTACATGCAGAACAACGACGGTTCCGATGGAGAGCCCGCCAGCAAAGCTGAGGCCGAAACTGGCGAGACGGACGTCAGTGCCATTCCGGAGCAAAAGGGCGTCTTCACGTGGCGAGATGTGGTATACGATATCCAAATTAAGGGCGAACCTCGACGACTTCTCGATCATGTCTCTGGATTTGTCAAACCTGGTACTTTGACTGCCCTCATGGGTGTCAGTGGCGCTGGTAAGACAACGCTACTGGATTCCCTCGCTCAGCGCACAACCATGGGCGTCATCACCGGCGACATGTTTGTGAACGGAAAACCGCTAGACGCGAGTTTCCAGCGATCAACTGGTTACGTGCAGCAACAGTAAGTCCTCCCATACCAGAACAGTGAAATCAGCATCTAAGCGTACCAGGGATCTTCATCTCGACACGAGCACTGTACGCGAAGCGCTTCGCTTTAGCGCTGTCCTCCGCCAACCCAAGAACGTCAGCAAGCAGGAGAAATACGACTACGTCGAAGAAGTAATCAAGATGCTGGGTATGGAAGAGTTCGCAGGTGCCGTCGTCGGTGTCCCTGGCGAAGGTCTCAACGTCGAACAACGAAAGCTCCTCACCATCGGCGTGGAGCTAGCTGCCAAACCCGCGCTACTACTCTTCCTCGACGAACCCACCTCCGGTCTTGATTCTCAGAGCTCCTGGTCCATCGTCTCCTTTCTGCGCAAGCTCGCCTCTGCAGGCCAAGCCATCCTCTGCACCATCCACCAGCCCAGCGCCATCCTGTTCCAGGAATTCGACCGCCTGCTCTTCCTCGCCAAGGGCGGCAAAACCGTCTACTTTGGTGAAATTGGAGAGAACTCGCAGACCCTGCTCGACTACTTCCAAACCCAGGGCGCCCGCGACTGCGGCGAGGACGAGAACCCCGCCGAGTACATGCTGGAGATTGTCAACAACGGGAAGAACGACCAGGGCAAAGACTGGCACAGCGTGTGGAACGAGAGCGAGGAGTATAAGACTGTGCAGCGCGACATCGACCAGATCCACGAGGAGAAGAGACATGAGAATATCGACACGGCGGGCCAGACGGGCAATTCGGAGTTTGCGATGCCGCTTGCTACACAGATCTGGGAGTGTGTGTTCCGCTCTTTCCAGCAGTATTGGAGGATGCCCGGCTACTTTGTCGCGAAGATGGGGCTTTGCATTATGGCGGGCTTGTTCATCGGGTTCTCGTTCTTCGATGCGGATTCCACCCAGGCCGGCATGCAGACTATCATCTTTTCGTGCTTCATGATCACCACCATCTATACGTCGCTCGTCCAGCAGGTATGCAACCCCTATTCCCCAACTCAGATGAGCCATACTGACCAAGCGGCTTAGATCCACCCGCTCTTCGTCACGCAACGCGCACTATACGAAGTCCGCGAACGCCCCAGCAAAGCATACTCCTGGATCGCCTTCATGACAGCCAACATCGTCGTCGAAATCCCCTACGGCATCCTCGCCGGCACCCTAGTCTGGGCATGTTTCTACTTCCCCGTCATCGGCGCAGGGCAAGAACCGCACCGTCAAGCCCTCATATGGATGTTCTGCGTGCAGCTACTCACCATAACCTCAACCTTCGCGGCTATGACCATCGCCGCGCTCCCCGACGCGCAAACAGCTTCCGGCATCGTCTCCCTGCTCACGCTCATGAGCATCCTGTTCAACGGCGTTCTGCAGTCGCCTAGCAACCTGCCTGGCTTCTGGCTGTTCATGTACCGCGCGTCGCCGTTCACATACTGGATCGGCGGCATGGTCGGCACGATGCTCGGCGGACGCGAAGTCGTGTGCAGTGAGTCTGAAATGCCACCTTTCAACCCACCCTCAGGCCAGACATGCGGGCAATACCTCTCCGACTACGCGGCGGCTGCTGGCGGCGAGATATACAACCCCAACGCCACCTCGGGATGCCAGTACTGCCCGCTCAGCAACGCGGACCAGTTCCTCACCTCCAGCAACATCCACTACGGCGAGCGGTGGAGGAACTTCGGCATCATCTTCGCATATATCTGCTTCAATACCTTCATGGCACTGTTTACGTACTGGCTGTTCCGCGTCGTGAAGATCGGCGGGCTGAAGGATAAGCTGCATAAGAGCAAGACGGGGGGCAAGGCGGAGGAGGGTGCGGAGAAGGCGGCGGGCAAGGCGGCGAGGGATGGCGGGCATCCACCTAACTCGCATGTGCAGACGGAGAAGGACACGAATCCGGCGGTGTGAGGTGGGGTTTGTTAGTTTCGTTCCAGTCTTCTTCTTTGACTCTGTTTGTCTGTATAGATTTTTTTTTCTGCTGGGTATAGATGGCATAGCGTGCGGTAGGGCTTTTACTTTTGACTTTTAATACTTAATATCCATCATTTTTCTTCTTTGTATGTTTCGTCGTTGTTGGATATGACGTGACATGACGTGCCTCCCGGTTTATCCGCCCGCTTGATAAATCTCCCACTTTGTTTGTGGACTGAACCATACAGTGAGTGTGTGTGCTTTGACCAGACCAGACCAAACCAAACCAAACATCAGCACCGTTTAGCTCGCCGAACGGAATGGAATAAGATATAATGGAATGCATACCTGGTTCGCGAATTGGAACGGCCGAGAATGAGATGCAAACTGCCAGGTTGAGTGGTAACAGGGAAGGGGAAGGACAAGGGAAGAGCGTCCAAACCTTCCCACACACACTCCATCCACTCCAAAATCCTCCCCAACCCAATGTGCGCAAAATGCTCGAGCCCCACAAACATACGTCTTTCCACTCTCTTCCATCCCACTATACCCACATTCTAATCCATTCCACGCCGTACCTATCCTATCATATACATAAACAGCACAAAACAGGCGCATAACCCAACGGCTAGGATATATATCTTCTTTCTTTCTTTCTTTCTCTCTCTCTCTCTCAGGGCAGCAAGAAGTATAAATGACAACAAACAACATAGCATAGACATAACCAAGCCCTCCATTTCATTTCATTTCATTCCATTCCACTCCGCAATCCCTTGACTTTACAAAAAACGTGCCACATCCTCCCCAAGTCTGAGAACCTTGGGCATTGTACGGCGAGGGAAAGACGAGGGCTGAAGCGGGATGGGATGAGATGAGATAGGGCGGAAGGAATGTGAGACGGGGTTTTTTTTTTTTGGGTTTCGTTGGTTTGGATAGATTTTTTGGCGGGCATAGCGTGTGCTTAGACTTTTGGGGTTTAGACTTTGGTTAGTATGGTGTTTCAATACTTAATCTTGTTTTTCTCTTTTGTATGTTTTGGCGTTGTTGATGTGGTTTCTGGTCGTTTGTCGTTTGGTAAGCTTGCTGGTTTGCTGAGGGAAATGCAGTGCGGTTCGAACAACCATGGACGCTGTGGTTCGCTGACTGAACGGGATGGATAGTTTGTGGGTGGAGTGGCAGAAGGATGTAGGCTAGAGAAACTATCAGTACGAATTATCGTACTGAGCGGTATCAGTGGTGCGGGTGGGCAAAAAGGGATGGTGATGACGATGTCGAAGAGAAGAGAAGAGAAGGTAACAAAGAGAGCCTCCGTTCCAGCGCTTCATACCAGACATCTATATTCACTCCAGAGAAGAGATGGGTTCCAAATTTAGATCCAACCCACCAACGCCATCGCTATGCATGCAGTCTCACAAAAACACCTCGTTGTACATGTATCATTACAGAATCTCGTCCCCATTGTTCATCGGTAGATTTCGTCAAACGGCCGTGTATCCGTAAAGCAATTGTCCCAGACTTCATTCACAATCTTAGCGGCGTGGACATCGTCCGTGACGCCTGGGCGGGCCATCATAGACAGCGTAGCGCGCCGCCGCACACAATGTTGCAGCTGCTCAGTGATGCGCCACTGGTTTTTTGTGAAGAATTCGCGGCTGAAGCGACATTCGCCACTGAGTGTCGAGGCGCGTATCTACACCAATATCTTAGCATATGTTGAGAAGGCGACACAGGTAGAGAGATAGACGCACCTCCAAACAGGCCTGATGGCGCAGATTCTCGGGCTCAACCTTCCACTTCAAATGATCCCACGCATGCACCATCTCATGCGCCATAGTATCCTCCTGATGCCCGCGATTCCTGAACTTATTCGCACACAGCAATATCCCATGGTCGAGGCTGAACCCGCCAGACTGCTCGTTAGTGCACATGCGGCAAATAACGTTCTGGTCGTTCAGCTCCCCGCCCAGTTTCCACACTTCATCCCGCATGAAGCGGATGATGGGCGAGTACTGCATCAGGTAGTCGCGGTTGGTGTCGCAGCGCTTGCAGATGGACTCTGCTTTCAGTGTGTCCATTTCTGAGAAGTAGTTTTGCTCGAGTGGGATGTCGCGGGACCCGGTCATGCGGCCGAGCATTATGCTGAAGGTGCTGCTCCAGTTGTAGTAGATGGGGTCGAGTTTCTGGGCGGGGGGTTGTGGGGTTGTCGGTTCGGGGGCGCCGTCGGGGGCTTGTTCGGGGGGCGGCATTGTTAGAGGAGGGGTAGTAGGAGGGGTGAGGGGTTGTTAGGGCGTGGAGTGTGGAGAGATGGTGGTCAATCGTAGGGCGCGATATTCAGTTCGTCGTCGCAAAGAAAGTTGTAGACTGTCCGCCAATCGGAGTTAGAACGGAGTCAAGCCCTCGATCCCAGTCATTCCACATGCCAATAAACCACGACCATCCCATCTATATTCATATTCCACTTCTCAAATATCGCAAAGATGGCGGTTCACATGCGCAAACTGCCCGGCCAGCTCACCGTCGTCATCAAACTCGGTAACCCCCACCACGTACTTCCCCCGTCTATCCAACTCGACACACTCACCAACATGCACAGGCACCTCCTCCATCGTCGACGAGAAGACGCACCAGCCGCTCCTCTCCATCCTCTCCCTGATCGTCGAGACAGCATGCTCCCTACATGCCGCCGGCCACCGCGTCGTCATCGTATCCTCAGGCGCCATCGGTGTTGGCCTCCGACGTATGAACCTCCCACGTCGCCCAAAGCATCTCCCCAAAGTGCAGGCCCTCGCAGCTATCGGCCAGTGCCGCCTCATCAGTCTGTGGGACCAGTTATTCGGCAATCTGGAACAGCCCATTGCGCAAATACTGCTGACGCGGAACGACATTGCGGACCGAACACAGTATCAGAATGCGCAGAACACCTTCATCGAGCTGCTGAGCATGGGCGTCATCCCGATTGTGAATGAGAATGACACGCTCGCCGTCACCGAGATCAAGTTCGGCGACAACGACACGCTGAGTGCCATTACCGCCGGCATGGTGCAGGCCGACTATCTGTTCCTGATGACCGACGTCGACTGCCTGTACGACAAGAACCCGCGCACAAACCCCGACGCAAAAGCCATCGAAGTCGTCGAGGACATCGCCGACCTAGCCGTCGACGTCAGCTCAGCAGGCAGCGCCCTAGGGACAGGCGGCATGAGCACGAAAATCGTCGCCGCCCGCCTAGCCACAAGCGCAGGCGTAACAACCGTCATAACCAAGAGCAGCAAGCCCGGCAACATCAGCGCCATCATCCGCCACGCCGAGCAGCAGCGCAAAGCCGCAGGCATGTCGAGCCGCAACTCCGTCACAAACTTCCTAACCGACGACGGCGTGCCCGTCGCGCAAACCGCTGCCCTCAACCTACACGACCTCTCCACCTCAACATCCTCCCTACGCGATGAAACCCTCGTTGACCCCGAACCAGTGCCCCTCCACACCCGCTTCCTCCCCATCTCCCACCCCATCCGCGACCGCTACTTCTGGATCCTGCACGGCCTCGCGCCCCACGGCACGCTGTACATCGACCACGGGGCGTGGGCCGCGCTGAACGACAAAGCGGGGCTTTTGCCAGTCGGCATCGTAGACGTAGACGGCCACTTCGCCCAGCAGGAAGCAGTCCGCATCTTCGTCGTCAAACGCTTGCCGTCACACAACGCACATCCAGCCACCCCCTCAACCCCAACATCAACATCGACATCCACAACGACTACAACACCCCTAGCACCAATCCCCATCCGCCACCCCCTCGTCCACTCCATCTCCCACTCTACCCCATCCTCAAACACACACACCCCCGCAGCCCCTCCACAATACGAACTCCACAACCCCGCGCCCTTCGAAATAGGCCGCGCGGTGGTAAACTACTCCGCCGCGGAGATTCGTCGCATTAAGGGTTTGCATAGTACGCAGATCCATGAGGCGTTGGGGTATGCGGATAGTGAGTATATTGCGTTGCGGGAGAATGTGGCGTTTTTTGGCGTCGAGAGGAGTAGGCCCGGGACGCCGAGACTGGGTGGTGCGGGGGGAGGGGTGGATGTTTGATAGGGGGGAGGGGGGGTGTTTAAATGGTGATGGAAAGTGAAAAATGTTGCGTTTGATATTCATTCATTAGGATAACCATCCTGTGCTGTGCTATCCAAGCATCCCATCCATTGAGTGATTGAACGCCGAGGAAACCAAACCAAACTCCAGGCTATGCCCCTCGCGTTGTACGCCAAAACACCATGCACCTAACTAGATCCAAACACATGCTACATACAAATCATCAAACACCACAAGTAAATAGCCGTTCTAACTCTCGCGCTCCGAGCTAGCAGTGGACAACTTCTCCGCCTTGCTGCCGGCCGACGCGCGCTCGTTCGCGCGCAGACTACCCTTGCAGTGCTTTACAATCCAGGGATGGCGCTCGACGTCTTCGAGGGCGATGCGTTTCTCAGGGTCGAGGACGAGGAGCTAGATGATCGTTAGTAAAACGTACAAACACATATAAAGTGATATGCAAGACTCACCCTCTTAATCAGATCCTTCGCCTCAGCGCTCACAAAGCCCGGAACCGTATACTCGCCCCTAACAATCTTCCTTTGTGTCATCGCCTGGGTATCCTCAAAGGGGGCCTCGCCGACAAGAAACTCGTACGTCAAGACGCCCAGACTCCACAGGTCGACTTTCTCGGAGTAATAGTTGTCCTTGCCGCCGCCGCGGATCATCTCCGGGGGCAGGTAGTCGAGGGTTCCGCACATAGTGTTGCGGCGGTTATTGGGTGCGTGAACGGACCAGCCAAAGTCGCTGATTTTGATTTCGCCGTGGATGCCGACGAGGATGTTCTCGGGCTTGATGTCGCGGTGCATGACGTGCTTTTTGTGGAGGTACTTGAGGGCGGCGGCCATTTGGGCGACGTAGTGTGCTGCTTTGGGTTCGGGGAAGCGCTGCTCGCGGCGGAGGTGCTTGTAGAGTTCGCCCTTGCCGGCGAATTCGAGGATCAGGAAGATGCGCTTGGCGTCGTGGAAGTGGCCGAATAGGCGCAGGATGTTGGGGTGGGCGAGGTGCGATTGGATTTCGATCTCGCGACGCACTTGCTTCTCGACCTTACCCTGCGACAGCTCAGACTTGTGCAGGACCTTCAGCGCGCAGACGAAGCCGGATGCACGTTCTTTGGCGAGGTAGACGCGGCCGAACTTGCCCTTGCCGAGCGGCTTGCCAATCTCGAACATGCCGAGATGCCATTGCTTGGGGGTGGAGGGCGATGTGTAGATGGCTGACTCGGTGAGGGTGCGGCGGTGAGAGGGGGCGTGTTCCAAGGTCCGGCTGGCGGAGGATGTGATTGTGACTTTGGCGATGCTGGCGCCGACAATGGTGGCATTCTTTGTGGCGTTTGCGGTGGCGAGCTTCTGCAGGGGCTGCTTCATACGGTTGGCGGCTGAGCTGGAAGGTCCGAGGCTGGATAACGATGCTGTTGTTGTCGAGAGGGAGGCCTTTAGTGTGTTAGATGCATGTTCCAATAATTGAGTTGTTATTATTATCCACCTTCGACTTGTGGTAGGACGTGGTCGCGACTTGCTGCTGGTCGTCGTTCTCGTCGGTGACGGTGATGCGCTCAAAGGCGGCTTCGAGGTTGGTGACATCGACCATGGCTGCTGCTGTGCTGAGGATGCTGTGTGTTAACGAAAGACGAAGAGTAAGAAAGCGCCAGCTAAGAGCTGCTGCAGCGGGTGACGATGTCCAGAGTGAGGTGTGGGTGTTGAGTCGAGTCGAGGGCGAGGGTCATGGCTGACCGGTGCCAGCAAACAAGCGCCGTTGCCATGGGCGACGACGATCCCCGATCGCCGAACCTCCGCTGTCCCGCCCCACCAACCCCACACTGACGCCGACCGTGCATTGCCCGCCATCCACCCCCACCACTTTCTGCCGCAGAAGAGTGCATCGCCATGTCGTCGCTGAATGGCGCGCCCATCGACACGGCTGCCCCCGGGCACGCCGACACGTCCGTCACCAAGGAAGGCTTCAAGATGACGACGCGCAAGCTGCCCATCCTCAAGGCCGACCCCATCGACGACATGACCAAGAAGCTGGGCATCCCGCCGCCCGAGATGATCTTCGGCGACAACCTCGTGCGCATCGAGCACCCTCGCAGCGGCTGGTCCATAGAATTCAACGCCTTCGACGCCCTGGACATGGTCGACAAGACGGGCGAGAACATGTTCAAGGTGAGCTACTCGAAGGAGTGGCAGCAGAACCGGTAGCTCCCTCTCGCCGTATATCCACGTGCACGTCGATTGACCTCGCCCAGCCAGAAGCAGTTCTCCGACATCAAGGAGGTCGTGAAGCCCTTCGACTGGTCCTACAGCACCGCGTATACCGGCACCGTCCCCGAAACACCCGCCTTCACACCCACCACCACTCCCATCCCCCTCGCCCTCCTCAGGCGTCCAGACCCCATCCACTTCTTTGACGAGGTCATGCTGTATGAAGATGAGCTGGCCGACAACGGCATCGCCATGTTGTCTTGCAAGATCCGCGTCATGCCCGCCCGCCTGCTGCTGCTAGTGCGCTTCTTCATGCGTCTGGACGATGTTGTACTTAGGATACGGGACACGCGCGTCTTTGTCGAGTTTGGGACTGATGAGGTGATCCGGGAATACACAGCCAGGGAGGAGTCGTATGAAGAGGTTAGGAAGAAACTGGCAGCGAGAGGGAGAAAGGACGACGTGCTAGCCATCATGCGGGACCCAAATCTGCTGACAGAGCACATGCCGGTGGTGGAGTCGAGGCTGGAGGGACTGAAATTGAGCTGAGGCATGTGAAGTGGTTGGAATTGAGACGAGCAAGATACGTTGGACGAGAAAGCATTGCGAAGGAAAAATAGGACGACTCAAGTGTGGAGCCTAGGAATATGAGGTCAGTCGACTTGAAATGTTTTGTTAGACAAATCTTGCTAACTTTGTCCAGTATGTGAAGCGTGTGAAGACACCAAATCAGAGGCAGGATGTTGTAAATCGATCAGAAACAAAAAGTAGAATACCATTGATCACCCTTCAAAGTCCCGTTCCCCCTCCTCTCAACCAATATAAAAGCACCCCAACCCCCCCAGACCTCTCTCCCACCACATTCCATCTTCTCAAAAACACATACAAAATATACATCGGGTCGGGTACATGTGTCCCTCCTCTCCTCCCTTCTCAAAACTTCAAACTCAGAATTCGGTCCTCTGACACTATGGCGCGCTCCGACATCGAAAACATCTTTTTGCATCTTTTCTCCTCCCTTCAAAACAGAAACATATAAAAAAAGGGATCTAGAAGCCGCCGTATGGTGTGGCGCTGCAACATCGAAAAATACCCATTCATATCTCCTTTTTCATTCAGACAGAAACTTGTGAAGAAAGAAAAAATTCATCTAATGGTTTATGATGGCGCGCTGCACAACAAAAAGTACATGGCCTATATGTCTGCGTCTTCTTCTCCTTTGTGTAATTCTTGATTGACGGGATACCATCAGAATGAACCAAGGAGTATGATGATGTGGTGCTCCTGTTGATGTTTCCTCATCTAAGAAAACATACAAAAGAAGTGAGGAACATGGTATGGCTGGGCGTGTCGACAAATAACCTCACACATTACGGTGCCGAAAAGCTTTCTATGGAAACCATGGTTCGTCCTTCAAGACTAAGTTTCGAGATACCATGTGTGGTGCTCGTTATAACCACGTCGATTCTCGGAAAGCTTGGTCCGAAAGGAGCGGGTCGCAGGGCCATGTGCGTCGCCCGCTGCGTCGCTGGGTATGATGAAAACGCTTCTGGGCGGAAACTATGTGCGTTCTGGACTCCAACCTGGAAACAAAAAGTCGATGGTGAGATGTATAAAAGTAGCGTTTAAATCGTGCGTTTATTTAGATCTTATTCCTTCTCTCTCTTTCGTTGTTCTGGGTTTGCTCTTCCCCTTCAAAAACGTGCGTAGCTTATCGAAAAGACCGTTGCAAAGGATCTATGTTTTGCCCTGCTGCGTCTTTGGACAGGACTTAAAGAAACCCAGATAACGCTCATGTGGCGTTTGTGTAATTCTGGAAAAAAAGCTATCTGGTATATATATGATGGAGGGTTATGAGCGGTGCGTTCATTCGGATATAAATGTCTCTGTCGTTATTCCGGTTCTGATTTTGATACTCTCCTTCCAAACCCCAGGACTTATCAAAATGGGATTAAAAGGCTTTGATGTCTTCCTGCCCCGTCTCTGGTCACGATTAAAACAAAATCTCAACAATGTCCATGTGCGGTCTTCGCTCAAATCTAAAGAACAAAAGTCCATCTTGACGTCGCTGATGGATGGTTATGAACAGTGGGTCCATCCAGTTATAAGCGTCCTTGTCTCTGCTCCAGTTTCGACACCTGCTCTTCTCCTCCAAAACACCCATATCTTCTCGAAAGTAAAAAACTCAGTCTACTGAAACTTCATGTTTTCCCGTGCGTCGTCGTTGGTCACGACTAAAGAACATTCACAACGCGTCCATGTGCGGTCGTTGCTCGAACCCCAAAAACCCCAAGATTATGACGGAAATGGTGCATCCATCCAGATATAGATGTCGTTGTCTCTGCTCCAGTTTCGGTACCTACTCTGCTCCTTTCGAAAATCTGTAGCTTATCAAAATAGACTGGGAGTGGTTAGATGTTTCTCTGCCTCGTTTTTGGTCACGATCAAAAAACAATCCAGACAATATCCATATGCGGTTCTTCGCTCAAAGCTGCAAAACAAAAAACAATGTTTGCAATCGCCCATAGTGAGTTTTATAAGTAATGAGAGAGATATTGTCACTCTATCTCTACCTTTATCATTGTGTCCCATACAACATATCAAAATATTGCTGGCCTCTTTCATGGGTGGTGTGGTGGCTTGTGTAAAGTACACTTCTTCTCCACTAATCCTGGCTATGAGATTCAAAGATTGGATAGACGAAATCATGTGCTGTACAGACTTGTGGAGTGTACTTCTTCACTTTGCTAGGCGTGCGTGTTCCCGTCCATGGTCTATGCTGGGTTAGCCTTAGGCTATATTATACCTTTGTCTCGGTGTCTCCTCGACATTTATTATACACTTTTCTTTGCAGAAAACAAAAAAAAAGATATCTTGCAAGTAGCATGTAGTGGTTTTGTCTATTCTTGGTTCAAAACGCCTTGACAAAGACATTATGTAGAGGTTCTCTGCCCTTTTTCCAAACAACTTATGTCTGGTCTTATGTGTGGGCTATCTCTTCTACCCGAAAGCTACGGCTATATTCTCTCATTTTAAAACAGGACATGGCAGGCGCGATGTGGCTCGCCTCTGCTCCTATTTTGTATCAAAACAACACTCGCACTTATGTCATGGCTGTGCCCTTCCTCTTCGGCTTTTCTACAACTTCAAAGAATACTCCCAGCTGTGTCATGGCTGGGTCTTCCCTCCGTAAAAACATCAGTATTCGCTACCTTCTTTGTCGGATCTCAACCTGGTCCACGAAATATGCATGGCTGCGTTGTGTCGTTCACTCCAACTCTTCCACATTTTGTGTCTACAAAAGCGCTACTAATTGACGATGATGTCGTTCTTCTCTCCGCACGGATCCCAGTATCTCCAAAACGCGCTTTCGACCAAAGAATGACCGATCTTCTTCTTGCCTCAAAAGTGTCTGTTTTGTCTAGAAAACTTGTCCAATGTGCGGGATGGGAGTTGGCTCTACTAAACTTAATCAACATACTAATTTCTGTCCTTCGTCCCTCGCGTCTTCAAAACACTGCCCGGGTCTCAAAAAGTATGTACATCTCTCCTATGCTGCCTTTCTTTCCGCCCTAGCCTGAAACCTCTCAAAAGTCCGACCAGCTCTTGTTATGCCTGTGCATCCGCGTTCAGCTTTGGTTCTGAAATCAATGCTACGATCAGTACATGGAGGGTTGACGCATTTCACTGCTTATAATAACTTGTTTTCTTCTGAACGCTGGATGCAAAGAACACATGTCTGTGTGAAGGTCAGGGGAAACATCTACCCTTACTTCACCTTCTTACATGTCTGTTGAAGTACTCGAAACGCAGATGCAACCGTGCAATGTCTCTCTCTTGCTCTCGTCCAAGCAGGTATAAAGTATATCTGCTCTCCGACCTCGTGTTTTTTTACTTCACGACTCCAAGGACGGAATAGCTGTTTGCTGCATTGCATAGGCCTTTCCCCTCCCTTGGTATTGTCTAAAGATACAGTACTAAAAGAATGATGGCTGTCCCGTCTCCTCCTTTTCTAAAACACCATCCCCGCCTGACGTCTGTGTCATTCCCATTCAAGAGTCTCAGATGGAACACTACGCTGCGCTCGAAAAGGGGACCTCCATGGTTCGGAGTTGTGCTGAAATCAAGAAATCTTGGAAATGATGTTTGGCGGCTTCTCCCATCACTTGAATAAATGCTGGAGGGATAAGAATCTCTAAAACCTGCATCCTTCTCTTTCCGAAATCACTCTCCTGGCTGATGGAAGTTGAAAGTTTCCTGAACTACATGCATGTGTTTCTCTTTGTTTCTCCAAAACTTAGCAAAACAGGACTAGTGGGTGTGACTACGAATCAGAGTCACTGCCTTACCAAATCTGCGAGATATGCACGAAATGGCATCTTCTCTCTCGTCTATGCTAAAACGAAATTCTTTGTGAAGCAGAACAATGTCTGCTAAGCAACTAAAACCCTATCTGTCTCTCTTTCTCTTTTCTCTGCACATCTCATCAGTACTTGTGTGTCTCGGTTGAAATTCAAAACGACTGCAGAAGCATCTATGAGAGGTTTCTCTGCCTCGAAATATCAATCACGGCACTATTTCCCTTACACTGCTATTTCAACTTGACGTTATTGAAAACAAGCTCTGTAAAATTACATGCTTCCTTTGGCCGTCCTTGATTTGCTTCCTCTTCACCTCTAAGTTCTTTCCTCGTCCTAAAACCAAAAATTCGGCGTATTCTGGGCGCCACCCGCTGTCTTCAGACTGGCTTGTTACATCCCAATTTCAGGCTATCTATTTTCACAACTTCAAGCCAACCAGAAACTCCGAGAGTGGCACCGAATGTTGGCTCTGTGGGTCGTCGCTGCGCTTATATTCTGTCCTCTAGAATCACACCACAAAGAGTGCTCACCACAACCTCATGGGCCCTGACGTCCGGAGATGACTTACCGAAATTTGAACAATCTGAACACTTCATGTCCAGAGCAATACTGGTCACTACGTAGAGCTCTAAGGTGTAGGAGATTGATGGACCTGACAGTGCCATCTTTTATCAATAATTCCTCTTAAATACAAGGCATGCAAAAGTATGGTATCATGTATATAAAGGCAAGTACCAAGTATCTCATACGCAAAACTTTCCATGAATACGTCCATACTATATGACGTCTCTACGTTTTGCAAACAAAGACTCGAAGACGGAGCGAGAGGACAAGTAGAGTGGAAGCGAGGGAAGGATGTGTTCATCACAGGACATCGAGGCATCCTCTCAATTCGATAAGTATTCCACAAAGCCGATATGATATTTTCCATTGTCATCATGGGTATGTTGGTAGATGAGAAGATCGAGATGTCCATAGACAGAGATTAGGACTGACGTCTGAAATTAGGGCCAGACTTGTAGCCAGCCACCTCCATTTCCTCATCCGTACACTCAGTAATACTTTTCGTTATTCTGGTGGAGGGTAGAAGGCCTGCACGCGACGTCGAGGCATATGAGTTGGTTGATCTGCCTAAGAGTGAAAAGAATTCCTGCCACAGCGGTCTAGACAGCTGGATCGCAGCAGACAAGGCAGAGGGAGATCTATGGCAAGAAGAAATCAAGTCAAATATCAGTCGGTAAATTATCCATTGAATTCGAAAAGACGCGAGTTCAAGCGTTGAGCACGTCCTACCTGGTCAAACACCACAGGATGCGGTGAATCAATCAGCTAACAAGATCACAACACCACCCATCACGATAAACACATTCTACAAAGAAAAAAAGGCTAGACGGACACTTACAGAAATGCATACCAAATGAGTATGTAATCGTCTAGTCGTTACAAGGTTTCGCTACAGCCTGTCAATCAGTGGGCGCTAATCACTTGCTCAGAATGACTCATTCTCGCTCATTGTGATCCATACTCCGTTTCTCTTGGCATCCGCAGTAAGACGCCCCACTCCTGCATGGGTTGATTGCAGAGCAGCATTTGTTGATATTGTGCTGGATAATGCGTGCCATCGAGAGGCTAGATGCGGCACTGCTCAGCTCATTACGAGCATGATCAATGCTCTCGCTTTCTTGTGCGACTCATCTTGAGCAAGTGCGATGTTGAGCGATGGTTAAGTGATTGAGAATGAGCGAGAATGATGCTTGAACACTGGAATCGAGATAGAGACATAAGAGGAGAGCAAAGTAGAGCATTGGATATCGTAGTAACAATAAATTTCAACTTGCAAACACATGAACTGACGCGTAAGTGTCTTACGAGTCTACGTTCCAAAGCTTCAAAGATTAAGAACTCATTTTGCCGATGTGATGCCACCCCGAACAGGTGTGCTTTGATCGACCCATCTTCCGACATCGTCTGAAAGAGCCATCTGCGCACGCCGACAATTTAAGAAGAAGGATCCGAACATTGCTGACAACTAAGGAAAACATCATTTTTGCGCCTTCAACAAAGCACGAAGCGTTTCGACCTCGCCCTCGAGCCGGGCACAGCGAACCTTCAGATCGTCTCGTTCAGTCTTGACGTCCTTTAGCTCGGATTCCAGACCGGACATCTGGTCAACGCGCTTCTGTCGATAGCGACGGGCAGCGAGGGTGTTGGCTTTTCGCTTCTCGACGCGGGTGGGCTCAGCGGCGAGAGGGGTGTTTTTGGTACTTGGCAATTTGGGTTTGGGTGAAGTATGGTCTGAGGATGAAGATGTCTGGTTCCCGAGAGTAGTAGAGGCCGGGCTAGAGTGTTGAGGAGCTATATAACTTAGAAACGCCTTGTAGAATGGAATTGGTAGCTTACCGATTGTCATGGGATTGAACAGGCTTGTATCAGGTATATTTTCAATGTCAGATGGCATAGCTAAAAGGTTGATGTGTTCTTCTGGAGTGAATAGTGTCTGATCGCCAGAGATGAGTCCAAGTTGATCTCCATCGCCAAGATAGTGTTCGGCGCCAGAGACGGGTAGTGAAAATGGATCCCAGTTTGCGGTGTCGTAGAACGAGAGATCAGGAGCAACGAGATCACCTGACAACGCGTCTACGGCAGAAGAAGATAGAGGAAGAAGTGGAGTGGGGTCGAGGAATGAACCGCTAGAATCGGCGGTAGATAGGGACAAGGCGTGGTCCCAGCTAAATGTCTGATGATTTGGCAGGTCCCCGCAGAGTTCGCGGCGAGAAGAAGCTGACGACGGACTGGCTTGGGACGAACTGCATTCTGGCTGTGGTGTATTCCATTTCGAGATGTTGTAAAGCGGGCTCCAATCCCCGCTAATGAGATCTAGATACTCGTCACAAGAAATTGAAGTTACTGAAGAGCCCTCTCACAGGGTGACAGGGCGGAGTTGGATGAGGTGCGAAGAGATGGGTAGCCTGAGGCCATATATAGAAGGGCTGAGCATGACTCAGGCAGCCAGTCTTGGCATAGCACCGCCTTTTTCCCCAACATCTCACTGCAGCATCCGAGGCGCAGCATTCGCGATCGGTCCCAGCAATGCCGTCCTCCCGGATACTTCGCCCAAGTTTGGCGTCGACGACTTCAGAGGTACTGTCCTTCCTCGTGCCTTCAGCCCAATGCGCACGCGCTTCCGTAGCACGATTCTCGACATCACCGACACCATGGAAGGCGGACAACAACAAAATGCGGGGAGTGTCTTCGGTCAGACGGACAGGTCTGCGCCCTAGGCAAACACTCTCCGTCAAGGAGAAGGATTTTGAGAACCAGCGCCTGCCAACACCAGTCGCTTTCCAGAGGGACGTCAAAGGCACGCCAGACCACGGTCTATGGGACTTCTTCAAAGACAAGAAACTGCTGCAGACGCCCATGGAAGCGCAGAGACATGGTACGGGAGATAGCTCTATTGAAGGAACAATGGCTAATGGAGCCTGCAGGGCGCGCATGGACAGCTGGTGAATTGCGTAGCAGGGATTGGGACACACTACACCAGCTGTGGTGGGTATGTGTGAAAGAGCGGAACCGCCTCGCGACCGAGAACCTCGAGCGTGCACGACTAAAAGCTGGTTATGGTGATCACGAGAGCAACGAAAGGGACAAGACCGTGCAGAAGACAATGAAGGCTATCCTGGACACTTTGACAGAGAGAAACCTGGCATATCAGGAGGCATTGGAACTGGCGAAGCAAGATCCAGAGATCGATCTCAGGAGAACAGACGGCCCGCAGTACACACCATCAGCCTATGTAAGTAGCATAAATTACAAGCGGCGGGTGATTGCTAATCTCATGTTGTAGGATCCCACAGAAACGGACCATTTTGAGGATACGCAGTATGGTTCCGCAGAAGCAGAACCACCAGTTGAGTCTCAGACGATCAATGAACCCGCGATAGATAAGCCACTAGCGACCGAGGAGCGACCAAAGGAGAAAGTGAACGCCATATAATATAGACTACAGCAAGTCTGTACAAGCCAAAGACAGCAAAGAGCAATGCCGCGAGGCATAGGTGGTTTTCAGGAGAATCAGAGCATCAGCTTTGTTGAGTAACAGGCTGCACACGAATGTCGACCTGCGATACGACCTTGTCGATTTATCTGCTGTATCATATGTCGTACTGTAGAACTCGTACCTAGCTAGCAACATTTGTAGGATACGTTGAGAAGCTAAGAAGAAACGGCTTCATCGAGAGACGATATCGAGTGCTTTGACACAACCATCGAACCGTTCTGTGCAACCGTCTTATGCTCCGTCCTGTAATGCTTTAGGAGAAGGGTTGCCAAGCGGTGGATGACAGACACAACTGAATGTTCCCAGTGATCCTCCCACACTTGTTTGAAAGACTCTAAAAGTACTGCAAGCCATGCGTTCACGTTTTCAATCGCCAGGTGCTGATCCCTGTCTTCCCAAGGACGGTGTTCACGCGTTCACAAAGTAGCGTATGGGAGTACGCCACTGCATAGATAGAGTTGTGCAAGGAAGCTACAGCACCCCCACATAGCATCGCTCACCGCAACACCCAAGATCCGCTCTAGCCTGCCACGCTCAAGTAGACAACACAGACGAGTCTCTTCACTGGTCTTCCCCTTATACATCTCCCCAAACACAAATATGGACGAAATCGCACCCGAGTACGACGTTGTGGTTCTGGGAACTGGTGGGTACCCCGCCTTCGCTGCGCTGGCCGCCAGTAACTAACATTACCCAGGTCTCACAGAATGTGTTCTATCAGGGTATTACGCGCGCTGTTGCTGTAAACTCCGAATGCTGACACGCTTCCAGTGTTCTCAGTGTCAAGGGCAAGAAGGTGCTCCACATTGACCGTAACGATCACTATGGCGGGTAGGTCTTCCGAGCTCTGTTGTTCGAGTACGTGAGAGCTTACATGACGCAGTGAAGCCGCCTCTTTGAACATCGAAGCAGTACGTATCTCCACACGTTTTCGTACGAGCAGCAACTGACAAACGTAGCTCTTCAAGCGATACGGACAGACGACCGGCGAGCCATGGAAGAAGTATGGCCGCGTGAACGACTGGAACATCGACCTTGTCCCAAAGCTTCTCATGTCCAACGGTGAACTCACCAACATCCTCGTTTCGACCGACGTCACAAAATACCTCGAGTTCAAGCAGATCGCCGGCAGCTATGTGCAACAGGGCGCAGCTACCAAGGCGACTGTTGCCAAGGTGCCCTCAGATGCAGGCGAGGCACTCCGGTCGCCACTGATGGGTCTCTTCGAGAAGCGCAGGGCCAGGAACTTCTTGGAGTGGGTTGGCGCATACAAGGAGGATGACCCGGCGTCACACAAGGGTAGGTTCTATCGAGACGTGGCGATGTAGGACAACTGTATTAACAGTATACGATAGGCCTTGACACGCAGTCTTGCACTATGAAGGAAGTTTACGACAAGTTCGGCCTGGAGCCCAGCACCCGCGACTTCGTTGGACACGCTATGGCGCTTTACCAGACGGATGACTACATTGACCAGCAGGGCGCGGCCAACGAGGCCATTCAGCGCATCAGGCTCTACGTCAACTCGATGGCGCGGTACGGAAAGTCGCCTTACATCTACCCTTTGTATGGCCTTGGAGAGCTTCCCCAGGGTTTCGCCCGACTTTCAGCTATCTACGGCGGCACCTACATGCTGAACACCGATGTTGATGAATTCATCTACGACGGCAGCAAGGTCGTTGGCATCAAGGCCACCATGAAGGAGAAGGACGACGCCGGCGAGGGCATGAAGTTTGAGACTAAGGCGAAGAAGATCCTCGCAGACCCCTCATACTTCCCCGATAAGGCGCGCGTTACCGGACATCTGCTGAAGGCCATCTGCATCCTCAACCACCCGGTTCCCAACACTGGCGACATCGATTCCCTTCAACTCATCATCCCACAATCCCAGGTTGGACGCAAGCACGGTATGTCACGACAGTCGCCTCTCAGAACTCACAGCTAACTTATCGACTAGACATTTACATCGCCGTCGTCTCCTCCGCCCATAACGTCTGCCCCAAGGGCTACTACATCGCCATCGTGTCGACGATTGCCGAGACCGACAGCAACCACCACCTCGAGTTGCAGCCTGGTCTCGACCGCCTCGGACGCATCGAGGAGCAGTTCATGGGCCAGCCCATCCCACTCTACGAACCACTCGAAAGTGGTGATAACGACAACATCTTCCTCTCCAAGAGCTACGATGCTACCAGCCACTTCGAGACAACGACGGGTAAGTGATGTAGATGTTTGTGCAAATCACAGATGCTGACAAATGTGTAGATGATATCAAGGATATTTACCGACGTGCGGAGGGCCAGGAGCTTGTTGTTGAGGGGTTGAGGGAAGGTGCGAATTTCAACGTCGAGGAGTAGACGTTAGTTTGAATTGGAACGTGTTAATATGTGCAACAAGCGGTCGCTTAAATATATCACTGCATGAATTTCTGAGATTTAGCCCATTGATAACTTTTGTTCGCGTTGCGGAGCGGAGCGGCATTGCCAAGAGGTGCGCACCTGTGCTCGCGCAACATTGTTAGACCATTAGGGTACTTTGCATCGTCTTCACTTTCGTCTCTACGAGACTTCCACTCCTTTGTACACGTTCAAGATGGCGAACCAAAGGGTATCGCGTGGGCGCTACCGCTTTCTACTTGTGGCTGTAGTGTTCCATCTCGTCTACATTTACAGGTCTGTACACGCATTGGAAGTAGAGTGTGGATGTTGGTCTAACATGAAAAAGCATATTCTCGATATATTTTGTGAGCCCGGTCGTCCATGGCATGCGAGAGCATCGCGTCGAGACAAGAGAAGCGCCCGCGAAGCGATTGGTGCTGTTTGTTGGTGAGTGAAGCTATACCCCCTCATGGCCTGTTGGAGGTCTAACAGCTATAGGGGATGGTCTTCGCGCGGACAAGGCATTCCAGTCTTTCCCTGACCCGGATCCAAAGCATCATGCTATGCTACATAAGCCCCTGGACGCAAATGCCTCCGATATAGGCTCGGAATCCCTCGATGATCCAAATACGCCCCGCCCTCTCGCTCCGTTCCTTCGCTCCCGAGTCCTCGAAAGTGGCACCTTTGGTGTCTCCCATACCCGCGTACCCACCGAATCGCGTCCTGGTCATGTCGCGCTGATTGCGGGGTTATACGAAGATGTGTCTGCGGTTACAACAGGGTGGAAGATGAACCCTGTGAACTTCGACAGCGTGTTCAACCGCAGCAGACACACATGGAGCTGGGGCAGTCCTGACATCCTGCCCATGTTCGAACATGGCGCAGTCCCTGGACGGGTAGACGCATACTGCTATGGGGCCGAAGACGAGGATTTCTCCAAAGACGCGTGGTTGTTGGATGAGTGGGTGTTTGTCAGGGTCAAGAAGCTGTTTTCAGATGCGAAGACGAACAACACGCTGGATACGCAACTGCGACAGGGAGGAAATGTGTTTTTTCTTCATCTTCTGGGACTGGATACGACGGGACATGCGCATCGGCCGTATTCGTGGCAGTATCTTCACAACATTCAGATTGTGGATCAGGGTGTAAAAGAAGTCACGAAACTCATCGAGGAGTTCTACGATGATGACAAGACGGCCTTTGTGTTCACGGCGGATCATGGCATGAGTGATTGGGGGAGCCATGGAGATGGTCATCCGGACAATACACGCACGCCGTTGATTGCATGGGGCGCTGGTGTCGCATCACCGGTGCGGAGTGCAACTGGGATTTCACGGGGCCATGAGGATAAATTTTCGTCGGACTGGAATCTGGACCAGATTGAACGGCACGACGTAAACCAGGCCGACGTGGCAGCTCTCATGGCATACCTAGTCGGAGCTGACTTCCCTACCAACTCGGTTGGCGTGCTTCCTCTCTCATACCTCGATACGGATCCAAAGGCCAAGGCGGAAGCGCTTCTTGTCAATGCCAAACAGATACTGGAAATGTATCACGTCAAGGAAGAGCTGAGGATGTCTGGACAGCTCTACTACAAGCCTTTCCCTGGACTTGGCGACGAGACACATTCGGTGGAGCATCGCGTTTCCCTGATACAGAAAAGTATCGATGAAGACGATGCCGAGGACGCCATCCGACGAACCTACGAACTCATCGACACTGGTTTGGAGGGCTTGAGGTACTTGCAGACGTATGACTGGTTGTTCCTGCGAACGCTGGTAACCGCCGGGTATATTGGCTGGATCGTCTTTGCAATCACGACGGTCATCGATTTGCATGTGTTGAACGAAGCGTCGCAAGCACAGCGGACGACGCAGAGCATCGTGGTGTTCTCCTCGATACTTGCCGTTCTGTACGCTGTTCTTCTAAAGCAGCGCTCTCCCTTGGTCTACTACGCCTACGCCCTTTTCCCGGTTTTCTTCTGGGAAGAGATCTATGCTCGTAGATCGTCACTTGTCAAGGGAGGAAAGGTTTTGTTTGGGCAGGTCTCTTCGAATGGTGATATAGCGAAGCTCGTGCTTTCGACGTTTGGCTTTTTTGGTCTCTTGGAGGCCTTGGTAGGAAACCCATGCACCGCTCGAGTACATAACACTCACGCATTGGGCAGGTTCAAAGTTACTCACACCGGGAGATTTACACGGTCTGCTATTTGCTCGCCACATGTTGGCCCGTATTCTATGGTAAGGAGTTCTTGAAGAAGAACATGGGCACAGTGGCGACCTGGGTACTCTCTTGTATTGTCATGAGCGCCTTTACGATGCTTCCAGCGAACAAGGCCGAAGATCCACGTTTGATGTGAGTATCCTAACGTTGGTTGCGAAGGCGTGTGCTAACAACAAGAAGTTTCCTTGGAGGCAGTCTGATGTTCGCTGTTGGCGCATTGTATTTGCTCTTTGAAAAGAGCATCTTAGCCGACGCAGACTTGGACGAAGAGCATACTGAGCTCAAAGTAAACAATGGGTCTCGAACCTTGTTAGGTGCCCAGGTAGGTTTTCACGTGTACATGTGTCGACTTGTCGCTAACATGATACAGCTCGGACTTGTGCTCCTTGCCATGATTGTCACCCGGAGTAGCATCGGATACATCCAGAAACGACAAGGTTTACCACTTGGTGTGCTGGTAGTGGGATGGTCAACGTTGGGTAGGCATTCTCAACTGAAGATTCAATGCAGAAGATTAACAGCATACAGTGGGCTCCCTGGTTCTACCACAATTCCACGGGTTATACCCCAACAACAACTACGTCCATCGCCTGGTGGTCATGTTCCTGCAGTTCGCACCCACCTTCATCATCCTCACTATCTCGTACGAAGGGCTCTTCTACCTCGCTTTCTGCCTTTGTCTCTTCAGCTGGATGCGTCTGGAGCACCAGGCCTACCAACACAAGGCATTGGCGTCTTCGTCCGCTCCATCATCAACAACTACTACCACACCCACTTTGACGGTAGAAGAAACGAACAATCGCCCTCTCACACTTCTTGATACCCGTATCGCCCTCTTCTTCTTCTTTTTCATCCAATCAGCCTTTTTCAGTGCTTCCAACATCGCCTCAGTATCCTCTTTCTCCCTCGACGCCGTGTACCGGCTCATCCCCGTCTTCGACCCCTTCTCGCAGGGGGCACTTCTCATGCTTAAACTCATGGTGCCATTTGCGGCCCTGTCCGCGAACTTTGGGCTTCTCAATCGTCGCTTGGGCGTTGCGCCGAGTGCACTTTTCATGGTGGTTATGGCAGTCAGCGATGTGCTTACGGTGAGGTTCTTCTACATGGTTAGGGATGAGGGGAGTTGGTTGGACATTGGCACGAGTATCAGTCAGTTTGTTATTGCGAGTCTGCTGGGCTTGTTTGTGTGTGGGCTGGAGGTGTTCAGTGGGTGGAGCATTAGCGGGGTCGAGTTTGAGGACAGGAGAGGCAGTAATGGGAAGGCGAAATAATGCTGGTGGTGTATGTAATGTTTGGATAGAACACAGACTTGTGATAGGTGTAATTTCACATGGTCGAGACAGCGATGCATATGGCTGTGTATGGCCAGCGCGAGGATTGCCTGGACAACGCTGCGTGTTGTTTGTCCGTGTTCCTGGACGACCTAACCTCTGGCGTGGCACTAAATTATGCGTGTCTGTTGTTTATGCATGTGCCTAGAATGGGGTTCTTCTCGATAGCGCGCGCGACGTGTGTCGCGCGGCATGCTTATCCGTGCGTGAGTGCGCAATCAGCGGGAAGAACAGAGCAGGAGGTTGGCGATCCTGGCGGGGGGAAGCTTTGACGGCTCCCCTCTGCAGCTCGATTACACTGCGATACTCCCAACAACGACCAGGGCATCGATAAACGACGCGTCAGAGAGCCCTCCTATTTCTTGGTTAGTCGTGTATAAAGAGGGCAGCGTGTGCAACGGCGATAAGGTTGCGTGTCACGCTTGTTGGTTCATCATCATCCGACCAGGCGCCAGTCCCAGCCTCGCCGATATCAGCCATCCGTATTTCTCCAAGCCATCACGCCCAACCACTCTCTCGTCGCCCGCGTGCAATTTCACACGCCAATCCTTCGGCGCCATTTAACCAGGCCGCTGCTCGCTCGCTCTCGCAGACGCCTTCCTTTCCTACACTATGTTCTTCAGACGCCGCTCCTCCCGCGCAAATAGCTACGTGGACAACGACGCACCCGCCCGCGCCCAGTCCCTCGACGAGTACACGGAGAAGCGCCCCGACTCCAGCCGCACACAGCCCACGCAGCAGTCCTCGGTCGCGGTTGACGACAGCGACATGTATCCCCGCCCGCAGCAGCCCCAGGAGACGACGCTGCCGACGCGCCAGCCCATGGCGAACGGCCACGGCCACGGCATGCCGCCCTCGATGGGCCAGTCGGCGCCGTCGCTCAACGGCGGCGGTGCGGCCGCCATGCCCGATCTGCTGACGCAAGCCTTCAACCAGGCCATGCGCCCGTACCTGGAGAAGATTGACCACCTCGAGAGCCAGCTGGCCGAGCAGCAGGCCTGGATCTCGCAGCTCGAGAACCAGCGCACCGAGATGTTCCACTGGATCGACAAGCGCGGCCTGCGACCTGGTATGTCCATCCGTCCACTTTCCTGCCATTCCCCCAGCTAACACCCCCACCCAGACGTGCCCGACACCCTCGCCAAGATCATGGATACGACGACGCCCGACGCTGCCCTCACCCTCAACGCCCAGCTCGACCGCAAAATCACCATTGTCAACTTCGACCTGCACCGTCTGCAGGACGACCTCAACGACTCCATCTCCTCGTCGCACTTTGCCTCAGCCATGCTCAAGTTCCTCCCCGACGTGCAGCGCCTGGCCCAGCTGCCCACGGGCCCGCGCTACGCCTTCGATCTGCTGCTCAAGCTCGGCGGCAATCTCAACTCACATGGTGGTCTCGATGGCGCCGAGCCAGGCGACATCGAGGCGCGCCGCGACTTCTACTCGCGCCTGGACCTGGGCATGGTCGATGTTGTCAGCCGCCGCTTCGGCGAGGGCGAGGACTGGAACGTGCAGCGCGAGATCAAGCGCATTGAGAAGACGGCCCACCACCTCAAGGGCTTTGGCGTCGAGCCATACTTCCCCCAGACTCTGGACCTGATGAAGCGCGAGCTGGAGTTCCAGGGCCCCAATGGCGCGCAGGCAAACGGCCAGAGGTCGCCCCCGCGGTACCATTAGTTCCTGCCTTTGTCCTGTCCTGTCACGTTCTGAGCCTTGAGAGTTGTGTAGTCTTGATGCGTTTTTGCTGACTGCTGGTTGTTTTTTCTGTGTCTAGGAGTCGACGCGTGCGCTTTGATGGGGGGTGCGTTCCTCAGGCAGACGGCGCGTAGGATGCTTCGACGTCTGATCGTCCCTCGCCTCTTCCTGATCCTCGCGCTGCTGCTCGTCTCCATCGCTTGTCTCTTGCTTCGACTCCTCCTTTCGACACTGCTGATTTGCCTCCACCCCCGCCACTGCGTCCCACGCCGGATTTCGTCTCCTACGCGTCTGCTAGTCCGACGTCGCTTCGCCGCTCAACGCTCTGCAACGGCAATGGCGCGGCTATTCGACGGTCGCTCCCTAAGCCATTTTTCGCCGAGTCGGACGTGGACGTGTGAGGGGTGTTGCAGTCAGATCAAATCAAGCCGAATCCCAGAAACCACCACGGTCAGCTAATCACATCGACTCTACACCTTCCTCGGCCGTCATTCTTGTTCTGCATTGCTTTGAATCCTCTTTCTTGTATTTTCCTTCCCGTCTTTTCGTGTGCGTTATTCGTTATTCGTTATTTGGCATGGGTGGGTTGCGATAGGCGATGAAATTTCACGATGTATTGGTAATGATGGCGTTTTTTGGGCGCGGTTTTTGCTGCTTGTGTACGAGGGCGAAGGATACCATATATAGGCTGCTGTTGGGTGGGGTGGCATGGCTTGGGGGGGTTTGGGAGGGGTGGGTGGATGGAAGGGGGGGATGGGGGGTGGTAATGAATGGATGGGAAGGGAAGGGAATAGAAATGTAAAACTTGAAGGTTTTGTACTTTGTCTTGCTGGCGTGTATGGGTGATGCGGATTTGTGTGTGTTTTCTAAAGTGTTGTACGGTTTCCATCCTCATCTGGAGAAATATTCCCCCCGTTCCATGCGTTCGTGGCCATGCCATACTTTCTGTACATCGCACATCTTCCCGTCTGCTTGTATTCTACTCTGGCTGGGTATACGTTTCCACCGTTCAAACTATTCAAAATCAGCGTGTCACCAACTCATATACGCAGGTTTGTCATTCCCGCCAGCGAACAAAAAAAAAGACATACAAAGATGCGTAGGGTCTTGGTGCGGAAACAACTCGGCACTGTATGGTTTTTCTTCCGCGTGTATGTCTGGTGATGAAATGTATGGTATGGCTTGGGGGGTTGATGTGATGGATGGGTTATGTAGAGTGGGCGAGTGTGCTTCGTTTTAGTGAGAGTGGGAGTGGCATGTCATGTCGTCTTGGTTATCTGGTTGTTGCTGTTTGTATGGTCTGGGTTGCTGGCTTGAGTGTTTCGGTGTTGATGGGGAATGAGACTGTGATGGGGAGTCGGGCTTCTGGAAGAACGGAGATGGGAAGTTGGGGCTGTTGTGTACTGTTTTTGTTGCGAGTTTGGGACTTGATATGGACACAACCGGGTAAAAAGATTTGGGACGGGTGTGGAGAGGTCGAGATGAGATGAGATGAGTAGACATGGTGGTGCAGCGTGTACACCTGGGTTTCTGAGCTTTGAGATTTGGATGTGCGAGGGCGTTGGGAGAACGACAAGCATGATTGTGGGACGTTTTGTCCTCAACAAGAAATGGAAAAACACAAGATGTCATTCATGCCAAAGTTCAACAGTGTATTACCCCATATCTATATACTCTACGCAGTGCTGCTCGGCGCACTGCTAGTCAGCGAGACTGGTGTTGGTGTAGCCGATGCAGAAGCAGAAGCAGTAGCCGTGCTGTTTCCTCCGCCCGACGTCGCTTTCTGAACAACTGCTTGCACGACTTGGCCTGTTTGAAAGATCAGTCTCACGTGAGCAGGAAATGCGAATTGGTTGCTTACCAGCTGTGTTGAACACGATATCTACAAGCGCGTTCAATGGCTCGTATGAGAACGTCTTCTGCGTTTGTCCTTGGGAAAGCTGCTTCAGACTGCCCGTGACTTCGGTCATGTTCAACTACAAATCGTTAGTATCCTCATGTGCTGAATGATGGTTAGACGCACCTGGTAGTTTCCGACAATCTGCGAGAGCGCGTCTCCTGCGCCGCCTGTGACGTCCTGAACGATGTTGCCGAGATTGTCGACGAGGAAGTTCAGCGTCTTCCCGCCTTGCGTGATCGATCCAAGCTACCTCCCATTAGCAAGTATTCTACTTCCAGACATTGAGATACTCACAAGACCGTCCACAGCCCCAATAACATCGCCAATCAATTCCGTTGCGTTGCCCACCAAACTGATCAACAACGGATTCAAGTCCAAGGAATCGAACACCCGCTCGACAATCTCCACCAAGTTACCCAGCCTCACAATCAGCTCGAGATTGACATCGACGTCTGCAATCGTGATGTTCACTTTCTCAACAGATACAGCGACACCGGCGTTGATCTGCACGAGCCCAGCGACTTTGGCATTGAGATTTAGGTCCGCAGAGAGTTTCTCGACGATGAGCTCAATGCGACCTACGTGCAGTTCCGGGACAACGAGATGTACATCGGGAGCCGTGGATGATGTTGGAGTATCGGGTGTAGACGTGGACGTTGTGCCGTTTGAGATCGGTCTGTTGCTGGTAATAGGCGGGGTTGCTGAGGAGGCAGTTTGAGCAGAGATCTGTGTCGTGAAGACGAGGAGGATGCTGATGAGCAGAAGGCGGATAGAGGACAACATGTTGGCGTGCTGTAGTGAATGGGGCGACGACAACAACAACAGCGGGCAATGCGCAAGACGAACCTACTACTCGCAAGTAATAAGCAAAAGCTGGGATTAGAACGTTAAAACAACGGCGTTGCAAGCGAATTTGTGGCTCTCGTTATGCACATCCATGTTGCATGTTCTTTTACAAATGCTCATCTCGGATCAGCCCCCTTACAAGGGTCATGCAACCTCGAGCCAGGATGTCTACAGGGCTACGAGCCGTGTTTCTGGGGTAAAAACGTCCAGAACTTGAAAGACTGGACGAGACGTTGAGATTGCATGCGCAAAACGGGATTGCGTCGTGCCGTTTTCTGACATATCTCCTTATGAGGGAGGTGGATGATGGCGGTCGTTCCCGTTGGTTATTCTCCTACCGCACCCGTCATTCTTTTGTTGCTGGACTACTCGCACTGATTGAGTTGCTCGTCCTTTTCGTTTCGTCGTTTGAACTTCACATACTTTCCGTCGTTCATTGCTACACGGCCGACTACCACAATGCGTTCAATACTTTCCGTTGCCAGCCTTCTTCTGTTACCCCTCCCTGCCCTTTGTCAATCCATCACTGACAGCGACGGCTACACTGGGTACAAACTGGACATCCGAGAAGATGGCGACCCGCTCGCCGTTGTTTACGAAACCGAAAACACAACACTGAATGTCTCTGCTCTTATCCCAGAACCGGACGTCATGCTCAACGCTTCCGTGCACGTCGGCGAGATATACATCGGCGTCGACAACCTCACTGCGAAAATCAACCTCGATGCGCAGGTCCTCTCACTCCTACAATTCAATGCGGGAGTCGACCTCAGCATTGAGAAAGTCTCGCTGTTGATCCAGAATGTTACCGCAAAAGTGTACCTCGAAGCCCGGCTCACCAACCTCGTCAAGATGATTAGCGACGTGCTCGACTCGGTCGACCTGAACCCCGTGATCGCCGAGCTCGGCAACGGACTGGGCAGCGTACTCGACGACGCAGGCGACTTGATCACCGATGTTGCCGGCGGAGACGATGAAACAACGCAAGCAAAAGCCAAGCGGGAAATCGACCTCATGCAATTCGAAGTCAAAGAAAACATCCTTTACTCGGTAAACAATTTCTCAGGCAACACGCACAAGCGCCGCGTCCTGGCCCAAAACGGAGACATTGTCGAGCAAACACTGAACAACTATGGCTCCGTGTCCAGCGAACGCGTCGTGGGCAACTATGAAAAAGACATGCGCTTCAATGGATTCAACGAAAGTGTGACATTCAAGGGGGAAGAGGTTCGCGAGGAAGAGTACATCTACGAGCCTTTCAAGGGGCTCTTTTCCATCTCAGGCGTCTTCAAGAATAAAGTTACCGGCGAGGTGGTTGGGACGCAGATTCTGGCTGAGGCGAGGGGAGGCGGCAGCGCGAGTATTGGCAATGTAGATTGAGGGGGTGTTATTGACCGGCCTGACCTTAATACAGAAAATTATCATTTCGAAGTTTCATGTGTTTCGAGGACTGGGCGAGTCGAGAGCGTGATCGGAATCTGTCGCGTGACGTCATGTTCACACGAAACCACTGCTAGCGCGATTGCCATCCCAAATCGGATCCATGGCATGATATTGTTTGGCCAGACTAAGTGAGCTTGCAAACTGCGGGCTGGATGTTACGTTACATTCCTGTTTATCAGCTTCACGATACATTCATTTCATCACTTGGTCTCTGATTCGACGCACGTGCGGCATCACACTTTCTAGAGCCATGGAACCGCCAATTCATTCATTTGCCCTTCACATGCCAACCACCGAACACATTGTGCCAACTCCCTAGGCCGGGGGTTCGTGCCTTCACCCTTCCTCTATCGCCCTCTTCCTGTGTCACTCTTGATTGAGAACCGGCTCGCCAGTACTACTCAACATTGTAAAAAGCGCTATAAAACAGATGTGAGTGATGCGACACGTCGGGCCGTACATGGCTTGGTACATCTGCTATGTGATGAGAATCTGGTTGATGATAAGTTCAGCAGTGGTGGTGGTAGTGGTGCTGCAAGAGTTTCCGTTGTGCTTGGGCACACCAAGATTATGCTCAAGTGATCAAGCTTCGAATCATCCATATGTTGAACAAATAGTCTTGTCAGTGCGGTGGCACTACTTGGTAGGGACACCTGTTGGTATGTAGACAAAAGCGCCACAACGCTTCTGTTCTGAATGGGCGAATTTGTTGGATAACATGCTGAGTGGTATATATGTTACGTCCTGGAAACTACTCAACATCCCTGACACCGCAGCCTTCTGCTGTGGACGCCACTGTACATATTCATGCAGTGAATTTATCCGCGTAATAGTAGTCATTGGGACCAGGAGCGCGAGCACGAATCTTGGCAATGAATTGCGTGCTTGATACCTCCGCATATAGGACGCCATGCCAACACATGTGTCCAAGTGACGCCGGATATGAGAGACGTCATATCGCTGTCGCCAAAGTCGAGGAAGCAGACATCAATAAGCAAAGGCTGAGAAATACGAACTAAAACATGCCAGCCGCAGTGCTCCCAGACCCACCTACGATCCCGAGATGGAAGCGACCAGGCAAAACTACTGAGAATCTCGACTGGGCAGATATCAAGATCATCGACCTGTCGACATTCGATGAGCCCGGGGGTAAGCAGAAACTCGCAGAAGAACTACGAGATGCTGTAAGTGATGGTATTGTGATGGTAAGCCCAACTTTTGTAGACTGAATCGAAGTTCAGGTACACCACACGGGCTTCTTCAGTATTACTGGGACTGGATTTACTCAAGAACAAGTAAATCGTCAGTATGATATTGGTCAGGCTTATCTGAATCTTCCGCTCGAAGAAAAAGGAGACCTGAAGTATCGATGTGACTTTGGACAAGGAAACTACTTTGGGTATCGAGCAGTAAGTACAAACCGCAATTACCGCCGCCATACTAACGTGCTTTGTGGTAGGCCCATGAGAAGACAGTGATGGGTACTGATGTCCTGGACAACGTTGAATCAGTCAACATCCCCAAACTCATACACTCCAATTCACACGAACCTTTCCATCCCTTCCTCCGCCAATTTCACTCAGAAATCGAAGAATTCTCGCGACGCTCGCTCGAATTAGCATCCAAAGTCTTCACACTGTTCTCCATCATCCTTGAGCTCCCAGAGGACTACTTCTCAAAGCAGCACCTATACGACGATCAATCCGAAGACCACCTACGCTACATGATCTACCATCCACGATCCGCCTCGGAAGATGTGAAAGTGCAAAACACATGGTCCCGCGCACACACTGACTTCGGCTCTCTCACAATCCTCTGGTCGCAGAACGTTGCCGGCCTGCAACTCAAAACGCCAGCTGGAGAGTGGAAATACGTTCTCCCGGTCGACAACGGAATCATCTGCAATGTAGGCGATACGTTAGATTTCTGGTCTGCAGGATATCTCAAATCTACTGTTCATCGCGTGCAAAGACCCCCGGAAGATCAGGCGCATATCCACCGCTTGGGACTGTTTTACTTTGTCCGACCGGGAAATGAAGTGGATATCAAGCCCGCACCGTCACCGTTGTTGAAGCGCTTGGGGCTTGTGAAAGAAGATCGAGAGGGGGAAGAACCGGTTAGGGGATTGCAATATGTCAGGGAGAGGGTGAAGAACTACCATGATCACAACGATTATGCGGACATGAAGGGGAAGACGTTCAAAGTTGGGAATCTGGAGATTGAAGATGAGGCCGCGTAAGTCGCGGAAAATCTCGTGTTACAACTTGGTGATGGCCATGGTGCCACTGCGGTCGACCTATCAGAAAAGTATCAGATCGAATATTGAAAACCAACACACAAACGACTTACAACGACAAGATAGCAAAGAGAATAGAGGTATATCCAAGTCGAAGTCAGACTTCAGTGCCTGCTCCAAACACTAGGTTTTCTTCCAGTATGACGATGAAGTGTGATAATATAAGCTTATTCACAAGAAGACTTCAATTGTGCCTTTCTCATGTGTTATATTGTGTTTGTAGTAAAACCACAATCGATGCTCTCACCACCACTCCGACAACGCCAAGTAATCCCATACCCAAATACTCCTATCCGAAACATAGAAAAACACATGCAAAATATGTGAGCTACCAAGGCCAACTTACTTATAAAGCTCTCCCAAAACACCAACAACGTAACACGTAGCCGTCACATAGATCGCTGCCTTGAACACACCACCTACTCTCCTTTTCCTCACTTCATCATCCATCTGCTTCCATTTCTTGGAATACTCGTCGTAGTCAACATCCGTATACTTCCCACGGAAGAATTGCTGCAGATCTTTGTTAGGGCCGAAGTTCATTCTCTCAGTACCTGTGTCTTCCGTTTTAGAATTTGTGGACGTTGATGTGGTTGAGAACGATTTCGTCTCGGCACCACAATCGCGTAAAACCAACATATCGCGTTTCGCGGTGACGATCTCGAGGCTGGGGACGATATGTGGGATGAATTTTGCGGGGGAGTCGAGAGTGGAGAGGGCTTGGTGGATAGGAATTATGGGGGAGGGGTCGTGTGATGAAGAGGTGGTGGATCTCGTTATCGTTAAGGTGTCGGTTTGCGGGTTGTGAATAAGAATTGTGTAATGTGTGTGAAGGTTAGTCGGCGAAGGGGTGCTCGATCCAGTGTCTGAGAGAGAGGATTGAGTAGTGATTGAAGGCGATGAGTTTTCCGACGGTGTTGTAGAAGCGGATGCTTCCACAGCCGTGTTGTCCGTCCGAGACGTTGTAGTAATGTTCAACGTGCTGTCAAGGTCGGTAGGAGTCTTTGCTGGTACTGATATGTCGTGGCTTTGCGACAGTGGAAACACCTGAACTACCGGTTCCTGGTTTACTAATGTGCTTTCGAGACTTGAACCGGGGTTTTGTTTTTCACTTTCCTCCGATTGTGCATCCTCACACTCAACCGCTACTTGTTTGTGATCCACGGTGATTGGACCATACACATCCTCATACGCCTTCCTCACTTCGTTCACCAACTTGCTTTCCCCAAGCTTCCTCTTGGCATTTTCCTTCAGCCTCTCTACCTCAGGGTCGACATCGGCATCCTGGCCCAGACTCTGTAACTGTAACCCAAAGGGCCGGAACAAACTATTAGCCAAAGGACTTGGCTCGTCGAATATCCTCTTTGGAGGTACTTTTGGTGCTCGGGAATAACCATCATCGGATAGTCCTTGCATTGCGAATTTCTGTGCCTGGACTTCACCCGCAAGATGTGCGTCGGCGGCAGCATCCAGAACAAATTTTGATGGAGGGGTATCGGCGGAAGTGGATATCAACTGCCTTCCAGAAAGTGTATTTGAGGGAACAGGAGGTTCAAGGTCTTCGGTCTTCGGGCTTTGAGCTGTCTCCCGATGTTCTTCCCCCGGAGCTGCAAGCGTCACACCATACAACTGCATAGCACGATCTACCAATTGTGCAAGCGCGAGCTGTGTATCTCTTAATGTGAGCAAACGATGGGTGATGATCCTGTAGTATGCCTGCACATGGCTTTGAACTTTGCTATCCTCAAGACGACCCTGCAAACTCCAAAGGAGACTTCTTGTCAGTTTTGAATTCTTGTGGCACACGGTAGCTGCCTGTCGAAGTCGTCTTTTGAACAGCTCGCCGACTTTGTCCATACTTCCCGTTTTCTCGAGTTCACTAAGCTCCGTGTACGCGACGCTGAGCTCGTGTTCTGTTCGTTCAAACTTCCAACGGAGTGTCTGCATGTCTTTGAGTTTGACGGGCGTCGATGCATGCGTTGTCGCTTCCATAGAACGGCGACGGAGTATTGAGGTGGATTGATCAAGCATTTCCTCGTCGTCTTTCAGGCGTTTCAATAGCTGTTTGCACGCCGGAACGTCGCGTTCCAGATCTTCTGCAATGTGTTTTGTTGCACTTCGGCCTTTCTGAATACGAGCCAGGATTTTGTCGAAATACGCCTTGCTTAATGCCAGCTCGCTCGCCCCTTCCGGAGTTGGGTCTTGCCAGAAGTGCTTCGAGAGCGTCGCGCCGCCTTCTTCGAGCCATCGTTTCATTCGACCTACGCTCGACTCAAGCTCATGCGGTTCAGCAGCGATCGGATGTGCAGGCCTCCCTTCCGGCTCAGGGTTCGCTGCCTCTGGCTCCTCTTGTAGCTGTCGCATATGTCGCTCAGTGCGACGCACAAGTTGGTCATTGATCGTCTTCGACTCGACCATAGAGTCAATATCTTGAACATTCTGATGGTTATGTAGAAAGCGTTCCTCCAAGGCTTGAAGCTTCGCCTGCTTTCCAATATCGCCCTTGACGGAAGCTCTCTTTCCAGCCATCGATGCTCGAATATCAGCTGCACTGAGAAAGTCAATGTCATCCTCTGGAAGTACACTGAGCTTCTCTGAAGTAGACTTTGAGGCCGTACTCAGTATTGGCTCATCACTCTGTTTTCGCGTTGCTACTATGTCTTGTTCAAGCGACCGATCTGTCTTCGCAACAATTCCACGCGCAAGGGGCTCACTACACCCATCTTCCTGAGCCATGTTAGTCTTGGGGATCTCTGGCATCAGTGAAACTTTGTAAGCAGCATCAGAGGGCGGTGTCGCAAAATTCTTGGGTACTACGTGCCACGCCATAGGTACTTGCGCATCTCCTTTCTGTTCTGTAGCAGACCTGATCCCGGGGGTGACAACACCTGGAATTGATACTCGTCTTTGCAACGTAGTTTGTCTCCATGATTTGGTACTTGCCTCGTCGCTAGAAACAGCCTCTGGTTGCTCCGATTTCATCGAGAGAAACTCATCAATGAACGTTGATTCTCGAGCGGCTGCTTCGTCTCTCAAGACAGCCAGGTTTGACTGCTTCATTTGCTCATTGTTCATCGACGAGATGCCGGGCCTCTTGTGGGTCTCTGTCGATGCGGATGGGGCTGATTGGGACGAAGCTAACCCATATGGAGCATTCTTAGTAGCCGTCGTCTCAAACTCATGTGCTGGAACATTGTTTGTGACGTTACCAGCGACGGTTACGTGCGATTGTTCACGTGGTCTTCTTAAGTCAGATGGAGAGACAATCCCAAAGTCATCTCGCTCATAATGAGTTGTCCTGATACATGGTTCTGGGAAATGTGCTCCTCTTGTCCGAGAAATATTGGCCCTTGTTTCAACGACAGGCTTTCGCGTGTTGCCGGCTTGCATTATTGGCTCCTGGTTCAACTTTGCTCTGTTCCCATAGTCGCAAGCTATAGATTATCAGCGTCTGATCTCCCTGATGCTTTGGCAACTCACCATGCCCATCTCTTTTGATGGCACTCTCCTTCCTCACGACATTATCCACATCAACGTCGTTCAACATCCATTTTGGGAAGCTCTTGTATACCCAATCCCAGTCTTTCAGACCCTTTCCACTGAGCATATCTTCACTCGCACCAAACAATGCTTTATATGGGTCTTCTTGCAGTCGTTTACGCCATAGTTTGTACTGTTGTAACTGTCTCCACTCAGAATTGGACATGCCCTCTGGACATTTCTTATCAGTGGAGGGTTCCTCATGATGAGCAGACTTGGGAAGCGTGCGCGAGAAGCCACGCGTACGAAGGGCGGCTTCGTTGTCACGGAGGATCCGCTGGGCGTAGCGGTTGATAGGAGAGCGTGACCAGAGTGAAGAATCGTGGCGCCACCAAGTCATTGTGAGTGTCGGGTATGGGGACGAGGCGTGAGTTGCGCTAGATCTTGCGCGTGTGGTAAACACGTAAGGTTACTACAGCTATGCACCACAAGATGATTAGCCGACTTTGTACGTGATAACATGTCCAGGGTCTAGAAATCACGAGAAAGGTCATACAATGTTGTGATCTAAACAGGACATCGAATGTCAGGGGCTCCTCGGAGTCGTGATCCGCCTACGATTCTAGGCAACCACACTCGGGCAACCTCAGGTTCAAAGACAATCTGACGAGGATGATAGCCTCAATCTCAATCAAGTCAACGAGAACTTATAGTCGAACGATGTTGGAAAGGTTTACAATAACTGAAGAAGATGTGGATGAGAGAGGGACGAAGGTGTATGGTGAACTTGCCCCATATCCCCGCGTTAGCTCCGTACCGATCATTCGCGGGGTACGCTATCAGCCGACCGTGATCTTCGCGTCACCACTCCCGCGATAGACTTTGCCATGCCTCGCGTACTAATATGAACCAGATAGCTCTTTGACATGCAGAGAGATTGGGGGCTTGACGTCGGCAATCTGCTACGCGTTCCAAATGGCCCTATGTTGGCGATAAGGCGATAAGGCAAGCACGCTAGTGTGGCCCGTGCAGCCTTCCGCCCCATATCGAGGTCTGAGGATAACAATCGACCTGCGGTGACTGCGTCTTTGCCATAGTACCACAACAGAGCAATCACCTTGTCGATTGAGAGAGTGAATGGATAAAAGTGTATCACTGGGTAAGTGGCTGGGAGAGATGAGTTTCTTGCCGAAATTGCAGATTACAGTTGAATCTTGCTCAACATGTACACCGATTTTTCATTTTTGACTCTACCCAATTTTACTGAAGGCCAAAGATCCTATAATGAGTTTATCATGCTGGTGTCCTCATGACATCCCACATACTCGAGCGACTGCTGACTTTGCTCCAGTACATAGATCTCGTGAAACAGCCGTAAAGACAACACATTGTCTAGCTTCTTCGCATACATCAAGAAGCCCCCGAAGATGTTGATATGTGTTTGATGGCTTTTACTCCAGTACTCTAGCGAAGTCAGATCGTCAAAGTAGCCGAGACCGAAAGTTCTCTCTAGACTGGCTTCGTGCGTTTTTGAATCGACCACATCCCACAAGTTCATGGAATAACACCCAACATCCTGGCCTGAGTCTCGCAGAAAGTTCATGCCAGAAATGAGTACGGGATGCATCGTCTCCAAGTATAGTTTGCGCTCTTCGGGCAGAGTATCTGACCAGTCTTGACCAGAGCGAATGATAGTCAGGTTTTTCTTTCCGGGCACACGAACCCTCTTCGATTCATTGCCACTCTTGTGCGTACCGCCCCGAGTATTCCAACTCTCGCCTACCAGCTTGTCGTCTTGAGCAGCCGCGAACCGGTCTCGCATACTGCCCCAGTATGCATGCTCCCTCATCTCACCCGATATCTTCTCTTGCATGTTCGCCGCACCTTCCGGATGCTCATGGTTTGAAAATACGGTCTCAAATCGATCTACTGATGGGCAGAGAACTTCTTTAAACCAGCCATGTACCTCACTCTCACGGTCTGAGCTCTTCCACCATGCTTCAAATCCAGATTCAACCTCCCATTCTTTGTGTATCTCTGTACTGGGCCAGTACGCGAAGACAGCGATGTTGAAGAAGCCCCGTTTGTCGGTCACGGATGCGGTTTCCCAGCTGGAAGGGCGCACGTTCTCCGGTATGTCGGTCATGAAGTTCTTGATGGTCGAGATTCCAGTCCGGTTGTCGTCCGTTCCCGCAGGGTACTGAGCTCCGATAATAGCCAGAACCAGATTTTCCATTTTCTTAGGGAATCGAGCACAATACCCCGGGAAAGGTGGATTGTAGTTCGGCGGCGTGCTCACTGGGCACTTTCGCTCCTTGCGAAGGTGCTCTGGAATCGCGGACTCGAGCATCGTACGTAGTAAAGCTTATCTTGAAGCCGATGGGTTGAATTGAGTTACTGAAAAGACTGTTGTCAATCTTGAGCCTTGAGTACAGAACTCGAATGTGGATTGAAGCATTCTTATCATGTTTGGAATGTTCTACCCCACTAGCCTTCTCCTATACTACGTCTCTCTTCCCGCGTCTGTTGATTGGCCGGCGAAGGTCGAATGTGGATTCGCGACCCTACACTATGTTCCGTATCACAGACACTAGGCTAGCTATTTTAGACTGGTGGCCGTCGACGCGGAATTACTGCGCTCAATCCCCACCTCACATCTTGCCGTACTCGGAACACATCAGTATCGCTGCCGTGTTGCCAATGCTAGGTGGTCGGTATTCCAGAAGAGCGGTGGGAGGGAAATGATTCTGAAGCCTCACCGACCTTACATCTGTGTTGTCTCCGAAAAGTGAAACCCTCATTGGCTGAGAATTTGCATACCAATGTTAACGACATAACCAAATTGCTACTTTTTACACTGTACCGGAAGACAACGAAGAACCAAGTTCGAAGAAGAGTAGCTGCTTATACTTGGTCATGGGTAAGAGACTTCAATTTAGGTTCCTAGGAGATCGTCCTGTCTCCTATGAAAAGATATTTTACTCTCATACAAAAGTCGTTACATGCATTCACCATGCCCAATCTGTATCAAACTAAAGCTGAAGTTGGATGTGCGCAGTTAGAGATGAGTACTGCGATAAGGGGAGAAAGGAGGACAATCTCCAGCAACAGAGAGTGATACAACTTTCTACAAAGGCGCGTATAACTTTAGGACATCAGAAAGTGATTCAATAAAGGTATTAGATGTAAAGAAGATTGTCCGAATTGAGAAATGTTAATCTTTTCAAACACAGGTGACCGACATGGCTTTTGAGGTATGTCTCATTGCGTCCCAGCTCACATTTTCTCCTGAGACTCGCCTCTCTCAATAGCCACTAGGCACCAAGGAGTTCGCCCAGGCCTCCACATCCGAGAATTGATCCTCCACATCGTCTGGTATTCCATTTCCATTCGCATCGACCCACTGCGTTCCTCCAGCAATCGTTCCTGGCCCACCCACTGAGCTCTCATCGCTGATAAGCTTGCCCGACTTGCCCCTGCTCTTCAGTTCCGTGATAAGCAGCGTGTCCAGTGCGTCGCGAACCTTGCTCGCTCCAACGGAAGTTTCAACATATGCAAGTGCGTCTGCAGCAGAGAGGATCTTGCTTGGAGCTGGATGAGCAAACTTCGTGGTCTGGATAGCCATACCGCCGTAGTTCGATGATGCAACACCGAGTTCTTTTCCATTCAACGTACCATCTTTGTCTGAGTCGTAGAAGTTCTTTTCCACGTAGCCTTTGAAGTCTGCGTTTCCGCGCGTGAAGGCTGTAGCAGAGGTACTCGGTCCGCTGATAAAGTAGTTGCCAACAATGTTGACTTCTGACGTGCCCGACGAGTCACCGCCCGCTATATAGCCGCCTCCGCCGCCCCAATTGTAAATCACGTTATTGGTGAAGTCGTTCGTGCCCTTAACTTTCGGGTTCCGCGTCTTGTTGTCGATATACAGGTTACGGAACAAGCTGACGCCGTTACCAATCTCCGTCTGTATCAGTCCGCCACAAGAGTGTGTCTCTAGACCCTGGGAAATGATACTGTTCTGAATAGTGATATTTCCCGCCTCGGGCCCCGAGATACTGAAAGTCTCATCCCGACCCCACGACACCGAGATGTGGTCGAAAATCATGTTACTCCCCTCGGCGACACCTGCAGCATCCTTGCCGCTCGTACCTCCCTTGCCCATGCGGATGCGGATGTAGCGTACAATCGCGTCGTCGGCGTTCGAGAAACTCCAGCCGTTGCCGTAGACAGTGATGCCATCGCCAGGCGCGGTTTGGCCTAAGATACTGATCCTTTTTGAGAGGACTATACGCTCTTTGATTTTGATCAGGCCACCGACAGAGAATACGATAATGCGGTCTGGCTTCGAAACGGCGTCGCGTAGAGATCCAGTACCGCTGTCGTTGAGATTGCTGACGACGTAAACAGAGCCACCACGGCCGCCGACGGCGTTACGGCCAAAGCCCTCTGCGCCAGGGAAAGCAAGCGCAGATGCCGACCCGATGATGAGTGGAAGGAGAGATAGAAAATGCATAATGATCGGGATAGAGAAAAAAAAGAGATAGGAATGACGAATAAAGAATGTTATATATATTCAAGACTGTTTGTTTCAAACAGACAGCAGGTGTTGTGTTCTTGAATCGTATATGTTTCGGACCCTTACATATACGTTTACCCGTTTAATCTACTCTGAGTGTTTCGAAATTCCAAGAGTTATGTCCTCCAATCACAAGCTCCTCTCAACGTCGATCTATCACCATGTTCAAGTGAGGCCACGGGATATTGTTGAGGCGAACTACTATGCCGAGCATATAAGGCGCCTATTATATTACCCTCGTGTCATTCAATATCCAGCGACGAGCTCTTCGCCGCCCACTCCCTTGAAATTTAAGAAAACATCGGTTTTTAAATAGTTCCAGGAGATGTTGTTTTATTCATCGATAGAAGGGGTGCGACTTTTAACTGACCTACAATGTGAACATGTTTTTTGTGGTGTTCTGCAGTTCCAAAACTCAACGTTTTCCATGTTTCGATGTACTCATTGTATTGCCGCTATTTCGATCATATTTAGGTCGTAATCCGGTTTTACTCAGAGTCGATTGTTTTGGCCAGTACTTTTTGGTCTTGGAGGCTGATGGTAGAGCTGCGACGGTATCGTGATATCGAAGCTGTAGTGGTGCGTTGACCGTCGGGCGAGGCCATGTGTCAGTGTTGGGTTGCCAGATGTGCATTCTGCGAATCAGTTACATTGGCAACAAAGATTGCAAGCGAACGATATCCTCGAATTAGAAAGGAGAGGTGGAAAGTGTTACCCTTACTGACAGAGCCTACATGTTGTAACTATTATAAGACCTACTCAGAGTGTAAGATCATCATCGTTCTGATAAAACCAGGTCCACGAATACTACTCTGCACTACGCATCATCATTACGCCCGCAACGAATCTTCTTCGATGCGAAAGATCATACCTGGCCGGCCATATCAACTCTACCGATGTCCACTCGATAAGTCCGCTATGCATAGCTTTCCTTGCTGTCCAAAGCCGTATATTGCCTTATTCATCCTGTAAACCCGAGATTTCCATACAACCCCTCCCTGTCCATCTGTTTCGATGCACGCCTACCACCCTCACCCCCATGCCCGTCAGATGAATAGACCAAGAGATCCCAGCGTTGATAAGCCCCTCTCCGCGGAGCGAAAACGCATTGAAAGTATTCTCGTGTGGAACGCCGGGTGGACGGTGACGTTCTTGAGGCCGAGATTGAGGGACGTGGTGAGAAGGACGAGCGAAAGGATGTGCCGAGGTTGGCCGGCACTTTGCGATTTTATTAAGCACACGCCATTGCGAAAGTGATTGCGAAAGTGATTGGAAACCATGCGTCTAGGTAGGCGCGAAGGAAGCAGACTATCTCGGCTCAATGAACGGGTACGTAAAGTGCGATTGCCAGGACGTCGAACACAGGCGCCAGGAAAAGAGACCGAGGCTGAACAGAGTAACGAGGTTCATGATCTTCCACGCGATTAGGTTGTTCACAGTTCGAGTCGCGGAGTGCAGGTATCGGGGTTGGCAATGTGCCTGCTTTATTTGAATCCAGAAGAAAGAGAAACTGCAGAACAAACACAAAAGATGGCAGGTGCGGGTAAGTCATTCGACACGTGCGACTGTGTATCCTGGTACGCACATCTCCTGCACCTCAGTCTCGAGAATACCTGCTACCCATCCTAACGTCCATGAAGCCTTGAGGGTATATAACATGTAATGATGACGTGAGAAAGATTAGACGAGTGTCCGCAAACAAACATTCACGGTCGTATCTCTCGTCTCGAGAAACTTCGACCATGCCAGCAAAATAGTCATTGGTGAATTATGAAAGCGGGACAAGAAAGCTACCGCAGTAGGCAGTGCGCAGTATCCAAGTAGACGATGTCTCCAATCACCGTCGATGCAGTTATGTAGACGTACTACGAAGATACTGACACAGTACGTAGATGCAGAACCGCGAAGGGTTCGGTAGAATGATGCACATGGACGGTCTGATTTGAGACAATTATTGAATGCATCATACCAGTAGACATGTCGTAAGGAACAAGGTCGTTTCGCAACGCTTAACATGGCGTCTGACCTTGTTTCACTTCGGCTGGTACAGCCGTCGCCAAAGGTTGCATTTGGGGTGGCCCAAGATTACAACGTGTAGGTTAACTACTGGTCAGAGAACTCTAGGCTTCTTCAAGGATTGTGAGCCGAATGTAACGGCAGGTGTATTCGGGTGAGTCCGTTTCAGAGGTGAGCGTTGAATAGGGTCCGATCTTTCAACATGAGGTCCGGTCATGCAACCAGCTGAATCGAACGGCCTACGACAGCAGCTGAAAGAGGGGCGACCACTCCCTACACTGACTTCAGACCCGGAATGCCAACGACAATTTCCAGAATTTCCTTCTAATCGCCGGTGACATCTCATGCATGACTTGGATGCTGCCTCGGGCTCGCCTTGAATGCTGGCAAGTCGTCGAGAGATACTGAGATTCGTAGGTCCTGATAAACCCTCTCTTGGTGGTGCTCGGTTCCCGCTTGAAGGTTGAGGACTGCGTGGATAAGACCCTGGGAAGTCTACGATGATGGAACTCGCGTCGGAATCATCTGCAGGGCTGGCTGTGCGTTCGAACTTGATTCGTGGTGCAGACGGATATATGGACGGGCTTGCAGACGGACGCGCGGATGGGCGCGCAGATAGGCGTTCGATGGCGGGAACAGCAGAGCGAGGTCTAGAATTCGATGCAAAAGGCCGTACAAGTTCCGGGTCTGGTTTGATGCGTGGGTTGGTGTCTGGGGGTTGTGGCCTGACCCGATGTTGGTTAATGGTCGCTTGCGCAAACGTAGAGTGAGGCGCCAGGCCGCGAGCAACCGCTCCAGACAGAGCGGGTGAAATCTTGCAGAGGTCGAGTAATATTTTCCGTAGCGCATTGGTATCACTTGTGTTGATAATTTGGGCGATATGATGAGGATTAATCTGTCGTCCTTGTTGCGCGCGAGGATTGTTGCTTGTGATACCTCCCGGGTGATTCCGTTCACGTTTTATATGCGACATGGCATCCGGCTGCGGTTCTCGCTTGAAGTAGCTTGGATTCAGGTGCTGCTGCCGCGGTAGTGGAAGGGAACGTGGTTCTGGTTCGGGCGAAGAGAAGGTAAGATCAATTGTGTCGACATCTCCGTCGAGCGCGTCCCAGTCGCGATCACTCCTAGAAGGCGCCATTGTTAATATTCTCCAGCGCTGTTGTCGCTGAAAATAGAGAAGCCAACAATGGAGCTAAGTGGGGCACAATGTAAGTTGGCGCTTGGGCGTGGTGGTGTTGACGACGGTGAGGAAGGTTGAGGTTCGTCACGGTCTTTAGCGTAGAATACGCGGAATCACGTGCAGCACTTGCTTACGTGACTAGCAGCATCTATCTGAATATCGGTTCTGTCTCTTCTTCATTAGAGCTGAGAATGTGTTAGTTAGTGTCATGTAAGTTGTGAGTATGTATCAAAGCAAGGACCGGTATCCATTTCTGGCCGTAGTAGTAGCATTGCAATAACATCTACCCAGCTATCAACCAATATATGAGAATTTCGCCTCATCAGAAACTGGTACTATCAGTTGCGGCCGTCCGTCATTATCAGCCGGTTCAACAATGTCGCCCGTGTTCCTGTGATCTTCTTTAGTGTCCCGATTTCATCAGTCCCACCACGGCGCCTTTGACCGGACACTCGAATGTGTCTCCAACTTTTACATCATCTGGAAGGCTTGTCCAACTTGCCCCATTTTGGACACGACGTTGGGTAGTCCACGACTCCCCAGGTCGCAAACTTACAAACCGGTCGCTGTATTCGCCACTCTCGCCAACGTTGACGAGAATGGGAGGATCGTCGAAGATCTCAAAGCCGGTGCCAAAACCGTCGTCGGGATCGCTTCGCTCCCATGATCCATCCTTGTGTCGATATAGTCTGATGCCTTCTCGTTTTCCTTCGCCGGTCAGAAAAGCTGCTGTGTGGAATGTGATAGGCCTTGAGCTGCCTCCTTCGGCAGAACCTTCATAAGTGACCTTAATGGTAAGGTCAATGACGTCTTCGGGTCTCCATTCTGGTAAGTAATCTATGCTCATGTTGAGGATAGGGGCTCCAGCCCTTTTCAACGTTAGTGGCCGTTGATCATTCTAGGATTATAGCGTATTCGTGCTTGTTGTACCAGCAGGTAGACGCAACACAGTAAGGATATAGTATAGTAACTCAGTGTAGAAGCTAATACACAGCCCCTTTATACACAGTAAACATCAGCGAGAGTACACAGTAATAGTAACAGAGAGCTGATCAACCGTCTCTTGACGACTGGCTGCTGAATGTACCAATGCGGACGCGTGTTCGAGAGCTCAGGCAGTTTTAGAATGAGAGCCGTGGCAGTCGAAGCGCATGCGCGAGAACACAATGGTGACGTAACACATTACTCCCCGTCCTCCAGGGAGTGGCTGTTGATATGAGAACTATAAATCATAACAGAAAGAGCTATTTACAATCTTTCGGATGGCTCCATGGGCGACAGGGGAGGGTTTCTTCGGCAATATCCCTCTCGGCGCCAATGTTCTTTCATCTTGTTTGCTCTTTGAAACTGGGCTTCGGTCTTGGTGTCTGGTCGGCCAAGCCAAGGCTCTGGCTCTTGTTTCGCGGGAAATGCAATGACTCTACTCCTGGAAAGAATCAATCGTGGTGATGTCGACTCTCTCACCTGTCGGGATTCTAGCTCCTGGCCGACGTGATCTGACATGCTTTCCCAATCCCACATACTGATCTCAGCTCCAAGCCAAAGTAACTCGTACTTCTCACCTGGTATCAGCCGTCTGTAATAATTAGCAGTAAGTTTGCCTCGCCTCTTGATCTCGCTGCCCAATGGCAACGCCCAGAGAAACTGGTTCCAGCCATTCACAAGAATAGTATCCTTATCGGGTTTCGCATATTGAAGGGGATTGACCCCGACTCTTTCCGGGCCATACTCCGTGATATGGAGGAGAACAAGTTGAGCCTGCGCGAACGCATTGCTGTACGGTCCCCATTTCAAGACGAAAGGTTTTTCTATTCCGCCTGCTGGCCGTCGTAGCGTGAAGATTATATAATAAGGGAGGGTTACGGACAGCTCAGGAATAGTTTAACTCGCTTTCATATCAAGAGCAATCCGAAGGGGTTCTGAACTATGAATCGATAGTTGCTTTGATATCGCTGACGTAACGGTAGCCGCGCGAGACGTCATCCTCGTCAAACACGACGAAAGACACGTAGCTTGGATCCATGATCTCTAGAAAGCATACTATCAAACGAGTAGAAGACGGTGATCATGCTCCTCGGCGCCATTTGTACACTAAAAAGTGTCAGTCTCAAAAGGTGAGTGTCTACGTGGCTCAGAAAGCGGCTAAGACAATAGTAGCCTAGCGTTGACGAAGTCAAGTCACAAGTAGGTTTTAAAATATAGTACATGACAACACTTTGTATGCCTACAACAACCTTTCTTTGTGCGCGAAATTCTACACATATCATCTCTCAGGTAGTCGGTCGATGTTTTGGTATGCTCGGTCCAAAGCTAACATCTTTTAGGGTGTGGAAAGCATTTCACAGACTACCCGCATTCATGTGCCCTTTCGACAATTATGCTGATGCTATATCTTCTGCATGACCTTGGGAGCGTCGTCATGAGGTTCTGGTTACGCAGTTCGATTAACGCTAAATCCCCGCACAAACTTTAAGCTTTTGTTCCACCAACCAGTCTTGGCGGCAGCCCTACAGATATTTAATTAAAGCCCGCAATCTGGGGTAATCCTCCATCTAATTTCCCGAGGGCCATTTTCGGAGCTCTACATCTCGGTACCCCCCACCTACACCCCTGTCATGTTGCATCTAGCACGACCGCGGACATGAAACGCAAGACTTGGGTCACCGTACTTGCAATCAAAACGGGAAAATGATTTGTGGCTACCAGGTTTGGGCTGCACCTATATAATGAGTGATGCCATGCGTATCAAAATGTATCATACTCTGGACATCAACACAGTCATCACCTCAAGATGCTTTCATCCCTCACTTTCATTCTGTCACTCGCAGCAGCAGCTGTGGCTGCACCCACAGAGCTTGTAGCTCGTGCGGCCCGCACTTCGCCTCCATCCGGTTGCTTGTCCGTTGGTAGCTCAGGGACATACAGTACCGTCCAGAAGGCTGTCAATGCTCTCAGCACTTCCAGCACTACGGCGCAATGCATCTTCATCTATAAGGGCACCTACAGTGAGCAGGTTTACATCCAGGCGCTCAAGTCTTCTTTGACTATCTACGGCCAGACCGCCGATACGACCAGCTACTCAAGCAACACTGTGACAATCACACAAGGCTTGAGTCAAGACGACGTTGCGAGCAACGATCTGACTGCTACACTACGAGCCTGGACAACAAACTTGAAAGTCTATAACATCAACCTCGTCAACAGCCGTGGTCAAGGCTCCCAGGCTCTTGCTGTTAGTGCTGCGGCGGGCAAGCAAGGTTACTACGGCTGCCAATTCAAGGGCTACCAGGACACCATCCTGGCACAAACTGGCGCGCAAGTTTATGCAAAGTCTTACATCGAGGGCGCCACAGACTTCATCTTCGGCCAATATGCGATGGCCTGGTTCGACAGCGTTGACATCCGCGTCCTGGCTGCCTCGCTAGGATACATCACCGCGAACGGCCGGGACTCCTCAACCAACCCTTCGTACTACGTGATCAACAAGTCTACCATCGCCGCAGCTTCTGGCAATACGGTCGCCTCCGGAGCTTACTATCTCGGTCGTCCATGGAGGGATTACGCTCGGGTCGTCTTCCAGAGCACCTCTATGACCAATGTCATCAATGCTGCTGGGTGGAAGATCTGGAGTACTGACGACACGAGGACCGACAATGTTTTGTTTGGCGAGTACGCAGACACTGGTGCTGGAGCGAGTGGTACACGGGCATCGTTCGCAACGAAATTGACTGCTGCAGTCAGCATTTCAACAGTTCTGGGCAGCGATTACAAGGACTGGGTTGACACCACCTACCTCGCATAAGTAAACAAGTTTTTAGTTGTTTACTTGAGGTGGTTTCATTCTCTTCTCGCGTCTTTGCTGGACAGAGATTGGTGGTTGAGAAAGGTCTACGACCTTTGGCTTCTAGTACATATTGTTTTAAACACAAACGCGGTATACATTCTGAACTTTACAAATACATCATTTTGCATGTTACTTCATTTGTCTGATACAACGATTCACATTCACAATTCCCGCACAACCTCTTATAAGCTTGACTAGACTTGGTCACCGCATACTCACAGTCTGTATCGTTGCACACTTCTCAAAGAAGGTCGATGGGTCTTAGGCCTTCGCCCAATATCTCACCATGCCTGCCTGATGAACATGTCCGTGTTATCGATGGCGATCATCATCCTTCCAAGCCAATCTCCCTGACAAACGCCGATCTCCACAAGAAATCTTTGCCGCATCCACACTGGCGTCGATAAACCGGGCATCGTCAGAAAAAGCCCATAGCGTAAAGTGCCTACGCTTGGACGCCGAGATTACCAGTTCTCAAAAAGTTACGTGCAGAAGCTTTGTTCTATAGGCTGCTCGGTTCCTCGAGCACGGGGTACCCTATTACGTTTCTAGTCCGACGATGTATATTCTCCGAGCTTGGCCGCTGTTTGTGCATTTCGGACATGACATGTATAAGCATAAAGATGTCCTGTTACACCTACCACGAGCTTTATCAGAGCCTCGGCACTCAACCCGTGATGAAGCCGAATCCAGGCTTATAGATTGTGCTGTTTGCTTCGCCATGTGTTCGAGAGATTCGGAGATGAGTAAATAAGCTCTGCCAGGGTGTCAATGTAGGCTAGCTTCTCGGTGGTAGATAGGACCCGCAATGAGATTTACTGCTTCTACCACATTCGTATGTGACGTGAAAGTACCGACACGTGATCCCTTCGTCTTGAAGATTTCGAAAGGCTATGGAGAGTTCACTAAAAATCAACCGATGACGTCACGCGCGAGAAGTAGGGTTCTATACAAATCATGAAGCCGGCATTGAGCAGAGCGCGGATCGTGTTCAATGTTAAGAACCAGTAACAACAGAAGGCTTACAGGCGTTGAAGATATGATGTATCGCAATGCCAATAGCGTAAGAAGAATGAATGGGTTTACTGTCGTCCCTATCAGCAGCCCCACATCGCACTAGTGTGACTCAACCCACGACGTCCTACTTAAATCATGACAACCATCACAGCCTCAATGAAGGTATCTCTCATCAATCAGCCCAGATGGCGTTGCACGATCTAGTAGTTGAGGCAGTTTCAACCCACCCTTTCCTCTTTGTGACCACTGGACCTCTTATCTTCCTCTTCATCCGCTCCGTATATCGCCTCTATCTACATCCGCTTGCTCACATTCCCGGCCCCATTCTTCCAAGAGTGACATCTCTCTGGCTCTACTACCACGCCTACATCGGCGACGAAGCCAGCGCTATTCATCGCCTCCACCTCAAGTTCGGTCCCCTGGTCCGCGTTTCCCCACACGAAGTAGACATTAGTGACGCAGATGCCATACAGCCCATCTACGTCTCCAAGGGCGGCTTTCCTAAGGCGCCGTGCTACGCAAACTTTGACATCGATGGGCATAAGACGATCTTCTCGACTACCGACCATGAGCATCGTGCGCCGAGAGCAAAGGCCGTCGTGCCGCTGTTCTCAACGAAGAGCTTGAGAGACAATGAGCAGGCCATTTGGGGGTGCGTGGAGCGCATGGTCGAGAGGTTGGGCGAAGAGGCGAAGTCGAGAAAGCCGGTCAACGTGCTGAATCTAGCGCGTAGCTTAGCAGTCGACGCAGTATCGACGCACCTCTTTCGGGAAAACTACGACGGTGTGAGTGAAAAGGGACCGACTCTTTCTGTGTCCGCGTTTGTGGATACTTTCGTAGCTGTCGGACGGTTCTTCTACCTTCCTACTATCGTGTTTGTGTGGCTGGATTGGGCTATTGCGAAGTGGACTACCGACCATGAGACGGATGACAGTATGTCGCTTGTTGACTCGTTCGTGGGTAATCTGGTCGCGAATACAACGGAGAAATCGACAACATATCCTGGACGCTTGATGGCTGCAGGCCTACAAAACGATGAGGTCAAGGCGCAATGCAAAGATCTGATCTTCGCTGGGACAGACTCGACGGGAATGAATCTTGCCACTATTATGAGGAATCTGGCATTGTACCCGGAAAAGTACGAGAGGCTGAAGAAGGAGGTCAATGATAACGCCGCACTGGGCTCTGACGCTCTCGACATCCAAGCCCTGCCATACCTCACCGCAGTCGTCAAGGAAGCCTTACGCATTAGTATGGCAAATCCGACGCGCCTTCCCCACGTAGTACCCTTAGGTGGCTGGATGTTCAAAGACACATTCTTCCCAACCGGAGCAATCGTGGGCTGTTCGGGTTACGAATTGCACTTCAACGCAGACATCTTCCCTGCACCACACTCCTTCCAGCCTGAAAGGTGGCTCGATGCGACTGACGATATGTCGAGGTACTGGTTTGCCTTTGGAGCGGGCAGCCGGGCATGCATTGCGAGGAACCTGGCGACTATGGAGTTGCACTTTGCGACCGAGCGGCTGGCGCGGAGCAATGTTCTCGATGGTGCTAGGGTGGTGCAGGACGGTGACGTTGAGATCTTGGAGTGGTTCAATTCGAAGGTCAAGGGCGAGAAGATTGAATTAGTATGGGAGTGAAGTAAGAAGTGCTCTGTGTTTTCCATACCGAGATCTCAGCTTCACCGCACTTTAGATTGTTCGCGTAGTATCTCTACTTGGAAGCATGTGTTGCAGTGATCAGTTGATCCAGTTGGGTGCTAAGGTTCCATCTGACACATAAACCTGTGATGCAGTGTCATTCCCAAACTTCGTTTATCGAATCGACTCCCTTCCCGCCAGTGAATGCAGAATGCCACCTGACGTACTTGGTATGAGCCGCATAGAAGAGTCCCGGAGACGTGATACCCACCGACCGCCAGCATCCTACTCAACCTTGTCAACCTCGACTACACCAACCTTAGTCGCATTGACCTCCTGAACATCCGTCTTGTTGACCAAGGCACCTTCGACGCCGCCCTTATCGACATCGCCATCATCATCACCCTCACCACCCTCACCGACATTGACACCAACATCAACACTAACCACCGCAGTCGCAGCCGGAGCTTCCAGCGCCACCGCATCCACCGTCCTCGGCGGCGGCATAAACGGAAACGGCAGCAACGTAAGCGCAACACCCGGATCATCCGCCCAATCCGGCTCACAATGATCAAAGTGACACTCAGTCTTGCACTGCCCACGCGTCAGTCCCCACCCCAGCAAACCCAAACACAACGGACTCACAAACTCGAACTCCCCCTTGCACTTCTGATCCTGGCACTGTTCGGTGCAACGGCGCGGGTTGGTGTGGAAGAAACTGCATTTCTGTAGCGGGTTGGGTTAGTGTTTGAAAGATGGGGGGGTGGGGGGAGGAGGGCGGACCTGGATACAGATAGACCAGCTTGTGCAGCAGCTGCGGCAGGGGTAGTCGTCGCATTTGCTGGGGGGCTTGGGGGGTTTCGGCTTGTCGGGGTGGGCTGAGGTGAGGGTTAGGAGGGTGATGAGGAGGAGGATGGTGGTGAGGAGCTTCATGGTGGGTTGGTGTTGGTGTTGGTTGTAGTGTGTGGGGTTGGTAGTGGTTGATGAGGAAAGTAGAAGGTGGATGGGAGATAGGAGTTGAGGAGCGTCTCTGGGGGTGGGTGAGTGAGTGAGCCTATATATTAGTAAGATTGGGGGGTGCAAACGGACAGGTAGAGGCGGTGAGGTGTAGGCACCCATCGAATCCAAGGTGAGGGAAAGACGGAACAGTCGTGGTGATCACTTGGGGTTGATGTCTCAAAACAGTGAAATTGGCAAGCGGAGGCCAGATAATACCTAAAAACCATGAGCGATGAGACAGACATATCCAGAGTCGCAACCTCCATCATGTGCCCTGACTTTCGCGCGTATCTCAAGGTTGAGAGTCTCGTGGTTGCTAACAGTAAGATATGTGGACATCAAATGAGGATATCGACTGTGATGAGTGATAATTGAGAGAGTGAAATACAAATCAAAGCAGCGTACGACAATACATCAGAATAATTCATCATTGAAGCAATACATGTCGTCTCATCCACTCATTCCCTGCATCCCCACCCTACAAGCCCTACCTCTTAAACTGCTTAACCCACATAGCATCCCTCTTCGACAGCTCCACAGCACTCCTCTTCCTCTTCGCCCCACCAATATCCGCCGCAGTAATATTCCCACACTCAGGCGTCCTAAGCCTCTGTCCAAACTGATCAACCGCCCAAATCAGCACGCCATTACTCCACCCAAACCCCTCGACAACCTCATACTCACCACCGCCACCCCTAGCATTCGTAGCCTCATCAGCGTACTTCTCGAAAATCGTGCCGTTGCCCTCGGAGTTGGGGAGCTGGGGGACTTCGTCTGTCGACCCGCCGGTAACGCGCCATGTGCAGTACAGCGAGTCGAGGTAGCGCTGTGCGAGTTGCAGGGCGAGGTCTTGCGTCCAGATGTAGTCTTGAGTTGTTTCTTCGTCGTCGTCTTCGGTGACTTCGAGAGGGGTGTTGAGCAGGCCCTTCATGAGGATGTACTGGAGGGGCGGCCACACGTTTGGCTCGTCCCATTGCTGTCCTGTGACGAGGTTTGTCGCTCCGATGGCGCCGGCGCGGTCGTTGAGAAGTTCCTCCACGCGGGCGAAGACGCGACGCATGGCTGTTGGGTCGGTCTTGATGCTCTCTGGGGCAGCGCCGGTCCAGAATGGGTAGAATTGGCTGACCTGGAACGCGACCTGCTGACCGGATGGCGCACCTTGGGTAGACAATGGTGTGCTGGTGTTATCTGCGAGGGTGTAGATATTCTGGGAGCTGGAGGTCATGTTGTAGTCGAAGTAGCTGTAATGCTCGGGGTTCCAGAGCAGCGTCGTCATAGCCTCGCTTCTCTTTGCAGCAAGCCCGGCCCATTCGCGTGCAGCGCTGTAATTACCTTGATGGCGATAGAACTCGGCAATCGTGATCTCGTTGTAGTACAGAATGGAGTTCAACTCCACAGGGATGATGTCCATGGTGTTCAGGGATCGGAGGGGGAAACTCTCATCGCTGACAGCATCTGCGGGATTCTTGATCCATCGACTTGAGTAGTCCCAACCGCTCTCTGCACCAGAAGCCAGGTTTGCGTACAATTTCGCGATTTCGGCCTCGTTCAGCGTTATGGTGGCATTGAACTCCTCGCCCTCTGTGTTGAAATATGTCTCGTTGTTTGCCGTCGTGTAATCCTCATAGTAAGACTCTGGCCGCGGCTGTGTGTTTTCGACGGCGTAGTGGTTGAGCGTGTAGTTTCGTCCGCCTCGCTCGAGAGTCACAGTGCGGTTGTTCATCCAAAACTCATGTTCTTGCTCCAGCAAAGGCAGGGCACGCTCAAGGAGGGTGTAGTTCTGCGTGTACTCGACGTAGATGCGCACCATCTGGGTCAGAAGCGGTGGTTGTGACCGGTTCTCGTAGTACACTCGAGCGCCATTGGGCACGAATCCAATCGTCTCCACCAGATCCAAGAAGTTCTCGATGATGTTCTCAGCGATCTGGGTGAACGAGCCTTTGGTCCGCAGAAGACCCTCAATGACCCAGAACGAGTCCCAGTAGTATGGCTCACGGAAGCGACCACCAGCAACGACGAATGTACGGTTTTGGGGGATGAACGAGTTGACGCAGCCGGTGCAGTTTCCAGCGCCCGCAAATCTACGCGTAAGATCGGGCCAGATGTCGATGACTTTCTGTGTGAAATCCGCAACAACGGAGCTGTTCACATTTCCGAGGAAGTCAGGCTCGGTCGCGAGATCTTCGGCCGGAACCTCCTCGAGCTCTGACCCCGCTTCACCGAAGTACTCGGAGAGGAAGTCGTTAAGTTCTGTGTTGTTGGAGATAGGACGGGTGAGGTTGGCAAACGCTGCGAGGACTTCGTCTAACGGACGGATTGTCGGTCTGCTTGTTGTTAGACGGGTCCAGAGCGACAACCTCAAGTCAAAACACTCACAAATCCACGAACGTCTTGGAATCAGAGAACGGTCGCGCGAGCTCAATCTCTCGCAGCAGGTCGCCCTGGCAGTAGATGGGCGAGTCGCATGGTGCGATAACAGTGCCATTGATATACAATGCGCTCACTACAGGGACGCCCACAAAGAGAGCAGCAACCCAGGCATTCATATCGGTCTTCATCCTGAGGAGCACGAGAAAGCGACGCGTTGAAGTCTAGACACACGATTGACGGAGCATCCCTACTCTTTAACCCAGTCAACGGGTGCTACCAGGATTGACAAGGAAACCTGCCATCGTATCTGCATGTACGCGGTACACGTATGTGGCTGGTCGTTCTTGCATATCTGATCCACCATGACCCTTGGCAGGCCGCAGAACGCGTCGACGCACATGCCGCATTGTCACGGAAGACGGCGATGATCGTTGCACTTGGCGTAGAAGGCGCATGTTGGCGCGTTGCTACCCCGCAAAACTTAAAAAACTGGGGTAGAGGCATGATGTCATCACTGTCACATCCGGCTTGTACCACGGAACACGGCCTGTATACACGTTAAGTTCTGTGTCATGCAGCGCGGACCTCAGCTCCGAAAGTTTCTTGACATGTCGATCTCGCGATCTTTGCCTAGCTGGCGCCTTGGGTAGAACACTAGGAATGCGACGTGAGGTGTGGGAAAGTAACGAGACCCTAGGTCAACTATAATTCAACACAAATGAGATGGCTGGGGCGTTGCTGGTACCCGAAATGTGCTCCAACACCAGTCCAAACGCGCCAGAACGCGCTATCTGCAGAGATATCTAGCATAATCTTCTGCACAACCTCAATTGCTTACAGACCTTTCGCCCGACTTCAACATCAAGACTCAAAATGCGATCATTCAGTCTGGCTTACGCTCGCTCAACACTCACGCCACGACCCCGACTCTGATACGTCTCTCCCAACGGCAAACAGACCAATATCTCCACCTCAAACTCCCACAATGGAAACACAACGCAAAATTTGAAGAACAAGTCCTAGTATCCACCACCTCCAGCACCCCAAAAACAAACACTGAACCAGAAGAGCACTTCAAAGTATCCAAACAACAGAACAATACCAAAGACTGAAAAGTCAGCACAACCCCCTCTCGTAGACATTCCACTCTCCATTCCGCCCCCTACTTCCCGGAAGAAGCCACACCCACTCTCTCCTACCTCCCTCCCCCAATACCACGACATCCACGCCAACACGGCCAACCCTCAGTATCACCATCTCCACTTCACATACCATTCCAAGACACCCCACCGCGACACACTCGCAACCCCCCATCATTGTAATTTGATAACCCCCACCAAAAGCGACGAGTAGGGCGTGTACTCTACCCCAGACAATCTAGTAGCGACCTCAGGAGGCTGTGGGAGGTCATGGATTAAGTGACCGGCTGGGCTGTGGTGTCGGATTGGGTAGGTGAAGGGTTGTTTTTCTTGGGTTGGATTTGTTTTCTCTTGGGTTGTTGGATTGTCTAGCTCGCGCATTCTGGAGATTTATATATAAGGGGGAGGCTTGGATATGCGATGGGAAGGGGGTTGCTGATTGTTGTGGAATGGAAATGGAAATGGGATTACGTGTGTGGTGTGTGATGTGTGGTTTAAGGTTATGCTATGTTTTCTTTCGTGGGTGTATTTTTCGGGAACATCTCAATTAGAGAAGTTACGAGCAGCTTTTTGTCATCTGTTTGTAAATCCATCCCGAGCATCGACGTATGCACAAAGACGCACCACAACAACGATCGAAAAGCGTGTACTCAGCCCCAGACAACACCCACCGTCAAACCCCCTCCCCCAAACCCACCCAGCTCCCACCCCCCGCCCAAACCCCCACCCCAGAATAATCCCCCGTCCCCCCCTCCCCCAAATACGCAAACCTAAAATACTCATCCCCGCCACCACCCCTCACCCACGCCCACTCCCTCAGCGCACCATCCTCATAAAACCCACGAAAACGCTCTACATCATTAACCAGCACACTCAGCCCCTGCACCCCCTCCCCACGCGCCCCATCCCACGAGAACAGCGCCGTAGCTCCATCAACACGCGGTTCGAAAACCGGCGGAACGGGTGAGTCGAGCCTTGCATCCCCCCTTAGCGCATCGGAAGTTTGTAGCACGGCGTCGAAGTCCCATCTTGCGACGCCGTTTATGAAAAGTCCGAGTAAAATGCCTTGATACAGCAGCGACGCGCGATTCTGCATCGCCGTCCCCGGAAGAAGAAGCAGGGCGAGGATATAATGATGAATCCTGAGTTCCACCCCAGGGAGCGCAACAGCAATTAGTATCCCCGCGACGAACAGCGCGTACAGCGCTAGATACCGCGGCAGCCGACCTGCGAGCCAGAAGAAGTACACCTGTCCTGCTATAATAAAAACAAGGCTTATCAGGATGAGCGCGAGTGCTACCTTCGCACCCGGTTGCTGCGCTAGATCGTGCGCGGTGAGGCGCGAGATGGGTATCCATTCAAACGTGTAGTTTGAGAGGGCGCCTATCCAGAGGCCGCCTAGCCAGAGGGTGGTTTTTTCCAGCGGGGCGGCGAGATTGAGGAGGGTTTTGCGGATGGTGGTTTTGTATAGGATGGCGGCGGTGAAGAGCGCGGGGAGGAGACGGCGCGCGAAGAGGCTCGTGTGGTCGGGGAGGGTGGTGGGGGTTGGCGTGTGGGTGGAGGGGGGGTCGGATATGAATGCTACGTGGGTGAAGGTGAGGATGAAGATTGGGTAGAAGATAGTGGGGGTTGAGGAGAAGACAGATAACAGCGCCGTGACGAGTAGCGAGAGGAAAAGCAGCGGCGATCGTGGGTCGGAGGGACATGTAAACGCCCCGTCTGCCTCGACGGTAAACGACACCGGGAAGTAGGAATCAAACGGTATCGACTCGATGCCGTGGCGCGCAGTACTCGCGAACCCGGAATGCGTGCCCACTGTCCTAAGCCGCCCACACCCTCCTTGCGATTCACTCACAACCCCAGCGTGCAGCGCAGACCCGCAGATGAAACTATCTCCCCGATACGGACCCGAGCCTACCACCAGCGGCCGGTAATTCACTTCCAGCGGTCCGATTACACGAGGGTTCAGGACGCGGACATCTCGGCATTTGGCAGGACAGCGGAAAGCGTAGGTCGTGTTGCTGAAGGGCCGGCAGTCTATCCCGTCGATGCCGCATTCGTTCTTGCGCCGCCAGAGCGTATCGGTGCAGGAGAGGGTTTGGACGTATTCCCCTGTGCCGTCGGGGATGGGGAGTTCCGATGTGAGGAAGGAGGCGAAGACTATGAACCAGATAGTGAGGACAGCGGCGAGGAGTGTAATTTTGCGCGTCTTGGATGGACACCAGCGGGCGATGAGTTTTTCAGGTTTTTCCTGTATGCCTGGAAAGAATGGCCGGATGACTTGTACACGAGGCGGCGAGGGTCCTTCCAGAAATCCAAAGATACCTCTCTTTCGAGTCCTTGTTTCTCGTGTCAATGGCACATTGTCTTCGAATCCCAACTCTTCATGTAGTAGCGACTGCGCTTCTACATCCGCATTACTTGACGGCGTGTCGTCGGACTCGTCGTGGTATGTATCGGATGTGGGTTGCATTGCATTACCAAAAAATAACAGACAGCGAATGGAAAACGACGGCGCTAGAAACACGTTACACGAGGCATTGTAGCGAGATGCATGTTGAGACTTGCGGTTCGGGATTGACGGTTGACACTTGCGCCTTGCCTGTTTGAGTCTGACTTGGATATAGTAGTTTTCGAAATACCTGCTCCTAACGTGACCTGTGTAGTAGCCAATCGGTTAGATATCCAATCTCTGAAATCGCAACGCAACACAACGTTATTGCGATGTTAGATTAATTAACAACTAAATATTCTTTCAGAACAGAAAGAAGAGTTGTACCTGTTGTAAATGCTCTTATTTTAGCTATTACAGCAAGCTTTGAAGAGTTTAATCTCGGAGAAACCTTAATCCAGCTCCGGGGTAACGTGGACAAGCTTAATAATCACCTGAATTAGTGATCGTGCTGCTACTTTACTAGGCATGTCATGATTATTGAATCAACCAATCGGCTATTACGCAGGTCACGTTAGGAGCAGGTATTTCGAAAACGACCCATAGACTAGACTAGGGCAAAAGACAACAAATCAGATACTCTTTCTCTTCGATATTCACATACCTAGCAGACATTGTCTTGACCAACCTTGTACGGACGCTGAATTACCAGATTACACATAACTATCTAACATAATAATCTAGTACAGCGACCCGCAAGTCTTCTTACTCAATGAATCAATCTATCTCAGCCAACTTCTCACATAATTCCTCTACCTAGTGCTCCGTTGAATAAAACTTTCTATTCCCATCCCTCCCACCACCCATCCTATTAATAAGTAACACTCACACCTCTCCAGTCTAAGTCACACACACGAGTCAAGCACATCACCCAGCATTTGAACAGCAGTCCAAACAGCACATTGATCTTCTACCATCCATTGCCCTATCCATTGTGACTGTCATCGCACCTACATACCATCTCCCCCCCCCCCCACGCCACGCCCATGCATATGCAAAACACACCCGACCTCTCCCACGCAAGCAAGCAAGCAATCATGATATCTCGAAGTAGAGAAGAAAAAAAGAAGAAGAAAGATCCGCACCCGCACCCACACTTTCGCAAAAGCAAAAAAAACACAAGCAGAACCAGAACCAGAACCAGTACCAGTACCAGCCCAACCAGCAGCAATGTGAGGGAATCATGTTGTTCAAAAAACGCAGCAGCATCGCCATGACCATGAAACTCCAGAACACCCCAAACCATCATCATCAAGCCATCAAGCCATCCTTTTCGCAAGAACCTATCCAGCCCCAAAAAAGGCTTCTCATCAAGAAGTGCAAAAAAAGAAGAGAAAGGAAGAAAAACCCACCCACTCACCTCGGCGTCGTAACACTAAGCACCAACTTCGGATTCCGCTCAACCGCCACCTCAAGATCCTCATCACACTCAATGGGATAAAACTGCTGCTCGCGCTCATCCTTATACTCAATAAGCAGATCCTCATCCTGCTCATCCGGCCGCTCAAGACGTCTCCTCTCTTTAAGTTTCTTATATAAGTCAGGATAACGAAGGGAAGCCGGCATGCGAATGACGACGCAGTTATCTTCTTCGAACCAGACTTTGATTTTGAGCGCCGAGGAGGAGGAGGTGCCTGCGTTTGTGGCCGAGGAGGCGGAGTGGTGGTGCCCTGGTGTGTGTTGTTGATGTTGGGGTTGTGGTGGGGGGTTGAGGTTGGATGGGTACATTTGCGAGGCGTTGGACTGGCCGCGTTGGTGGGATTGGTAGTTTGCGGGGGCGGCGGGGGCGGGCATGGAGGCTTGGAGGTGGTCGGCCGAGGACTGTCTGCTTGTGCCGTGGGAGTGGTTGGACGACTGCCCTGACTGCTGGGACAGGCGGTAGTTCTCTGCAGCGATGACATCTGCGTCCATCTCGTAGTCGCCTTGGCGTGGCGCAAAGAAGCCCTTGACCAGGTCGCCGCGGGTGATGTGTGGGCCGAGGTTGAGCAGGTTCTTGATGTATTCGTCGAGGTTGGCGCGGCGCCCGTTGGAGATGTTATCGGTGACGTAGGTGACGGGGCCGGGCATGAAGGGCAGGGTGCGCTGGCCGGAGCCGCTGGTGCCTGCTTCGACGGGGAAGGTCTCGATGAGCTGGATCTGCAGGTCGTAGAAGTCCTGGTACAGACGCTGCAGCTCCCAGTGCCGCCCGTCCTCCATCTGGCACTCGATGATGAACCAGAAGATGTCGTCGGCGAAGCAGTAGCGCGGCACGCACGCCTTGATGGGCGCGAGCGTGTTGCTGCGCGGCTGGGCGACGGAGCCGTTGCGCGAGTGTGAGTGTGAGTGGGATACCTGCAGTCACAATGGTTAGACACATGATTTCAGGCTGGCAGACTCAAACTCACCGATCCGGAGCGGGCGCCGTTCTGGCTCTTGGCTCCCAGACTCATGCGGTCCATGCCCTGCTGCAGCGTCTGCTGCGAGTTCTGCTCGAGCTTGCCCAGCGGGATGCTGCCGTTCTTGTAGTCGGCCGCCATCTTCTTCCACTCCTCGACCTTGGGCACGCCCGCGGCTGTGACGGCGGCCTGCGTGTCGGATACCGCCTGTCCTGTCGTCATGTCGCGGATCTCGATAAACGACACGGGGATCAGGCCGGGCCCGCCGAGGCGCGTGATGGGCTTCGCGACGAACCACTCTGGATTCGACTGGGCGATGACGATGATGGCCTCGCCTTCCTTCGCCTCGAGCTCGTCGGGCCGCTCGGCCTTGAAGTCGTACATGACGATGCCGTAGACCATGGCGCCCGTCTTGCCCGACTGGCTCATGCGCAGCTGCTGGGCCATGATGTTCTGCGGGTGGCTGGGGCTGGCGATGCTGTGGCTGAGGCTGTGGCCGTGGCTGTGGGCAGAGCCGGGGCTGCTGATGCTGTGCAGGCGCTCCTGGTAGCCCGAGTCGTGCGGCTGGCTGTGGTGCTGCTGGGTGGAGCTGCGCGCTGGCACACTCCCCGCGCTGGCCCTGACGTCGCGCGTGTCGCGCGCGTCCCTCGCCGTCTTGCCGACGGGCTCGAAGTAGCTGACGGGCACCAGGCCGCGCGTGTTGTGCAGCGGGTTGCACGCCTCGTACCAGTCCGTGTCGTCTTCGCGGCCGACGACGTGCAGGAAGTCGCCCTGCGAGAAGCTGAGGTAGCCCGAGTTGGGCGAGTCGGCGGCCGGCGTGTAGTCGTAGAGGGCGCGGATGACCTGCAGGATTGGGGCGCACCCGTCAGCAGCTGTTGCGTGCGCCTGTGTGCGGGAGGGGGGATTGCAGTGCGAGGCTCGTGGGCGGTGGGTTGGGCGAGCATGAGAAGCGAGTACCCAGAAAGAAAGCGGACTTTGCTCCCTGTCGCTCTCCTCTCCTCGCCTGCTGCCTCCCCCACCTTCCTCGACCTCCGCCCTGTCCCCCTCCTCTTCCTGCAATACCTCTTCCCCGCTGCTCTCCCCTCCCCTGCCCTCACGTCATGTCACGTACCTTTTTAGGTGGCACAATGGCCGTCGCGTCCTTGGGCTGGAGATTAATGTGATGGGGTCGGGTGTCCTTTTCGCTCTTCATGCTCCGGCGGAACTGGGGCGCCACGTTAGCTTTAGTGAGCCAGACATGCGCCCGACGTGGGGCCGGACTCGAGCGAGCGAGTGAAGCGAGGGCGTGCTCACCTTCATCACGTAGTTGCGCGAGCGTGGCCACTATCAACACAGACAGAGGTGAAGAAGGCCAGTAGTCGGTGGGTCGGCGAAAGTGAAAGACAAGGCAGGCCAAGGCAGGACAAGGGCAAGGCAAGGCAAGGCAAAAGCAAAAAACGGGCCAGAAGCGCGGGATTTAAAAACACTCTGAACAGAACAGATGTCGCCGGGTGGCGTGGGCGTTTGCGTTGGGTTGGCTGCGCTGCGCTGCGTGAACCCAACAAGAACTGGTTCAGCGGGGCGAGCGACGTGACCTTGGGATGGGTGGATGGATGGAATGGATGTCCGGTGTGTGGGGAAACTGTCCAGCACTCGTTTGCAGATCTTCCCAGCGTCCGTCCTTGTCTGATCGATCGTCCTTGAGCGTGCCTAGCTACGCTTTAGATGCAGATGCAGACGCGAGAAGAAAGTAGCTAGATATGTCGTCGTTGCCAGAAACAATAAATCCTGTCGAAGAATCCAGAAATACCACAGTGCCGTCTCTACCTGGCACAATGCCTGCAACCTTGTCCAATCCTTGTTCCCAGCCCGTCAGCCCCTCGGCCTTGTGCGCAGAGCCTGGGGGGTGGGTTGGCGGAACTCGGGACGTCGAGAGCCGGTGCTGTCCTGTTTGGTACTGTTTTGGGCCTGTTTGGTCCTGCTGCCGTTGTTGTCGCCTCCGGTCAAGTCGGTCAAGTCGGCCAAGTCAATCAATCTGTCACAGTCACGACGTTCCCGAGTGGGAGCTTCTGAGATCAAGACGAAATGTTTCTGATATTCGCAACGGCTGCAACATCCATTAAGAACGTCAAAACGTCTAGATAAATCTACCCAAGCCTTGACGGGTGGGAAGGTGACCCTGCATGCTCGTATTGCCGCGTGGAACCTGCCTCGCCCAATCACATCACCGCTGCTCCAAACGCTTGCCTGTCAATGCCATATGGCTTTCACACCGCGCCTACGCAGCGTCTACACATGCGCGAATCAATTGCGGCTGCGCATGTTCGCGAACCAATGTATTGTGCCCTATACCACATCGTCCAAAAATCTATCGCCAAAGCGCCATTGCCAAAATCCTTCAAACCTATCACACCCTCAGCACCTGTGTTGCCTGACCATTCCATTTTTGCCCAACCGCTTCACGAGCTGCACCGAAGATTTTCTTCTCGGAAAGCCGCAATCCTCGCCACTGCCATAGAGAGGCGGTGTGAAGATATTGTTCCCTCGTTGGACTATGTCTGGGTACCCTCGAACAAGGAACGAGGCCCGACTTCGTCGCCCCACATGCGTCAGCAGACACTCAGAAAATCACTCTGAAACAAAGAATCCGTCGTGGCCTACGCCTCGAACTGGTCCTCTGGTGTCTTTCGACTGCTGCCAAACCGATATTTTTTCTCAACCTCAACTTTTGTGTTTCACCTTCGATGCAGCAACGCCTGGAACAAGCCTGCTGCCCCGGAAACCGCAGTGTCAAACGTATTATGGAAGAGATAACGGACTCGTTTCATACAACGCATGAAGCGGAAAGGCGGAGATCCCGCGATCCGTTTGAAACATGGTACTGTGGATACCGAAACCGGGATATCGCTGTCCGGAACACAGCCTTGAACGGTAACCAAAAAACCTAGTGACGCAAACGTGGCGCAGGGTATCGACAAGGAAAGTAACGTCATGAACGAGGAAATCGAAATGGTGATTGAGATGCGCAGAGATGAAAGATGTCCAAGCAATCGAAATCCACCTCATATTTGGCCTTTGATGTCTATTTTGCTGAAAGCGGCGGCACGGAGATTCTCAAATAATGATGCAGCGTCTCGGATTTTCACGCGAAATTGGGCGTCCTTGTTCCCGTCCATTTTCTGTTCGACAATGTGTCGTGCGTTGTGCAGGGCGAGGAATTCACAGCATGCCTCATCGTTGTCGAAGCCAAGCTCGTCAGTAAGGAATCGGAGCGAGATACTAGTGTAGCTGTTGCTGGTCAGCGACATGTTGCGAGGAAGACACAAACTGAATACGTACGCTCTAGACATGTTAGCGAGAGCATTGAGACGCTCACGCTCGATGAACATGTCCATGAGATAGCCGCCCATGTTCTGTGCTACGAGGTACAGTCTGAAAAACTTGTGGTAGTTGCCAAGGGCGAGGGCAGAGCGGACATCAAGTGCATGCTTAATCCATTCTTGGGTCTTGTCTGCGGGGGTTAGTTCGGCCAACATGTCGTTCATGTCGGTTTTGTTGCACGTATATACGAAATAAAGAATGCGATACGCCTTGAACTCGGCAGGTTTCCCCTCCAGACCCATGGCATACAAGGCCTTTAGCTGTGTCTGGCATTGGTTATACTCACCCAAATCCCCCTTTTCCAACGATATCCGGGCATGTATTTCGTATACTTTGACGGTGAAGGCGTTCTTGATGTGTTGCACGGTAAGATCTTGACGCAGCGACTTGAACTGGTTGCAGATGTAGTTGTAGTTCTTCTCCGTTTTCCACTTCTGCGTGAGCATGGCCAGCGTCTTGTGCAGAATGTGCAAAGGACGGACCGTCTCGGCCTTGGGAGGCGCTGTCAGGCGGAAGTAGCTCTTCTCGAGGCTCTGGTTGAGTCCGACAACGGGCCCGGCGAGCGTGTCGTCCTCGTCTTTCCAGGGTGGCGACGACTTTTTGTCTGGTTTTCCGAGCTGAAAGCGCTGGCGACGCTTCTCCAGCTCGAGCTGATCAAACTTACTTAACGCGTCCTCAGACGGTACATTCTTCTTGTGGCGCTTTTCATTGTGTCCTTGGACAAAGGTCATACGGGATGCTAGGTTAGTTCTTCGCCAGGGTGGGACGGTAGCCTGCGCGTCGTCGACGGGGGCGTCGTCTGGATCTTGAGACTTGCGCTTCTTCAATTGCGAGGGAGATGACGCGTTAGTGGGTGCGTCCGAGAAGCCGCTGGCGAGGGCAGCCTTCCTCCGCTCTTCCTGCAACAGCTCCTGTGGCAGGGGATATGTGGGCCAGTCGATGGCGTCCTGCTGGTTGCGTTCGGCGTAGAAGCTGATGGTCTCCTTCAGCTTGGTCTGCATTTCGGAGCTCGAGATGTTGGGGATGGCGTTGGCAGGGTCAAAGGCACGTCGAACGTAGTCACGGACCGCAGGGGGCCACTCGACCTTTTTCGCCTTGTCGGCCTTGGAGGTCGCGGTGCCCACGTCTGACTGCGGGACAGTGTTAGACTCTGACGCGTCGCTGGAGCGAGGGGTTGTTCCTACAGGAGCAGCGTGGAGCGTTGTGCGTGGCTGGACTGTGTTGTAGGCAGGTGACTGCATTGGCCGTGACCACGCAACCGTGGCCGAGGGGAGAGACATTACGCGGGCAACGAGGTGAGGGTGAGGGAGACTGTAGGGTGAGTAGTTTACGTGGGCTGCGCGGGCTATGAAGGATGAGCGTGGCAGATTCAGCGGCGCCGTGGGCCAGGTGAGAGTGAAGCGACGGTTGGCAAAGTCGCCAAGTCGTGACTAACCCCGATGCAGACGCCTCCAGCCAATGGTGCATGACGCATAGCCAGAGCATATAGCCAGAACTAAGTTGCAGTGAGGTTTTGCAGCAGCCTGACGACAACACGCAAAGAAACTATTATGAGACTTATGCGTCTTAAGCGCCAACAGTATACGCATACCAGTGTGTTGTCATAGTCATATCTGATCTTGCACTACAGGGCTGTCACTTTGCTGTCAAGAACGTAGCTCCATTCCGGGCATTCCGACTAACCGAGAGCCAGGCCTCGCGACCGTGTCTGCCAGAGTGCTTACCAGTGATAGTCACGCGACTGCAAGTGCTCTGAATGTTCCTGCACCAGCTTGACCTCACCACCGCCCTGCGTCCGTCGCTTCTGCCGGAGGAGACACTGCTGTTCGTCCAAGACGCGGTCGGGCTCTACGAGGGGTAGGCCGTGCATTGCTCTCGCGCTGCGTGCTGTCTCGTCGCTGACCCCCATGGCGTAGCAAGCTCAAGATCCCCCAGTACCAGAATGGCCAGGCCTACTTGACCTCGCACCGCGCCTGCTACGTCGACCACGCCGAGCCGCGCAAGAACTCGGTCGCCATCTTCCTGGAGCATGTCGAGAAGCCCGATTTCTATGCCGGCTTCCTCAAGTCGTCGCCCAAGATCACCCTCTACCCCAAGCCCGTGAAGCACCTGTCGCGGGGTCTCTCGTCGTCTGCAGCCGTCCGCAGCCCCTCGTCGACTCCGGAGCGACACAGCAGCCCCGCGCCAGTCCCGCCGCCCGCCATCAGCGCGACGTGGGTGTGTCCCATATGCTCCTTCTCGAACCCCGTCCCCTCCAACTTCGACCCCGCACTCGCCTCGCGCACGCCCGTACCGCCATGTCTGGCCTGTGGGATCAAGCCGCCAACGGTGCTGGTCGTCAAGGCAGCCATCGCCGCCATGTCGAATCGCCAGGCCCCTGCACCGCCGCCCAAGTCGTCACAGGGTGCACCCACGCCCTCGTCGACTGCAACCAGCTCTGTGCTGCTGTGTCCGAGGTGCACGTTCCAGAACCATCCGTCTCTGTCATCGTGTGAGATGTGCGGGGCCTCGTTGACAGCTGCCGTGGACAAGCGCCTTGATCTGGGCAGAGACATGGGCCGCGCCGAGTCCCCGGGACCCTCACTCACCACACCACTGCAGTCAGAGACGCCCGAGTCAATCAAAATCTCCTTCCGCGGCGGTGGGGAGAAGATATTCTACGAGCGCCTGAAGAACGCACTTGTGCAGCGGAAATGGCTCCTGCAGAGCGCACCGCCGATCCCCAAACCGCGCCCACGCTCTGGAGCGTTCGAGGACGGCTACTCCACCAGTCCCAACGATGCGTCCGAGGAGACTGAGCGTCCCAGGGTCGTTGGCATAGCAGGCCTGGAGCGGCGCGGGTTGGAGCAGAGACAGAACAACGAAGCCATGATCGGCAGCGCGTTTGAGGACCTCGAAGCGCTCATGACCTCAGCGAAGGAGATCATCGCCCTGGCAGAGCAGTTCGCATCACAAGCAAATCTAGGCACCAATGGTAGTTCAGAAGCCAGCGCACTCGCATCTCAATCTGCGTCCGCACTCAGCCTCGTAACCACAAAAGACATGCTGGGCTCAGGCTCAGGGTCAGAGTCTCTCTACGTCTCCGAGCTCTCACGAAATCTTGCCGAGTGGCTCACCGATGATACCCGAGGCGTTTTGCGCCAGGAAGGAGGAATCATGACACTTGTGGATCTCTGGGCAGTCTTCAACCGCGCAAGAGGCGGCGTCGAACTCGTCAGTCCCGCCGACTTTGAGAAGGCAGCACGGATGTGGGACACGCTCAAATTACCTGTTCGTCTTCGCCAGTTCAAGAGCGGACTGCTTGTCGTGCAGGGTCGCGATCGCACTGACGACAAGACCATCGCCAGTCTTTTGGCTTGGCTGAAGGGCTTGCATCTCGAACCTCCAGCCACAGAAGTGTTGTGGGATTGGCACATATATGGCAGGGGTGTCACGGCACAGGAAACTGCGGAGAGATTTGGATGGAGTGTTGGTGTTGCGACGGAGGAGTTGGAAATGGCCGAGGAGGCTGGCGCGCTGTGTCGCGAGCAAGGGCTTGACGGGTTCAGATTCTGGGAGAATTGGCTTGTCAACTTGCCTCCGGTTGTTGCTGCCGCTTAACGTCGGACGACACAGACGTCAAAACACTGATGCTATGATTGATTTACTCTGCCTATGACAACTCACATTTTGTGGCTCTGGACATGATTCACTCTGCCGCAACTACCCTTCATGCATTGCAGCATCGTTTCATGTTCAACTTGCATAGTTAGGTACTCAGCCGACACTACCCAGCCTCGACAGGTTTGACAACACGACTCGGCAGTAATTCCTCCGATATCGCGTTGGCGTTTGACCCTGATATCGCCGAGCATCACAATCAGCGCTAAGATAATTCGTACAACCTCGGACGCGTTGCACAGCGCCGCTCTCTTTAGATCGTTTCTTCCCGCCGTCAAATATCCAGTTTGTCGCCGTTGTGCCTGTGGTTCATTGGAGAGCATAGCCATCCGATTGGAAAAATACATGCAGCACAGAAAGAGAGAGTTTGTGAATCGCCGGAGGAAGCTGCAGTGGGGGAAGAAGACAGAACCAAGACATTGAACACAACCCATACTATCGACTGAGCGGATATTACACGAAATCCATACAAACACCCCACCTTCGAGTCCGAGTATGGCGCCAACGGGCAAAGACGCGTCGAAGCGGGAATGGAATACAGAGAAGCTGGGACTGCGAATGGGCGTCGATGCGCTGGCTGCTGGGTCGGCGGCGACGCTCATCGCGCCGCTTATCACGATAATAGACAAGAGCATTATTGAGAACGCGAGCGGGAGAAATACGCTGGGCGAGAGTCTGAAAAAGAGCGCTCGCGAGATGCTGTCGAAACCGCATGTGTTTCTGACCAGTCGGCCTTTTGCGCTGGTATTTGTACGTTTGTTCTGAATCCCCCCCATCCCACACAATATATCTCTACCCCGAACAAGCCATAGAAGAGCAAAACACGCCAAGAAAACGCACAAGCTAACCCACCCACCCACCACCAGGCGCTATACTTCGGCACCTACCTAACCGCCAACACAATCGACACCACCTCCTCAACCCTGCACTCCACCCCGCTCACCACAACCACAGCCGGCACCCCAAAATTCCTCGCAACCTCCACCACAAACCTCGCCCTCTGCCTCTACAAAGACAACCAATTCACGCAGCTCTTCGGGTCCTCGCGCCGCCCCGTACCCCTCCCCACATTCGCCCTCTTCACCGTGCGCGACTGCCTCACCATCTTCGCATCGTTCAATCTCCCGCCCCTGCTGGCCCCGGCGCTGGAGCGCAAAATGGGCGACGAGGTGAAGCGCTATGTTGAGGCGCAGAGTTTGGCGCAGTTTGTCACGCCTGCGGCTGTGCAGATTGTGAGCACGCCGCTGCATTTGTTGGGGTTGGATCTGTATAATCGGCCTGCGGCGATGTGGGTTGGAGGGGAGGGGAGGGTGGGGAGGGTGCTTAGGGATTGGGCGAAGAGTGCGCTGGCGAGGATTGGGCGGATTATTCCGGCTTTTGGGGTGGGTGGGGTTGTGAATTTGAAGGTTAGGAGGGGGATGATGGGAAGGTTGGAGGGGAGAGTGGTGAGTGGGTGATGAGTTGGGGGTGATGGTGGATGTGAATTGTGTAGACGTGAGTTACGATGGTATTTTACGACCTCATGAACTGTTGCTCTTCTCACTCTGCCTCAGCGACTGACTCACATCAACGACCATCTCATCAGCAGACATCCTATTCCACATACACATCACTTCCGCATCTTTTTCCAGTCCCACACTGACTCACCCCCACCCCCAAATCCACATAAAACCCCTTCCCCTCCAGTCCCTCCACAATCCTCACACTCCTCCAAAATCTTCCACTCAATCAAAACAGCTAATCCTTCCAGCCGATGTCTGTGTCCGTCTCTCCCTTGCAAACAAAAAATGAATATCTGCCACCAAATGTCCGCTTCCGTCTTCGCCTTTCCAAAAAAGCTTTGGAAACAAAAGTTCATGTCTGCTCCCCTCTCTGGTCTCCAAAACTGTCCGAATTGGCAATCCATGGCTGCTGTGTTCCCGCTTTTCCTAAACGAAAAGGAGGATAGCGTAGTGGTATGTGCGCGGCTGTCCTAGGTGTGCTTCCAAAACAAAAAAGGCTGCCTATATGTCTGCGGCTCTCTCTGCTGGTCAAAAAAGATGAAAAGATGGGTGATGGCTGTTCCTGTCCCGCTCTTTTCGAAAAATACAGAATCGAGTCTGCTATGAGTGTGTCTGGCTCTGCTTTCTCAAAAAGATGACGATAGCGGTGACATGTGCTGCCGTCTGTGTCCCTCCATTAAAAAGATGTCCGGAGTGTGGGATGTGCACGTCTGGCTCTGTTCCTCAAAGATTGCAGAACATATGGATATGTCTGTTCCCGTCTCTATACCTTTCAAAACCAAGCATTCGCTGATATCCTCAAATGTCTGCGCCCGTCTCTGTTCCTCTAAAATCCAACAAAGTATGGCTGATGTCTGCTCCTGCGCCTCCTCCCAACTTATCTTTTCGAAAACTACAGATCCCGGATCTACATGTCCGGGTTCCTGAAGATACAACCAAATATCGCCATGGTTCGGAAGGCCGTGTTTGGTACTTTTTATTGAGAAAAACTCAAAAGTCTTGTCAAAACTCGATATGTCTGGTTCCGTGCTGATTCTCAAAAACATCATTCTATCGAATCTTACCTACCATTCCGCCATGGCTGCGGCGCGTCTCTGCTCCAACATCTCAAAGATAAGACGAAAAGCCATTTAGGTCCGAAAAGAAACTACAGACGATTCCATGTCTGCGTGTTCGAAAAAACACAATTCAAAGAGATCATGGCCGCCTGCGCTCTGCTTCCCAAAAGAATCATCACCAAGAATTTATGGTTTGGAAATTGGAAGTTGGACGTAAATCTACTTATTCGGAAAGACCTGCCTATCGTTGTGATGTCTGCTCCTGGTTTCGCTGTTTGAAAGCGGAGGAAGAGGTGACCGCATGTTTGGGGGGGTTTGGTTGTTACTATCTCTTGCTTTTCCAGAAAGGTTTATCGTGACAGCCGATGTCTGTGTCTGCCTTTGCTCTCTAAATCACAAATCAAGAAACTCCATGGAGGGAATGTGATTGATAATACTTCATCTCTTCGTACGCTGCTCCGTGAATGATAGAAACCTCGGTTTAAATGCTTTTGTTTTGCTTTTCTACCAGAACCAGAAATCATCAACTCCATGAATGTCTTCTAGATCCAGCACCTGTGGGGTATACTAAATCAACGAGTATATTTCTTATGACTGTCGCTCGCTGGCCTGCTTTACAAAACTCTTGTTGTCGACGCACTTCCTCTTCTTCTACCCATTCAAGGTTCATCCAAGTCGAGACAAACATCCAAAAGTCATAGCAGCAGCCAATCATGCCTGCCCCTCTGTCTTTCTTCAAACAATGATAACCTAAATGCATGGCTGGAGAGTCTGTCACTCTCATAGGCATCCAAAACACATATCCTCGAAGTGCCATGAGCATCAAGAACATCCTTGTACAAATTTCTAGCACTTCTTATGTGAAGTTCTTAACACTGAACCTGCGCTTCACAACTTAAATCTGGACTTCGTAAAGGACATGGCCGGGAAGTTTGTCGTTTCGAAAAACTCGATTGACAACTGGCGATGTGCGTCTTGACCGAAGACAACTCAAAAGTGTTCCATGTGGAGCTACTTGCATTCACAAAACACCTGAATTCTTCCGAACCTAAGAAGCATCTGACCGAGCCCATGTTGATTGTGGAGCTCTGTCTTGTTCCAAAAATTCTGTACCGAATCTTTCATGGCTGAGGGTTCTCTTGTCTTTGAATACAGGGTGTCTGGGTACTGAAAAAATGGCACCGCACTGCCAGATATGGTGGCGCAGAATAGGAGGCAAATGCCTTTGCAGCTATGGTCGGGACAGTTAATATATATATCTTTGCACCCTTCGAGTATGCACCTTCACTGACTATCAATATCCCTCTATATCTCCAAAAGACTCGGGAAGGCACTGCTATGTCTGCTTTTGTCTTTCTCTTACAAAATGCATTACGTTTTCCGAAGTTTGACAGTCTACACGCTATGGTTGCTGTCTCCTTCATACTTGAAACGACGCATATGGGAGTTGCTGCACAAACCCAATACTTAGTCGTATATGTCTTGGGTGAGAGATAGTTCGACTACAACCAAACCCTTCGACCAAATCCATCGACTAGCTCAGATTCCAAATGGGCTGCCCAATGGACATATGTGTCCGTTGTCCAACTTCAAAATTGAAACCAGAAACGCGGATATCTGGAAAATTTGTCGTTCCCCAGCCTTAGGCGCCCTCCCAATTTATATCTGTTCGTGTCGAAAACTCTACTTCTCAAAAGGATACTATTACGATATGTATGCTACGACTTTTAAGCTCTTGTCAAACAGCGTTGTGTTTCCTTCTACTTCACTTCTTCGAAAACGAAAGACGGATAATTCAACCTCATGTCCTTTTCTCTCCGCTTCCTGTATAAGCATTCTACACCAGACGTTCTCACTCCTATGTCTGCTCCATCTGAACCGTCTGAAACAAAGAATAGGGCCTGTGCATCTGGTTGAATGACTACTGTTGAGAAGGACATCTACATACAAAAATTTGGACATGGTGCTACCTATGATCTATGTGTAAACCATCTTTTCAAACTTGGCCGAAAAGGATGCGTATAAAGTTACTATTCCCTGGCTCTGTCCTCTTCTTTTCCAACACCGGACTTTTCCTGGGATCTACTCGAAACAATAGCGAGTGGCGTCATGTGTCTCGCCTTCCTTACATCAAAACCATCTCTTTTTAGAATTGTCTCAATGACCATGTCTAAAAACCTGAATGTCTGCTGCAATAGCTCTAGTAGTATGTTTACCACCAAAATGTAGAAACTCTTGAAAATTCTCTTTTCCTTCTGCGCGATACTGAAACTTTGCTTTGGTGATCTTCTTCCTATGTTCATCACAACGTAGTAATCTGTAGATTGAGCCAGAGTCTTTGAAATGGGCAGGATACAACTTCATGGAGTTTGTGTTGATAATGTATGGAACTTAAGAGAAGCACAATATGATCGAGAGTAACACAATAGCACAATAACCCTTGCATAGTGAGTTAGTGAGACGATACAAAAGGAGTTGTTACGATTCATGACGCGAACGAGGAGAAGATGGTATGCAAGGCCTGATTCCAATCTCGTTCAACCTGGCTACATTAAAAGTCGCCCAAAAGCTCTTTGGGTTGAGCACTTCGATGGCCATAACGGGTTCGAGTGCAGTGTATGAAGCTCGATGGAGAGTGGGTCAAGATGGGAAGCTCTTACTAGTCTCTGGTACTCCCTGGTGCGTATGCATCTGAGCGGCGACCATTGGCCCCGCCGGGGTTTCTGGACGTTGCAGCTGGCGCCAACGTGCATTGCAGAAACGCCAACATGTGGCGCAGCACCTTGTCGAGCGACAACAGCGAACGAAATATGGCAGCCTTTCCACCTTGCCGCCGACCATCATTCAAGACATCCCATATCAGCCTGAACAGGGACAAAAAGTTCTAAGAAGTTGATTTTCGCAGCTCCTTTCTCTCGTCTTGATTGTAGTGAGCGGAGGGGCGATCGGGCGACACAATGGCCCAATCTTCACACGAACGCGTCGTGATTGACAAAAACGGAGATACCCTCATTACGCTTACATCCCGGGATGATTCTTTCGCCATCTGGGATCCTTTACGCGACGAGTTTTCCTCACCAAAATCCTCAGGAAACGAGTGGAAAAGCAAGAGGACCCTAGAGAACGAACGCGTCCTCGCAAATAAGGTCGCTTCAGAAGAAGACGAGAGCAATGCCACGACTGAAACACCAGAAGAGATCCTTGAGACAACGATCGTATATCAAGTGTCTTCGAAGCACTTGGAAACGGCTTCTGGAAAGTTCAGAAGTGAGCTCACAGGGCCATGGAGCGAAAACGTCAAAGGAGAAGATGGCCTGTTTCATCTGACCGCGGAGAACTGGGATCCTGATGTATTCAAGATCCTACTGAACATACTGCACCTTCGCAACCGCCAGGTGCCGAAGAGCACCAATCTGGATACTCTAACCAAGATAGCTGTCTTGGTGGACTACTACAGGTGCTGGGAAGCTGTAGAGACGTGGACAACCCTATGGATCGACATACTGAAGAAGAAAGAACTCGTACCTACAACGTACTGTGGCGAGCTAATTCTATGGATGCAAATCGCTTGGGTGTTTGAGCTGGATGAAGAGTTCGAGAAGACGACAGCCATTGCCGTGCGCCAAAGCGACACAGCAGTCATTCGAGACATGGATCTTCCCATTCCACCAGCGATTCTCGGTAAGCAGCTAAAGCAGTAGAGAATGCGATGATGTCGGTATAGCTAATCACATGTAGACGCATTGGAGCTTCGAAGATATCAGGTAATCGACTCCATCATGTCAATTTGCCATGACTGGATTCCGAAGTTCTGCGACGAATACAACTGCCCAGAGGACTCTGATTCGTCCTTTGCCTGTGGATCAGTACTTCTCGGAGCACTTACGCGAGGGATGCATCGTCTGGGTTGTCTGTCGCCCAAGCCAGAGATACCTTTTGATGGACATAGTTTTCATACCATATCGAAAGCCGTCAAGGAGTTGCCAACACCTGAATGGTGGAGTGAAACCCGCAGCAGATACAGTAACAGCCATGAGTGCAGTCTGAAGGACACTGTGGGTCCCGACATCGATGCAGTCGTGGCGAACATCCGAGGGTTAAACCTTTGCGACTTCAGGGACCGTGCGAAAGAGCTCGATCAGTAGTGGAAGAAAGAAATGGAGAGTTGTCACTGAGGCACCTTGCCGTAGTGTTGGTGATCGACAAATCCATGTTGCATGACAGCCGCGAATCGAAACCACAAGGCTATGCCGTTTCAGGTATAATCCTCGGCGATTCGGACGCGTGAAGCATGCGTAAGAGGTCACGTAGGCCATCAGGCACAGCATCTTTATCAAGTCGTGCTCGCCTTTCATATTAGATAATTCTAAGCGCTGTTGACCGCACATCCATCGCCCACCTGCAGCTGACCCACTAGCCTATGTGCAATCCATAAGAAGCAAGCACAATCACCGTGGCTTCCTCACGCTTCCTCAAGCTCTTGCTCGCTGCCATCGCCACATTCATCACCATCTCCGCCATTCTGGCTTCTCTGCGATTTGGCGGCTTGCGTACTCCTTCTATTCTGCAATACCTAAAACCAACTCCGCTGCGAAATCCAGGGCAGTACCGACCGCTCACAAACTCAAGCATGGCTCCCAAGCAGTACAGAACGCCGCCGCAGCTGCCTCCAAAGTTCACAGCGACGACGCAGAGCCTGTTGGACGACACGAAGAAAATCGTATGTTGGGCCCTGTTCCACAACGCTGGGAGCTGTCACTGCTGGTGTCACGAGCCCCGCAATGAGGGGACCTTTACTGACAGCCCCCCCAGATCGAGCAGTCACGCAAGGTCCAAGATGATATCGTCAAGGCTGACAAGGCGACATTCGCTGATGTCATGCTCCCTATCGCGCAAGATGACAACAAAATGTCTCTCGAGACACACATCATCGGCTTCTACAACGCCGTATCCACAAACAAAGCCCTGCGCGATGCGTCCAGCGAGGCAGAGCAGCTGCTAGACGACTTTGGGATTGAGTCGTCTATGCGCGAGGACGTCTTCAAGCTTGTCGACCAGGTTTTGAAGAAGAAGGAGCAGCTGGACCCAGAGTCGCAGCGCCTGCTCGAGAAGGATCACAAAGGCTTCATTCGCAATGGACTGAGTCTGCCGGCGGGCGAAAAGAGGGACAGGTTCAAGGCAATCAAACAGCGACTGAGTCAGATTAGCATTGCCTTTTCCAAGAACCTGAACGAGGAGAACAGTGGACTTTGGTTCACACCCGAGGAACTGGATGGCGTGCCAGAGGACGTGACGTCTGGCCTGAAGAAGGGCGACGGCGAGAATGAAGGCAAGCTTTGGCTCACCTTCAAGTACCCTGACCTGTTCCCCACGCTCAAATACGCGACAAACGCCGAGACACGCAAGAAGGTCTATATTTCGAACGAGAACAAGTGCCCCCAGAACGTGGACTTGTTCCGGGAAGCCATCATCCTTCGCGATGAGGCGGCCCGCATCCTTGGCTACAAGAACCACGCCCAATTCAGGATCGAGGACAAGATGGCCAAGACTACAGAGACAGTCGACGAGTTTCTGGGCGACCTGCGCAAGCGACTTGCTCCTGGAGGCAAGACGGAGATCGAGAAGCTGATGAAGTTCAAGGATGCAGATGCCAAGGAGCGTGGCTTGACCGGCGAGCTGGCTGACAAGTACTACTTGTGGGATCACAAGTACTACGACAGGTTGATGCTCGAGAAGGACTACCAGCTTGATCACCAGGTCATCGCAGAGTACTTCCCTCTCCAGACAACCATCCAGGGAATGCTGAAGATTTTCGAGGAGCTCTTTGGTCTGGTCTTTGTCGAGATTGCGGGCGAAGAGGAACGGGCTGCACTTGCGGAGGGTGGGAAGGGATCGGACATCGTATGGCACGAGGACGTCCAAGTCTTCAGCGTATGGGACGATGAGGGTGAAGGTGCTGGTTTCGTCGGATATCTCTACCTCGATCTGTTCCCGCGAGACGGCAAGTACGGACATGCTGCCAACTTCAACCTGCAGCCTGGATACATAGACGAGAGTGGCAAGCGACGATACCCTGCCACAGCGTTGGTCTGCAACTTTTCCAAACCTACGCCCAAGAAGCCCTCACTCTTGAAGCACGATGAGGTCGTCACACTCTTCCACGAGCTTGGCCACGGTATTCATGATCTCGTCTCCCGAACAACATACTCTCGTTTCCACGGTACAAACACAGTTCGCGATTTTGTCGAGGCGCCATCTCAGATGCTAGAGAACTGGTGCTGGACCCCATCCCAGCTTCGCTCGCTCTCGCATCACTACTCCTTCCTCTCTCCAGAGTACAAAGCTGCGTACCTCGAGTCTTCTGGGTCGGACAAAGAGGCGCCGTCGGAACGCATCCCGAACTCGTTGATTGCTAACTTGATCAATACAAAGCACGTCAACGATGCCCTGTTCAATCTGAGACAGTTGCATTTCGGAACCTTCGACATGGCTGTTCACGAGCCGGCGAGCCATGAGGTAATCGAGAAACTGGATGTCGGCGAGACATACAACAAACTACGACAAGAGATCTCCCTACTCGATGGGCCGGAAACTCTCAGTGGCGAGAAGAAAGGTGACTGGCATTGGGGCAATGGCCAAGCCACTTTTGGTCACCTGATTGGTGGATACGATGCTGGGTGAGTTTTAGACTGCAGCTCAATCGCGAACATCAAACTAACTACCCTTCTAGTTACTACGGCTACCTCTCTTCCCAAGTCTACTCCACCGATATGTTCTATTCCGTCTTCAAGAGCGACCCTATGAACCCCAAGGAAGGACGTCGCTACCGTCACACAGTCCTCGAGCGCGGCGGCTCGAAAGAGGAGATGGACATCTTGGAGGAGTTCCTCGGCCGCAAACCCGACACCGAGAGCTTCTATAAGGAACTTGGCATCAGCAAGTAAACTGCCTTGGCATGTTTCGCATGTCGGATGGTGAAGATGAGATGGTGATATTTATACGAAAGAGATCTTACGATGATATGCGTGGTGCCGAGAAGTATAACAGGAAATACCAGAACAAGTGGGTCGATGCGATGAGGGCAGCATGGCGGGGGAGGAGCATCGGACTTTGGCCGTAGATCAACGGAGGCACACCATGTCTCAGCTGAGTCCGCAATGAGCTTATCTGCGTTGCACTTCGTGTGACAGAAATGAAACATATTCATCAAAAGTGACATGACTTCTAGCTCATCACATCGTTTATGCATCTGATCGTTTTCTGTGTTTCCCGCCATCGCGTCGGTGATCCTGGTTCGTTTCACAACCCTCTACACTTTGAAACATCAGCGGAAATGCCTTCCGCAGATCCTTGACGTGGTGATGGAATGAACAGAAAAGAGCATAGGTTTGAGGTGGACACACAACGTCTGGCATATTCAGGCAGGAGCCACGAGGAGAAGAGAACTCAATCATGTAGGCTTTTACAATCCAAGCGCGGACCACATCAGGTTGTCCCACGGCTCTTTTTCAGTCCATCCACATGAGGGAAATATGCAAAGACACATCGTCTGTTCATATTGTCTTTCGGGTTTTCGAAGTCCAATGAAGAAATGGGGCAGAAGGTCCACACGCATCAAAAAACGGTTTCTGAGGTTTGGACATTTGCACGGGGTTTGTTGTTTTGAGGTTTTGCAAGGATCGGTGGAGATGAGGAAGAAGAAGAGAGATCTTGGGATTTAGAGATGCATATGGCAACGTTCTCCATTGATGCGGTCCACCTGAATCTTTGGAAGTAGGGCAACACGCCGCGGCATGATAGGGGGATCTGCTGACTTTTCGAACTGATATTCGTCCTTCGGCCGGACGAGCACATGCGCAATAACTCGGTGTGTTTTGAGATCAAACGAGAATCATGGACTGTCATAAGAATAGCTTTTGAGATTCGGTTTTTCTGGTGTGTCAACGTGGATGGTGCAGAGTAGGAGAACAGCAGTCCAGGGAATGTTCGGGTGTGTGCAAATTATCGTTCATCGCATTTGCAGGTGTGCTTTTGAATCTCGAAGGATTATATGTGATGGCGATTTGTACAGGAAACATACGTTAATATTTCTTGGCTTTTAGTGTACTGATAGTCGTCTGATGTGCCAGATTTAAGGGTAGGTGTTAGATATCTTGGCCTCGAACATAGACAGACAGGAGAACGGTTTTGATAGAGGTTTAATTTGCAAATGGAGAAACACATGGCCTTGAAGAATGGGGGTTTTAAGATGTGAAAGTTGGCGATTGAGTAAGCACATGCGAGAGTTGATCGGAGCCCTTCGATTGAGGTTATCTTGAAAGGGAGCAATAGGGGTTACGACCGTTTAGTAACATAAGGATTGTAGCACACATGGAGTGAGACTTTTGGGATTCGGAACTCAGAAAGGTCAAACGGACCATGCAATCGTCGTAATGTATTTTAGATAAGAAGTAAAAACAAACAAATCGCGCATGGTTCTTTGCTCTGAATATTTTGTTGTACTGAGGGAGAGTAGGTTTGGAGATGAGGAATGCAAACTTTGCACAAGTGAGAGATATTTATGCACAAACGCAGGCGTCAAAATTTATTCGTGTTTCATCGATATGGCACATCACCACCAATTCAGCTCGATTTCTTCCCGTCAGCCCAACTCGGCTCTATCCCACTACATACATCGACATACGCATCCCATCTCCTCAACCCCTCTCTTTCACTCCTTTCTAACCATTCCTCCGTAACACCCTCCGTAGTCCAAAACATCGTCCACTGTCCACCTGGCAGGTTCCACATCCCAGTCGACCGCTCCTGATACCACTTGTTCACCGGATTACTCGTCCTGCTCCGCCAAACAACGCCACCAGGAAAGCACGTCCGCGTCAGCGCCGCCCATACAATGTCTGATACACCACCCGAGCCCTGGGATGAGGTCAAGACGGCGAATTTGTCGAGGTACGGGACCCAGTATGGTGAGTCTACCGACGTAACGTCTGGATGGGTTGAGCCCTTGAGTGTAGATGGCCTTTCCCAAGTGCAAATCGCGCCTCCTTCGTAGTCACCTGCAATGATAATACCAGCGACACGGCCACGAATCCGTTCAATGTAGTCCTTTGCATCCAATTTTCGGCGGAACGAGTCGTTTATCAAGTCGACGAGTTTGGGGAAGTTGATTCGTGGATCGTCGGCTAGCTCAATGCTAGGGTTTAATGCAGAGGGTGGTTGCCAGGGTCCAGTAACGCGTGGATCGGGGATCATGGTGAGCGGTATACCTTTCTTGAGGAAGGTCGCTGGATTGGGTGCTGCGGTATCGAAGAACCGGGTTGCACGTGAAGTCGGAAGTGAGGAGGAGATCATCGGTTTGTCAGTAATGAGGTTGTGGATCAGTGGGTTTTGGGCATGTTTTGACTGTGATTCTTCGGAGAGGGGTTGTGTGGCGGCCTCCGCAGGTGTGATGATCAAAGCCGAGGACGAAGGAGGAAGCAACTTCAGCGCTCGCTCTACCACGTCAAGATTGCTCAGATGAAGTGTAGGAGACGTATGACTGAGTTGCTGCTGTGAGGAATCTGGTATAGACGCCAACTCGTCTTCCACGAACTTCGAGAATGGATTGCTGCTTCCTAGTGACATTGATCCCCCGGTGCTTCCTCTGGTCTGGCCTGCCATTGACAGTTGTTGAAGTTCTTTCTTGATGTTGCGATATTCTGCTTCCAAATTTACGAATACGTGAGCACCGTCCGCTCTGCTCAACGATGGTATACCTCCCAAGGGATCGAGGATGATGATCCGGTCTAAGATAGGTCGTTCCATTGCCTCTTTCTTCTTGTCGAGTGCGATGTTACCAGTGTCGTTGACTTGCCCAGAGATGCCGGCAAAATCTCGAATCAGCGCTAGCAGCACATCGTCGGCCTGGACTTTGACTTTCTTCAGCTCACTGTTGTACGCGAATGACGGTATGACAGGAATCATGCCATCGTCGATCGGAAGAAATAACAAATAGTCGTTTTGCACTTGAACATCTCCTCGTACACGTGCAGTACTCGGAACATTGTTTGGCAAATCCGAAAAGCTCAATGCATGCTCGACTAACAATGCGCCTGGCTCATTGTAGTCTTCCAAGGCAGCAACCAAACGCCTTGCTTGCTCCATGACTGTCTTATATACCACGTCTGAGTCTGCCGTTTGTTGTGTGATATCTTCATCGCAGTCTAGTACCACCGCGGTGCTCAATCCCAGCTGCGCCAACTGACTCAACGTGAGCGCGATTCCTCCCAACGTCTTGTCATCTAGCGCTTGTGGTTGCCTCAGCTTGACCAATGCGAGATGCAAGGGTTCATCCTTATCGCCTTCCTCATACGCCTTCTCCGGTAGAGGCTCCCGTGTGAAGACAGTCGGCTCATACAGATTGCCAAGGTTCACGCCCGATTTCGCCAGGCCCCATTCGTTGTGTACCGCCTCGCTCACAGCCTGTTTCACCTTTGCCGCAGCTGGCGTGTCATTCTTCTTCGCGCTGTCGAAGTGTTTGAGGAAGTTTCTGGCATCGCGTTTGCCAGGCGACTCTTTCAGCAGGCGAGTCAACTGCTCGCGTTCGGCGCGCTGGCGTTCTTTCGCCGAGCTCGACGATTTTCGGATATGCGATGTTTGGGCATGTGCAGTCGTCGAGAAATGAGCATTCTTATCGAGTTGGGGGAGCTGAGAAACCATCAACATTTCTATCACTTCGATGCTCACAGCTACATATGAGTCAGTAAACACGTACAGTCAGCGTTGCCCTCCCCAAGCCCCTCGCGGGGACTTTGCAACAGGTGAACATGCTTCATGCTACCGCCCAGCTACTGAACACATTGGAATACGGGAAAATTAACAGGGAAGATGCAATCGCGCGGTGATCGCCAGAAAAGTCTCATGTGCTCTCGGTTGAAGCTTTGACGATTGACCTTATCGATAAGCTGCGTCACGCCGACTTCGGATCACCAATTGTTCAGGAATTCCAAGTGCGGGGTTCATTGGTAATGCTTTCTTGAATTACTGCAGTACTGTATTTACTTTCTCACGACCAACCTGACTAATTTTCTTTAGTTATCATCAAGTTGTGAGGATTGAGGATATCAAGGTCAGCTGAGTCATCTACTACAAATCAACGCCGGGTCTGATGCGGACTCCGTCACTGCCATCCCACTTGATTTCTCCGCCGCGAGTTAGCAGGAATTAGTGACTTTAAATCATGCAATTTTCGTCGATTGGCTACAGAGTAGTCTGAATATGGGGATAATTGCGTAGATATGAGACCTCGAAGCTTCTTCACGTTAGCATCCTCTCGAAGCCTCACAAGACCCCAGCTAGCTTGCGGCGGAAAAGTCGAGGGTGTACGGTACAGTAAGCGCGGAATTCAATGACATCGATGATGGTGGAGACCTACGGATTTATGAGGGACGTACATATATCTATACAAGTCGAGCTCCTACTTGAATCTTCTCACACAAACACACTATTAAGATCCGATTATTCACCCACTTCACTATGGCCCCGCAACTCGCTTGGATCGGCCTCGGCAACATGGGCAGGGTGAGATTAACCACCCTCTCTCCGGGTCCCATAAGTTTCCCATATTAACGCCTCACAGGGCATGTGCAAGAATCTCGTTGAAAAAGGCAATCTCGACAAGCCCCTGATCCTCTACAACCGCACCCAGAAACGATCTGATGACCTCGCTGCCAAATTTGGCTCCGGCAAGACCAAAGTGGTGTCTGAGATCAGCGATGCCGTTAAAGACAGCGACATCGTCTTGCTTTGTCTCGGAGACGATGATGCGGTAAACACTACCGTTGACGTCATCTTGAAAAACGACGTCAAGGGCAAGTTGATTGTAGACTGCAGTACCGTACATCCGGATACTACAAATGCGTTGGAGAAACGAGTCACAGAAGCCGGTGCAGAGTTCGTAGGAGGGCCTGGTACGTATAGACACTTTATTTTCATGCTTCTCGGGGATTCAGATTGTAAACCGTCGAAGAGTGCAGGCGTTTCACTCTGCCCAACCCAAAGCCTCACAACCATTTATTCCAAACTCGAACTTGTTCATCTAACAAATTCATACAGTCTTTGGCGCTCCACCAATGGCCGATAACGGCCAACTTGTTTGCGTCATGGCAGGTTCGAAATCTGCAGTCGACAAGTATAAGCCTTACACCAAAGGTGTTATGGGCCGCGCGTGAGTCTTTCCACTCCTTCCATACACTGACTTGTTCAATCCACTGACCAAACGGCTAGGGACATCGACTACTCCGGTCAACCGGCGGGCAATGCTACCCTTCTGAAGGTGATTGGCAACACGTTCATCCTCAACATGGTCGAGCAACTCTCCTCAGGCCACGTTCTTGCCGAAAAGACTGGGCTCGGAACAGACAATCTCCATCAATTTATCACCACCATGTTTCCCGGCCCGTACACAGCCTACAGCCAGCGCATGCTCGAAGGTGACTATTACCAACGCGAAGAGCCGCTTTTCCATGTCGATCTGGCACGGAAAGATGCTAGGCATGCGATGGCGTTGGCTGAGAGCAGTGGGAGTTCCGTGCCGATGTTGGAGAGCGCGAACAAGCACTTGATAGCGGTGAAGGCGCATCTGGGTGATAAGGGCGATATTCCTAGCATATATGGCGCCGTGAGGAAGGAGAGTGGTTTGAAGTTTGAGAACAAGGAGTAGAGAATGGCGTGGTGCAACGATTCAAGAATTCAATTTATCCACGGGACCTTTTGAGTTCACCGGATATGAGTAGATCATATAGTCATTACGCCATCTAAGCAGTGTAGTCAGGTTGTGATGTTATGCATATGTGGATAACTAGGAACACTCCTACTCTGTTTCAGCTGATAAGCTGTACTTTCTCCTTCGCCATCTGATGGAAGACACACTCAATCTGTGCTGTGTCGTGACGGGATGGTAGCAGCTGCACCCCTTGCGCATTCTCTTTAATCAAGACGAAAGCGGGGTAAATGATCCCATATGAGGAAATGATCCTCACCATGCAGCGGACTGGTCTTACTAAGAGCAACTACATTTGGCATTATATCGGCCCACAATCGTATAACGGCAGTTGCGGACTCTTCGGTCGAAGTGATATCTAACAAGTCCTGGGAACTATACTCTAACGAGTCTTTCTACCAAGTAAGAGCACAGCGTAGAGGCCAAAGAAAGATATGCAGTCTGACCGGAACGTTAACTAGCATAGAAGCTGGCATAGAAAACAAGGGAGAAGCCAGAGCAAAAGCAGTCGAAAGACAGACCACTTACCTCCGATAATCCCGTAAAGAGCAAGGAACACGGTACGAATACACAAGGTATAAAGCTATCCTCCATCTTGATATTTGATCTTACACTCGCAGAAGTCCATGGACTTCTCTTTCAACGAGCAGTTCGACGTCGTCCTGACCGAGCTCAAACCTCCTGCGAAGGAAACTGAACACCCGACTGTCAGCGCCACGCAACTCATAACTTGCCAAACTCTCAAAGAGCTCGCTTCCAAGAATGCCTTGACCATACAAAATATACCTTTGAACAAACTCTATCCAAGGTATGTATGATCCAGGTAGCAATATTGTCATACTGATGGAGGATATTAGGCTCTCCAAGGGCTTCTTCTGCATAAAGTCTGATAATATGTGCAAGATTGATTTCTCGGCAACCTTGTTGGAGTATTCTCAACGTGAGAAAGATGCCGTCTGTATCCTATGTTGTTCACCGAACTCACTAGACGACTGACAAACTCAGGCCAGAGTCGACAGGAGCCGCCAGGCTCTAGTTGTATACTGGACTCGCCATCCCAAGACCGATTTCGATGATTTGTTCACAAAGATCAACGAGCTAGACAGGGTGTGATATTTTTGGTGGCGAGGAGCGATTGCATGGCATTTATTGTACCAACCAGAGTCCACTCTGCTTAGATAGGCGATTGTGTAAAATCTGCTAAGATTCATGCTTCGATGGTTGAGCTTGTACTCTTTGACGTCTGTTATCACCGCAATCTTGTGCTTCACTCCTTGATGCATCTCTCTCCTATCTCGGGTCGAATAGTCTACTGATAGAAAAACGAAAATCTGGGACGTTCTGCTGCTCTCTGTAGATTTTCGATGTCAACGTAGAAAAGACATTCCCAGATGTTGAAGGTTGAAACAAGGTTGAAGGTGAGAATGCTAGCGCCGTCTCCATGGGCAGTCGCGATGCGACGCGTCGCGCGCTACTTCTCCACTACCACCACCCCAACATAGAAACATCACAAACTCCCTTTTCATCGCGTACCGTCATGCCTTAAATGGGAATATAGGTTCATCTCCGCATTTACTAGTCACAGATGTTAGCTACAGCCTTTCCTTGCATCAAGGTCTATCTCACATGAGAGTGGTCGGCACGTCGACTTCCACTCAAGTCCAGGACGGCTTGTTTGCTGCTACATTACAACCACCATGAAATGACCGCGTATAGAAATGCAAAGACGCCTGGTTAGAACAGTCAAACTGTAACTGTGGTTCGGTTCATGCTCCACCGAGGTTACACAAATGCGTGCCCGGTTCCATCTCTCCGCAGTTGTGCCGCCCAGATTAACTAACCCCAGACATTACCCCAGCTTCTGGGTAAAAGGTACCCCACCTCCCCAACTTAGGTCTGGGGTCACAAAACCCCTGGTTGATGAGGCATCAGCTGATTAGCTCGAGCACTCGACCGCGCTTCTTGAAACGAAGGCTAAGCCAGATACTGCTGCGTAAGACTTGGTCTGACTTCATGGCTCCCAGGATCGACTGATACCTTATGCTGCATACTTGAGCGGGGGCATTCCCACTTCTTCTCATCCACACTGCGATCGACCTTTCCTCGACGGCACATATAATCACCACAGTATAAGACAGAATCACATGAATGTATCGCGGTCGCTATGGGATTCTTCAAAAGACCAACCCTACGCAATCGCGATGATAAGCGTACAAGTGCTGCAGAGCTTACATTGCGCGAGTCCATTTACCCGCTCTGTCTCGTTACTATCCTGTTCTTCCTTTGGGTAAGTATTCTCTCTCCGCTCGTCTCTCATGTCTTCTGACCAGCTCCCAGGGTTTCTCATACGGTCTTATCGACACACTGAACAAACACTTCCAAGAGAGTCTTGGTATCACACGTGCCCGTTCATCCGGACTCCAAGCAGCTTACTTTGGCGCATACCCACTCGCCTCTCTCGGCCACGCAAACTGGCTGCTGCGACACTGGGGATACAAGACCGTGTTCATCTGGGGACTCTTTTTGTACGGTGTTGGCGCTTTGGTCGCTTGGCCATGTCTCTTGCATCGCTCATTTGGCGGCTTCTGTGGGGCCACGTTCATCATGGGCAGTGGGCTTGGATCGCTTGAGACGGCCGCAAACCCATATCTTGCGGTTGTGGGCCCTCCCAAATACAGCGAGCTACGAATCAATCTCGCGCAGGCTTTCAATGGTATCGGGACTGTTGCTTCACCTGTCCTGGCGTCTTACGTGTTCTTCAAGAACACAGGCTACGATGCGGAGGCGTTGAAGAATGTGCAATGGACCTACCTTGCCATCGCTTGCTTCGTGTTTCTGCTGGCGATCGTCTTCTACTTTTCGCCCATTCCTGAGGTCACTGGTAAGCGTTACAGTAAGCGATAGACAATGATAGTTTACTGACCTTGGTTCAGATGCCGATATGGCCTTCCAAGCCGAGGCCACGCACGCCGGCACAGACGTGAAGCCGTTCTCAAAACAGTATCGACTCTTCCACGCTACGTTCGCACAGTTCTGTTATACAGGAGCGCAAGTTGCCCTTGCAGGGTCGTTCATCAACTATGTCACCGAGACACGAGTCAAACGCAATGGCCCCACGAGCTCATCCGATGCAGCGAAGTTTCTCGCCGGTGCTCAGGGAGCCTTCACATTCGGCCGCTTTGCAGGCAGTGCGCTGATGAAGTTTGTCAAACCTCGTTGGGTGTTCCTCGTCTACATGACATGTGTGATAGTGTTTCTCATACCGACCATCACCGAACGCGGCAATACAGGTATGAGCATGTTGTTCATCGTGCTCTTTTTCGAATCGATAATTTTTCCAACCATTGTCGCTCTGGGTATGCGCGGTCTAGGAAAGTACTCCAAACGCGGCTCAGGCTTCATTGTCGCCGGAGTATCTGGTGGTGCAGTGGTTCCACCTCTTCTCTTCGTCGCGGCCGATGCTCAAGGTGCTATCAACTACGAAACAGGTCATGCGCCGACGGCCATCGCGATGAGTGTGCCACTCGCCTTCATGATTGTAGCCTGGTCGTACCCAATCTGCATCAATTTCGTACCAGCTTACAGGAACGTGGCGGATAGTTTCTCAGAGACGGAATTGGGAATCACAAATGCGCACGCAAATGACCCAGAGAATTTGGTAGGCGGCCACAACGGATTTGACGAGGGCCATGCTAAGAGTGATCCATCGGCGCACACGGAGACTGTGGACATGGACAGAAAATACTGATTAGAGGGGGGGTTAAGTCGAACGACTTCATGATCACTGCTAATGATCCAAAGATACCTCTGATAAGGGATGGGACCGGCCGTATATAGATGCAATCACTCTCATTGACAGTCATCCTAGCGCACATATATGCCGTGATACCCGTTTTATCGTTGACGCAACCTTGACACCATCGTACCTGACGATCCTAACTGATCGACAATGACCACGAGCTTGTTCCTTACATACGCCTGGTGCCATTGTTTTTCGCAGCAACTTTGAGATGCAGTACGCCCTCGCCCTCAGCCCCGCACACGCGTATTGGCGTATCCGAAGTCTGAGGCTCCCGCTCATTCTCTCAGCTAAGTGAAGAAGTCATACCAAAGCCGTAGCACCATCTTGCAATAACATGACAATTATATACAAGATGAGTGAAAGCTTGGGTGTTGTAACTAATGAAATCCTCTGTCATAATGGTCTTTTGGAACACCGTTCTGAACCTTCAGGAACGAAGCTTATTTCCCGCTTTCGAACTTAACCGAGCGTTGTCCCCCGCTCTTTCACTAGCGCGCCTCTTGAGGCGCAGACCTGACAGGACCACGACGCAAGGTTGCCTTGAGCCGTGACATACTGGCTGCTCTAAGGTCATGTCAAGTGTCTTTTACAGCAGTCGCCGCGATTTTCTGCAGCCTTAAGTCGCGATCAAGAAGAATGTGGCGGTCATGGACAGGAAGGCGCTACTCTTCCCGTGGTAGGCACCCATATGTTCAAGTTGTGGGGTGGAACCAGTCCATTGCTGACCATGGTATTGCACAGCGGCCTTATTCTAGCATCGAGTTACCTTTCCACCGCCTCGCCTGTCGGCTACTCGTTCGCGTTTGACAAGCCGTTGCATACTGCGGGAGTTGTATTGCTGCTTACAGGTCTTGTAATTGTCGCATGTGAAGCCTGGTCGCGACAGACGTCGCAACCGCGGCTGCCTACGCGATATGTCGCGATACCACTTAGCGATGGTCACAGCAGACCTCATAGAGAAGAGATATGGAACGAGGCAGGGCAACCGGCACAGAAGAGAGCGTGGGGTGTGAGGACTGTTGGAGCGCTGCTGGCTATACTCTTGTTTGCCATCTGTGGTCGCATCGGCGTTTTTTACTACGTTGTGAAGAACGTGGAGTGCAGTGGGCCCTCACATGTCGTGAGCTACTCGCGTTGGGTCGTCTACGTCAATACTGACAGCAGCAGGCCTTCCTACCACTCGTCCTAGCCCTTTACCACAGCATCCGCCATTCTAGCCAACGCTATGGCTCCGTCTGGACTGCTAACACTCGCCCATTGACGTACTGTGAACTCATGGTTGATTTTGTCTACAATAACTCGACTCGTTACATTCTGCCCTCTGTTTTATTATCCATCAGCAGCTTCCTCGTCATCGTCAAGTCAACATCTTTGCGTTCTACGTATATCTGTCCAATCGCGGAGGATCTGACAACGGCCATCTCTTTCCTACAGTTCCTTGGCTTCGTTTTGGACTCGATCATTGTCCCATTGTTGTACCGCTTGGTAGACGATGATATTTCTCCAGCGGACGACTGGACCATTCGGTTCCAAGATGGCACGTCCAACAACATGCTTGCTGGCTTTACGTTTACCGTACGTTACCCTAGATTTTCAGGCTCTTCACTCGCGTAGTGCTAATCAAACGCAGGCCTCCGCTCTCGTTCTCTTGGTAGCCGGTCTCACGGTGTACGTGGTGATGCCAGAACATCGGCAGCTGATGTTTGCTTTTCCTTCTGAATACCTCCATGGTCTCTTGCGTTTGTCATTGATGATACCCTTTATTACGTTGTGTTTCTTAAAATCAGTAAGTTGTCGTATGTATTTATCTTGTGGAATAAAGGCTAATCCTACAGGCACGACTGTATGGCGTTATGAGCTCGGTGCTCATCGTTGCGTTTTCCTCTGCATTTATCGGAGTTTTACGATCCCTTGGTACGGATGTGTCCCATTCCTTCCCGCCAAAATCTACCATTAGCCTTGTCCCGTGCCTGGCCCTACTCATCATTACTCTGGTTTTGTATCTGATTGTTCACGCCAATATCGAGACTCGGGCTCGATCTACAATTTCAGCTCGTTTTGGCAGAAATCAAACGGTGGCCTTCGTACTCATTCTCATCGGCTTCTCGGTAAGCGTAATTGTCTACCACCATCAGAAACCTCTGTTAGAACACCCCATCACGACCTTGATTGAGCTTGCGAACGTGCAGCATGATCAGTGGGCATCACAAGCACACCGAAGCAAGTCACTCGCCGAGGCAGTGGTACACTATCGACAGCGTTACACACGAGATCCCCCGCCAGGTTTCGACAAGTGGTATGAGTTTGCAGTTTTGCGAAGTTCTATTGTGATAGACGACTATGACAACGTCGAAGAAGACCTCGCCCCATTTTCATCTTTCAATCCAGATGATCTGCGCCTGCGTACAGCGACTGTGTTAGCTACTCATGAGGGAACTGGAGGAATCCGTATCCGGGCAGGGGTGGCGGAGGCTTTCGTCAATGCGTCTGAGCCTCGTTGGTTGCCAATTGATGGAGCACTCAAGATGATCCGGCAATTCGCCGTGTTTCTTCCCGATATGGACCTCGCCTTGAACCTCAACGATGGATGTCGTGTTGCAATTCCACATGATCGGCTGCGGGATGCTTTGGACAATCCGCAGCCTTATCCAGCTTCTGATCCGTCACGGGCCAGCAAAGACTTTAGTAAAGATCGCGCAAGCAAATGGCCAAACGTAGACAAGATTCATGTGGATCCACAGTTCTTCGAGGATGCACGCCACAAACCCTCGTATCAAACATATGGTTCAATCGCTTGCCCTCCTAATTCCCGCGCGCGAAAGGAACGGCACTGGGATACCCAATCGCTTTGTCCGACATGTGCACTGCCTCATTCTATGGGTGCCTTTGTATCTAACTGGACACTTTCTGGCGATCCTTGTCACCAGCCCGATATTGCGAACCTGCATAGCCTCCATCTCAGCCCTTCCGCCCTCATGGGTACGCATGACATTGTTCCGGTTTTTAGTCACAGTCGTGCACCAGGATACGCCGATATACGTTACCCATCTCCTTGGACCTATATGGAGAAGACAAAATATGAGTTTGACGAGAAATTCCCAGACTCCAATTTCCACGACAAGGAAGATGTGCTCTTTTGGCGAGGCGCTATCTCGGAAGGTGTAAGCATATCCGGATCGTGGAAGGGTATGCTCCGACAACGCCTTGTGCATCTTCTGAACAACAATACATCCCGACAGCCGGTTTTATTGCCAAAGGGTGACCATAGCGGGCAACTGGAATATATGCTTGAACACACAGACAATATCAAAAAATCCCTGGGCACCAAGACTGACGTGCGGTTCGTCGAGAATATTACTCACTGTGCTGGTCAGATCTGCAAGAACCAAGCTCGAGAGTTTGGACTCGTTGATAGAATCGATTTCAAGCAGCATTGGCGCTATCGCTACCTTTTCGATATGGACGGCCCAAGTTCCTCTACCTCAACCATTCCGTTCCTGCAGTCCAACTCTGTGGTCTTCAAAACCGCTGGTGTTTTCCGAGAATGGTTCGACGGCCGCCTGACCGCTTGGCACCACTTCGTACCCGTTGACATCCGACTCCACGACATCTTCTCCATACTAGCTTATTTCGGTGGCTGGGGTGTCGAAGCGAGAACGAAACGCATGACGGAGGGAAGGACGAAGGAAGCACAGAGCATTGCGAGGCAGGGGAGGGTATGGGCAGACAAAGTGCTGAGGAAAGAGGATGCGGAGGTCTATATGTTCAGGCTCTTGCTCGAGTGGGGCAGGCTGACGGATGATGCGAGGGTCGATGTTGGATTCAGGATGGGCAGGAGGAATGGGAAAGATCGCGGAAAGGCAGAGAGAGCGGAACTATGACGCCGTAGGATATATATGGGGCATGAACACGACCATATTTTGCGATAATGCAAGTCATACGTAACGATACTGAGCAATTGAAGTGCTAAAATTCGAAACGCTAGACTCGACGGGTAGAAACTTACTGGGCGAGTGTAAAGGTGCATGGAGGGATGAATGTGTGCATTGACACCAAAGCCTGATATTACTGGGCTGGATTGCGAAGTTGTATGCACCTACATCGCCTACTAGTCCAAGCAAGGTCTAGTTTCATGCTATCGCATTAGGCTCCAACCGTCTAAGACACTCGATCTCTATGAATCTCCTTTACTTTTAGCCTCGTATATTTCAAGATCAGATCGGATCAGGGATATGCTCCACTATTTTGGTCGGCATGCGCCGCGAAAGTACACTGTTCCTGACATTCACCCCATTGTTTCGCCGCCTCGGGATCCTTGCGAAATCTGCCTTTCGCGGGCATGGACATCCGACTTCTACACCGCGCTGATCGATCTTCCAATCGAGATACAATCCCACTGCATCAAGTACAGGGTCTCGTCACAAGAGCTCCGAAGATCGACTCTACAAGGCTGCAAATTTTGCCGCACGCTCGCTGATGGAATTCATGGCAAGTTGTTTTACGATGATCTGTACCAACGCTTCAGGGGTAAAGAGACAGGTAGTGTCTCTGCTGGCACCGATAACTGTGTAGTAATGGAAGACGAGATAGCTGATCAAGACGCTGAAAAGGAGGAAGATGACTGGAACGATGCGTCCGGTTTTAACGAAGAATTGATTGATAACGACCCCACTGATGGCTGGGGTGCTTGGATAGACCACGATACGCTGATGGAAGCATGTATTCTTGAAGTAGCGATATCGTTCGAGAGAGGAAAAGAAGAAGAATGTTTCACGATTGTGAACGTATATATAGAAGCTGTCGAACAACCCACCGAGGAAGGCAATGTGCTGCAAAATTTGCATGGCGTGGAGCTGCGATATCATATCAGCACAGATTGTAAGTCCTCATCTATCTCTAAAAACCTCCAACCAATTCCGACTATAGGGGGCGGCCTACCTGAACTTGACAAGATCTTCCCGGCCAAAGCAAGTGACAGCACCCTTGGATCAGAAAAGAATATGGAAACTATACAGCACTGGGTGCGTTCTCTCGCATTTGTCCCTCAATCAAGCACCACGAACTCTACGCAGATACCTGGTAGGCTGATAGAGCTACAATACGGCGACACCCTCCGCGTTTGCGATTCCTCAAGCATACTCCCATCAGACAAGAGCTTTGCGGCACTAAGCTATGTATGGGGAGCCAGTCAAGACTTTATCCTACTTAGCACCAATATAGACTCGCTGATGAGAGGTTTCACGCCTGAAAAACTGCCACAGACTATTCGAGATGCTGTCACGGTCACTCGCCGTGTTGGGCTTCGATATCTCTGGGTTGATGCACTGTAAGCTTTTAACCCTCTTTTCAAGACAAAAATTCACGACGTGTAGATGCATCATACAGGATTCTGACCAAGACAAACTGCGAGAGCTCCCCAATATGGGTCTCATCTACAAGTATGCTACTGTGACAATCGTGGCTTCTGTTGCCAAGTTCGCTACGGAAGGATTTTTGAACCACATCGCGGAGCAAAAGAGTTATGAAATCGATCCAGTCGCTATCCCTTATCGTACAGACAATGCCCTGTACGACCGGGCTCAGCTGGTCTTAAGCTACCCTGCCACATATAACCGATTCGACGATCCCATCAATGACCGAGCATGGACATTCCAGGAGCTCATGCTCTCAACACGGGCAATTCTCTTTACATACCGCGGTATACAGACAATCAACCGTGAAAATATAAAGCCTGTAGAAGGCCCAATGTCAAAAACGGATTATCAACTGCCTAACTTATCCTGGAGCGGAAAACTATTTTCACTGGCTACATCTCCGGAGAACATACGTCAGGTATGGCTATCAGCCCGAGGAGAATACAGTCGGCGTAATATTACGTATCAAACCGATAGGTTGCTGGCTATATCTGCTATCGCCCAAGAAATAGGTCGCGTGTATCAGGGCAGGTATCTCGCCGGAATGTGGGAACATGACCTCGCCGTAGATTTGGGGTGGAAAGTTGCACGAGAGTTCAACGAGGGCGACGAGACAATTCTCCCTAGGCTTCGCGCAAAAGAATACGTAGCGCCATCGTGGAGCTGGGCCTCCGTGGACGGCAGTGTGGAAAGCTATGCAGACAACTCCGGAGGCGAAACGATGGACTTCCAAGTCGTTTCATGCGACGTGGAGCTAGCTGTCCCAGGATTCACGCATGGCGCCGTCAAGTCAGGAGTCTTGGCTGTCAAAGGGCGCATTTGCACATGCTTCTGGCGATGGCATCCACACGCCTATCTCAAGAGCCTCAAATCTCATGGCTCCCTAGCAACACAACACTTTCCTGATTCTGGAGGGTATTGGGATTTTATCTGCGGCGAGGCGACCGCCGATGCGCTTGAACCAGAACTACAGCATAACACGGAGGTCATGTGTTTGGCAACACGCCTTACTAGGATCACACCCATCAGATATCACGTAGAAGGCTTGATGCTGCTTCCAGTAGATGGGCAACGATATCGACGAGTTGGGTTCTTCACAATCTCAGATACAGCTGTTTTCGATACTGTTAATGTGCAGGAAATTACCATTGTCTAGAGTATATTCCTTTGTTGTACCCAGGATAATGTATATCAAGTTTTCCAGTATCGCAGAGCAGCCAGACAGAAGCGAGTGCGCTTGAAATCTATACACAACCTACGCATGCTGTTTGACATCGATATCCTGGATTGACTTTTCTCTACCCAGAACAAGCTTCCGGCAATCTGTACTGTCGACGTTTCGTCACTCGCTCAGGACTTTCGCCCTCCACTACACAATGAGACCGACATAGGCGAAAACCAAATACGACTCGACTCTATAACTATGAGTTGTATCACACGAGAGTCTTTTGAAATTCCTATTGGGCAGAAGAAAGAGGCCGGGCACTACATTATTAGGACGAAGAACACAGTTGAACAGCAGTTCTCTTCATGCCTGGAAGTAAAGAGTGGGTACTAATGAGGCCCTACTACAATTCTGGAGATGAAGGGACAGAATCGGAGATTTCTCGTCAACAAGGAGCCATAAGCAACAGTTTAGGCTTGCTTGATATGCAGTTTTGGGCCGGAATTGAGGAACGAAGATACACTCTGATGAGCAACTCAGCAGCGATAAGATCTTGCTGCCTTGGGTTACAACAACGTCTACATATGAGCTGATGTGACTAGAATCCATATGCCGGCATACAAAGCACCAGTTAGTAAAGTCGCGATTAGTGAGCCCAACATATTTTACTGTGACGCTCAAAATTCTTGAGTGTCTCTCGGTGAAGCAGCTAGCGAGCTGTTGCCTATTATGGATGTGGCTAGTTCGCTTGACTTCCAGTTTTCGTATAAGAACTATTGATCTCCAGCACATGCGGGGTAGTGCAACTTGTTGGGAAATCCCTTTCATAAGTAGCTTACCCCCAGCATCTTGAAACCAACTTTTGGTTGCTTTCTCTTGAACTTGCGGTCACATCTACAACGCTGACAAAATGACTTCGTACCAAAACAGATACAGCACAGCAGGAGATAGCACACTTCGAAATACTTCACTCTCTCGTTTCTATCGTCCTGCTACGGTCCCAACCAACATCCCTCCATACCAAGCAAATGAATACATCTACTTCGATGATTGCAATTCCCCTTTCAGGTTTTCCATGATCTGGTTCCGGAGCGTCATAGCACCCAAGTTCATAGTATGCGCTACATGCTATGAGCGCCGTATCCGGTACACACCATTAGGCGCCTCATTCACAGGGAAACTAGAAGAACTTGGAGATGACGGAAAATGCATGTTCAACGTTCCTCGTATGAAAGGCGTTTTATGGCCATTGAACCGATCGTCAGACAACCTAGAGAACATCTATGCATATATGAGAGAGCGCAGCAATCTTCCAAGGTGTCCAGGAATCGCTGGTATCAACGGGTCTGAGGCTCACGCCATAGGTATGACGTGGTACACCCTTGTTAATAATGCGATACCCGATTTCGTGGGATGTCGAGCTTGTGTGGAAGAACACGTAAAGGGCAAAAGATTCAATCTCATGTTCGTTCCACAATCCCAATCGCAAGGTCACACTGATCAATGGAGTTGTGATCTCGCCATTCCATACGTTCAACGTTTACTCAAGACGACATCCGCATCTGTCCATTGGTCTGGATTCGTTACCGGCGCGACTCATCGGATGTCTCTTCCACAGTGCGTAGGCTTCAACCCTGTGAAGGCCGAAAGCAGAACTTGGTATCGTCATCCAGCCTGGCCTGAATCGGCTGTTTGCGAGTCGTGCTACCTCGATCAAATCGCCTTGACCAGCCTGGAGCGGGAACTCGAGCCCAGACCTGTACCTAACAGCGCGCGGTCAGATCATTATACTTGTGATCTATGGAGCATACCGGCTCAATGCGTTGTTAGTACGGCGATTGAGAGAAAAAGCTCCGCAGACTTTCAACGCTTCTTCCGTGCTCTCATGACGAATCCTGCATGTTCTCCACTGGGCATCACGGGCGGGAAATGGTACACGCTCAAGGGCGGGTGTCCAAACTTCGAAGTTTGTGCAACATGTTACGCCGGCCTCGTCACGACTCATTACCTTGACAATGAGTTCCAGCCACGCGACAACGTGCCTCCCGGCCAAACGGTTTGGTGTGATTTCTGCGCTGGTATTGGTCGCTCAATGCAGTATGTGAACAAATTCGCTGAAGCGGTGAACTCGCCGCATTTCGACATCTTCACATCGTATGTCCGTCGCACGTCCACGATCGTTCCATGTCAACGCAATAAGCCCGTTAGAAACAAAGCCTGGTGGCGACTCAATAACACCGTCAATTTCTACGTCTGTGACGACTGTTACGAAAATGCCGTTCGAGGCACAACATCCAGCGATATGTTCGTGAACGTTGGAACCACTTCCGCGGAGATGATTTGCTGCATGTACTCACCAAACATGCGTCAACGCTACCAAATCGTCTGCGCCACGAACTCCCCAGACAAGCGTACTAACTTTGTCGCTTACGCTAATCATCGTCAGTCGATCTACGCCCAGACCGTACCTGTAATACGAAACATATTGGCGAATGCGGAACTCAAACTCTTGCAGCAACGTATGAACAACTCGACGAGCACATTCTATAACATGTTGGACAGGACGGGTGGTAATGCTACAGGGATCCATTACGGACCAAGTTCCGATTACAAAACAGTGTACGGAAGCTCAGCTACAGGAAACTGGTACAACACACCGCATGGGATAACGAGTGAGAGGTATTCTGCGCAAGCGCTTGATGGTGGGAGTAGTATAAGCAGTGACACTATGAGGATAAAGATGTTGGAAGACAGTTGGCATGAGGTAGAGTAGAAGATAGTTTTGTTCATGGGTGGACCCCCGTAAGGCTACTCTTATTATAAGAGAATCAAATTATTGTAATCTAATACATCTTGTATCTCAACCGGCGAATCTTCAAAACGGCACTGTGACAACCCGACTTTCCCAATAACATCCGCAAGCATAGGAAACCGATTCGCTCTTATAGGGTACGCTGAAGTGCAAAGTCGTATTGGCAAGGTGGATACGAAGCTTGAACATAGCGTCCCTCTAATTCTCACCAGTATCAAAGTCCTGGTAGCTGCTTTCGTTACATAACCTGCTTCATTTGATCCCGAATTCCACCTTGTAGGGTTCTTCATCGACTATAATCTGCTTAGCACGAGGTGTCTACGTCAGGTACACGACTTACTGTTGCTTCCCCTGCTGAGCAGCCCGTTATTGGCTGAGTAGTATAAGATGCGGGTAGATTGGTTCGTGCCAGCGGTCAATAAACTCACTTGGAGACTTCGGCAGAGGTCTTTATGCAGTGCCTTTCTTTCTTCGACGATGTCGCCCTTCTCGATGAGCCAACCCGTCCGATTAGCCGCTGACAACTGTCCGCGTTTTCCTCGACGACCGTCCTGTGCTGTGTAATCTTTTGACTGCTTGGGGTAGCAAAGCCTGTAGCTGTATTGTGCAATTTGATCGACTACAATCTTTGCGGGAGCTGATGTACGCCGGGTGCCGAGACTGCTCAAGGCCCTAGAGAGTGGCACTGCGACATACTGCAGAGCGTCTTCTATAGACAGACAAGCTAAGTTTGGGAGGGATATGGGCTTTACTCTCCGTTGGCCTGGAGTACTTGAATATTTGCCCCCTTATGGGCATTTTTGAGCTGGCTGTGCAAGTATCGACTCGCTCCGAGTTCGCCTACAAGCAATATTGCCTTTGCGAGTCAGCTGGGGCCATATAGCAGGCGATGTGGTTTATGTACCTTTACCTTTCCCCCATTTTCTTGTACATCATCAATTTGGACTTCAACCAGTCGCATAATCGGGCCGACGACGTGATCGAAGATAGTCTTGAGAGCCATGCTATATCTCATGATGAGGAGTCAGCGAAAAGTGTCAAGGGTTGTTTTACATACGGCTTCAGCAGTATCGTCTCATCGTCTATTCCTTCTGTAGGATCGTCCGCCACACCTTGCAGATCGATGAAATACTTTGTGTCATCTCCGGAGAAGCATGGCTTGATCACCGTTCTGAATTCAGCCATCATTCTGGCCTTCCCACGAGGCCTGAGGCCCGCCCACTGCTCCTCGCCGACGATTGTTCTAATAAATCTATCGAAGGCGTAGTCGAGATAGCCTGAGCCACAAGATCCGTCTGTCATTTGATAAGCCATGGGAAACACACTGGAGATAAGGAACTGGAACGCACCGTCACCCATAGTATACTCTTCAATCAGTGGAGGCTGGACAGAGCAGGTTTTGTAACTCATCAGTTCCACTGAGACCCCTCTATCATTATAGACAACAACACAATCGCCAACATCCAGAGCGTCGCCGTTGATATCTTTGCGTTGTAAAGCTACCAGCACAGCAGCTTCCATTTCACTAAGAGCAGCATAGTCAGGAAGTTTCGCTTTAGGAGCGATTACCAATGTCTTGTCCTTTGCTCTACCAGATTGCGGAAGAAATTGGCCGAGGGACTTGTATGAAGTGAGCCGAAAACCGGCCAATTTCTTTTGCAACTTGGTGGCTCCATCGGGCCAGACGGCGTCCCGGCGTGGCTGTGGCTGCCTGCGCTCCTCGGGGGAGTTGAAGCTTTTGTTATTGAACAGCGGCTCTTGTCGAATTGTGCGAAATCCGCTCTCGGGCACAGAGCTCGAAGCTGTGGCTGAATTCCGTGGCAGAGTGGATTGAGCAGAGACATGTTCTTTATCTTTGACGAAGATATCCTCCCTGATGGGTGAAACTGGGCTGCTCGATAGTGGAGTATCCCAGTGGTCGCGATCGTTGGGATCACACACTGAGTCCGCGTAACTTGTGAGATTATCGAGGTATCTCTGGAGCATTATATTGGATGTTTGTGCAGAGTGGTCCTCACTCGCAACAAGAGTTGAGCCACCAGCGCTTGCCGCAGCTGCTAGTTGCAATACGGGTGCCGATGTGCTTGCGACTGCCTCCGCCGCTGTGAGTCTGGCTCTGAGAAGCTCAAGCTCTTCTCGAATCTTCGCTGTATCGTCTTTGATAGCTGCTGTGTCCTCAAGGATGTTCGTCGTATCTTTTTTGACTTCCCGAACTATTGTTCTAGCACATGATTAATTTCTCGATGCGGAGTAACGAAAAGGGTGTAGTACGTGTTCACCAGCTGAAGAGCCAAATCTAGTGCCGTTGTGTGAGATTCTAGGCTGGATCTGAGTTTGTTAATCTCGCCCTTTGCTCCACCCAATGTCCAGTAGCCTCCCTTTCCCATTTTCGACCTTTCACATTTGAGCAAACAGCCCTCAATCTCGAGTACCGTTACTTTGACATTGGCAAGAATTCCGATGATCTGGGAGTTTAGAGCGTCTGGCAAAGTCCTGGCCTTCTCATCTTCCGTGTCATCTCTCAAATATGTTAGAACGGAGCTGAGCGACAAGAGCTCTCTTGACACGCCATCCAGGTCCCGGCGCGCGTCCCGTACATCTTTCACAAACGCAGTCACTGCGATCGAGGCCTGTGCAGTAGTAGCTATAAGGCCGATGCATGTTGATGTTATCGTTAGAGGGTCCATCTCGAGGAGAGCGCCTTGTGAAACCAGTGCGCAGTGTTGAAATCAACATCTAAACCGGAGGTGGGAACGCAACTCTAAGGACTAAGTATCTGACTAAGCCTCACTATACTTACAGAATACCAACAAGCCACCTGCAAAGCTGTAGCTAAATATCGTCTACTTTTGCAACAAATCTATCCAATTTAGCTTAAGCATGTTTAATCTGCTTTAAGAGCTTAATTATGTAGATCTTTTTGATCTTATCTAGACCTATACTGATAGAATCTAACTTTCCAAAACACAAGATCGCTAATTACAGATAAAGACGACGCTTAACACACTAGACTCATCCCCGACTCAGTGCGGGGTTCACACCATCCCGTCCGGAGATAGATGTTTGCGAAATGCTTTCTTCAGTGAAAGGAAGACAACATATTGCCCGTTTTGTGAGGAAGCATTCTCGAGATTTTGCGATATGAGGACGCAGAATACATGCCCGAGTCCCAAAGGATAGAAGACCAACTACGTCCAGCGCGTACAACGAAACGGAACAAAGAAGCCAAGACACATTCAGATAAAAAGAACATATCATACCGTATACCACTACACCATGCCTCAAAACATTAGATCTCTATAAATGCAATACCATACATGCCCAAAACGCCATCCCATGCTCCCACCCGCCGCAATGCAAATCCAAACACCAACCATGCATGCTAAAACCAGGGTATTACCAAGAAACACTAAAACCTCCCACTCTCCCGTCTCCCCACGCCCAACCCCCCATACCCCGTCGCCTTCCCCAACCTCTCCATCTGCCCCAGCGTCCGCTCCCCCGTCCGCTCACCAACCGGCATACTCATCCTCTTCAACGGACTACCCTCGCGCTTACTCGGACTGGTGTGTCTCCTGTCGCCCAACGCGGGGGTAATTCTGTCTGCGAACCCCGTCAGGGTGTCGCGGCCGCGGCTGGTGTCGTCGTCGCGGTAGCGCATGTTGGCTTGTTTGCGCAGGGGGGAGGCGGCGTGAGTGTATACGCCTAGGCTGCCGCCGTCGCCGGTGCGGGGGATGGAGGGGGCGGTGCGGAACGGGTTGGGGGTGACGGCTGGGCGGATCGGGGAGGAGAAGTCGTCGTCGGGGTCTGCGTTTGTCGCTGTGGAGGTTGATGTGTAGCGCCCCGAGCGACGGACGGAGGGGGTGTGTTGTGTGGAGCGGAGACCGTCGGGGTCGTATTGGCTTGCGTAGTTGCTGTTGGGGTTTGTGCGGAAGGCGCGTTTGATGATGGTGGTTGGTGTGTATGTGACGACTTCGCTGGCGAGATCCCTACTGCTTCCCTTGACGCCCACGCTTGAGTTTCCATTGCCCGTGCGGCTGATGGTCTGGATACCCACGTCGCGGCCTTGCTTCTGCAGTGCGGGATGCACAAATTTGCTGTCGTACTCGTGGAGGACTTGGCGGCTGATGATGGCGTTGTCCTTGATTTGCTGGGTGAAGGCGCTGCGGAGCCACCACAGCTGCAGCGACAGCAGTGCGCCGATGATTATGGTGGTCGTGACGCGGACGCTGGGGCGGGGATCGAGAGGCGCAACGGGGAGGTTGAAGTAGTACAGCATGACGTGCAGCGGGCTGAACAGGCAGAACAGCTCCAGAGCCAGCGGATTGGGGTCCCACACAGCAATCTCCCAGACATCGCGTGTGGCATCGGGGTGCGCGCGGGCAGGAGCCGAGTTCCTGGCGACGACACTGCGGAAGTAGGACATGGGCGATGCACCGGCGGGCGAGGAGTCGACGCGTACACGCTGGGCAGACGGCGTGGCAGGCGTCCTCTCAATGGGCTGCTCAAACAGCCTGTAGTGCCTCTTCTTCCCGTACGCCAGCCAGGCATTCATGAAGCAGGCGCCAGCCAAGACAGTGACCAGCGAGTTCATCATCCACTTCATCCACCCCGGGCCCGATGCCTCCCTAAAAACACCGTCGCCGTCGTATTGTGTGGAGCTCTCGTTGTTGGCCTGGGCGATGATGAAGGCCATGTTCATGGCGAACCCAATGTACAGGGCGTACGACTGCGCGAACTCCTCCCAGTCGCCGCTGTTCAGGTCCTCGCCGACGCGCATCAGCCAGTCCGACGGGTCCATGGCGGCTTTGATGCGCTCGGCGAGCGGGGCGCGGCGGACGAGACGGGGCATGCTGGCTATCCTTGGCTAACCTCAACTATCCTGTTTGTCGTGATTGTCCTGGAGGTTCGAATGCGAAGCGTATGCGTGTACGGAGTGTCTGGTCAAAGAGTGGAAGACGAGTCGCGACAAACATTTAGCCGAATGTGTCCTAGCGCCCCGCCATGACGACGGGCGGAAGCTCATCCAACATCGCATCCAAGCTGCAGCTAGCTATCTACCCATCCGGCCACAGCAACACGCCATGGCCGCCCCAGCATCGCAGTACAAGGACCGCCAATTCCTGGCCGTCATTGGCGATGAGGTGTGTTCTTCTCACACCTACCCAGTAAACGGATTACTGCTAACCTGACTGACCCAGGACACCGTAACAGGCCTCCTTCTCGCAGGCGTCGGCGTAAGCTCTCCCCTCTGACCTGAACGTATGCGAACGGAATTGACACCTCACCAGCACGTCACGCAGCCCCCCGACAGCCAGAAGAACTTCCTCGTCGTCGACGCCAAGACGGAGAACACCGCCATCGAGGCCGCCTTTGACAAATTCACCACCGAGCGCAAGGATATCGCCATTCTGTTGATCAACCAGCATGTATGTCGCCTAGACGGAACGTCTCTACTCGTTTGCGCATAACACGTGTCTGTCGAGAGAAGCCTGTGCTGTGGCGCGAGACTGTCAGAGGAGTCGCAAGTCAGGGCTAACCCGTGACAGATCGCTGAGCGGATACGACACCGCGTCGAGGCGTATACGGCTGCTTTCCCCTCGCTGCTGGAGATTCCGTCAAAGGACCATCCGTACGATCCTGAGAAGGATAGCGTGTTGAAGCGCGTGAGGAGGCTGTTTGGCGAATAGACGATATCCCAAACTGGGCATGTAGTGGTGGATTCCATGGGCATGGGAAAGATGTGACTGGAGAGAGAAGCATGGTCGAGTCAAGATAGCACGAATCAAATCTGCACACATCTGAAGACAATCTCGTCCAAGACATCTCCAAGATAGTAATCCAGGTGAATAGTTCCGTGAAAAGTATGTCATATCTACATTACGCATTCCCAACGATATCCCACCACTGTTACATCAAACTCGACCCAATCTCATCGCACGCGCATCTCCATGATACCTCAACTCGCACCACATATACACATCCCAGTTCATAGTTCATTGCGCAGTCTCAACCGCTCCTGCACCATCTTCGCAGCCGGCCCAGACATCTCCACCCTGCGCTTCCCAATCTTAACACCTCCATCGCCCGTCCTGCGACAGGCTTAGACGTCACATTCGACCATCCAGCAAGCAAAAGCGAATTACCGGTGGAAAGCAATCTTAGCAGTCAAGCAAGTAATCTTATCGCCATCCGCGGTGTACACATCAGCGAGAACAGTGTATGTGCCCTAGTCACGCCATTAGTCCGTTGTCCAAACCAAGCCATCGCGCGCGCTACGTACCGGAGGAATCTCCCGCGGCAGATCAACATCCTTGGTCAGCGTCATCTCGCCCTTCTCCAGCGGGCACTCTAGATCCCCCTTCTGGATCGTCTCGCATCCGTCGGCTTGCTGGTTGATCAGCGTGATCAGCCCGTACTTGACTTGCAGGTGCATCTTGAAGCCCTCGCCGACTTCCTCCTTGAAGTTACCCTCGGCCTTGATGCTGAGCGTGGAGCCGCTGGGACGTATTAGCAACAAGTTCGATTCAGACTACATAAACACGCGCGGATAAATGTAGAGGATGTAGGCAACGTACGGCTTGGGCGGGTTGGGGTCCAGGTCGACCTTCTCGATGCTCAGGATGTTGTTCGCGGGATCCTCGCAGAAGTACAGAGGGTTGTCGCCCGGCACTTTGTAGTCTTCCTTGACGGTGACTTGCTTGGTGATCCACGAGGAGCCGGCCGAGACGCTGAGCGCGCTGGTTGCAGCGAGGAGGAGCGTGGTGAGCTGCATGGCGGCGGTGAGGGAAAGATGAGATGTGAGGGTGGTAGAATGAGTTCGCGGGTTGACGTCGAAGCTCAAGGCGGTGGTTAGAGCGACGGAGAGGTGGAGGCGTGGAGATGTGGAGAGGTCGGTGAGATAGCTGGGCGTGGTTGGAGCTTGGGAGAGGTGAGGCTGGGCCGAGCTATGAGCTACGCGCCACTGTAGGCCTGTGCGTCAGCGTCATCGGTCATCTGCACGGGGACATCCTGGTCGCTGCATCAGGCGTCGATGGTTGACTGTTGCTCAAATTGTATGCGCGTGGCGACTATGAAGATACATTCAATGCTGCTTTCTATCTTCACGTCGTCCTCTGACAGCTACACGAACCCAACAACGCCACCCGCCCATTGCTCAAATATAGCAACCGGAAACTGATCCGCCAAGTGCTGATAACCCTGCACATTCGGATGCAGATAGTCCCCCGAATCGTACTCCGCCTTCAATCGACTAGGAACCTCAGGATCAGCCAGCAGTTTATCAAAATCAACAACCGCATCAAATGTCCCCGAGTCGCGAATAAACGAGTTAACTTTCTGCCTACAAATCGTGTCAGCACAGCACCCCACATCACCAAACTACTCTCCAGACTCACCTCGTCGCCTCCCTCTCCGGACTCGAATACGGCTGGCCCGTGAAGTTGCTGGGCGCAGAAAACGGCGTGATAGTCGCGCCAAACACAGGGATACCGTGTGCGTGGATGAGCGTCACCATCTGCTCGTACGCCTGGGTCAGCGCCTCATACACGTCGTCCTGCGCATTCGCCGTCGTCGCTGCAGTCCCAATGTCATTGACCCCCTCGAAGATCATGGCGTACTGAACCCCAGGATGGGCCAGCACATCTCGATCAATGCGCCCCAGTGCATTTGGTCCCAGCCCGTCAGCTAGCACCCTGTTACCCCCCGCCGCCAGATTTCCAATGGAGATACGCCTCGTGGTGAGTCCTTGTTGGAGTCGTGCGAGCAGAAGATCGGGCCAGCGGTTGTTCGCGTTTGTCGTGGAGCCGCGACCATCTGTGATGGAGTCGCCCACGATGAGCAGACTGCCTTGTTCACGGGGGACCCAGGCTTCGATGCTGGATAGGAAGTACCAGTGTGCGGCCGACTGCGTGCTCGCATCACTGACCGTAATCTCCGCCGCGTTAACGGCGTCGCCGAACTGCCACCAGCTCGTTGTCCGGCTCCCGGGGTGGCTGGTGATAAGGTTTGTCGTTTGCCCTGTCGCGAGGTACATTGTTACTGTGACGACTTGCTGTGCCTTGATCGGAAAGTCGACGGGATCCGACACAGCCAGCGCGCCATTCGGTATACTGATCGAACTTTTGCCCGAGAACGTAACCTTCCTCAGCGTCTTGGCCTGTATCTGATGTATACCCGCTGTATTGTTCGCCGGCATCGCCACCGTGACCGCCGTGATGGGTAAATTCGAGCCGCCAAACACATTGGAGAATTTGAGCCGGATCTGCGACGCCGCGGCGGTCATGTACAGTGTTTGACGGATAGTAGAGTTTGCGAACACTACGTCTGTTCCGTTCTACACTGTCAGTTTGCGCGTATATGTAGATGTGGGATGCACATACAAACGGCACAGGTGGTAGGTTCGCGGGCTCCGTGAGCTGCGGCATCGAAGCCCATGCATCGATCCAGTGGCCATGTGGAGGACTGGGTAAAACGGCGCGTCTCGTGATGTCTACCTCATTGCCGAGTACAGACACCGCAAAGAAAAGTAGTAACTTAAGAAACATCATCTTGTCGATAAATCACAAAGATGCCCAAAGATAGATCCGACAACTACAACGTGCGCATGGGCGACGCGCATCTTTACTTGTCTTACTCTCATTCCTGCGGGATGGTAATAGTTAGCTCATAGTGTTGTTCCTGAGCAGCCGGCGCGCGGGGTGCGGGGGACGCGGAGGTGGAGGTGGATGAACGGGTAAATAGCAAATTGCATGTTGCGGAGAATTGATTCTGACGATCATTCGATCGATACGCGAATCCGTTTATGGTTGGGACTGCATATTGTGATAAGACGACACTATTCGTTGAATCTGGGTGTATCTATAGAATAATGATGCTTAAGCTTGAAGCTCGAGTTTTCGTGATGGAGGCCTGTTTACATGTGGCTGAGTTGGGAGACTTGGTGTCAGATTCGGCTTTTTCCAACGTTTCCCCTACTCTCTGGTAAAATATCGGTTAATAGGCAGTATCACATAAAGCGCTTGGTTTTATCGAACGCGAGTCACCTTCTGACTTGCATATCCGCCCACCGCTACACTTTCCAAATACCACTACTCAGCTCGCTGATAGAGTCATGAACCAGGTTCTACAAAGAGCTCATCGGTCAAATATCCGGCCATCTTCCTGCTGAAGATCTACGAAACGCGTATCATGTATCGCCTAAATTCCGCAAAGCAGCCGAGGATCGGGCCGCAGGGTACAGAACGGAATGCTTGGGGGATAACCACACAAAACAAGCAGCGTTTCATCGCCCATTGTTCCGATTTCCGACTTCGTTAGCTCCAACATGTACAATGTTTCACATACCTTCCAGATATAGATTTCGACGATCGTGATTGCCGCGAAAGCGCTGAGGAACAACGCGAAAAAGACAGGATCTTCACTGGACAGGTTCAAGATCTCTTCGCGACACTCAAGTTGGTGGAGAAGCGTGCAGGCGAGAGGAACCGCAGGAGATACCGACTTACCATATTCATCCCCTCTCAAAAACGCTTGGGTGATGTGTGTCTTCACCGGGAACACGGTCACTCGCGAATTCACCTGCTGAAGCCAGAGACTCTTCCTGGCCTAATGTCAGTTGGCGCTCTTTAGATCAAGGATGATCATTCATGGGAGAAGCTCGATTGTCGAATTGTGATAGATCTCGTCACTCGATTGCCGACCCTGCGAGATCTCGTGTGCCATACCGGGAAGGACGCATTGACTCCGAGTTACCAGGGTGAGCCAGCGACGCTGTTCCCCTGGGATTATGCCGAATCCCGAGGAGACACAAGACATGGTTTCGGCAAAGCGATTACGCCTACCAACATCTCCAAATACCTTTGACGAGTCAAGGTGAATTTTCTTTGTCCTGATGTCCTGATGGAAAAGACGGCATCTACCAGTGGGAGATCATGCCGAATCTCGTTAGTCCTGTAACAAAAGACCTGTCCAGCGCGAGCCTTCGCACCCTGTCCCACTATCTCCAAGATTTCACGCTCCGGGCTCAAGCGGACAGATCCTTGTTTCGGCCTGAGGACGGTCCGACACCGACTTGGCCGCTTCTCCAACGAGTCCTCATCGTGTTTCATGTGGTGTCGCCGTCAGGAGCTTGGTACTTTGAAAGTCCACGCGGCGAAGGCAGAGAGTCAGCCGGTTATGAAGTCAACGCGTCTTCATACCCACCACTTGAACCTACTGAAGAAGACGAAAATTCAGATCGTAGGGGCGTGGGTGGAGGCCGGTCTTTCTAGACTCGATCGACCTTTTTCGTTCCGCATATCGCCAAACGACAATTTATTAGGACCTTTCCTTGCGAGTTTCTCCAAGGCCACAGCGAAAATGCCAGACTTGAGACAAGCTGTGTCGTGGTCACGTCTTAAGTGGGATGTTGATTGCGGCGACGACGATGAACGTGAAGTCTTTGACCATTTCGAACCTCCTGAAAACTTCCACCCAGAGTCTCTGGCTTGGGGGCTAGCATACTATGTTCCTAGAGTAGGAACAGCATTCGCTACAAACCCGGGTGAAGTCAATTGCGAGGCTCGCCAGATTTAGTGGAAGGTTGGGGAGTAGCGGCCGGATCCGGGGATCCATCGTCTATTTCAGCACATTGGTCGTCAGAGGTATGGTGATGCGTTGGAGGAACACTGGCACGATGATAAATTTGGCCAGGGATTGATTTGGCGAGGGTATTTTGAACACTGGACGCCGGAAGGGTAGTGCGGATGTCTTCAAGCGGTTGTCATGTATCACGCGTCCTACGTCGTTGCTAGGTAGCCAAGACTTTGCGTTGAGGTCTCCTTATGAAACGATCTAGTGATAAACTCCTGATCGCTTTGTCGTGTTATACTTTGGCTGACCATTTGATCGCTGCTTGGGATTAAGCTCAGGTCACTGAACGATGTTATTTCATACATAAGAACATTTTGAGAAAATTCAAGTAGGTTTCACAGTAAAACAATCAAACAAGGCCGTGAAAATTCCAATTTACCTCCTAAAACTTCCCTTGAACTCACGATTACAACCTTCATCTATCTGGATTTCTGATGACCGCATCTGTCCAACCCGCTGGGCTCAGAAGTAACAACAGTAACTATAGACAATTCAGAGAAGTCAAGCGCAGGGGATATAACACGGTCTCGATGGGGCGTCAAGAAGCCAGAATAAGCCTTCTTAAAATGTGGGGGATCGGACCTCCGCGATGGAAAGCTCTCTACTTCCGAGACTGGGCGTTTGAACTGCTGTCATCTCCCGTTGATTAGGGTGTGCCAATTTAACGGCCTGACGGTGACGCTTGTCTTTCTTTTGAAAGTCACCCCATCTTCGTTACGCCTCCTTGTCTGGCCCTGGACATTCAAGACCCTAGAGGTGGGAAAGGATCGACATAGGCAGCTAAAAGTTCCAATTCTGGAACCTCGCATATTTGTGTAGCATCAGGCGAAACACTCAACAACGAATGTTCATGTTCTGGGTCTCTCCTAGTGATGCACACATTGCTCAATCCGTGGGTCACGTCCTTCTGAGTGTGAGCACCGACGAGGGGTGAAAATAATGCGTTGTGGTCAATCTGGAATGCGCTCGACTCTCTTGCTGTGGACTGCTCTTGTGATGCGCACAAAGCTTCTCGATGAAACATCCATCGCACAGAAGGATCGCTGTGCTCACTTCCTATCCTGTGAAGGTCTTCATTGGGTTCAAGATCGTGTGTGAACAATAACTGGAGTATTTCCAAGGCATCTCCGTTTAGCAGGTGTTGGTAAACGTCGTCAATGATCAGCAAGCGCTCAACATAGCGAAAGCTTGGGCGCCAGTTTTTTGAATGCCAGTTCGGGTCAGCTCCTTTGCTCAGCAATAACCGCACTGTTTCGACCAAGCGTTTGTCGCACGCCAAGTGCAAGGCTGTCTTTCTTTCATGCGTAATGGCGTCAACTGCAATAATCCGGTTGAACATGCTCGTTCGATTGACCAATACATGAATGATAGATTCGTCCCGATTGTACAACGCTAGACGCAAAGGCTTTATGTATTTCCGGCGTAGGTCTTCACCCTCGATAATGTCCTTGATCTTCTCCGGATCTTCCCCAGTGAGCATTTGAACGAGCCTCAGATTTCCCTTCGTGACTGCACAATCTAACGGAGTTTTTATTACATCAGACGGACCACGTTCGTGACGTGCGAACCCAAGACCAGCTTTCAGTCTCATCATGTGACCAACTACTTCCACGCGGTTGTGTTCAACCGCCCACATCATAGCACTGCTGTTGTAGTACATGATATTTCGTCGTAGAGCGACGTTTCTCAAGACCGCGTGAAGTCTTCGATTGACGCGTAGGATTCGTGCGAGGTCGCGTTGATGTTGAACAAAATCTGCAATATCGAGGAGAAGCTCGTCAGGGAGGCTTAGAAGACCCTTTGGATGAGCCATTTCTAAGATGAGAGTATCCACGTTGGTTGCTGTTGGGTCGACGTGATAAGAATGCGGGGCATTTCTGTCGCTGACATGAATCTAGCCTGAAGATACTTTAGATCCCCGAAGATTATTTCAGCCTAGCTAGTTTTGACACACACTTCCGATAGTCTTGGCAATGTAGCATGTCAATAGTCCCAGAGAGCTGCAATAGACTTGAGCAGCATTATCTCGAGGATAAATGGTCCAATACAAGAGTGGCACATAACTCCCCCTTGCCCCTACCGTAGATGATAGCTTCGAGTACACAACGAAAGGAGCTGTAAGGAGACGCTCACAACCAAGAACGTTACTAAGTCCACGTAACTGAAGAGAATTCGCAAGTCTGAGATCGCGGAAATAGCAAGACCGACGATATAGTAAATAGCATTGTACTTTGCGGACTAGAGAGGGCGCGAAATGTCCAGCGATTATTCAATCGCGGAATTGCCAAGATGATCAGAGCATTCAAGTGTGTTTCATATATTCTGAGCAAGATTGAATATCCAAGAAAATTGTACTAGAGGCTTACTTACACAAAGTAGCTTACGTGACGCATCCAGAAACGGCTCAGGGATTCAACAGGCGTTTCAGTAGTGCAAGGGGTACACTGGTAACAGTAAGCTGATCTAATGCGTGTCACAAATGCCAAAGTGTTGACACTGGTGGCGTGAAAAGAAGACGCCATGTCTTAGTCAGGACGAGAGTTGATAATGACCAGATTGAAATAAGTTATTATATAGGTCTATTACGAGATTATGACACAGTTGTTTGTGTAACATCAACAAATTAACATGCTCCAATTCCATTTATACGTAGACGTAACAAAGAGGCCCCTCAGTGGTACTCATCATGTCGCGCATTGTGACTGGCGGGGAGGCCGCATAGCCGATGTCGATTGGCGTGTCGAGAGTTGTGTTTGCGGAGGGAGGGTTATTGAAGAAAGTGCCAGTGCCTGAAATGCCCTTTGCTCCAGTGCGTGTCTCCAGATCCAATTGTTGCCAAATCCACCAGACCCGATCGATCATACCGTGATGAAGGTAGAAAAGCGGATCACCGGGGGACGTGAAAAGATCTCGGCCGGGATCGCCACCCATAGAGTAGTGACCTAGAGGTAAACATGTCAGCTTTCAAAGTCTAATCGATGGTAATAGTTAGAACACTGACCTCCGCCATGAACACCAATCTCAGCAATTGCAGGATTGCCTTGCATATTCAACTGGAAGTCGGCAACGTTGTCGTTATTCAGAATCAAGTTGACGATGCTGCTTGCGTTGGCAAATCGCTGGTTGGTGTAATCCGTCAAATCACGCTTCAAGCATCTTGGGTTGTACGTCGTTCCATTCCCGTTAGCAACGACCGCACCACCCGCGATCCCCAAAGCAACAGGACCAAGATTGACAGTCATGTTGACGAAAGGACCAGAAGTGATACAACCACCACCCGAACCAGCAGCGATGGGGATCTCAGGCAAACCGTTTCCGCCGATGATGATACCGGCCTGGTTGGGAATGTATGCACCATTGCCTGACATCGAGTAATCGGAACCGTCGAGTACGCTGGATTTCTCCAGAGTTGTAACGGCAGTCTTGGCCCAATTCCAGTAAGGCTGGTAGCCGCGGTAGCCACATTCATTGCGAAGTGCCTGCTCATATTGCCATGTGAAGTAGCGGTGCCATCCCAAAAAGGTTCCCTAAGAAGCAATCAGAGTTTGAGATATACGTGGATTGTTACGGCGACTTACAGTGTAATGGATAGTCAACGTCTGGTTGATATGCGTCGCTACCCAGTCATCGTAACGCGTCTTTGCTCCGGGCATGAGCGCTGAAGGCGTGTTGGCCTTCTTTTTCTGCAGACAAAGAACAGCGTTTGTGTACGACTTGCGGTCTGCCTTCGACAGTGATCCCCATTCTCGTCGAATAGCAACATTGGACAAGTTGCAGCCTCCGCGTTTTGATTTGGCTCCTTCACTCAAGGAAGCATTGACCTGACCTTGGGCAAAATCAGACAGCTGCTCTAGTTGATCGAAAGCAACAGCAGTGTCGGTTGAAGGAGTTTCCAGTGAAACCGGGGTTGCTTCGGCTGTCACACTCGCGGTGGGTTCATCCTGGGTTGCCGGCAGAGCATGCGACAGAGTCCCAGCGAGTAAAGAAAGGGCTAACGGCGAGCTGAAACGCATCTTTGCTGACGAGGTTGCGGAATGCAAACGTAGCGAGGAAAGAGCAAGGACTGGTTGCTGAAAGGTATACTGCTCCCAAGAGACATATATATCTTATCCGAAGGTTCAACGCGTTTACAACTCCGACAGCCATGAGTCGTGAATCCGGACCCTGCTTCCGCGGTGAGCATGGTGTAAAATTTTGCGTTGATGCACTCGACGCAAACGGCGTGGTTCTGCAGAGCTTTATCCGCGATCATGCTCAAGCGCAGGGGAAACGTACGATAGCAGCATAGCTCCAATGATCAGAGAGGCAAAAAAACTAGAAGCAGGGAAGTTTATCAACGTGCATGGAGACCTAGACGCAGAAATCCAGCTGTTCACGCCAATGGACCGCACGCGGTTACGTTAGTTTATATTATGGGGCGTAAGGTTAACCAAGTGGAGGTTGACCACTCGGCCCGTCCAGTTGCGCACGGGTGATGAATCAGAGACATAACTACCGACTTTCCCCTTACCCGCCCCAGACGCACGGCAACGCCGCCTTTAGTTTGTGGGGACCGGAGTACTGACTCGTTCTACATGCATCGCGCGACTGTTCAGACGCTGTCATCATGACCCTTGCAGGGGCGGCAGAAAAGAAATTACCGGTAGGCAGATTTTGATACTACAACTGTGAAATCTGGAAATGACGTTACAGATCCATGGATGCAAATCAGTGGAGCGCTTGCGCCATTGGAGATCTTTCCACGCAGGTTCCATTTGTTCGGGTGCACTGTATTCATTGTGTGACACCGCTGATCGCTAGCCGTACCGCGTACCTCTAGTCCATGTGTACACGAAGCACCAGTCCATGTCTGTCCTGCGAGGACGGGGCAATCGGGATGAAGCGCGGAATCCATGCCGGTGCCGATCGCTAGCGTGGACGTGAGTTCAAGCCTTCGCTTGGAACACGAGGCCCATGCTCCCTCAACCTATCATATTTCTAACATGGCTTACCCCTAGGCAAAGGAAGGAGCTCGTAATATGCAATCGGCAACTCTTCCGAGGCTCACAAGTCGTCGGTATTCTCTACATTCTCAACTTATGTCTGATACCGGGGAATCTGAGGTGGGAGACATGCAAGTTTTGTACTTTCTTCGACGTGACCGAAGCTCAAGGTCAGTGTAAGCGATCTGTTGTGTTCTGCGGAAAACTAGGCTGTCTCACCATTCGTGCATAATCATTGGAACGCTAGCCAGTAATGCCATCATGTTCCCTTTGCAATCTGTTGTAGTTTCCAAGCACGATGCTGGAACCGTAAATTAGTCCGAATTAGCGCCACACATGCCACGCGGAGCTCCCGTCGAAGTGTTCAGCTCGTTCTAATGCAAACGTGCTTCCTGCAAGCACAAGTCATCCCCTGCGCCCGAGAATCCTTATTGAGAACTGCTGCTCTTCTCATCGTCGGAACGCTCTCATACGCGCCCAGCAATCGATCATTATCTGCTATGGCTCCTACGATGGGACAAGCAGTCTTACGAGATGAGGACCAGGGCCCAGTTATCCTCGGAGCTACCTTGACCGTTACCATCGCGGCCTTGATGACAACATTGACTAGAGTATATGTCAGGCTCAGAATGATCAGGAACGTTGGTTGGGATGTGCGAAGTACCCTTAGTGTACAATGACGAAGTAGGACTGACAACTATGCAGGACTATGTCATGATTATGGCCATGTTACTTGTAAGATTTTACAATGCTATAAGGTTTACAGTGCTAATTGTTTTATAGTGCGTAGTTGGTCAGATTGTCATTATACCAGAGGTCCACTTAGGCGCGGGCAGACATAGGGTTCATGTCGATCCCGAAAGCTTCAAGGAGGGATTCAGACTCAATTTTGTTACACAACCCATCTACCTCATCGCCATTTGCTTGGTCAAGATCTCAGTTGGGTTCTTCTTGCTTCGCATCGCTGTAGCGACTGTCTACAGGCGAATAATCATCTCTACCATGGGTCAGTCTGATCACAAGATTATGCCTGTAACTTTATCGTTGACTCCGATGCCATCTAGTATTCATGGGCGTCTACACCGTCGGTTGTTTTCTCACCATCATGCTACAGTGCACCAACCTTGCGCTACTGTGGGACCCTTACGTGAAAGGGACGTGCTGGAGTGATCAAACTATAACAACCTTGAGCCTTCTCAACGTGTCGCTCAACATTTTCACTGACGTTCTTTTCTCTGCTGCGATTCCGGTTTGTCTCTAGGATGTCTGTCGGCCATTACTTTCTGACTCGAACCTCAGATCCCCCTGTTGTGGAGCCTCCAGATGAATACGCGTCAAAAGATGTCTCTTATATGCATTCTCGGACTCGGAATGTTGTGAGTTCACTCGCTCAGCCTATATCAGCTCCTGCTTACAGTCACTTAGTGCCACAGCCGCGGCACTCGTCAAAACCAGTTATCTACCCAGCTATGGTGAAAATGGCGACTGGCTCTGGGACTCGCGAAACCTTACGATCTGGGTCGTCGTCGAGACCAACGTCGGTATTATCGCCGGAAATCTGCCATGTCTCAAGCCTATCTTCCGTGTGATTTTGACCAGTACATATGGTCGAGGTTCCTGCAAGACTGAAGCACCCCGATACCTGACCGGTGCTGGCACCGACCACCACTCTGTCAACAACTACAACTGCTTAGCCTCCAATCAGACACATGAAGGCGGCTTCGGGCGATCGGATGGAGACAAAAAGTCGTATATGTTGACGACTATCAATGCGGATAAACACGTGAAAAGTGACGCAGGCGAGGGCAGCTCAGAGGCAGAGAGTGTCTGGAGGGTCAGCGAAGACAGTGAAACTAGACCAAAAGGCCTAGGAGGGATAAAGGCGATTACTGAAGTGAGTGTCGTGGAGTCTACGAGTTCGAGGGAAGTAGATGGTGATAGTATGACAACTGAACGGAAAGAGGCACAGATAGTCTAACAGTATAGATAATCCCGCATACAAGTTTGTAAGAAATCTACATGATAGCTTGTACGTTTCCTGGAACACTATGCTGTATATTAAGGTTGCGCCAACAGCAAGCTACAAGACACAGGCCTTACTTAATTTAGTGTGTGTTTAGCCGCTTCGACTATACGCTTGTCTAACATGTTACTATAGCATCTAAAACGTATAATAAGAGCGACATAGATATTTCTGCATACCTCAAAGTTTAAGAGATGTAGAGGATATTAGTATTCGGGTATTATGGCAACGAGCGACAAATACACTGAAAGACAGAGAGGATTGCATTAAAGTCGGCCTAGTATTCTAACTTACAGTTGTTAGATCCAAATCTAGCGGAAAGCCTATTTTATAACGTACTAATAGTAAAACAGTTTTAACTGGATTATTATGTGGCAATGTAAAACTTAGAATTTTAGTTTTGAAACATATTCTAAATCTACGCTTGGTTTAACTGCGTTAACTTAGAAAGTGTGAATATTTTCTTCTTATATGACTTCACAGTTTGCCAGCACACTAAGCGTATTTGTGGTCTTGTGGTGCAAGGCTACGAATTGTACCTTTTGCGTCTACTGCAGGTTGGCAAGGAAAAAACTCGAGAACGTGGTGTAGATAGACTGTTAAAGATACATATGCAAAATATCCTCCGGCGCCCCTCTTGTACTGTTTCCAGCATTCAGTCTCTCTCGTTAAAACAACGGTAGCTCCATTGCGTTAACGTGCAAATGTCCTCTAAGCGCCATAATTCATCAACTATCGCATCACAGTGCTCGCGTCAATGCGGATGTTCTCTTTGTGCTTCCTTGGTAGGCCTTTGAGTTCCTCAGGGGAATTCCCGCTAGGTATGTCCGCCATAGTGTTCTGTTTCGAATAGATGCACGGTCCATTCTTCAGGCAAATTGAATCGAGCAGTGCATATAGGATAGAAGGATTCAAAAGGCTTACACCGCCTTCATCAAAGTCACATCTCTCTTGAGCTTCCATGAGGAGCAGTGAAACTGCACATTCGAGGCGCCTACAGAGATAGCGTTGATAACAATAGTTTTCCCATAGTCCTACAGGACCTCGGAACTCCTTGATGGGCATACAAATACATTTTTGCATATGGCTTGCGCAGATCAACTCCCGCTCACCTGAGCAGCTCAATTCCCGTGGATTTGAGGCGCTGGTGCTGGTGCGTGCTCTCGCAAATCGCCATAGTTGCCTCTTGATCAGAGTGTTTTGTTTATGCCGACAAAGTACATATAATGAGATATAAATAACGCGGGTCATATATGAGCTACTTTATCCAGCTCGAGCTTCGGTAGGTCCCCAGGACTTGCTCCTAGATGGTCTTTGTTTATGATGACGTGAGTTGCGCGCGGGAATCAGCCCTGAAAGGTCTATCAGAAGTCCTGCACTTGCTCTTCTATACTGCAAGAAATCGAATGTGGTCGTCTATCTAGACGGACAGATTCCCAGTCACCACAAAGATGCCCCATGATATCGAATCCGACTTCGATCCGCTGTATGTAGGGCGGGAAGTCGATAGCGTATATTGCACCTCCAGGAGGTCCCCATGAAGCAGGAAATCAGCCTTGATGTAGCGCCATAATATGTAGCTTCAGCTCAGCAGTTGACTTGTTGAATAGAAAGAAACTGTTTGTAGCCCGTGAGAAGCGTAGTGACCTAACTGCCTCTAAGCGTGCAGATAACCAAAAGAGCTTACTAGCCTTAACTCCTATACCGTACGAGACTTGTATAGGCTGGACGAGCGTAAGGTCGCCGCAAAAGTGGATAACATGTAACTGTAGCTTCGCAGGCAAATTATTGAACCACAAGAAGTATGTAGCATTCTGTGAGGAGTGTGGTGATCTATATTCTACTAAACGCGCGAATAATATGCGAAGCTCGCCACACTCTGTGACCTCTGTTCTCCAATCCAGTTGCTTCATCCAGAGGCATGTTAGCACTAGAGTCAGAACAATGTTGTGCATCAGGGGCTTCAACTTTCAGCGATAGCGAGAGAGAAGCAAAGGTACATAGTAACATAAAAGGGTTGTCCCAGGGAGCTTGGACTGGGGCTCGAAGTAGTGGCTTTCGAAGGAGGGGGGCTCGGAGAAGAATTGGTTGTAGAGCAGATGGAGAGATTGTAGGGAAGTTTTCAGGCTGACCGAGGAGGACTTGTCGACATTGTTGCTGAGATTCACACCCCAGGTCCCGTGACTTCAGTCGTACGACGCGTCGGTCGCAACCCAATCGCTATGCAACGAGGTGCCGTTGTTTTCCATTTTAGAGTGAATTTATCCAATGATTGTCCGCGCGTTGTGGATGTAACAATGTGAGCTGGGCGGCGACTAAACCTGGAGAGATCTGTGAGCTGTACTAGGGCGAGATTGATACAATTGCTCGACGTCGCTACGATTGCAACGCATTTGATCGTGTTCTAGCAGCTGGTACCCCTTATCGTTCTCATTACCGCCATTTCTGCTGTTGTCGAGGTGACGCCGTTATCCAGACGTAATGGTCAGATGTCATACGATCAGTGGCTTAAGCAAGGCTGCGGCGGGGCAGGCGGATGCGAAAGTTCCCTCTCAACTGTCAGTTCGTTCATAATGATAGAGTGATTGGATCTCAGGACTTTTATGCTCTCGAGATTCAGATTGGGGAGGGGTGGAGGAATATTCAGAATCACAATATAGAAGCCTACAATAGGCTTTTAATCATTACCCGAGCAGCCGTCCGTCCATCCTCCTGCAGCCTTGACAATCTTGTTATTGTTCCAACAGCGTGCGCGAACCCAGATTGGCGTACTAAAGGTAGCGTACCATTCATACCCATTGTGATCAGCCGGATTGTCGTAGTACTCGAACTTCCAAAAAGTCGTGCCGAGTCCATAGCAGTTGTCCATATTAGGCCGAAGAGTCTTTTGCCCGTGATCCCAGGTTGAAAAGCCGGCACCCTCGACCTTATATCGTCCATGCACCGCCTTATACCAGCCCTCACAGCGGCCGTAAGGCGCCTTTGGCCAGGGCCAGGGGCGGTCGTTCCGGCGAGGATTGAGCTCGTACTTGTAGTCTCCGTTATCGCGAATATATCGCCCGCCACCTTTCCATTTCATGGGGTTGTCGGAAGTATCGCACGAGTTGATGAGCTTCTTCATCGATTCGACGCATTGGTCTTTGTCGAATGCCGAGACGTCGTTTCCGAGGGTGACGACGTAGTCGTGCTCTTCCGGTGTGCCAAGGTCATAGCTCTTCTCGTAACTCCAGTTAATCGTGTTCTTAGGGTGATTTTCATCGACCTCCTTGCAGAAATTCTCATAGTTCTCATTTGTACGATTTCCACTAACGTAGAACTTGCTACCGGTTTTCGAGAAACATGTAAACTCATCCTTGACAGTACATGCGGGCGAGTTGACACTGAGGACGATGGAGCGCAGATCCATGAGTTCGGCGAGGGCAAATGAGGCTATGGTAAGGTGGCCGGCCTCGTTGGGGTGGAACTGCGCATGTTAGTGAGGAGCACATTGGTAATCACGTGCGTGAATGCAAAGTGTACTCACATTGCGGCCAACATGGTCGGGCATGCCCATGCCCAGGGTCATGTCGGCGCCGCCGTCCCCAGGGCAGCTCGGTGGTGAGGGTTCTCGGGGGTTGAGCTTGTGTTTGACGGCAGCGCGAGGGTCAGGTGACTTGTAGAGGATTGAGTCGTAGAGTGTGCGCTCGATTCTTCTGTCGCGGGCCTCCATGATGGCCTTGATGCGGTTAACCTGGCGTTTCTCAGAGTTGGAGAGCCTGGTCGAGTTCAGCATCTCCTCAAGATCCGTGTCGCGCTTGCGTAGCTCAATCCGTTCGAACTCTTCTTCCCAGGCAAACCAGGGGTGCGTATCAGGCTTGATAAAATGCATGTCCGGCTGATTGCTGTCCGGATAGTCGCCGTTGCTGCTAGGCGAGCACATTCGGGCGTCGAGCTCATTCGAGACCCAGTTGTCCCAGTCGGCGTAGCCAACCTTGTACTTGATCTTGTCACTCTCGGCGGCTTCATCGACGGCGTCGCGGATGGACTGGTTGATGTCAAGAACCAGCTGGTTGAAGGTGTTGCGGCGTGAGATGGTGAGAGCCCGGTATGAGGCGCCTAATGGGAGAAACCAGAGGACGTCCCACGACTGGTGATCACAGTTGTCCTTGGTCGAGTCGAAGAACTGGGCGTAGCCGTTAACAACGACGATGCCGTCTTTGTTCATTTTCTCATCGAGTGCTTCCAGGACCTGCTTGATGTTGTCTTTGATGATCGACTTTGCATTTTCCTGGGCCTTTGCAATAACCGTTTCGCAGGCGGAAGTCTTCCCGTAGGGTAGCATGATGCAGTCCTTGATTATTTGGGCCAGACAGAGGTCGTTCCCACCCGAAGTAAAGGTAACAAAATCGAGCTCGCCCTTCAGGGCCTTAGCCTGCTGGTAAACTTGTTCAGAACGATCGCCGCTGCAGGCGAGGTACTGGAAGCCGCCGTCCTTTTCGACGTGGGCGCCAAACTGCGCCTCTATTACCTTAGGGTACGCCATATCGTACCTGGAACACTTCCAATTGTCGCGAATCTCCTCCAGGCCATTAGGCAATTTTATAGCCACTTCGTCGTAGGTGATCCTGTGGCCGAGTGGCCTCCCGGCACCGATCCCGGCCGTGTAGCTGTCACCGATGGCCGCCCAGCGCTTGATCCATTCCATATTGCTAGGATCGTTATCGCGCTTGAGCATGGGCGACGAGGCCGAAGATGAAGTCAAGTTGGCGGGCGAGACGAGCTTTGCGCGTGGTTGCAATCCTATGCTCCTACCATGTCTTCCGTGTTGCGCATGGTGTGGCACGTAGCCGTTGGTCACACCACTCAGGGCCAAGAGGCCCACGAATGACTTGGAAATCATGATGCCTGGTATAGCTGGGCCAGAGAGAGCGACATGAATGGAGAACGAGTGGAAGGCTAGTTGTATAAGTCCGACCCTGTAGTGAAAGAGTGAAGAGACAGGAATTGGAAGTCAATAAATAAGACGGGTTGATGAAGCGAAAAGAGTGAGAGACAGGAGTTGAAAGTCGGTAGGCAGGACGGGTTGGAAGAGTGCGAACAAGATGGCACAGAGCCGGGAAATGCTCAGACGCCCAAATGCTGAGATGCTCCTATGTCGCTACAACAGACACCAGGGATTGCCGCCAATACATGTAGCCTGCAGAAATCCTTTGCAGTCGAGATGGATAGACAAAGATACCAATCTCTCATATGCAAGCGAGACGACAAATTCCGATTAGGCAGGCGGAGATGGACATGATGCGACCCAACCTAGATACCTACTATCAAAGTTTTGGCCTAACAGCGGAAGCAAGCCTACAAACCCATAACTTTCCATTCGACGCATGTTTCAATTTGACTGGGCGCAAGGTATACTTGCATTAGCGACTGCGAAACTATGCGGCGTGGTAGTCTCAGGACATGCTTAATAGAATAAAGTTCCAGCCAGGCTCGGCGGTTAGACAGAGGGCGGATGTTAGTGGCGTTCCGACTCGACAGGGTTTCCGTCGACCCACATAGGCAAACCCAACATCATCCTTCGTTTACCTTGGCACATGCATCTTCAACGAACATGCACCACAACGAAATGAAGTCTTTATTGCTAACCCTTTTTCGCCGATACGCACCTTGGGGCGTCACTGCCAAGTTACCCCTGATATCTTCTTCTGTAATTGAGGAACGGGCTGGAAATTCGCTCTGCTTGCTGCCCGCCCGTCTTCCGATCATCATCAACCTCTCATCTCATTTGACATCCTTCCATCTCTCTCCAGTCTGTTTTTTCCGCAGTGGGCTGTGATTACGTCTTGCTCTTCACTGTACAGGCGTTGTGCGGATTCCCGTTTACGATCATCATGACTCCTAAAGGTGCTTCGCTCCGGTGCATATACCTCAGTCTAGGCCTCCTGTTGACAATAGAGGCACTCAATCTGAGCTCCTTTTCCGGACAGGCGGAAAACAGGTTGCTCATGGAGAGCGTCGCCGGCCTGGAGACTACGCCTCAGGCTAGAGAGATGCTCCTCAAGGCAAACGAGGGCCCACCTGACTACACGTGCACCGCAACGAATCCATGCGATCTTGGCTGTTGCGGGCCTCTGTAAGTTGAAAACATTCGTAAACATGATCAGCCATAAGGCTGACAAGCGGCACTAGTGACGATACCGGTACTGGTGCTTGTGGCTTCGGTCCTGTTTTCTGCGGCCCCAAATGCACGAGTGACTGCAACCGCAAATCTGAGTGTGACGGCGATAACTGGGGCTCCCAGTATGCAAATTTGACCACTTGCCCGCTCAACGTGTGCTGCAGCGAGCACGGCTTCTGCGGCACGACGGTCGACTTTTGCGGCCCAAATCCTGTGCCGCATCCTCAGTGCGACCTCTCGCAGCGGACCGCCGACGCGCGCACCATCGGCTACTACGAGGGTTGGAACTATCAGCGCCCCTGTGGTAACATGGAGCCTGAGGATATTCCCTTAGGCCACTGGACGCACATCAACTTTGCCTTTGCTCTTATCAACCCCAAGACATTCCACATCGAGGACATGGATCCCGGCACTGGATCGCGCTATGACCGTGTCGCGGCGCTCAAGGAGAGGCAGCCTGATCTCAAGGTTTGGATCGCTGTTGGGGGTTGGGCTATGAACGACCCCGGTCCGTATCGAACGACCTTTTCCGACATGGCTGCCAGCGAGGCTAACCAAGATAAATTCTTTGACTCGCTGTTGACTTTCATGAAGCGGTATAACCTAGATGGTGTCGATCTGGACTGGGAGTAGTAAGTAGTTAGACCCTTACCTTGTATGGTATATGATCTGACACAAGCACTTCAGCCCCGTGGCAGAGGACCGAGGCGGCATTCCTGCCGACTTCGACAATTACGTCAACCTTTTGACACGTCTTCGGGAGCGCTTAAATTCGTCTGGTAGACAGTATGGCATCAGCCTGACTCTAGTAAGTGGCAAGCCCTCGCTCCGCTCTACTTTCACGATGTTCGATCTCGACTAACTCCGACAGCCCGCCTCTTACTGGTACCTCCGCGGCTTCGATCTCCAAGGAATGGAGCCCTATCTCGACTGGTTCAATGTGATGACGTACGATATACACGGTGTCTGGGACGCCAGTATTGACAGCCTCGGCCCTATCGCCCAGGCACATACCAATCTGACCGAGATCAAAATGGGCCTCGAGCTCCTATGGCGCAACAACATCAACCCCGCGCGCGTTGTACTCGGCCTCGGCTTTTACGGCCGCAGCTTCACGATGAAGGACCCCGGATGCATGAAGGCTGGCTGCGAGTTCTCCGAGGGTGCTAACGGCGGCGCTTGCACAGGCACGGCGGGAGTATTGTCGACGGCCGAGATCAACGAAATCATCGCCAACGGCGCTACCGTCACGTACGACAACGAAGCCGCCGTCAAGATCGTTACCTGGGACTCGAACCAGTGGGTCTCATTTGACGATACCCAGACGCTGGGGACGAAGATCGATTTTGCTCATCAGCATTGCCTAGGAGGGTAAGTAAGACGGGTTTGGTCTCGACGAAGTTCGTCTCTTCGACACCGTTTGCTAACTTGAATCAGGACCATGGTCTGGGCTATTGACCTCGATGATGGTACGCTCACCAAGGCCTTGGGTGCGAATATCGAGCGGCCTGAGCTACCCACGTATAAGCCGAGGCAATACTTTGAATGCGGCGAACCGCCTCGGGACGAGTTGTAGATAGCATGCTCATTGCGTTCATGTGGAGAGTGGAACTCTGCCAACCTTGAGAAACGCCTATTGATAAGGAATAAACGTATCCGCGTAGTGCCTTCTAATATAGTAGAAAAATAGCCTGTTACTCATGATTCGCTGTACAATCGTACGACGACCAGCTACCTGCTCACTGTGGTGATTAATCGTTTTTGGCCATGTTACGTTGGAGCTGACCTTATCCGCTTGGTCTTCCTCTTTCGTAGGGGGGTGTTGATATTGTTTGTGTTGTTAGTGATGCGGTAGTAGTGCGTGGCTCGTCGTCTATATGTCATCGTAGTACCATGGATATTGCATTTGAACGTGATAATGTTCCCAACCGGTGTGCACATTGATTTTATGGGATTATATTATGGACGCTATGAAGGTTGTTGAATTGACGAGGAAGCAATGAAGCTCGAGTCTGAATGGGTTTGGCTTGTGTTTATACCTATCTTGCTACCCTTTAACACAACCCAGCTGCTGTGTCACCAGCTCGCCTGAAATCCAGTTTACTCCTGACCTTTCTGATCCGGTTCCTAAACCCGCTCGATTTCGAGGTGTGCGGCACACCCAGCGTCGATGACGCCGCGTTGCCGTAGAGTGTGACCAGATGGTCAATGTCCATATTGCTGGGAACCAGTCGGTTCGGGATGAGAGTGCCGTCCTTGAAAGTCATGATAATGAGACGGGCGTTTCCAGAGCCAATGCCACCAGCACGAGAGGGATACATCATGAGCGAGTCTCGGTCGAAATTACTGTCTACGACCATATTGGCTGTATGAATCGTAGGAAGCCAGTCGGCAGCACTGAAGCCATGTTTGGCGGCGACATCCCGGGAGACGCAGAGGCGTTGGAGATCGACTTCCAAAACCTCTCGCTCCTCTCCGGTTGCCGCATCAATCTTGGCCTGCACACTGGCGACGGCCTGGTCGTGGTCCTTGAGGTTCTGGCAATTGAAGCTGCTGGAATCGAATTCTTTCGTTTTGCCGCTCATGGGAAGGCTCCAGCCATCCATGCTGTCCATAGGAGCTACTTCCCAGTAGTCAGGAATCTGATGCTCATGAGCCAGACCCCAGGCGTGACCGAGCTCATGAGCAACGTTGGCCGTTACATCGTCTTGACCGACGCCCACCATGTCGGAAAGGTGCATGGAGGGTCCTTGGGCGTTGTTGTCGGTCGCATCGATAACGGGAATGCCTAGCGAGGACATGAGCCTGCCGTAATCATTATAGTAGATGCGCAGGACGGAGCTGCGCTGCGAGTTGCAGACGCTATCCGAGACCTCCTCGTACTTAAAGTCGTGCCTTTCGAGCTGAGCCCATAATCTTCTGGCCGAGTCCCAGAGGCCTTTGACCACAACGTCATTGGGGTCGTCAAAACAGTACCTGATCTTCTTGTCTGGCCAGATGCGCGACGCCTTGTTGTCGCCTGGCCGGTGCTCGATAGAAATAGCGCGCTTTAGAAGTAACGATGTTGCGTTAAGTGTCTCCATAGCCAGGTAGTCCGGGCTGTGGTTCGTTCGCTTGTTCGGGGCCTTTGCCTCCCAGAACCTGCTGCCACCGAGGACGACTTCGGCGCTGGCCAGCACGAGGCCGGCGATGAAGATGGGTGAGATATACATGGTGAAGAAAGTTGACAGATAAGCGAGTGTATGTGTGAGTGACGACGAAACGAGTGATTGAGGCCCTAGACGGCGGACTGTTGCTGGCTTATGGCTGAGCAGAAAAAACAATCCAAGAACTCACTTAGGAGGGTCGATCGGAAATGAAGAAACATAGGATTTGAGGGGTGTCCGTCTCTTAGTCTTGACTTTTCACCTGCTTACGCAGGAACCATCCCTATTTATGACGCGCAATTACAGTCAGTTCGTGGGGATAGTTTCGAGTCAATTTTACCGCCTTGAAGTTCCTATGCTGGAAATTCTATTTGCATACCAGGGTAGCTTTATCCTGACACCCCTACCTGTCTTGGCTATTATTGACAAATGCGGAAGGTGTTACTCTCGGTCGACTGAACCCTGCTTGTATCCAACATGCGATGTGCTTGGCAATATCATCGGGCGAAGGCAGGCAATTTAGCGTGTTAGATGAAGATGATAGGCGCTTATCTGCAGCTGCAGGCCGGGTTCCTGCAGGCGATCTTGCCCGCCTTGACCTTACCAGGGACCCAGGCTAAATGCTGAATTGTGCAGAAACACACACCTCCATCACGCTGCCAAGATGTGAGTGGTATGTTCTTCTTTTTGCGACATACGCTCTGATTTGCCCCCTCGTCTCCATCAGATGACTTGATAGTTGGATCGTCGCGCTTACTCGAAACATCCTTTGGGCCTCTTGAGACTTGATCCTCGATCTTCTGCGTCCGTCGTCTCTCTGATTTTTTGAGTCCCCGGGCCTCTTCCACGTCCCGGCTCATTCAGTCCAGTCCCCAACTTGTATTCATACCGCCAAAGTAAAAAACAAGCATTTTCAGAATAGTCCTTACCTCGGGCTCCAGTCTTTGAAGCTTGAATTTGCACTCTCTTTTCTCGCCTGCTTCATTGGTCACTCTTGTACGTAGGCGTTCTTCCTGTTTCCAATATGCACCTCTCTCTCCAAAAAGCGATCTGGCTGGCCACTGGCCTGATTCTCCCAGCCGTCATCGCTCAAAGCTCCAGCCCCGGCGGCCCTGTCCATGAAGGCCAGCCCGAGAACTGCAACGGATGGCACACTGTGGTCAAGGACGACACCTGCCAAAATGTGTCCCAGCGCTACAGCATATCTTTGGAGCAGTTTCTCGAGTGGAACCCCGCTGTCTCGTCCGATTGCCGCAACAACTTTTGGATCGACTCGGCCTATTGTGTGAGGATCGGAAAGAGCAGCTCGAAGCCCGCCACGTCTATCAGTTCCACATCTATCTCCAAGGCCACTTCCAAGGCCACTTCTACTACCAAAGCCACGTCCCAGGCAACCATCACCTCGGTCCCTGCGACGCCGACCACTTCGTACAACTCGACCTACTCAGTCCAGCACCCAGTCACCTCGTGGAACGTGTCGACTACGAGTACTGACAAGACTTGGCCGCCTACCAAGACGCTCGCGGGGCAGACGACAATCTGCAACGCGTGGCATCGCGTGGTCCCCGGTGACACGTGCCAGCGGCTGTTAGATATGTTCGGCCTGCAGTCCGTCGACGATTTCCTGAGCTGGAATCCCGCGGCCAAAGAGGACTGTGAGATGCTCATCGCCGATTACTGGGTCTGCGTTGGCGTCCAACGGCAGGTAGGTAACACGGATCTCGAGTGGGAGACGGCTCAGCCTGAGTTCACCGCGCCTCCCGAGCCCACCGAGTACACACCCGTTACGCTACCTACGGCTGACTCGAGCTTCACGCCGACTCCCTCTCATGGACCTATGCCCTCCAACTGCAAGGTGTTCCACCAGGCTATAGCTAACCAAAACTGCAACGATCTCGTGACCTTGTATAGCTATTTCTCGCAAGAACAATTCTTGGCGTGGAACCCAGCTCTTGATGGCAATTGCTTGGGCCTCTGGCTCGACACGTGGTATTGCGTCGGCGCATACTCTGATGACAACCTCCCACAACCCGCACATCGAACCACCAAACCAACTGAGGGCAACATTCCTTTGGGGTACCCCGCCGACTGCTCGCGATGGTACCAAGCGAGCAGCGACGAGGCTTGCGACCTTATCGCGCTTATGTTTGGCAGCTTCAGCGTGGTCGAATTTGTGAAGTGGAACCCGTCCGTCTTCAGCGATTGCAGCGGCATCGTCCCGGAGGCATGGTATTGTGTAGGCCGCCCAGGCACGCCGACAACGCGTACTCCCGGCGCGCCAACGCAAACGACCGCGTCGACCCAACCGGTAACGACTACCACAACTGCACCGGAGCCTGTGAAGACCCCCTCGCCTGTGCGCGAAGGCATGACGGAAGACTGCGTGCGATTCTACCTGCAGCAGCCAGGCGAATTTTGCTGGGCGATGGCGTCCGGTGCCGGGATCTCCTTAGAGTGAGTGCTTCCTTCACACCATCTCTTTTCCTCTCTCAAGTATGACTTTTCCATCACAGAACTTCCACTAACTGCCTACTTACAGCCGATTTTACGAATGGAATCCCGCAGTGGGAAGTGATTGCGAAAATCTGTGGCCCGATTACTACTACTGCATCGGTGTGTGAGCGGTTAGGCGATGACTTTTACTTGGGGGCCGGCTGTGCCAACGTAGGATTCTTGAGGTCAACCAAGGAAAAGGGTTGGTACGTGTAAAGTGGTCTCATTATCAAGGTGGCGTTCGGCGGCGCGATTTTGTTCGATTTTCAGGGATACTATGGTCCCCCCCCCCCGAAGTATAAGCCATACTCCACTTATGGGTACTTCGAACACGCCCTCGTATTGGTTAAGGATAACTCCAAGCAACGATCCTGACGAATTGGAGGCTAGCACCAAAGTGGATATACTTCGGGGACCATACCTAGTATAGTGTATTTAGTCTAGCGGCCTCTAGCGTCCGTTAGATAGATTGGACCCTGAGGTGCTTCCAAAGTCGAATGACAAGATATCCTTAATATGGATTGGGCTGCTAACGGTCTGAGCACCCTGCGCGCTGCACTCTCACGACGTAAGAGGTCGGCATGGAGCATAGAGGATGTTCACAGTCCGTGGCGGCCGCTGGTGATCGAGATGCGATCAGCAACTCTTTTGCAGGGGTTCAGAGATTAGCAATGGAGTGCTCTTATCATTGCTCAAATACCCCAATTCGTGACCGTTGAACAGATGACATGCCCTGCTTCATCCACTTTGGCAAGGTGAGCTATATAAGCTTGTCTCCCACCCTCGGCCTCTATCTCTTCTGGTTTCACGTTTCAAAGTCGTAATAATGGCCAAACTCATCGCTTGGGTGAGGAAACACCTGGTGTTCAGACCAGGTCGCGAAAAGCAATCCGCAGACCAGCTACCGTTCCTCTCCTCGCCACGACGTCCTATCACGCCAACGTCGTTCGGTACACCAACATGCCTCCTCTTCCAGCTGCCCTACGACATCCGGAGTATAATCACCTTCATAGCTTTTGGTGGACGTACCTTCCATGTGGATGTTGTGCACCAAGAGGGGACCTGGCAATGGAGAGGCGGCGTCTGCATTCGGAACAGGCCAGAGTTGCTGCCATCTATGCGGTACGGTTGGCTTGGCCCGTGTTTCGACCTGTGCACAAGGGAGATGGACAGCTGCAAGCGCACAGGGAAGACCTCGAATGCGCACGACATCGGCATTATGGGTTTTCTGCTGTCGTGCAGGCAGGCATATACTGAAGGCATTGATATCTTGTACTCTGCCAACTGCATCAGCATCAAGACCGAACCCCTGCTCCTTCACCTCCCCAAGCTTATCCTGCACGACCGGCTCGCATCGATTACTTCCCTCGAGATGATCGTCGAGGCGCACGATGCCGAGCAAGAGAATGGCAGAGCATCCTTCAAACTGGACCACCTGGAGCCAATCCTCGACAATGTCGTCACGCACTGCCGCCACCTCCGCCGACTCTGCTTGTCCTTCACTGTCTGGCAACGTCACGGCCACGATCTACTCGATGGCCCAGCGCTGCCCTTGGTCGACGCCTTCTGGAGGTCCACGCAGTTGCGCAACATGAGGGTCGAGCTGCCTACCCGGGATTACTCAGCGGCAACGATATCTGAGCCCATGATTGACCATCCGCGCGAGGCGCCAATCAAGAGACTGTTCGGCAGATCGCGATGGAGGTCTTTGGATAGTGAAGAGCCCAAGATACAGTATAGGTCCATCGAGCGCTACCCTTACCCGCCTCTAAAGCTGCCGGTAGTTAACGACGGGGTCAAGAGCGAGGAGAGTTTGGGATATTGGATTTGCGAGGGCCACGAGGGATTGCACCCAGGATATCACAACTGTGGAGTACCTTACTTCACGTAACAGAACTTAATAATTTTAATCTACAGTTTAGTAAAGCAATAGCAAAATTTAATATTTGTAGTAGATATACTTACTTTTAAAAAATAGATATAAAAACTAAAATTAGAGTAAAATTATATTAAGTTATATAGAAAAGGAAGAATAGAGAAATATATTAAAACTTATATAATATTATACAAATTCTAATTTTATTATATAAATAAAGTAGTAGATAAGTTAAATCTAAGTAGAAGCTAAGTCTTATAAAAATATAACCTAATATTCTACCTTGCTCTATCTATATTTAATCTTTATACTAGTTATATAAAAAGAGAAAATTTTGTAAAAAGAAAATATAATAAATATATATTTATTATAGTAGATATATAGTTAAAAGCTATATATAAAGCTATTAGTTAATTAGTATTTAGATTTTAATAGTTATAAGTCTAGTAATAGAACTATATTATTAGTAAGCTTATAATAGATTTACTCTTTAGTATAGAACTATAAGTAAGCTATATAGTAGTAAAATAAGTATTATATATAAAAAATAACTCTAAAAGTAGTTATTAGTATTAATTAAAATAAATTAACTAGAAATTTATAGTACTAACTTTTCTTTACTTTTATTTTTTTTAGTAATATACTAGCTAATTTTAGTAGGCTAACTAAGATTAGGTATAAGTAGTTAAGGTAAATAAGCTTTAAAACTTTACTTACTAAAGTTTTACTAAATTTAATTAATTATATAATTCTTTTTTTTAGTAAAAACTATTTATATTTTTACTTTACTTTTATATACTAGAGTAATATAAATAAAAAGTAAAAAAGAAAGTTTATTTTTTTAAACTTTAAGATCTTTACTAGTCTAGTAAATACAGAAATAGAAAAATAAGAGTTTTAAAGAAATTTAAATACTTTAGTTTTTTATAATCTAACTTTTAATTACTAATACTTAATTTCTTTTTTAATAATATTATTAATATTAAGTAAAAAAAGAGTTAAATTTTAAACTTTAAATACTTTTTAATTTATATATAAAACTCTTTAATATTTTATAATCTTTATTTTATACTTTAGTTATACTTCTACTTAATACTACTAAATATCTAGATTACTTAAGTAGAATATATTACTTTTATACTAAGTAATTTTCTTTATTTCTCTTTACTACTTAACTAGGTTCTTAAAGATTTTATTAGAAATATTTAGAGTACTATACTAGTACTAGTAAATATTTACTTTAATTCTTTTAATATTAGTTTACTATAACATACAGTATAGAAACTTTTAGAATATACTATATATATTAGGATTAGAGATTTTAGTTTAAAATCCTTATAGAATAGGTATATATATAATATATATTACTAGTATAAAATTTAAAAGTTAAGATACAAAAGTCTACTTTTAACTAGGCAAAATTTAAAAGTTAAAATATAAAAGTCTACTTCTAACCTAGTAAAATTTAAATATTAAGATATAAAAGTCTACCTCTAACCTAAGTATATTAGGATTAAAAATATAATAGTTATATTATTTTAAAATAGAGCTGTATATAGTAGTAAGAGTAGATATTAATATAGGACTTTAATATTAAAGTTCTATATTAAAATTAGTTTATAATTACCTATAAGTTACTATCTCTAATATTAAAGTTTATAATTACCTATAAGTTACTATCTCTAACGTTAAAGTTTATAATTACCTATAAGTTACTATCTCTAACGTTAAAGTTTATAATTTACTATAAATTACTATCCTAAGCCTTAAAGTTAAGATAATCTATAAATTACTATTCTAAATACTAAAATTATAATTAACTATAAGTTACTATCTCTAACATTAAAGTTTATAATTACCTATAAGTTATTATTTCTAATATTAAACTTTATAAGTTACTATAAATTACTATTTTAAATATAAAGTTATAATTAACTATAAATTATTATCTCTAATTTTAAAGTTTATAATTTACTATAAATTACTATTCTAAATACTAAAGTTATAATAAGCTATAAATTACTATTTTAAGCCTTAAAGTTAAGATTATCTGTAAATTACTATTTTATAGTTAAAATTACTATAGTACTATTATTTAAAACTACCTTAATAGTTTAAATACTATAATATTTCTATATAGAAATAGCTAACTATGCTATAAGCTAGAAGCTCTTACCTAGTAGAAGTAATAAGCTTCTTAGGTTATAGAATTTAAAGATTTCTTTAAGTAGAAGATTTAAGTTCTCTAAGCTATACAGCTAGAAGGTTTATTAAGTAGAAATACTAAGGCTCTTAGGTTATAGTATTTAAAGATTTCTTTAAGAAGAAAAGCCTAGCTCTCTATATTATAAAGCTTAAACTACTATTAAGGAGTAGCACTAAGCTCCTTTTATTATAAAACTTATAAATTTCTTTAAGTAGAGAAGTTAAGCTTATTATATCTAGCTATTATAAGTAGACCTTATTATAAAAGTTATTAAGTTAAAGCTATAAGCTATAGATTATAGTATATATCTATAAAGTATAGTAAGTTATAGTAATAAACTATAAATTACTATAAATAATAGTTTAGTACTAATAAATAAAGTAAAATATATACTTTACTTCTAAAAAGATCTTAGAATATAATTTAACCTTACCTTTCTTACTATCTATACCTACTATAAATAAGCTATAAGGTAATTAATAAACTTAAAGAAAACTATAGTAGTAGCCTACTATATATAGTAGTAAATAAACCTATAACGTAGTAAACTAAAATATAATAAAGTACTACTTTTTCTTTTCTTTAGTATTATACCCTACTTCTCTAATATATTATCTTTCTTAATAATATTAGTACTAGTACCTCTAATAAAGTAACCTAGCTATAATCTTCTTAATATTATCTTTAAGTTAATCTACCTTATATTACTATATAGGTAATATAAATATAAATAGAAAGAATACTCTTATCTTTACTATAGCTATAGTAGTAGTAGAAAACCTTAGCTACTATAGTAGTAGAAAAACTTAGCTATAGTAGTAGTAGAGATAGTAGTAAGTTATAAAGAAGAGTAGTAACTTATAAAGAGTTATAAAGAAGAGTAGTAACTTATAAAGAGCTATAGAAAAGAGTAGTAACTTATAGAGAGTTATTAAGAAGAGTAGTAACTTATAGAGAGTTATTAAGAAGAATAATAACTTATAGAGAGTTATAAAGAGGAGTAGTAACCTATAGTAGATTATAGAGAATTATAACTCTATATAATTATTATCTTTAACTAGCTTTATTAAATAGTAATAATATAAGATTACCTAGCACTAGTATAAGGTATTTATATATAACTAAAACTCTACCTTAATTTATAGTAAGTTATAGTAAGTTATAGTAAATTACAGTATATTATAACTATTTACTATTATTATTCTTAACTAGCTTAATTAAATAGTAATAATATAAAATTACCTAGTACTAGTATAAGGCGTTTATATATAACTATAACTCTACCTTAATTTATAGTAAGTTATAGTAAGTTATAATAAATTATAGTATATTATAACTACCTATAGTTATTATTCTTAGCTAGCTCTATTAAATAAAAGTAGTATAAGATTACCTAGTACTAGTGTAAAGTATTTACGTATACCTATAAACCTGCCTTAATTTACAGTAAATTATAGTAAGTTATAGAGAAGAGTAGTAACTTATAGTAAGTTATTAAAAAGAACTATAATTTATATAGAATTATAGATAGTTATAGTAAATTATAAAGAAGTATAATAGCCTATAATAGAACTATAAAAAGAATATATTAAAGTAATTTATAATTAGACTTTATAGTATACTAAGATTAGTACTAAAGAGAGAGTTCTAAGTAAATTTACTTTTATTTCTTTATACTCTTATAAGGTAGATTACTAAAGACGTATTATATTTACGCTTCTATAATTAAACTATAGAAAATTATAATATTCTATTAGTATTATCTTCTACTAGTATAAGGTATTTATATAGCTATATAGCTTTACCTTAGTATTAGTAAGAGAGAGTTAGGTCTAGAGTTAATTAAAATGCTATTATTTAATATTAATATTTAAAACTGTAGTAATCTTATAAAAGGTTAAATAGAATAATAACACGTCTTTATCCTATAAGAGTAATAAAGTAGAGTATATTATAAGCTTTCTTTATTCTATTAAACTTTTTAGATATATTTCTTGCGTTACGTAGGTTATATTAAGTTACGTAGTTTATATTTTCTATATTTTATTATATTATATTGTGTTGTGTTACTACTTTCTATAGCTAGGCCTATTTAGAGTTTTATCTACCTTATAATAAGTACTAGCTAAGCCTATTTAGAGTTTTATCTAGCTCTGTAATTATAAGGTAGATAAAACTCTAAATAGGCTTAGCTAGTACTTATTATAAGGTAGATAAAACTCTAAATAGGCTTAGCTGTATTTCTACCTATACCTATAGGTAACTTTATCTATATATACGTACGTTAGACTTAGGAGTATAATATACTATTCTATATTAGAGTTTTTTCTAGCTAGCCTTTTTTATAGTGTTAATATATTTTTATTTTATATTCTTACTTTTTACTTATTACCTATACCTTTTTATTTTCTATATAATATACTATATTAAACTCTAAAGCTCTAAAGAATATTAGTAGTTAGCCTAAAAAGTTTATAACTAAAGAAGTAGCTATTTAATAGTTAAATTTAAATAAGGTAAGCACTACTAGATATAAAAAAAAGAAGAGTATAGTAACTACTAGCTAGAGAATAGAACTAGGTACAGTATAGCTATATAAATTACATCCTAGGTAGTTTTAATATACAACAGATATTAGCTTCTATATACCTTAATAATTAACTATTTAGTCTAAGCACTATATAGAGATATAAGAGCTATACTATCTACTTTTTTCTAATATAATAGATATACCTATCTCTATACTTATACCTAATATACCTTACTTATATAAGTTTTAGAATACGTAATTAAGATATAAGGTTTCTAGTAGAGAGAATAGTAGAAATATAGATATTTAAAGAAAACTTAG